TCCAAGACGTGAATTCTTTTTTTATAATCATTTCTCGTCATCACTAAACGAGAGCGAGGCCAAATAATAGGTGTACGATCATTATACAAAGTATGCTGTTGTAGCTTTCTTAAATCATGCCCTTTCGCTTGCATACCTAAGGTCCTTATATAATTTCAAGATTTCACATAACCTAGCACGCTGGCTTCAATAAACGCACGGTACTAGAAAACACACTTGGGTTAGCCATCCCCTTACTCCAAATTTGGAAGATCCCATCCGTCCATGGAAGAAGATAAGTTATTAAGGCCCTCGAAGTTGAAATCCATGGAAGCAAGAGAACGTCCAGAATTATTGGCAGGCGGATTAGAAGTGAATATGAACATGGATGGATCCGATATATTCGAGCCGGATGGTCCATTCCCCATATTCCACGTATCGAAACCAGACTGCCAGTTTACACCATCTTTAAGATACCAGTCTTGTCCATCAACGGCGTAAATGGAATTCGGTGCCTGATTTCGTCTTGCACTTTGGGATACTTGGTTAGAGCTAGTATTATCTGGAATTTGAGGGAAAGCCTGCGGATAGTTGAGAACATTCTGTGTAGTCGGAGGCTGACGCCAATCTGGACTAGCTAACTCGTTTGTATCCAAGGGCACCGAATTACCCATAATAACCACACTATCCAAGACTGGTTGCGGGATTTGTGCGTCAGGTTGGAAGCTGGGTGGTGATGAGGTTAAGTTACGCATTATCTCGGGTGGGACGGTTGATCCCGGGCCGCCTGTTGGTGATGGGACTGAAGTCGGGGGAGTATTGTGACTCGCGGGACTATGTTCAACTCTCCCTGGCGGTGATATCGCAACAGCGGGAGGCGATGGAGATATAGCCATGTGCGAACGGGGTGAAGGTACATCGGATGTCTTGAAGGTACCCCACCTTTCATCTGTACGCTGTAAAACATGAGAAGCCTCTTCAGGAAGCTCAACATTCCACTTACGAGCGAGAACACTAATTATGCTAAGAGTTCGTCGCCCACAGAGCCAATCTTCTGCAATCTCTTCGAGATGCTTTACACCGTGAATGATATCCCTCCTCGCAGTCTTCTCGGGGAGATTGAGTATATGAATAGTGCAAGCAGAATGTAGCATATACACTGCAATATTGCAGATTTGGCGTAAGTTGTAGAGCTTCTTATATAGTCTCATCAATTTAGAGATGGCACCTGCGTTTGCGGTACATATTCTCCGGGGAGATACGTGAGGTGGTAAGGGGGACGTAGCTGGAGAGTATTTGAGAAAAGGGCGGAAGAGATGGATATATTGAAGATGGAAGAACATGCTAAATTTGATCAACCACGCTATCTCGACTGTGCTGATAGAGAACTTACTGCATCAAAATGACGTTGGGTAATTGACCCTCCTTAGGTTCAAGTTCTTTGGGTAACTCCTTTCGCCAATCCTCAAGGCGCCGATGTAATTCACTCAACTTTTTGAGCTCGACTGACTTGCCGCTCGATCGCCCTATGTGATTTGGGTGATAGAAGAATAAGAGAAGGTCGCCACTAATTTCGCACAATTTAGATAATTGTAGACCGACCGTACGGGTTCGCGACGGCTGCTTCACCGATTCTTCAAAACCAGAGTCGGTATATGGACACCAGGGTTCGGCATCTTCGTCCGGGAAAACGTCATATTTGGGAACGCTGTAGGAATTTTTTGGCAGTTGAGGAAGTCGACCTAAGTAATTTGACCAGCACTTATCGAACACGAAGCAGCCCCAGAAAGTGACTCTCCGCGCATCTATCTCGTGGTCGTCCAAATTCTCGTTATCGCCCTTGATGCCACCAATATCTAGGTTGAGCCCCAAATCCTGTGCCATCCTGAAACTCATGCCGCTATATACCCAGCCCTTAGCTTCTCGACCACAGCCTGCCTCCCGAACAGACATAAGAGCCAAAGCCTGAACCGTCGTTAACCGGGGCTTTTCATACTCGTCGTTGTCAACAATCAGTCTCTTAGCCTCGGCGAAGAAATGATCTCCTTTGGTCCAGCTATCTCCAGTTGTACCGAAGGCGCAAGCAGCATCAGTAAAGTGGCACCCCAGCGCGAGCATCGCATTGACCAATAACGGCGAACAATATGCAACCTTATTTGGCGAGATATTTGATCTCCCTTTTAGAAGGTCGCGATAGAACAGAGCCCGCGACAACGTGGTGAAGTACGGATAATGCCAGTTGAAGTACATATCGAGAAGATGTTTAACAACCTCTCGATCCTTCGTTACATCAGACCAACTCGTGATAGGATCTAAATCGGCTGCACCGGTAGTATTCCGTGACTCGTATTCCGGATTCGGCGCCCCATGTATATCCCAGTGTATCAGGTGAGACGTACCACCGATGAAGCGCGTCGAGCCGTTCTCCAGCCGTAACTCTCCCATCTTTCGGGCAAGGTCTCTCTCGCCTTCAACAGGCATATCGGTAGTATAGTCATTCTCTATCTGATCTTCATCTTCTATTCCTGCACTGCCGAACTCTTCTTGCTTGAGAATTGACTCGGCCACAGCATCCAAGCTATCGCAGGTGCGTATTCTCTTGACTACTTCGGGGACATCATCTTCGTCTGCATTAAGAATAGCTTCGATTAGGATTTGGAGAGTAGAATTCCGCGCTTTCATACTGTCGATCTTCTCTCTATAAACTCCTTTTCGGCGGTGATCCGAGTTGGGATCGTAGACACACTCAGTACCATACACGCTTGCGCACGCGGCGCAACTCGGGAGTGCGCCGTCGCATTTCGACTTCCGACGGCGACAGGCTATGCATGCGCTGCAGACGTCAAGGTCAATTTATATCATAATGAAAGAGCAACTGAGAGGAGATTCGAGGTATCACGTACGTGCTGACGCATCGGCGTTTTTGACTGGACGGATCCCCGCCCCTCCTTGACTTCTTCTTGGCCGGGGGATGAGAGGAGTCAGCGAGAGAATGACCTGAAGTCAAGGCGGCTTGTGGTCGTAAACCCGACAGATCGGGCCCGTCCATAATAAAGTCTCACAGCAGCGAGCTAAGTTAGCTTAACAATTGTGTCAGGGTATCAGTGTATTAGGGTATCAGAGCGAGGTTGGCAGGAAAAGAGAAACGTAATGGAAAGAGCGCAGTTTTCAGGGCACATGCAAGCTAAGACTTGATAGACATGGATGTGACAACGATAATATTTCCGGGGGAGTGCTAAAATAGCGGCGTCCTATCCGGCAGTTTGGGTCGATTGAGAAAGTAGCCAATAGAGGTAGCCAATAAGTGTTGACAGATCTTGATAGATCTCGACGCTGATGCCGGTGCCAAACACTTCTTTGGGTTTTTAAAAATAAGTATACGCGGAGAGGAACTCCTCTCTTATTCCTTGGTGGTAATAGTAAGAGACGATAATGGCGTCGCGACCATTGGCCCATGGAGGGCTCGGCGGGGGGGGGCGAACCCTTACGGCAATTCGGTTACAAGATAACACGCTTGATCAAGAGGCTTGCGGATTCATAGATGAGATTATGAAACAGAGTGAAATTATAAGATTACTTTGTCGATGGCGTACGCTCGTCGCCCAAAAAAGCAAGTACACGACGGTGCACGACACAAAAGATCAGCAACTAGAACGAATAGATTTCATCGGCGGAAGCCAGACGCAGATAAGAATACATATGAAAGATAAGTCGCGCATCTCGTATTATATAATCCGCCAATTAACAAATAGGGTTACCTAAGGAGGTATCCCGCTAGCTCACTAACCCGCTAGTGCTTCCGCTCTTACATGCGTTGAGCCGCTTGCTTACCTTAGGTACCTACATATGTACATGTAAATCGGGAATGGGTACCTAAAGATGTACAGTACCTATGTACCTAAGGTATGAGTGAACAAGCAGCTACATGTATGATACCTAAGCTGTATACTTGGGTATATCTCTCAATACATGTCATAGCAAAAAGTAACATATCTCATTTAGTTTTGATACTTTCTTAAACAATTGATAAGGAGGAATGCAATTTGAATATCAAAAAGCAAATAACAGATACGTATATTAAGAGGCACCTAAGGTACTAAACTTTGGAGAATTTACATTTCTTCAATACTCGTTATTATAGATATTGTTGCTATTATCAATAGCATTGCTTTTTATAAGAACCATATGCAAATAGCGTTCTTTGCCTTCCTAAAAAGTTATAGCATGCTTGGTGCCAAGATGTCACTCCAGTTCTATTGAATCCTACGTCTTTACAATACATATATATCATGTGAATTTTCCCCTGTAACCAGGATATAAACCATTGTACATAGTTGCTACTACGGTAGGTGAGGCAAAGACGATAGGAACCCGGTGCGACGGTTACATATACCTATCCTAAATTTAGTCTACGCAATCCAAAACAATCAACTTAAAGGTTCGTATACTAACTAGCCTGAAATATCATATCATCAATATCTGTTCATCGGCGATGTCGGATACGATGCAAGGACGTCTAATACTAGAAATTCCGATGAATCCGGGGCTTTGTTCTTGTTAGATGATATAATATACGAATAAGCATTCGATTTCTAAAGCGAAGCTTTAGGTACCGCACCTAACCTATGCAAGAAGCCGAGTGCGCAGAATAAAAAAAACACAAGTTCAAATTTTGCAAAATATACCATAAATCTTTAACACGGAAGAAAATATTCGTAATAAGCTCCAAACTGACAAGGTTCAATGTCCAACTATAAACTTCATCCTTAAATTCAAGGCCATACGACATAGAATTGCTTTACCCGCAAAGATAGGGCTGTTGGCTCCAACCTAAAATACCTACCTACATTACATTGTAACTAGGATTAGTTCGAAGTATGGTGCTCTTTATACTAGGTATTTACCTATACAAGATCAAACACTCGAAATAGAAACCTATTTGCGAGGAGATTGTCCAACGTTGATGTGAAGTTTGACACAAACAATTCAATAACACTAGGTTAAGTCCTTGAGTTGGATATGCTACTGAAGCTTTCAAAGACTATTTTATTCCCATAGGTGCAAAAGTGCGGGGCATACCCCCTAAGGCTAGTGAGGACTCAGCACTTACTCCTTTACCTAAAGTCGTCGTGGTACCGGAACTTACCGATGGGTTATTCGGGATTAAATTGTGTTATTATCGACATGGTCAGTCCATGTAGAATAAACAAAGGGAGACTTGGCTAAGGCGTTGACTACCTACGTTACCTTAGATGGAAATGAAGTCTGTAAACTAACCTATTGAAAAGATTTCCGCATCGGTCAGCGGCCGGACCGGGCTCGGTTACTGGAAAATCCCACGGGATCCTAAGCAGTGACTGGGGATTCGTCAATGTACGATTTGTTTGCCTTAGTGGAAAGTTTTGGCAACAATTACTGCGCCGTAATTCAGAGGCCCTCGTGGATTATGCTCCTTACCTACTACACGTAGTTAGGTAAGTGCAAGGAAGTGCGATGTTACAATATATTACAATATGAGGTTCTAGAAGGCTGTCACAAACGGAACCGCAATGGCAGATATTCAGCTGAAATATAAATACGAGAGAGGGAAGGCAACAATTAAAGTAGCTACGACTTCACTCCTAACATATCCTACAGCTCGTCTCTTCAAGTCCAAAAAGTCGTATTAAATCATTCAAGACACTATGCACAAGAATATCCTTCTTTTCTCTGCCTTCGCCCTCCAGGCTTCGGCCTTGAATGAGACTATCTCAGGCTACAAATACTTCTTATCCGGTCCCAAATTAGCCCAGACGAAGACTGAGTACGAGCATGCCGCCGCAGAAAAGGCCCTATCTTTAGTTGAGGCGCGTCTAGATGGGTCCCTCCCTGCTCTCCCCGAGGACAGCGTTGCCGCCATTCTGAAGCTCAAACAAGATATCGGTACCGATGGACTGAAGGTGCTGCTAGCGCCCGATCAGGACGATGCCGACAAGTTCTGGCATGGCGTGATCAACAGGTCAGGCGACGGATGGGTACCTGCCGATGCGCGGGGCGTCGTTTTTCTACCCAACGTTTCGTTTGCGCAGTTCGCGGCTTGGTACGCGTCGCCGAACGCAGATGCTGCCAACTTGGCCGCCAACCCCGAGCATTATGCAAAGGACACCGTGACGATCCCTACCGGTCTGTCATCCGCGATTCTAGAGGGCTGGGGAGGCGTGACCACCAACTTCACCATTCCCAACTTCAACGCGCCAGACCGAGCCAAAGACCCATTCTTACGGGAATTGCCTGACTTCCCCGTCCAACAAGCCGGCGACAAGGTCCTGCGTGACGGAACCAGGTTCGGTGCTCTACACATCTCGCTCCGTCCCGTGAAGGGCGCGGACTATGGTCAACCGATTGACGGCTTCGAGGTGTACTCGACTGTGTGGTACCAGGACGGTGCTGAGGATGACCACTTAGAGCAGGAGCGCCGCCATATGGTCATTGAGATTGTCAATTTGACCCTCCAGGCCCAGAAAGATATCGAGAGCGGCAAGTTCTCTGCTTAGTTGAAGCGAGAAGCTTTTGAGCGATGTATATATATCTCTTACCAGTTCAAGGAACGGACGTTTATACCAAGATGGGACTTCTTAGGTTCAAAATCGAAGGGCAGGCCTAAGGTAAGGGCCTAAAAAGATCTGTCCAACTTAGTTAGTATTAATAATAAATAAAGCCTAAAATAACTATTCAAACCAATGTGCCATGTCTCATTTACAATAGATGAATTGGGCAACCTTCGAACATTCTCAATACTTATGCTTATCACTTCCTACTTCAACTATCTATCGTTGTTAAGTATGAATGAGTAGGTAATGATTGAAACTCAAGTTCGGAACCTCAGAACCACTCATATTTTACGTGTTTAGTTCCTGTCAGGATATATCTGGCGGGACTTGGAGGGAAGAAATAGGGGCTATATACAATGTACCGCGCGCTAGATTCTGTCGCGTTAGGCTTGTAGTCCAAGACGTACTGTATATTATAAAATGGCATTCTAGATTTCCTAGCAAAATAATCTCGTTAGTCTACTATATAACGGATAAGTTATTTATTTGGGAACTGGTTTGCTTGATCTCCGGACTGTATCATCATACTATAGGCCTACCCTACTCGGATAAAATATGATAAACCTTTAATAAACTAGACCCTTCGTTACCTTATGGTGTCATAGTGCTTCCGCTGACCCCACGTCCTCTCTTCTTGAGCCTTGGGGTAAGCAAGGATTATGCATAAATGACCGATGAAACTTATCATACATATAGAAGTAAGATAGTAGAGTCAAGTGAGAATCTTATATAGTCGTGCATGTGCACAATCTCATAAAATAATCATAGCTAAAATGGGATATCCAGACCGATTTAATTATCGCATTGAAGCGCCTCGGCTTGTTTCGGTGGTCGTACCTCGGCTTATTTTCAGCTCGGATTGCTGCTGCCCATCTTATGCTTCACTAGGACTAATAATTCGATGTTTGAACACCAATATTCTTCGATATCTTATCAGTTGTTGCCGCAAATACGTCATAAAGAACTTGCGCCAGTATAGGTCCTTCCTGGTGTATGTACGAATAGAATTCCATACGAAGGTCCGGGCCAAAAGTCTTGCACATCTGGTCTTGGCAAGCCATGTGTAAGTAAAAAAAGGACCGCACGGTATTACTTCAGCTATAGTGGCTAATATCGCTATAAATATAGTGGTAAGCCACCTAAATTTAGCGTATGGGCCACTATCCAAATTTCAGCTTAGCAGGTAGCTGATACAGTGTTAATAGAAAGGGATGACGTTTGAATACGGTGCTAGGGTCCTCCACATGTGCAAGACTTTTGGCCCGGACCTTCGTACTTCGTTCGGTTTCTCGAGGTTGCCCCTCACAAGGTTCTCACTTGGTTTAGCTCCGACCTAAATTCCCTGAACCGGTTCGCTGGAAAGATCTAGCCAACTAAGGCAGGCGGTGAGTTATGCGTTAGATCCTCGATAGATGGATATAATTACAAGCTCAAATATCCATGCAAGATCCCGCGTTGTGGGGGTCATATATGCAATATACCGAGTAGTTTCAGGGTTTTTAACCAATCAGACGCCAGTAAGAGTACCTAATCCATTAAGGTATTTAGTCCCCCCTTTATTTAATATAGTATACCGAGTAGCAGGGGTGACTTTTACATAGTATTCTGCCAGTCTCGTGCGTCACTCACTATTTATTGGCAGGTGCCACAGGTTTTTTGCTCCTCTCAAGCGCCTCGGTCTGTCCGGTCTTGATTCTAGGTAATATTTTCGATTCTTTGCTGTCACATGAGTCTGTAAGACATCATCTGCCCGTTACGACCTTACCGAGCTGATATTTAAAAGCTCGAATGCGCCTCTGAACTTACACAGCTTTCAATTCTCGTCTGTATGAAAATACTCTATCTATTAAGATACCCATTTGCTTCCTCCTTCAGATTTCCTGTCTACGCTCGAGTCTCGCAGAAGTCCTTCCCGTCGTATAATTCTACTAGACGCTTCTCACATTTCTCCACCATGGCACCGGGACTCTTAAGCGCCAATAGCACCAGAAAGCACAAGGTGACCGTGATTGGTTCTGGAAATTGGTGAGTTTATCTGTAGTCTGTTCTCTCGTACCTGAGGATACTAATTACAATGTGAAAAGGGGTTCAACAATTTCCAAGATCGTTTCTGAGAACACGAAAGAACACCCTGATTTATTTGAGGAGGAGGTTCAGATGTGGGTGTATGAAGAGGACGTGGAATACGAGGGCAAGACCCAAAAGCTTACATCCGTTATCAACACACACCACGAGAACATCAAATATCTCCCAAACATCAAGCTCCCCACGAACCTCGTTGCGAACCCCTCCCTCGAGGATGCCGTCAACAATTCGTCTATTCTAATTTTTAATCTGCCTCACCAATTCATCCACAGAATCTGTGGACAGCTCAAGGGGAAAATCTTACCGTTCGCTCGAGGAATATCCTGCATTAAAGGTGTTAATGTTACGGACGAGGGTATATCGTTGTTCTCGGAATGGATTGGCGAGGGTCTTGGTATTTACTGCGGCGCCTTGTCAGGCGCGAACATCGCATCTGAAATCGCGGCCGAGAAATGGTCTGAGACTACGATTGCGTATGATCCGCCACCCATGGACAGCTCGCGCAACCCGTCTCGAAACGCAACGCCTCGCTCCGGGACTCCAAACCGCAACTCACCACGAGCATCTGCTGACGAGCTAAGCATCACCCCCTTGGCCGATACGCAGCACCGAGATGTCAGGGGTAGGATCAGCACAACTAAGCTGACTCCAGTCCCGCCCGAGTACCACCCTCTGGACCATGACACTTTCAAGACGCTTTTCCACCGCCCCTATTTCCACGTACGCATGGTTTCGGATGTTGCAGGTGTTTCTCTCGGCGGTGCTTTGAAGAATATTGTCGCTTTAGCCGCAGGGTTCGTTGACGGCCGGGGCTGGGGTGACAACGCTAAGGCGGCTATCATGCGCGTGGGACTACTCGAGATGGTCAAATTCGGCCACGAGTTCTTTGGCGAAACCATCTCAACCGGCACATTCACCGAAGAGAGTGCCGGTGTAGCAGACTTGATCACGAGTTGCAGCGGTGGCCGAAACTTCCGATGTGCCAAGAAGGCTGTCGAAAAGGGCATCTCTGTCCAGGAGGTAGAGCAGGCGGAGCTAAACGGCCAGAAGTTGCAAGGTACCAGCACGGCCGCCGAGGTGAACTCGTTCCTAAAGCAACGAGGCCTCGAGCAGGACTACCCGTTATTCACTGCTGTCCATAATATCCTCGAGGGACGACATACTGTTGACGACATCCCCAACCTTGTTGCGAGAACTTAGACATCATCTCGGCATGGCTAAAGTTAATTGTAAGCAACTTAGACAGTTCCTAATAGAATAATACGATGAACCGATGGGGAAAGCGTAACGGGAAATGCTTGGACAGGGCAGTGGTCAATTGGTTAGGCTGCATTATTTGTGTATTTATGATTGGGTGCGGTAGAAATATTAGAAATAGGCTAGAAGGACATTTCAGCATGATATGATATCCCCACAACATTATTGGATTCGTCACATAAATTGATTGCCATCCTCGTAGTGCAACACCGCTTATGCTACCAATCCCCCAGCAAAGCATTTTTCTCGCTCCCCCACGCTTGTGTACGTATTCTGCTCGTGCTACCCGAGTCATCTTCCTCTTGTATCGTCCGCTCCCCGTCCCCAAACAGAGGTTTGAATACATAATCGTAGACTTTCCACATCAGATTGCGCTGGATAGTTGTTGCTGCCTCCAACCACTTTGGTATCCCGCTGTCTTTATCAGCCAGCAGGTAACCAAGTAGCGCCAACAGCGCGAATGATGGTACCACTGTAAATAGGAATAACCAACGTCCAATATCTTGCCGCCACGTCGTGATGGTATACGCCTCCAGACGCGCAAGGTACGTCTGATAGTCATCCGGTAGATAATGCTCGCGGGCGCCGTCACGGATCATACGTAAATACCGCGGGCTCGGCTGCGCATAGCCCGGTGTTCGTTGAACGGGTAATAATAGCTTTTGCCACCAGCGCTTCTTATCGTCGCCGCCGTCGCCGCCGTCGTCGCCGTCGGGAGGGTCGAAGGAGGGCAGTTGTGGCGCATATAGGGTGCGCGCTAAGAACGGTCTCGGTAACTCGGGAATAGGGGGCTTCTCGGGGACGTGGAAGGGCGGTGGCAGCGCCAGACACGGTGTTAGGATTTCTTCGTAGGCAGTGCCCTCCGTATGTATGATCCGGGTGTAGTCCTCGCGCGTGACCTCGTAGACCACGCCGTAGAGCCCCTTAGACCAAGACGGGCTGTGGTCCGGAGGGAGCGAGGGGAGTAGTGTTCCCGGAAGCCTTTCCTCTTCTTCTACTAGTTCGTCTTGCCGGTTGGATATTGCGTTGGATGGGGGAGGAAATGGAGGTCTCGGCGGATCACCCGGGATAGGCGGCATAGGGATCTTGCGCGGCGACACGTTCGCAAAGCATGGCTCCCAGTACGCCAGCGCCGGCAGGTCGAAAGCCAGATCGAAAGTAGGCACCGATACGTTGATCATGCTTAGCGGTCGGATGTGGCGCATGCCGAGGAAGGTCTCGGCGGAGAGGTTGGAGCCGTAGGCGAGGTATAGGACGGTCGGCGCGGATGAGGCATCGTCGGGAGAGTCGGGAGAGGCGAGGGCAAGACGTTCGGGAGATGTTCGTGGGATGCTTGAGAGAGGAGGGTAGGATTTGGGCTGAGGCACACGGCGAGGCTTGATAGAGTTGTAGATCCGGTGGATTAGAGTGTGCGCTTGTTGGGACGGATCGAGCCGGTGGCTAGGGTCTAAGAGGCCATCCTCGATAGTATCCGAGCGTATGGTCATGGCTGGCTGTGAGGAAGCAATATAGAGAAATTCTAGTTCAAGAATACGTAACTACGTCAGGGAAATGTAAAGTGTGAGATATATGATCTTTTCTTAGGGTGATGTAGATTCCGAGGATCTTGAGGGAGAATACGGAATATTATCAAGATAGTCGCGATAGGGACAGTAGAAATGACAGGGATTGAGATACCTTTGAGATACCTTGTACATACATACGCAGTACTCGGCCTGTAAGCTCTACGAATCCAGATAAATGATTACCCAATTAGGCAATCAAGGTACTTTTGGTAGGTATCGAGCCACAATTCTTCACTCCTAATAATTTGAAGTATAAGTACTCGCGCAAGTTTACGGCTACTTAGCAGCATATTGTCGTCTAGGTAGGTATATCATCATATTTCTCACCGTCACAAAATCTCCGTCACATAGAGAGTTGGGTACCTGCATGTACTTTGGTTAAAGGTTGGGAGACTTTCGGCTGGCAGCATGACTGGACTATCCAAAACAAACAGGCCATCGTTTGGTTTGTCCTGAAAACTTGGCAACCTACTCTCAATAGCAGAGTCTGATATTGCTTTGTCGATGGCGATAAGAATTACTTCGTTCGTCAAACTTCATTCTAGTATTAGAACACCACCATCCCAGAATGGCGGCTCTACATTCATCGAATCTCTCCCACACAACCGAGTGTGTCAAGCGAGGGCCGAATAATACCTACTCTAGAATTAAATAGGCACGGTCTTGTTGATAAATGTGATCTATCAAGATCGATTCATCCCGAAGCTTGTCCCGACCTGTCGGTCCGTCGTTGATCGCTATGAATTATATTCCAAGAATGGAATGTGGACCTACCATTCTACGCTTGTGATTCGCTCACCATACGGGGATAGAGAATATGACCATGAGCTCGCGATATAGAGGCTGAGCCGCTTATACAAGTCGGCTTACGTGGTACGTTCCCTTGCTTCTTAAATCATAGCAAAAATATATGCGGCTGAAGTCGCCGTCCTATAATCGCGATTCATTATACCTTTACATAGTAGGATCAGCCCCGGCTGCCTCTTACCTGAGAATGGCAATTTCAGTGGCGTTATGTAAGTCTCAGGGGTGATTTCGATAGCTTAACAATCTAATGCAACTTTAGACATCGTATTTTCTTTTTTTTTTCCCCATCTTTTAACTTCGTCTTGCTTATTTTTCTTTCCCTAAGACGTTACCGAGCGAGCCGGCGGAAATTACACTACCAGGGTCTTGGACACATCAGCTCGGCGACTCCATCATATTTTGCTACGCTCGTGATTCCCGACTACGACACGATCAACGAGGCATCAAATCAATGCATCACGATCATGTAAGTGGTCAGCAATGGAGGGCCGTCCCGTCCAACGGCATTCGCTCGCCTATCAACCCTCATTACTTGGCACATAACGGCGCAGAGGCCCGTTTAAGTCTCCGCCAGGACAATGATTGGTCAACTCTGCAATATTTGGCTGTAGCACAGCGTAGATCGATGCTATTTTAGGTACTTTTATACGTTTTGGGCACTCATGCTTCTAGAGACAAGCTGAATGAGCCTCATTACTTATAAAATATAGAAAGTGTTTCAGTATCGTGGCTTAAGGAGTCTTGTGGTTTAGCGGCTTTGGATTTTCTTTTACGTTGTGGTTTTATGTTTTGATATCGTATGATTGTCTGCGCTTAGTTGGGCCGGAAAAACGGAGCAGCTCACGATATGGCATCATTCTTTGGCGCACTACTGCGACTACTCTTCAAGAGGAGGCAGCAAGAAGGTCATATAGATGAGGAGCAGGGAGCACAAAATGCCGCCTCCGCGGCAGGTGTCGGCTCAACTCCTATAGCCTCGACGTTGGGGACCAACTCAAATATTCTCCCTCACACTCATCAAAGCTACCTTGTACCCGAGGACAACCGTCTTACCCTCTTCCGCCTTATGGTGGGCATTAGTACTTCGCCGTATCTCGGCTACAGCGAATCGAGCCCCGTGGGAACCCGCCCGGCCGCCAATATCGGCATATACGCGCGCGTCGTACACTCAGAACAGAAGTCTAAGGACCGTTACAAAGTATTTTCAATCCTTATCAACGCGTGTTACTTCTTCCAGATTGTGGTGGCAGCATCGATCACGGCTATGGGCGCAGCAGGAGTTAGCCACGGGGCGGTCACGGCCTTCGGCGCCATCAACACAATCATCGCTGGACTCTTGACATTCCTAAGGGGCAGCGGACTGCCGGGACGTCTCAAATACTATGGGAACGAATGGAAAAAGATACGCGAATTTATCGAACAGCGCGAGCGTGACTTCTCCCGCACGGGCTGTACGCTTGACGTTTACGAAGTTGTCGCAGCCATAGACCGAATGTATAATCACACCAAGCAAGAAATCGAGATGAATACACCGGATAGTTACACATCGGTGACAAGGAATGTGCGAAATTTCAGAGACAGTAGCGATAATATTGTGGATATCGCGAAGATGGACGGTTTAGCGCACAAACTGGCAGCGAATTTGGAGAGCAAGGCGCAGGATGTTACGAGTCACGTTCGCGATCAAGGAAGGCAGATGCAAGAGGCTGCCAGTAGGGAAGTCGAGAGCCATGCGGCGTATCTAGATCGCGAGGTGGCGGAGCGGCGCGCACAGGCAGTTCGAGCAGTCGATGAAAGCCAACGTGAGATATCGAACCAGAGGGATCGGATAGAACAGGCTGGAGCACAAGTCGTGAGGGACGTGGACGAGACGCAGAGGACGGCGGTAGGCGAAATGAGAGCAGCGGCATCTGCTCAGATGCAGAGAGTTGCCGACAAAATAGGCCACCATCATGATTCAAGACACGAAGAAGATGAGAAGTAATGCGGGTCGAGGGAAATGAATAGCTAAGATATTTTAATGCTCTGAAATATCCCGTACTTTAGATTGTACATATTATCGAAACAAGTCTGCATAACATTGTAACTAACGCAATACAATTCTCACCGATGATAATAGGTACCTAAATGATGCCCTCCACGCCCCCATATATCGACCCGCACGTACATATCTCTCAGCCCAATCTCCTAGATATATCCCGAGTAAGTGAACTTGGCAAAGACACGGTTGGGGTTTTCACGTATTCTTTAAGCATTACACAAGGTTGGCATTATCTGTGCGGTACATCGCTTAGATACTTAGAGTTATATCTCAGGTAAAAGGAGATGAGTATAGTTTTTTTATTTAATCAGTATGCGCCATTACAGTTTACAAGTAAAGAGTTGTCTTATCAAGTTATAGGATAGCCTTAAGTTAAGCTATAAGCTAAAAGCTTTATAGTTTATTAATAGCTACTATGTTATTGAAGCTTAACGTCGCTGAGTCGAACTCTATCCTATAAACAAGTAGAGGAACTAAACATTACCGGGGGAACCACGAATAGCACGAGGCCCAGGCGATGAAGAAGACTACAAGGTTTCTTCAAGGTTATCAACAAGTGTAGTATGTGCGAACCAGTCCTGCAAATATATAATAGGGGCATATGATCAAGATATTTCCCAATCTCGTACTTCATATAAGTGCATCAATATAATCGCTACCATACCACGAATCACCCTTCATTTCATCATAGTTTCCACACATCATAGATCCAACCAAAGCTAGTTCAAGCACATCTACGAATACCATAACTCCAAAAATGGCCGAAGAACCATCGACCCGCGCTAAATACAGAAAATATTTCCAGTCCACATCGCAACTATCCTCTTTTAGCGAGCCCCCCGACCAACCCAACTCTGGGTATTTTGACTGCATCGAATCATTCGATTCACGCAGCCCAAGCAGCGGTCATTATCCGTACTGGGGACGCGAAAGAGACCGCTATCACTGGCAAGAAGCGCTCGTCAAGAGACTCGTACACGCCAAATATACGCGTCTGTATCAGACCCAGCACCCCTTACTCTCTTATTTCCGACAGCTTGCCAGGGCCGAGGAACTCGAGCTCTGGTATCACAAGAGGGAGTTGAAAAAGGCGCAGGAGAAGAACAAGCGCCGGCGGAACAACCCATGAAATATACAGGATATATGGATATATGGTGGCTTTAATATAGGAAATTTGGATCCGGGAAACCTCGCCGTCGGAGAGGATATCTGGCAAAGTGATAGAAGCATCATAAATTGGGTTGTTAATAGACGAAAGTGTTATTAAACATTACCTAGACTTGGACAAAGGTCGACACTGGTTCTGTTATAAAAGGATCATAGAGCTTATAATATTATTGATCTAAGTTAATATACTAGGGACTCTTGGTTTCAATGATTAAGCATTCTATGAACTACCCATAGAGGAAGAGGTCTGCATGAGCACCTAGGTAGTTTCTTCTATGATTGGTTCTGTGTACGATATTCGTTTTTACGTGTCGCATCTTAAAGACAAAGAAACACTCTAATTTACCATAGCAAATACAAAATGAACATCACTCGGCGAAATACTCGACCATATCTTTATAACTTATATCGGAATGAAGTTTAGAGTCTATTCCATATTAATATGACTTTTGGTATTTTCCACTTAATACATCTCGAGGGAATCTTTTATAAAGGGGATTCCTTTGTCAGGCATTTATTTTGACCCCATTCTGCCGCGCCGTGTTGGCCATTTTGCATATGTTACGATGCATGTAGATCATGCGACATCATATTATTTTCACCCCTAGCACATAACCCAACAAGATGCGGCTGCAATGGCCCAGAATATTTGCCCACACCTCGGACAGCCAGGGTCGTTAGTTAATACCTCATAGCACGTATTCGACATTATGCTTCTCCCAGAGTTACCTGCGCCGCTTCGCTGATGCTATCTCCGTTAATCTATAACATGCATATAGTAATGTATCTCGAAATCAATCGCCGTGGACTAAGGCGTTAACAAGTTTCTGCGAATCGTAGAGTAGCTTGCCGAGTATTGCGGTTTGCCTTGGCGATGACCTAACCGGTATCACCGACTTAGTCGTCTTTCTTGTGTACGCTGCGAAGATTATACCGCGATTCGCCGTTCCACCTCGTGCTAGATGCTTCTTTCCGATAGCATTCTGGGTTGTTGAGGAACAGTTGGTATAAAAAGAGCATGCCCACCCACGAGATATTATCTCAGGGGATGCGAGCTCATCACGATACTCATTCCAGCCCCTGCACCCAAGCATTTTCCTATGGAACTCGGCGTGAATTCGAAAAGGTGACCCAAATTCACTTAGGCCGTAAGCAGCAAGTATCTGGCCAGTCATTTCCAATTTTGGATGTGCAACGACAGCACACTGAGTGGTGGCATCATCTACGTTCTGTGCGTTGTGTTGACTATGGGAAGGAGTAGATTGATGAGGATTCGAGCCGTCATCTTTGTCTTTCGGCCAGAGATTGACGACATACACCAAGTCGAAGTTGTATGCTTTTGCGATTTTAGCAGCCCACATTGCCCCTGAAGTTCCCGATGAAGTAGTGGGTGAATAAGTCAATGAGAGAAATTGAGAGTCAGTAGGTGTACGGGGCGGGGTGAGTTCTCCAGATACAAGATTGATGGCGGTGGTAGGCGCGATCGGCACATGTCGAGTGGAACGGCTGCTGCCGTTAGGAGTCTTTGGTGAGAACTTCGGAGGTGGTGTTGGCGGTATATCGGCTTCTGGCATGGGAGTAGCGGGTAGACTCTCTGCAACATCTTCGTCATCGAGAGCATAGAAGTCATCAAGTGACGGCTCTCTGATATCGCAACCATTCGTTGAATATCTAGTGATAGTTGATAGCGAAGCTAAACTTGTGGATTTTCGCACGAGTTGCGGTTGAGAAATAAATGTAATTTCACCCTGGGCATTATAGATCAACGGTGGATCCTGGATTCTGGTTCCCCATGATTCTCGAACGGCCTGTACACGAGTCGAAATTTCCGTGCTGCGCCGAGTGTTAGAGTCGGATGACGGTCGCGGCGTAAATTCAATAGGTGAAGATAAGCCTTTAATCGACGTTGATCCATGGATCGTGGTTTGCTCATACTCTTCCTCCCCGTCTGATGCGGGTGGGGAATCGGGAAGATGTGCGGAAATCGGATATAGCACATGATTACTCGTTGAAATCGTTAAATCCTGGGCCAAAGCTTCGTTTAGTCTTCGGGATGACTTTCTGGGCGGTATAGTAATTAAGCCTCTCCTCGTCCTAGGAGAAGGAGGAGAAGGAGGAGAAGGAGGAGAAGATGATGTAGGAGATAGTCTCGAGGCTAATGATTCTATGTCATGGTTGGAGACTCTAGCTAGGCGATTGTCAATAGAGTCAATAGAAGTATCTAGACCGAGATTATTGAATAGTGAAGATAAACGCCGGGGACACCAATCTAGTATGTTCTCCGCTTGGAACTCTTGGATAGTGTGCTCTCGTGTCGATCCTTCGGCAGTGCCGTCCATGGGAAAGGCTTCCGTATTTTCGTTCTTGATAGTGTTATCCGGAAATTTAAAACGGGAAAACATCTCCATGCCGCTTGGACCCTCATCTTCGACTAGCAGTGAGATTAATCGGATTGGGTCGCTAGGATGATGCCGGTGATTGGGAACGATGCTGATCGAAGATCGTCTTTTCAAACTACCATGCGGGTCGGGCAGACTTTGGGAGCGCTCTTTAACTATTTTAGACCACGGAACTGGTTCTTCCCGAGGTTTCATATGTGTTGATGTTGGGTGCATGAAAGATGGTGATGGGAAATGGGGACCACTGAGCGATTGCGTTGGAGTTGAGACAATTGAGAGGTCTTTAGTTCTTGATCCTCTCTCCTTATCCCTCTTCCTTGAAGTGCCAAAAAACCTCTCTAGCTTCTCTAGCCCGTTGACCATCCTGTCCACCACTTTGGAAGCTGTTGGTGGTTCTGGTTTTGCCATCATGTTAGTTTGTGCACGGTAGGTATTTGAGATCTAAGAAAATCGCATATAGCATCATAATGAAGTAGGATCAGAAAGTAATTGTACCTAATGCTTGATATTCCAAGCGAAGGAATAGCCAGTAGAATAAAGTGGTTGCTTATTCACAAGTGTGATCTTATTCGGACGAGGTCGATGAAAAATCGTGAGTCAGTATGTGATTGACGAGCCTGACTGTATGGGTACGTGGATGTGTCCAGTCCTGAAGAGGACGATTGGAGGCTCCTAGCGAGTGAATAATGTAAGAGGGCAATTCGTCACGAATTGGGGCGTAGACCAGATGGCCTTGAGGGTGTCACGAGTAGGAAATAATAGAGTACATCTCATCTCGAGGTCCGCCGCACCGGCATTACACGACAGATAGGCCGAGGGTTGGTGTTAGAGGGCACAGCAGACTGGCTCAAGGAATACCGAATAAATTTGAGGGTTGAAGTATAGCAGACAAGATGGGATAAGTAGATGTTGTGTGGCTAGGGTGTTTCTGGTGCTGGGGGCTTCCTTTTGACACCAAAATCTACCTACGCATGAGAGAACTTGGCGAACTGGCATGTCTTAACCACGGCTGGGGTAATGAATACAAGGGATAATAATGGAAAACGGGACTAGATCATAGTGGTGTCTGGGGCGGTTCAAGGCTGGTGAAGTTCAATTTCGGCCTATGTGCAGACACACTTCTTGATGAGGTGAGCTCAGATAGTGACGGCATAATACAAATGAAGTGATACGATGAAAAGGAATGAACTAACCAATTGTTATTAACTGCTAGTAGGTGTATTTATGATTGGACATGAGAATGTTTGACCACTAGACCAGGTACCTAACTGAGTATGCGAATTGACCGGGATTGAGATGAATAAATTAGACGGAGTAGTTGTAGTTGTAGTTGGTAGCTGTGATAGATCGCGTACGCGTGTGTGGTCTTCAGCTTGGCGGGTAGCTGGGTCATGCAATCGATTTTGTGGTGCCGGACGATGCACGATACAGGTATGGACTTTAGAATCTCATTTCATCTAAAGCTTCGCGCGGTGATGGGGGCTGCGATGGGGGCTGCGATGTGGAAAAAACCAACCAGATGTTTGATAGATACAAGGTAGCCACGACGCCATTGGCTGTGATGGCTGGTAGATGACCGGTTTGGGAATGAGGACTGGTTGGCTGGGGGGCCAGGGGTTTCTCAGCTGTTCCAAACAAAGCACGAAAAAAACTAAAATAAAATACCTAAAAAGTTCCTCTCAAGTTCATTCTCGGAGAAGGTAGTTACGACCAAGTCTGATGGCCGTATATTACATTGTACATGTAGTATGTGAGACTTGTCCCCCTTTCCCAAAGTTGAATCTAGGAAGTCGTGGGGTACATGAATACATTGAATACTAAGGGAGGGAGGACCCGAGCATCTCGAGTCTTCCGAGTACAACAGCCTTGTACACGGGGTTCCCGGTTTCACTCAATTCAATGGTAGGTACTTGGCTATTACTCTCGCAACGGTTTTGACGGAGCTATTAACCAGCAATGGTGGGTTGTGTAAGACAACACAAGCCACTCGAGCCGGGGATAAGCCAACCCCCCTTATCCCTTCTTAAAAAGAAAGACAAATTCTGGTCATGAAATTCGGAACACTACCGAGAGAGTTGCATCGAATTCGACAGGCCTCGGCTACCATGATGCAATGAGCGGTATGAAGAGCCAGGGGTGCTCCCATGGTTCCACAACAGACGCAGAATCCCTTTCCTTTGAAGGACTTAGAACATAAGTGCCAAAGGGAAAGGTTGGCAGTGACTTCCTAACTCCTAGTGTAAGGGAGTTTACAAACTATATGCAGGTACTATTGACTAGCGGTATAAAAGCAAGAGGTCCGATATGAATACATATTCCGATGTACCTAATCCTAATAGGATGGTTCCTTTGAAGTTGAAGCTGATAGGACAGGTACGAAGTACGAATTCAGTATCTGGGTCTAGCAGAAAGTCAATCTTGGCAATGAAACCCGCTAAACTTAATTGGATGTATTAGCGTAACTGCGGCAGTAATAGCACAACTGCAAGCCTTACCTAACTTCTCTCGTAATTGCATCTACATCATTCTTCTTGTCTTAGATTATCGAAGGTATTCGAACATGCGTGGAAGTTATAGATGAATTCTGGTTTGATGAAAACACTTCATTGAAAAGTCATTGGTTACCCCTCGGACCCAAACGTCCGTTGTTGTCTCAGTCAAGATCCGCCCCCTAAAAAAAGTACCCTACCTACGATGATCTCGTCTCATCCTCAATCACAACGTTCGAATATCGAATGTTTTCTTTTCTTTTTTTCACTTCAGCTTCTCTGCATATGTCGAAAGTTCTAGCTCTATTAGCTCAGATGAGATCTCTAATGCTTCTAGGCATATACACTGAGAAATCAGGGACTTGAGGAACCTTATCATGTCGGATCCCGCGCGTACGTAGTGAACAGGAGGTAGAGACTCCTGCAGAGTATGGCCTATCACTTCAACAACCTGATCCTCGTAAGAGGCTCTAAGCCGCTGATGATGGCACTATACTCTGACTTATAGATACGAATTCAACTGATCAATGATCGAGGAACAAAAGGCAATAAGATAGAATCGATATAGATTAAAGGCTAAAATAACTGCTAACTGAAGGATGATCTGGAATGAAGGTGTGTGTGTGTCTCTGATCAGAGAGATGAGATGATCTTAGGACCTTTATATGATCCGTGAGGCTAGAATTACGTAATAGAATACCCTATAGCCGGGCTTAGTAACACCACACTTGTTCAGTAGGCGGATAAGCTGTACCTCATAACATCGCAATCTTCCGCCTGGACCACGCAAGAAGCGCAAACTACAAGGAGATCAATTAAGCTCCGAGCCCTGCATCGGGAACTAGCAGATGTCTCTTTGGACCTTTTTTTTTTCTTCTCGTCCCATCTTATTGGAAGACCGAATGCGCCCGGCGAGGTAATCCTTGGCAGGACGCCATGCTTCGAAGACTAAGATCTGATAATGCTTGGAGAGTGTCCCAGCCGATCGGGTCACTTCAAGGCCAGCCGACATGCGTGAACTATCGTTTACTTTGTCACATGAAGATGGCTTAACGTTGGCCAATCATTCCTAGATCCTGTCAAAATTCATATTGCAACAAAGTCTTGGCATATGCAAGTCGGGGTTGATTCACAATAGCTTCATGGTCTACTGCATCATTAGAAACCATCGTCACTATAGCCGGCATCCGGTCCGTGTAGTCAGATCCGGGCGGTTTGCATGCTGCATTAAGCCTGGCATTGCTTGTTTAGATGGGCTGTCTTGTTAGCCAGAGTAGACATGTCATACTAGGCGTAATGTATCAGCTTTCAGGGGCATATGGTTCATTAGCCACAAGATTCTTAGATTCTCAGTCTACCTGATCAAACTAAGAATCTAGAGTGCTTCTATTCAGAAGGTTCCATTGGAAGGCCATACTCCATACTTCTGTCGTCAGCAGCAGCAGCAGCAGCAGTCTTGCTGAACGCCCCATCCGGATATGACTCTATTATCAATAGAGGCAGAGGCTTCGCCATAGCCTCTCTAGAACTAATTGTTCTAGCAAGACGCTAATACTGGCTAGTTCCTGGATGAAGGACAAGGAGCTCCCGCGGTTCTCACATGTCGTACGTCTCCGGGTTTTATGTCTCGGTGCACGGTAACCTGCGTTCACGAACCAATGAGTCTTGAATGGAAGCGAAAGGCCCGATCGGTTGACTTATTAATTTAGTGGACGGAGAGCCCAAGCTCCATATACCCTTATTACCCCCATGTTAGGTTTCTCTCCAAATCTACACAGATGCATCATCCCGTGATAGTTGTGCTGAAGTACTACGATCTTAAAGTCGATTAGAGGTATCACCCCAATTTTGATCTTAGGTGTTCAATTTTCGGGTTCAAGATTGACTATCATGACGAAAAACTTCTTCAGTGGTCAGTTACATATACATTCTAAGATCCTACTGACTAGAATCCCAGATTCTTCTCTCCTTCTCCCCTTCTCCCACATCCTCTAACCCTTCTCGCGTCACCAACTATACATCCCATCTAAATTACTTCGTCTTAATCAGAGCCGAGTCCGTGCATGCACTAAACATTCTTCCGAATAGGATGGTTTCGCAATCCACAGCAGAAGCATGTGGATGTTAATGAATCTCCGAAATTTGAAGCTGTCACGGAGTACACAAGCACGACAGATTGTAGAACTCGTCCAGGCTCCAAGTTTTGAAATTGAGTGCCACAAATCTCGAGGACTAGTTTCACTGTAACCCAATGTGTATTTCGCGGGAGCTTAAGCAGAAAGGCAAACTCTCTCGCCGGGACGTATTCTAATCACATGTGGTGGCGGCATTTCGATATTACATCTAAGTTGCGTTCAGTTTCTAGATATTATCATGTTCTCGCGCAATTGAGTACCGCAAGATTGTTGCACGGGGCCTGGCATTTGTCAGAGTTACAAAGCGTGATCACACTGCATTTTGATGCCTATCTGACATACAACTAACTGCTAGCTTGCATACGGCAAGATGCTGTATATCATGGTCACATGTACCGTCAGTTCTCTACTGAAACTAGACTATGTACGAGTAAATGTTTGGTTGAACCGTGCCAGATGACCTTATACGATATATGTCGGGCTAAATTCCAGGCCATACAAGCTTGACAGGTTTGGATGACCTGTCCTAATACAATGATGCCAATTACATATTATCTTCATATGAGAAAATCTTTTGGCTCATAGTCGTGGTTGTGCTGTCGTTCCTAGACTACGGCTGGTTCTAACTGCAACTAATTAGTATCGAGAGGGAATGAGATGGAACATGGTAGTCTATGATGTAGATATATACCTTTGCTTCTCAGTCGGTTCCCCGATCACGTTTAAGAATGCTGTGTGGATCTCATCTGTCAGATCACTAGCCTGTAAACTCCTACCCTTCTTCTCGAAGGCAAGGCGGGAGCATTCCTGTGGCCAAACGTTAGCGATGAAAGCTCGGGTTTCTTTCGTTTCTCAAAGTAACTTACCCTCGTGATAACCGCGCCTCCGAAGACAGCTAATCCCAGGGTCTCTCTCTCGCTAAGGTTGCCGCCGTGGTCCCAGATCTTTTCCAGGTACGCATTTCTCCAGGCCAGGAATGTAGCAATACTTCCCGTCAGCGTGTCTCCCTGGCCGCCACTTCTCTTATACCCGCCTTGCAAGTCGACTGTTAATGTTGTCTCGCCGTCACTAATGAAATCCTTGCCGCCCTTCTGCACGATCGTCACGCCGCCGAGCGCGCGCGATAGCGCTTCGACTTGGTCGGGCGAATCTGCCCCGCCGCTTGCCTCTTCGCCCTGAGACGACGAGTCCGCCTTGATGCCCTTCCACAACCGCCCGAACTCGGCTACATTCGGTGTGAGCACGACCTCCCGCCAGCCTATCACCAGCTCAGGCGTCTTGAGCACGATAGCTAGTGCGTCCGCGTCTAGTACTACGGGCATCTTGCGCTCGCGCGCTGCAGCAAGGACTTTAGCACAAGTCTCCTGCATCAACGGATCCCGTCCCAACCCCGGACCCACGACTAGCACGTGCAGCCGCGGGAGCATATCGATGATCTTGCTAGAGACTTGCGCGGGGTCCGTGTCGGCGGGGGAGGGGCTTGAGTTAGAGCCCGGGGGAGGAGACTGGCGCATGAGCGGGTGCACCATTAGGTTCGGGCTATACGTCTTGATCACGGCGGCGGCACCGGGTGTGCAAATGACGTGGGACTGAGAAGAACAAGTCTCGAGTTAGCTTGCCGTGATCTCTTAATCTTGAGCTATATACCAAGAAACTTGTACAACGTACCATATCGCAGCCCAAGCGAGCACTCGCCATAGCAGAGAAATACGGCGCGCCGGTATAATCCTCACTACCGCCAATAACAGCCACGCGGCCCAATTGACCTAGAGCAAAATATCCAAACGATCAGCATCAGATTCCTCAGCCATCCTCAGTTCCGTTATAGCTAGATAGCTAGCTAGCAACAAGAAACAATACCACATTCATCCCAATTCTCTAGCTCCGCCGCAGAAACATACCTTTATGGAACTTCTCCAGCATCGGCGGCACCAGCTGGCGCACCTTGCCCAGTACCTCGCGTGTGGCCGGCGACATCTTCTCGGCAGTCTCGGAACTCATGTCTTTTCTCTCTCTGCGGTGGGGGGAAACGCTCGACGAAACCGCTGTTCGTTCCGATTAAACCGCGGGGTTATAAGAATAGTAAGTATAGGTAGGCGGAATGCTAGATACAAGGACAATTACTGCTAAAACTCATGTTACTTAAAGAAGCAATGCAAATTATCAAAAATGAATGAAGTGAAAGGGGGAAAAAGGTTGCATGAGAATGTTAGTTTTGTCTGGGCGGTAGTTGGAGAATTATCGCATACCCAATGATCAAACCACGGCGTTCAATACGGAACCTATGATGTCACCAAGGGCCACTTCGGGACTCTAGCTTATTATAACCTTGGAATCTTTAGGTAGTCTTTACCTCTAGGATATTTTTTAGGAAACGCGAAGAATAGCTTAGCACAGGTTTCGGGACAAAGGAATCGAGTGCTCTTGAGTTTTTGGCTCTATTTTACAAGGGTTTGGAGTTGGAGTGATTCCACCTCTAACCCGTATCATCTCTAATCGGCACCCTTGAATAATGTACCTCTCTAAACGAAACATGATCCGCCATCAAAGGCCCTTAAGGTATAGATAGTCCCCCTCCCGCTTGACATATCATGATTCATTTAAGCGATAAAGCTCTTGGTGAAGCTGGAGACGACGTCCTTTAATCTTTGCTCGAGGTCCTTGCTGAGCGCACCCTCCTTGTCGATAGTAGCGAGCAGGTCAGACTCGTTCGTCTTCAGGTGAGCCAGGAAATCGGCCTCCCACTGTAGAACCTTGTTTACGGGTACTTGGTCGAGGTAACCGTTGACACCGGCGAAGATAAGGGGAACCATCTCGTTGACGGCCATAGGGGAGTATTGCTTCTGCTTGAGAAGCTCCGTCAACTGCACATAGATAAATTAGTTAAAATCCATAGCAAATACAAGTTCCAGGTACTTACACGTTCACCACGGTTGAGGGTCTGCTTGGTAGCGGCATCCAGATCGGAACCGAACTGGGCGAAAGCAGCAACTTCACGGTACTGGGCCAAGAAAAGCTTGAGTGAACCAGCGACTTGCTTCATGGCCTTAAGCTGGGCAGCGGAACCGACACGAGACACAGACAGACCGACGTTGATGGCAGGTCGAATACCCTTGTAGAAAAGTTCCGCCTCCAAGAAGATCTGGCCATCGGTAATGGAAATGACGTTGGTAGGGATGTAGGCAGAGACATCACCACCCTGGGTCTCAATGATGGGCAGAGCAGTCATGGAACCACCACCGAGCTTGTCGTTCATCTTGGCAGCACGCTCCAGCAGACGGGAGTGGAGGTAGAAAACGTCACCGGGGTAAGCCTCACGTCCGGGGGGACGACGAAGGAGAAGAGACATTTGACGGTAAGCGACGGCCTGCTTGGACAGATCGTCGTAGATAACGAGAGAGTGCTTGCCGTTGTCACGGAACCACTCGCCGATCGAGGCACCAGTGAAAGGAGCAATGTACTGTAGAGGAGCGGCCTCGGAAGCAGTAGCAGCGACGATAATAGAGTACTTCATGGCGTCGTTCTCCTCAAGGGTCTTAACGAGCTGGGCAACAGTAGATCGCTTCTGACCAACGGCGACGTAGATACAGTAGAGCTTCTTGGTCTCGTCGTTAGAGGCGTTCCATCGCTTCTGGTTGAGCATGGCATCGAGGGCGACGGCAGTCTTTCCGGTCTGACGATCACCAATGATCAACTCACGCTGACCACGACCAATGGGCACCATGGCATCGACGGACTTGAGGCCAGTCTGGACGGGCTGGTTGACGGATTGTCGGGGTAAGATACCAGGGGCCTTGAGCTGAGCACGGCGCTTCTCCTTGGTGTTGAGGGGGCCCTTGCCATCGATAGGGTTACCCAGAGCGTCGACAACACGTCCAAGTAGTTCCGGACCGACGGGGACATCGACCTAGGGATGGTTAAACCGTCTTGTTCGATCGATCGGTTTGCATCATTAAAATACTCACAATTTCTCCGGTACGCTTAACGGTTTCACCCTCCTTGACGAGACGGTCAGAACCAAAAAGCACAACACCAACTTGTCCAGCCTCCAAGTTCATGCACATTCCCTTCACACCGGAAGCGAACCTATTCGATAGTCAATTATATGCCTTCCACCTTATAGCTAGTGGGGAAACCTACTCCACAAGCTCTTCGGCCTGGACGTTGGCCATACCGTGCACACGCGCGATACCATCACTGCACGATCCTTAATTAGCAAACATGATTCAATTGGTCATATGCGCATATGAAAATATTCGGTAATGGCGACAAGAAGGTAGGAACCGCTCGGGGCCGTAGTTTGGTGATACGGGAATGAGTTGCGGCGGGTTGAAAAATCTCGCTTCAAAGGCTCCACACGTACCCGACGGAAAGGACACGACCGGTCTCAGCTAAGCTGAATTCCTCTGAGACACCACGAATTCTCTGCTCGAGAATGGAAGAGACCTCTGTGGGGGAAGCTTTCGCATCGGCATAGGATCGGGCCTGGATGTTGAAGGCGGCAGGTGCGGCATTTCGTGTCTGCAAAAAAAGCCCCGGTCAAAGTTAGCCGACAGTCCGAAAATGTCAACGTGGGTGAGCGAGTATGCCGCAGCTATATTGAGAAGCTTCAATAAGCTCTATAACCCCCCCAATATCCTTCATGAATATCATAAAAAGCTCTTATAAAGCTTCATATATGCTCCGAGGATGCATTGAGACCGGTCGCATATCCTTTCGGATGGAATTGGGATGGGGACTCGACAGGACCGGGATTTAACCTACCGCAACGACTCTACCCGAGGCAGAGATTGCGCTCACGGCGCGCGTGGACTGTCTGAGGGCGTTACGGAACATATTAGAGAGGGATATCTAGTCCTCCGCAATAAAAGGAAAAACCAATTGCAATCAGATTGCAATTGAGAGGGAGAGGAGATTAAGGAGGACGGGTGTTGATATTGAGGTTTTGCAAATGGAGACTTTTTCGAGAGGGAGTGCAAGAACTGGGCAAGGCGCTAGAAAACGAAGTGGCAGAGAAAAATTACGCACGGGCCATATTAAAACTAGACCCGAAAGGCCCCGACCATGTAGTTGTGCGAGTAATTGGAGCTAACGTGGTCAGTGCTTTCCCCCACCTTCCAGCCTTCCCACCTTTGTATTAGGTAATCTTTATGTTAAGGTTGTAGACTATTAGTTGTACCTAGACTATTATGACGTTGAGCAGTTATATTTATGCAATGCTTGATAATTACCTCAAGAATATATGATAATATAATAAATAAAATGCTTCATTTTCATTCTCGCCTTGAAAGAAGTGCATACGTTCGCCCCCCATACCATCATACGCTTGGAACTATTTCTATGTTAAAGAGACGGCGAGGCTTTCTTGCATTCCATAATACCCACTAAAGAGATAATTAGGTAGCTATCAGTATCCCGGGATCCGTATACGAATGCTATAGGTATATGGATGGGGTTACGCGAACACTGAGAACGATCACTACTAAATGCTCAATAGGTTAGGTACTTACTGGTTGCACCCTCTGCTTTATGTACTTTGACCATAGTTAAACCAGCCCGGTTTGCAAGATTCTCCAACTGCCGCTCAGATCGCTGTAGCGAAGCCATAGTCAGCATCACCATGTCCAAACCCGCAACAAATCGATGAGGAGGGTCGGTCATAATTTGCTCGTTTATCAAGACCCTCGCTCGTGGCTCTTCTCCAGGAAGCGAGTTACCTAGTATATTGAGTATATTGACGCATTCATCATCGTCGTAATCGTGGATACATCGCTGAATGAAATAGAGTCTGCTAGCTCCCCATACGAGATGCTACCTTCCGAAGGAATCTTATCGAAAAGTCTCCATTTCATAAACATGCGGATGGAAGCCCATTCACCCAGCTACTCAAGTCGTCATTAGGTTAGGTATCTTGAGTAGATATAGTACTATCATGAAAATATATACCGTGACGGTCTGTTCAGCAGCCAACTGCTCAGGGTCTATCAGTTCATCCATCAGTCTTTTCGCAATTGCCGCCGCCTCTCGTCTGATAAGAATATCATTGTTGCTAGCAGTACGCAATTCTTGGATTTGATCACAGAGCTTATTTGATAAGGCCTCTAAGCTATCGATCGATAGGGTCGTCATTGTTCTAAAGATTGCAATTCTAAACGATATATCTAGGAATATGTTGGAAAACCAAGAAAACCCAGAATGGGGGCTATATGTAGTCTTAACCTCCATGCGCTTATATACTGAGGTACCTACAGTTCGGGGCTTATAGTAATAGCATCCTTATTGCCGATAACGCATCTTACATCACGGCGTCTACTATTATACAACTCGCTCTAGCTATATATTGAGTAGAATAGTTAGGTAAACTACGTAAACATGATTATGGTAGCTAGGCTAACGAGTAAGCGACATAGAGACCTCTATGATGGGTTTCGAAGCTCCGCTAAAGGAGTTTTCGCTTATATTATCCCAGATAAAAATCTCGTCCACCATCTTAGAAAAGGAACAAAAGCTAGTAAGAAAGCAAAATAAATTAAAAAAAGTACCTAATTAACCTAGGTAGTCTAGGTAATTATATATTAATTTGCTAGTTAAGAGTATCTTAGAGACAGATAATATACAGACTAGGCAGTGAAGATAGAATGCCTTTATAATATTAAATTCATAATCATTGTTTAGTTAGGATCGCCCCTATTTTAACAGGATATACAATAGACTAAGTTGTTATATACAAAGCCATAGTCTAGGTAAATAAAGAATTCTTTCACGTTTAGGTGTGCAACGCGCGAGTGACAATAGATGACTCTTCCTAAAGAGGTTATTTCTATTATTACTAACCTATAAGAATTAATACCTATATATACCTATATCTCTTCGATGCCATACAGAGAGATATTAGTTATCTAGTATCTGCTCTCTCGAATCTACATCATATCATTCAGCATGTCGGTTCCGGCGAGTTTTCAATACTATCACCCCGGGGTGATCGTCCCAACCCCAGAAGTTGCAGAAGAGGACCAATGGTCTAAGGACCCTATAACATTTAGGGACGGTATGGTATTCATTGGTTCTATCAAAAATCACAAAGTAGCATGTGTTCAATCTAGGAGCACAGGGCAAATACTCATCAACAAGGTTTATGAGAGTGGTCCGTGGCCTGGGGAATTGCCTTTAGAGCTTCGGATTTCAACTGCGCCATTTATATCACACCGCCGCTTACCGGAACCTATCGTAGTTAATAAAGTCGAGAGAATAATATTCAATGAACTGGTCGCTTGGCAGCGGATACGAGACGATCAAAACGCGGTTTTTTCTCTATATTTTGCGTAAGTTCTCTAGTTAACCTTCCTGAGACCTGATATAATTTAACCAGTCACTACAGATACTACAACGGCGGAAATCTGGAACAGTTCATGGATAGATATTTCCAACTGCTCCTACCAATACCGGAACATTTCATTTGGGTAAGTACCTACCTACCTATATTAAATGCTACTAAATACCTCCTTACAAAGAATATTAAAAAAGGCTAACTTATAGTGCTATAGCTCGTAGCTGAGAGGCTCGCCCAAGCCATCCGATTCTTCCAGTTCGGTACGCCGCCAGGTGGTCATCACGAGCAAGAGGATTGGGAATGTAAGTATCAAGTTTATACGCCCTAAATTTCTGTCAACTAATTCGTCTATGCGTAGTTATTTCTCACCGCGACTTATTTCCTAACAACATTCTCATTCACTATCATGGCCGTCGTCCAGGCCGGCAACCGAATGCCGGTCAAGAAACTAATGCTTTCCCCCAAAGTAAGTACCTGTTTTTAACATAAAAATGTTATATTTCCCGATATTACCCCAAAATCCTAGCCATTCTAGTAATATTCGAAAAAGATAAAGATGCTGACTCTCAGAATTATAGTTGTTGTAGGTGATTTTGGCGAGGCTAATATGGAGAACGACGACGACGATATAATATCGAATGGCGTCTTGTGGGACGGAATAGTTCACAAATGGGAAGACATGGTATGTACCTACCTTATAAACCCACCGTTTTCTGTGAACCCCTGAACCATACTCCTCGAGCCACCCCTCGAACCCCTTCTGCTAAAGTCGCTAACTTGTACCTGATAGTAAGTCATATTATTCTATGGGTTTATTTAAGCAGATATCAACACCCCTACAATATAGCCTTAGGATGTTAAAGTGAAACTAGCTAACATATTAGATATTTTATGGGAGAGGTCCTTCGAAGAATGGTTCAAACACATATACCTTACGGCCATGCTGAGAGCGACCTTGACAGGCCGAATGGACGCCCAATGAACACGGTGAATAGTCACATCTTTGCTCCCTACGTCCCTTACTCGGACGAACTTATCGAAATGCTTACACATTTTGAATTCCCTGGTTCCCAAAACGGCGCTATGATAACCGATACAATGCAAGACCCGCAGGGCAATACTGTGCCTCTTTCTAATTCTGTCCCTACTGCTGAGTGGGTTGTCAACACAATGTTGCCACTGGCTCGGAGGAAGGTTAGGCGATATCGAGGCTTCGGCAACCAGCCTAGAGGATATTTCGACGCGCTAGACGTATCGTGGACGAGACCCAGGAAAATGATGCCTTATGAGTAAGTTAAACCCGATTCATTTATGGCTAAACATACACTTGAGAAGATTGAATACTATCTTTCATTTCCTTGATATCCCGGGACTATCCGAGTACTTACATAAGATATATCACTTACGCTAACATGCTTTGAATAGGTATACATTTCGACCGGTGTAAGTAAACTCTAAAATTGTATATTGCCCGAATTTTCGAAACTTGAAATCACTAACTAGAAAACACGTGAACAGTGTACAGGGCGGCGGTAATGCAAACAATGAACATAACGACGACGACGACGCACATAGTGAACATGACGATGACGATACACATAACGAACCGGACGACAACGATGCAAACAGTGAAGAGGACGACGACGAAGATACACATAGTGGACAGGGCGACAGTGATACGGGCATTAGCCAAATGAGGAAAATGCTGGACAGGCGCGATATAAGCATGTACGAACGATGGAACCATATAAAGCCCAATTTTACAACACTTTGGTATAAGGACCCGGCTGTTTACGACCTTCCGGCCGGACCACCGCCCGCCCCGCTCCCACCTCCGCCGCCCGGCGGCGACTCAGACATAGATTCAACTCCAGACCTTGATTCTGATGACGGTTCTAACGATGATGATCTCGACGGCCCGGATCCTGACGAAGATAGGACTGGCAATTATAGGCCCGGTAGATCCTGGAACCCATGATGAAACCGTCGATAAGTATATTTGCTCAATTCGTTGTATCTTACTATTCTAAGCCGCTTAAGGTTTTAGAGACTGAAGATTGTTTATGTGTTGTTTGAAACAGTTTTCGACATCTTAGAGAAAATATAGGAATAATATATTGTATTTTATCATCCTGGATGCGTAAAACTTATACATTTGAACGTCCTGTTTTATCCGATCTGAACTGCATATTAAATAGTACGTATATGGAACTTGTTCTACGTGCTTAGTTGCGTTGGGTAGGTAATATCGTTCCGATACTCGTTTATAGTAACCCCCCCCCCCCAGATCATATTAAATTATGTGAGACTCCTTTCGAAGAATGATATCATCCAAGGGGTCATAGAGACCGCTATCGGCCGAATCACGGCTGGCAATGCAAAAGAGTTTCATATTAACAAGTAGGCAGAGACCTCGGAATCAGTGTCGAAGATCCGCTGCCTTATAGTTTTGTCAATTCCCACGAAGAATCCATTGCCAATACTTAATTTATTCATTCTTTATTTGTGAAAATCTAGAAAGAGCATACTAACGCTATACTTGACCGGCAGTGATCATGTATGGGGGGTTCTCGATCCGCAATAGATGTTTAGGGACGGGCAAGACGATACGAAGTAGTATTCCGCCCGAGGAGCTAATGGGCTAATAAATATAAGGTAGGTACATATACGCTCGATAATGATATCGTATAAGTAGGTGCCCAACTGACAGTCTACATCCATTTAGACGGGGGGTAGGTTCTTGGGTGGTTGGGCGTGGTATATTATACAGATACGGCGATATTCTAAGGCTACCTGCTAACTTATCAAGGGCCGTCCTTCATAGTACATTTTCTATTACCACTCCCTCAATTCATTCCCTGGACCAGAGAATGTTGGGCTTACCCACGCTTTGAAGTCCTTTGATAAGGCCCGTACCTGTACCTCGTCGATGTCAATGCCAAGACCCGGCCCGCTCATCAAGTCAATATACCCATCTGTGACCTTCCAAACCTCGGGATTCAGTGTGTAGCTTGTTAGATCCTGCCCACCAACGTTGTAGTGAATACCGAGACTCATCTCTTGTATCACGAAGTTCGAGGTTGCAGCGTTAACCTGGACGTTTGCCGCTAACGCGATTGGCCCTAATGGGCAGTGCGGCGCCAGCGCAACGTCGTATGTCTCGCAAGCAGAAGCGATTCTGCGCATCTCAGATATCCCGCCAACATGGCAAATATCTGGCTGCAATATATCAACACATCCGGATTCCAAGAACGGTCTCACATCCCATCTGTTGTGAAGACGTTCGCCAAGCGCGATTGGGCAATGCGTACGAGCAGCAATGTCCTTGATACCGCCAATATTCTCACTTAGCAATGGCTCCTCGACAAATAGGGGGTCGTAAGGCTCTAGTTTGGCAACTAGTTGCTTTGCCATCGGCTTATGCACTCGTCCGTGGAAATCTACCCCGACATCGAGACCCAAAGCCTTCACTACTTTAACACGTTCCACACATTCCTCGAGCTTGCGAGGAGAGTCTAGCCATCCGAGATCTTCGGTACCGTTCATCTTGACCGCATTGAATCCTTGGGCTTTACGGACATTTCTGATTGAATTTAGAATCGAGGTATGATTTGAGTGGAATGATACTTACGCTTGTGTCTCCACATCACTTGGGCGGTCACCCCCTATCCATGCGTATACGCGCAGTTTATCTCGGACTTTTCCACCCAGCAGCTGATAGATTGGAACGTTCAGTTTCCTAGCTAGGGATCTTTTAGCGCTTTAGATCAACATATTCTCAGGGTGTTTCGTACCTTTCATGTCCCATAGCGCAATATCTATCCCGCTCAAGGCACTCATGAGAACAGGTCCCCCTCGGTAAAAACCTCCACGATATGATAGCTGCCATATGTGCTCGATGTCACTTGGTGTCTGGTCAGCAATTGCGATGAGATGAAATTGTCAAGGCTCACTCGGCTTCGTATCCTATATACTTTTCCGCCCAAGAATCAAGACAACCTTCCACGGCCTGCGTATGTCCTTCTAAGGAAGCTTCACCCCATCCATAACAACCTGTGTCATCCACGATTTTGACGAATAACCAACGCGGCGGCAGCCGAAAATACTCGATTTTGTTTATCTTTCCCATTATACCTTTGAGAAATTCCGCGTCTATACGTTTCCAAGCTCTAACTATAAAAATAGGGTTAAGACATTCTAGCCGCCTTTACTAGTATAACGGATGAGGGGTATAAAGAACATTCTCCTCAGAGGGGCAACCTGGGGGTACCTGTGGGGTTGCTGCCCAATAACGTAGTCGCCCACATAAGAGTCATTCCCTAATTTGTCATAATACGGCCTGACTGATGATCGTAGCTCTAGTAATGAAGAATCCACTTGGGTAGGTCACTAATCGAGCCTAAAGTACTAAACAAAATTTCCGAAACGGTTAACGAGGTATTTATGTGGTAAGGGATAGACTAAGGAATAATATCAATGTGACTGTTGGTTACCTCAATTATGAATTTCTTGATGGTATTATTAAATCCTGGGGAAATAAACAGGGCTAGTGTCCTTGGCCTACGATTGTATAAAAAGGGGGTAAAATGCAACCTTGAAAAATAGGTACGAAGGATCTAGACGGGTGAGAGCCAGCTAAATACCAAAGAATTTTCAATTCATTAAAAATGAGGTAACTATTCCCGTCAATATGCTTCGATTTAGTTGTAGGTAATATGATAAAACGGCAGCAACTGTGGGGTTTAAACAAGGCCCTTCTTATTATTGCCGGCTTTCGGTTTGCAGTTATTAAGGTTCAAGTCATGTTAAATTCGTCGAACGTTAGAGATTGAATATAATTTAAAATGATCCAGGCCAGCGGCAGTAGCGTAACAACAATGAAAAGGACTATGAATCATAGAACGAATAACTAGCGCCCCTGAAAAAGATCCAGCGAAAATACTTGACTCAATATACATCAAGGTGCTAGAAAAATAAGCTATCCTGTCGTATCCTCTTATTCGTCCTCATGATCACAGCTCGCAATAGCCAAGCACAGATAACGACTCCTGCTGAGAAACCAATAGATGCTGACATAGCCTTGATAAATTGCGGCGCATCTGAATCCGGCCACAGGTACTATGGAAATGATCAGGATTGCATTTGCAGATACAGCGTTCATTAAAGCGAGGCGCATGAGCATTAGGTATGCTCTTCTCGGTGAGCTTCAAAGGGGGTGGGGGTATAGTACTAACAGGAGTGTAAACCGAGGCAATATTACCAAACATATTGCACATAGCAATAGCAACAGCTTTTTTCTCGTCTGACTGGCCTAAGATCGAGCTTGTCCACCCCAAGATGATATTATTTACACCGTAGGTAGCTCCCACAAAGATCACTTTAAGGGAATAAATTAGCCATAACTTATCTTTGGACTTTCTAAAGGATTGATAAAAGGGGTGCTCTTAATGTTACGTACTGATCCCCACATAGCGAGTCGTAGTGTTAAGTGTCGCCACGCTGATGACATATCCGATGATACCGACTGCTGTTGAGAGCGTGATATGCCATGTTCGCTCGTCAAAGCGACCGCTAGACCAGCAAACGGCGATCGATACCAGAGCACCGAGGACATAGGGAGGGCAGGTAAGAACGAGGGCCATCGTGGTGTCCAAGCCGAGGTTTTTGACGACAGTTGGTAGAAAGCTCCGAAAACCATGACTAGACATATGAAGATTTAACGCCAGACAGAACAACCAGGTTCTATAATCAAGCACAGCTTCTTTAAAACCTTTCATAACGCTCATAGTACCTTCACGCTTCTCTGTGTTATCATTAATAATACGGTCATGGGCTAACTGTCGCTCTTCTGGAGTCAGCCACCGATGCTTAAGTGGGCTGTCTGGCAAGAAAAAGAACCCGACTATGGCAACTACTGTCGAGAGCGACCCCTGGATGATGTATAACCTATGAGAATTAGTCCATATGCAATTTTATAGGCGGGTTATTCTTTACCATTGCCATCCAGCAAGACCACAGACGCCCCCTAATTTCGTAAAGATAGGGGCAGCGACCAGCCCAGAAAAAGCACTTGCTGCCATGTTGCCTGTGTGAAATATCGATATCCGTGTGGCAATCTCTCTCCTCGTGTAGAACATGCTTAGCATATATAGCATCCCGGGAGAGAACTTTACACCCAATAAGTTATCAAGGACTCAACAATGTCAGGAATTCTTACCGGCGATTCTACGAAACCAAGTACTAAGCGTGCGATCAACATCGTCGTGTAGTCGCGCACTAAGAACGTACATAGAGTCGTGATGGACCATGCTGTCATAAACCCTACACAAGCCACATTAGTGCGTGTCATATACATGTTTTATAGTATGACATACCGGCCATGAAATATGACGGGCGAACCCGGTTTATAATCATATTAGACGGGACCTGTCCGGCTATATAACCCACGGAAAATATCGCTACACAGGTGTTATACTGATATCCTTTCATATGTAACTGCTCGTCCAACCCGTCGAGCTTGCCATTCACGATCGCATCTCGATCTAGGAAGTTGAAGAAGAGCATGAACCAAGGAATAGGCTATCGCAAGAATAACAATCAGTAACTTGACTGGGGAGACTGTAAAAACACCATCTTACAAGAATATACAGATCTAACTTCCTGACGAGCCTCTTTTCCGCTACATCACTATTGATATTTCTACCAAAGTCGTCTACCTTCGCATTGACCCTTTCGAATGAAACTTCATCTGTAGCATGTTCGATATAGTCGAGTCCTTTGCTCTTCTCGTTGCTCGCGTTTGAAGAATGCTCCATATTGCTAAGAACACACTTAGCAACGATGGATTTGATAGAACTGAATATATTAGGAACAATGATAAAGTTGATAGATTTAGCAATTCAAACTGAAGGCTGATATGAGCTTTATGATGCGTGCCTCCTATAAGTAATACACCGGAATAAGCGCTTAGGCGCAAATCTATAATTCTATACACCGGAGCTTTAAATCCTAAAAGGTCTAAGGGCAGCAAGCCAAAACATTCTCCTTGATACCTACTCTCGGGTATCACTACAGTGTCTTCATCTAAACTAGCTTCGTCAATTTATATCCAATGGGCTTTAAAACAGCCAGGATCGAAAAGATCCAGTCGGATCTGAGGATGTGAGGTATTTCAACGTGATATTTATCCCAATGCACCTTATAGTCGGAAATCCCGTGTGCTCCTATGCCGCATACTTTTGAGACGCGGAGGTAGAGAGGAGGCACTCTTCGGTAGTTCCACAGCGTCGTAATACCGAATAGGAAAAATATAGGTCAACACTGAGGAATTTCCTTACACTCTTTTCTATCTAATTGCAACGGTCTTACACGGCTATCAGTCGCACTGTCATGCCTTTGGCGACACGCCTCCTATGTATAAACCGATCCAATACCTAATGTTATAAAGAGTTCTATGGCCGATAATATAAACATGCGTCAAACATTCCTGTCCGGACTCAATGGGTGAATGAAATGCGTACGGAGCGACGTATTGTTGCCGGTGAAGTTCAGAGTGGGATACTTGATAAAAATTAGGGCCCAATGTGCGCTATATTTGATTCTGAGATCATGATTAGATGTTGCTGTGAAACATATACACATATCCTTATATAGGTGGGTAGGGTAGCAATAGGCCCCAATTAGATCTCAGCTCTCATCCAAATCGACGATCGACGGACTTTGAGAGATATAACATGTGCATGATGGGCAGACAATCTGGCATGATGCGAATGACTCTTCACTACTACTCGTTTAAGACCTGTGGCGAGAACTAAAGACCATTTTTACTATTAACCGCATTATCATAGATGTATTAAGTTAGGTACCTAAAACATAGAGAGGTTCCTAATATCGTCTACACCCTCAAGATAGCCTTCCCATTTCATCTTAGAGATACCTCACAGCGCAACATATTCAACCCCTTCTCGAGCGTGAATGTCCCCCCGGATTTAAGGGTCGGTTACTAGCCTTTCGACGTTCGTACACTGCCGGATTACTAGTAGACGATGGCATAGTCTTGCCCGGCTACATAACTAAGATTAAATTAAATTTATGGAATGTCGCTATAGAATGAAAGAAAGGACAGCGTGGTTTTTGCTAGTGAGAGCTGGCGCTCAGGGGCAGCGGAGTGGAGTCAGAATAGATTCCTGACCCCCTAACCCCTATTTATAGGAGTGCGCCAGTCTACCCCTTTAGCACACACAATTCAACTAACGAGTTTATAATTTCACCACCAAACTCCTTTAAATGCATTTTAAGATAACTATCATGTATAGAATGTGTCTTATAGAATCCGTTCCACACCCTCACTTCAACTTGTAGTTCATCGTTGCAAGAATCTCACACGCACCTCCGGCCTAGTCCACATAACATGAATCAAAAAGTCCTTATCGAATGTTTTGTCATGTCCGCGGACCATTTCCAAGTCGAAGGTCCATAGCACCTTAGCAAGGAACAATCTGGTCTGGCTCCAGGCAATTTCTCTTCCAGTGCAAGCTCTAGGGCCTATAGAAAAGGGGTAAAAGCAATTAAGGTCGTCATTGGAAAATCTCTTATCGTACTTGGGATGGTCTGACTGAAGCCAACGTTCCGGGTGGAAGTTAAGCGGTTCATAGAAATATCGGGGGTTGCGACAAATATTGAAGTTACTGGTCTGGCATACCACCTTTCGAATATGTTAATCATAGCATCATAGAAACGGTAGTTTAAGCAACAACCTATTAACGGGTATACCAAACTTACCCCTCTAGGAACATAGGTGCCGGCAACCATAGCGCCTGGACTCTTCCGCGGCAATCCAGTAATGGCGGTGACATGGGTGCGGAGCGTTTCGTGAATTACAGCATTCAGATACTTCAGACTAGCCAGATTATCGGGAGTAATCTTAGTGTAATTCCGAAAGGTGTTCCTAATTTCTTCCACGAGTGTTTTGTAGGCATCTTGGTTCTTCAATAGAAAGAAAAGAGAACTGAAGAACGTGATCTGGATCGGGTCAAAGCCGGCGATGAGTAACTGCATCGAAACTTGTTCTAGGTGAACCTTCTCCTTCTTTTTCGTAGGTGCGGGAGCATTAGTTGGGAGCATATAGTCGACGAAGTCCGGATGGGTGGTTTTCCCTCTGTTATCTATCCGCCTCTGAACCTCTTGGCTGTTCATTTTGAAAAACTTCGGTACTAATCGGATGATCTTAGGTGGAGCGAAGAGGAACGAAAGCGGACTGAGAAGCGGAAACCTTTTAGAGACTTGCATGACTGTTCCGTAAAAATTGGTGCCCAGAAGTGTTTCGAGAAAATCAGTGTTCTTCGCTATTATATACCATTAGTCCGTGTAAATACTTCAAGATGAGTCCTGGAAAATAAGTCTTACCATCTCTCATATGATGCATCTTGCGACTGTATGCTAGATCTGCCGACATATCCATAGCAAGCCAGTTGAGCCACTGCACGATATATCAGTGTTGGTATTCCTAGATGCGATACGTATAAGCAACAAAGGAGAAATAAATCGTACGTCATTGAGGCTGACCCCCTCTGGTGCGCTACCTAGCTCCTTCATCTTCTCAACGAATGAGTCGATGTACATCTGCACAGTAGGCTCCTTAGCCTTGATAGCTTTGGTACTAAACGCCGGTAAGACCTTTTTTGCTACTTCGCGGCGCTTGGCGGGATCAATTTCCCATGTGAATCCTAAATCTCCCGTACCGAAGTCCATCAGGTCTGTCTTTACCCAAAGCTCATGTCTCTTTACTGCTGGATTATAGATATCTAGACATACGTGTCAGCCCTTCTAGAACCTACCTGTTAGGATGATGCTCACCGATTGCCGCCTGTGGAGTTGAAAATACGATCTCGTTAGGAGCAATGCGAACTATATCACCTACAATATGTCAATTTTACCGGGTAAACCAAGAAGAGTTTGTATATCTTAGATACCATATTCTTTTGCCAGTTGCTCTACCACCCATGGGTATCTTCCCCGCAACCTGATTCGTTAGATTTTCCATATCGACCTCAAATGGGATTTACCTACCAACTATATGCGTAATAGAAGTTCGAGATGGCCGCTAGTTTAGGACCTGGAAATTTGGAAGCTGGGTGAAAGTAAAGGAGATAGACGCAGCGCACTACGGCGTACGCGAACAGCTACAAGCACGCGGTCAAGATTCAAAACGCGAAGAAAGTATTCCTAAATAGGTTTACATACAATCATTATAGTAAGTGAAATCCATTGTGGTGCCGTTGCCTTGGATAGCAATGTTAGCTTCAAGGTAGTCACGTCCATTATAAATAGACGGAAGGTTTTGCATCTATACGTGCATCTAAGGTATAGATTTGAATTTGAAAAAGAAGTAATCGCCCAGATTTCAGATGATGGGATGCAAGGAAGAAGTCTAGCAGCTCTATGAAATTAAAAAAAAAAAGGATTAAACCGTAGCTTGCATCCAGATCCTACGTTGGTAACACAAGACCGTTGACTCTCGGATGAGACGTGCCATATTAGGCCTCGGAAGTCCGAGGACGAATAAGACTTCTTTTGATCAGGTTACTCTCACAACAAAGGCAACACGACTTGACTATACCGCATGACCATACTCATGCATTGCTATTACGCATCTTTCGGTTATGGAGGGGAGCACTTTGTGGTTATTTAAAGCTATTGTCTATTAATAAGTTCTTGGCTAGGCAAGTTCGGGACCGGCTTAAAAGGGTAGTACTCTTGTCCTTGGCTTCAAGACTTAGACGTAAGGGATAATGGTTACGCTCTTTTAGTGGCTAAGCAAATCCCTTGTTGGAAAATGATATAATCAAATATTATGTACTATATGCAACATCCCCTTGGGGTATTATTGTCTGTTGGCAATTATATTGAGTCAAATCGTTCTTTGTGTTGGAGTGTTGGAATACGCAACATGGCTGTTGGCCTTTCATTTGATTCCATAAGCATGATCAATTAGATTGAGCATATTTCTATAAAATTTATTTTGAGATAGTTCTATCCCATATATATTTGTAGTTTCAGTTTTAACCGTAAATAAAAAGCTTTCAACTCGGAATTAAGTGTTTAGCGACTAGGTAATGTCAGATATACCCTTGATGAAAGTCATACATAATTCGAGTGAATGTTAGGATATTTGAATTGAACTATTAACGCCTGCCCTTGTATCCTCTTTCGAGAGAGCTGCGCGCCTCTTATATCCCACACTGAATTAGATATCGCAGCTATTTGCTTCAAAGGGGACTGTCCAATAGGTAAACAAGTACGAGGAAGAGTGGCATTTTATACCTAGAGCCAGTGTCGACTAGGTCAAGAGCGAGGACCACATGCTATCAAGGGTATATTGGTATCAGCTCATAATATGCCATACGACACCGGCATACTAGTTGGCACTAGACAATAACTAATCATGGCAAGGATAAACGAAAACCAAGGAGAGGTATGACCGGATGAAACCCGGCATTATGTGGAGTAGCACCAATATGCTCCTCATGCTTTCGGCGGCTCCGTTTAAGAAAGAATTGCCCGGTTCCACCGTAAAACGGCTCTTGTACTACAAAAGGCGGTCCGGTCCGGTCGGGATGAGATAGCAAACATCAACAACAGTCTTAGTAGACACATGAGGTACGTTAATATGTAATTTGAGCAGTCCTTGTTCGTTTTCCCCGGCCGAGATCACAGGTCAGCGAGTAGTAAAGGGGGGCTATGGCGATGCTTATTTTCTCCAAATCGTCGGGGACCGAAGCAGAGAGATATCAGGCCGGCATGACCGAATTCTCGTTTATCTTCCTACTACGCAACACTCATACCCCTACAATTACCGCATTTTATCATTTCTCCAACAATAGACGCAAGCCACATCCTACCCATCAAGTGCAATATTGCTTATTAAATCCTTCACCACAAGGTCAGCTTTACCATTTAAAGAAATTTATAAGATGAAAACAGGTATGTAACAAGCTAAATCGGACCTAATTGCCGAAGCAGAATTTGCGCCACTTGCCATTTTTAGACGAGGCCCTAGTCTGTCTGCTTACAAGGAGGGCGTACCTACTAGCTGAAGGGGAAGATGGGAGGGCATTATCTAGCTCCCAGAACCGGAGTGATACCGATATATAAATTTGAGACCAATCCCCTTGATTATTGTCTTCGTAAGAGCTAGCGACACGAAACTTTCACGGACACTAACTACCGCATATTATAGTTTATAATTTAGCCTACTTACTTGGAAAGTACACAAGAGATAATTTACTATTCTCACAAAGAGCAAAAGCAGGAATGGATAATCGTAACGGTCGAACTACATGCCTCTCAGATAGCAATCATGAGGTTGAGGATGCCAGAAACATTCAACGCCACTTCTTCGGCTGTCTCGAATTCAGAAATCAAGAGGAATTTCTAAACAATGAAGAATATTGGAGGGGTCTAGCAAGTCCTGGAGAGGGAAACAGGAACCGTGAAGATGATGGTCCAGAAGAATGGGAGAGATTGAGATATACTACTGCTCTGGGTTTAGAAGAAGAGTTCAAAAGGATAGACACCTTGCGCGAAAGGATTAGGGACTCAACGAATAATGTTGAAGAGAGTAGCAAAAAGTGGCGAGAATCCAGGGCTTATCACGATTCCCTACCTCAGGTCTCAGAATGGAGACAGACCAATAGGAAGAAGATTGGGACTAAAATGGGCGCAGTCCGAACAAGGCTACGTGGAATAATCGATGCTTACCTTACGACTGTTTCATCTGTAGAGAAGGAGAAGAAAAATGACCAGGACCAGGATCAGAACAACCCTTCACGCAACTTCAGAAATGATATCAAGGCACAGTTCATAGAGTTCCAAAGACCGCACTCCGACTCCAATAAGAATGTTAACGAAGAAAAGACTGCTGTGATGAAGCCTTATGACGAACCCGTACATGAAGGCATATTCACAGGACAATTTCTGGACCAACAGCTCTCACTTGAAAGCCTATTGAGGACAATTTTCACGAGACAAAACCCTTGGAGTGGCTCAAACAACCTCAAGGGTGATTGCTCTCCAGGAATTCTGCGATATTTCCACATACCATATAACAATATGTTTGTAAGTCTCTCTGTAGCAGGAAATTGTTATTCTAATTAATGCAAAATCTATTAGTGGATGCAGGTACTTATATATTCACCATCGAACCTCGCATGAAGTTTAACTTGAGTCTAGGAAGCGATGTCAACGTATTTCAGAGAAAGTGATAAAGGGGAACTTCGAGCAGCTATAGTATTACAGCACGAGCGCTGGAGAGGTCAGGAGGGCAGTACTGAGAACGGAAACATCGCTCATTCACGCCACCTTAGGCCACTCTGCGAAAGGTTTTCCACAGGTACGCCAATTTTGTATTACTGCCACACCAGCTAATTATCTTCATCGTTCTAGATTACTCTGAAGACAAAGATAACAAAAGTAGTAATATGGTTCTATTTGTCAGTACTTAACCAGTCTACTTCTTTTCTCTTCGTATTAGCTGTTTGTTGGTTCACACTCACCGTAATATAGATGCCATATCTTCACTGGGAGACAGACCGAAGTCGATCCAGGATGTCCAATGTTATAGAAAGAAAGATCATCGAAAAAGAACATCTTAAGAAACATAAGCTGGAGGAAGATAAAATCAACAGAAGAGACAAAAGAGAGGGGCTACCTGAATCATTATTCGCGCCAGTAACACATGAAGATCCAGACTGTTACAATCCAATTCTAAAGGCCGATACAACGTCTCGTAGCATAGAAGATATTCTATGGCAGCAAATAGTCGAGTCGGGGCGCTGTAAGAAGCTGGTAAACAGCATCACCATGGGAGTTGAGCTAGAAAGTTACCAACGCATTAAACCCAAGAATGAACTGGCTCAATATCTCCTTAACTCGGCAAGATTGTTTGAAGAAATGGTTACATTTCAAGATGGAGAACTCATGGAATCCAATTTATTCGCCGATCCCCCACTTCACCCAAGACGGTCGTTAGATCAAGCCTACTTCAGAAAGCTAAGGACCACAGAGTCTCGAGACAGAGATCAGGTTGTCTATCGCTCAACCCGAGCCGAGTTCTTGCATAAATTTCGACCATCGAAAGAGCACCAATTCTCTCAAAGCGGCAACTGGAAATGGACTGGCCACGGCCAACACGAGGACAACTTTGGCTGCGATCAATGCACCGAAGACATTAGCAAAGTACCTCGAGCGGTCATGGTCGATCAGCTTTGGATGTGGATCTTAGACCGGGATACTATATTGACCTGCTTTCCACAGCGGTACGGAGTTCGACAAATTGATCCATCGGGGGTACACCAGTCAATTCGGATTCGTCTAAAGGATCAATCTAACCCGAGGAATCATGTTCGGACCATTTTCGATCTTGGACTAATCATTTTAGAAGAGTGCTTTCAGGTTTTCTTTAATAGGGTCCAGAAAACAGACAAACAACCCATTGTACTAGACATATTTGCCGAGTCTATCGGAAATATAGTATGCAACCGAAGGTCTAATATAATTTAAGGGGGAACTTCACTGACTGGCCACAAATATCACAGACAAATCAACAGAGTCTCTTACTCAAACGCTTATGGCAATTAGTTCAGAGCCTGACCAAAGCATACCAGTCCGTTATCGGCGAAGATATACCTGCATCACTAATCCTTTCACTCCTGGATATTACGCGAGAAGGCCAGCTCCAGCAGGAGGCTAAGGATATTATTGATGAACTGGATATCATGATATATATTGTGCTGCAGCAAAAAGAGATGGTTACTAGGTTCAGTCAACTGGCTCTAGAAATCATGCCCAAGAAACGCACATCGTTTAAAAAGAGGTCTAAAAGTCTTCTTTCTAAGATATCAGATCGTATTGCAGAATTGGAAGGACTAAAAAAGAGTGCCCAGAGCGCCGCCCGAAGCGTAAGCCAGCCAGTTCACTCATTGATTACATGTAGGAAATAAAACGAAACTTCGAGCTAACATGATGGAACTTATAGGTCAACGATCTACTGGCCCTCAAACAGCAGCAAGTTGGTGTAGTCCAATCGTTCCAATCCGTAAGGCAAGGTCAAGAGACGGTAGTCCAAGGACGGGCCATTATGCTGTTTACAGTCGTGACAATAATTTTCGTAAGTAAACACCTTTTGATGGTTTTGTGCATTAACTTACCCGTAATCTCAGCTACCTATGTCATTTATGACAAGTCTATTTGGGATGAACGCCGTCGAACTCACTGGGAGTAATACTTCTAGCCACAACGATGACTCGACAGGCCCCGTACCGCCAGACTGGACAATGACTAACTTCTGGCCTACCACATTTCTGTCTCAACTAACAATTTTGTGTAAGTTATTCTCATTCAACCCTGTCCTAGTTGCTAGACGATCTAACACATACAAGTGTCGGTATCTGGCGTCTGCATATTTGTGGCGGTATCACTGGCGTTCAGCCCAGGAGTCAGGCTGCTTATACGGTACACGCTAAGATACGCACGAACGTTGATTAACGTGAAGCTGGGATTGTACAGACTCTCGTTGAAAACGAATCTAAGCATTACAGGTTTGAGCGAGAAACTTGCAAAAACCGCCCAGGACATGAAGGAAATGTCCTTAAAGAACCTTCAAACGAGAAATCTTCAAGATTCGTATCTCCACAACGGGGCTGCGAACAGTAGCTCCGAGAGAGCTAGGGGAGAAGGTGAGGAAATATCGTTAACATCCTTACCTCCCACTTCCATTGTCAATAGTACGACATCCAGAGGAGCACTTCGCCCCTTCGGAAGAAGGCGACGCAATGAACCAGATCCAGAGTCAGGTCTAGACGATTCACAAAGTTCAAGCATGCGCAACTAAAGAGAGATATATTAAAAGCATTTTACTCGGAATTCATATGAAGTGTATCCGCATCATGCGAAGGATTGATAGCTACCTCTACTTGATAAATTCACTCCCTTTCATTATTATTTCTCTAATATACCTATTATTCGCACACCAAAGCTAGGATCACATGAAAACTTGAATTCAACTTTTTTTTTACCTACAATTACATTTTAAAGACTTAGATGAGGCGAAACTAGATCTATCGCAATTATATTTCTTAGAAGCTTCTTCTCCAATTGAATATGCCCACGTTGGGATCGGGCAGCAGTGCCGATTGGAAGCCACGTAATACAGCGGTGAACAAGCAAGGCGGCGAGGCGTATAAAAGCAATGAGAATAGTTCCACGGAAACAGTATCATAGCTATTTTATAACACCATCATTTGTAATATATGTTATTGACTAATTCTCAACCCATAGTCATAGTTCTAAACATATTATCAAAGAACAGAGCTTACAAACAAAAACATCGCCTTCGAATCCCTTACTTGCCTCCTACACATCACGATGGCTTCTCGAGAAAGATACTCTAGATCCACAATGATCATATTACTCATAAACATGTTACACTTGTTAACGCCGTTAGTCCTCGCATCGCCGTTAGCATCGCCTACAAAATCACTATCGTCAGTCTCGGATTTTACAGACCAGCCGGAAATAAGCAACTCCGGAAGTAGATATGGCAACGCCACGATTGAAAAAAGGCAAATGTCAGAGGGATCGTCGTGTGAAGGATCCGAGGGTCAATGGAACTGCCTTACGAATCAGTGGCAACGCTGCGCGGCTGGACAGTGGAGCGTCGTGATGGACTGCGCTGCGGGGACGATATGCACACCTGCGGGCTTAACAAACGATTTCTTCGTACAGTTTGCAAACGGTGCTGCTGGTCCATCAACGAGCGATGGCACGCGGGGGTCTGGAACTAGAGTTATGCATTGGGAGTTAATTGTAGTATTGGGAGGTATAAGTGTGATGAGCACTTTGGTTAATAGTTGAAATATTCTTTAGGATATCCGCGAGAAGTAGGTATATACTATTCCGGAGATACTCGGAGAGAAAGTGGGTAGATAAATAAAAGACTCAAGTACTAAATTCTTATTGTATAGAAAGGTAAAAGAGTATGTACCTTGCTAACAGGTACCTAACTCATCAGCTCTAAAAGCTGTAACTACGAAAAGACTGACTTGGTTGTAAGGTGATAGCTATTTTAGGTGATCCAAGTAACTCCGTAGTCCGAATCATACTTCGGAGGACCGAGCGGAAACAGGGATATCTACAGACAAACTATACGACAGATATTATCATATACCTATCACATGAATGGAACTAAATTTAGCAATTCGATTCAACCAATAAACTCTTTAGATACGTTGCGCAACTTGCCTTAATAGGCTCTTCAGCAACTGAGAGAGAATAGCAACATACCACGTGCCATTTACGACTACAGATAATATCCCAGGCTAGATAATCGTTTCTATATTAACTAAGTCTTATATTCGTATATACTTAAGTATCGGTCAAACTATTAACAACTGAAAATTTTGAGCATCATCCGCTTTTCTGCAAGCACCCCCACGCTATTATCCTATAAATATACAATGTGTTATCATAAAGTCGCTTCGTCAACCATTACTTTGAAGAGTTTATCTACGCAGCCTCTGGCTTTCGCGCATATACAACCCGCTGTGGCAGGTATGCGTGAATCGTCCTGCTAGACCGTAATTCTTTACGGAAAGCTGCGAGGAATACTTGCATTTCCTCCAAGGAGCGGCCTAGGACCGTGTTCCACATAAACATAACGAAACCTATGAGAATATGTTAGTTTCTAATAGATTTACCAAACGGATAGCCAAGTAGGAGGACATTACTCACCCTCTAGGTCCTGCTCAAGAGTATATTGAGCCCATTGTCCAATCTCCTTCAACTTCGGATCTGCCGGCCAGGGACTCATAGGTACCTATGATATGATTAAAAAAGTTGGATGGCCCAAACTCGGAAAAGTCAAACGACGCACCTTAATATCCTTGACCGTCAAGTCTACGAAACCAGCATCCTCAATCCCTTTCCTCTGGACGTCATCCGAGAGAATAGTAAACGAGTAGCCCAGCTTCTTGCCGCCCTCGATAAACAAGTCGCGCCACATAATCATAGCCGAGTCGGGTTTTAGGGTGCCATCGTCGCTACGGTAGTCGGCCTCGACTTCGAAGCTCTCGATCCATCCGCCGGGTTTGAGCGCTTTGAATGCTTGCCTGAATAACTTTGGCCAATCTGACACGCTACCTACCATGTACCGGATATGTACATAGTCGAAGCTGTTAGGGGCATATGTCCATTCTTGCTCCAGGTCGTCGATTTCGAATTTGACGTTAGGTGGGCACCAGGTTGGTTGGATCGGTGATAGATCCGTTCCAATAACCTCACAGTTCGGGTACTCGTCTCCCATGTCACTAAAGGCTTCTTAGTTTTCCGAATACAATATGGCATAGAACGAATTAATTACATTGGCCATAACCCTGAATAATCGGTTAGCAATGACCCAGGGTTTAAGTGTGAGGGTTAAATCACCTGTTCCAGTACCAATGTCAAGTATTCGCTGTAGAATGTTAGCTAAACTCCTGCTAAGGTAGATCTGTACGCTCACTTCTATATCATCCTTTAGAGGTGCTAGGAAAAGATTGCCACCGAGACAAAGGGTCAAGAAATGATGGCTAAGAAGGCATTAGAAGATTTAAGTCAATTCAGGTCATTACGGCTCACTTCATGTCCATAGCTTCATTTTGCCGCTCATCGTTGGGCCCCCAGTACTTATCGGTTCCATGCCTGCCGCTGTTATACGTACGACCATTAAGCGTGCGATATTCCAAAACACTCTCAGTCAAAGATGCTGTTGAACTCGCACTATCGCTTCTTGTTAGACTTGTTTTTTATCTCGTCATGACTATACTAGCTTCGGCAGGGCATCCCTTATTAAGAAATGACAACTTCTTACTTATCACCTTCTTCTAGAGCAGAATCTGCATCATCATGATCAGCACCCTCCTCCTTAATAGACAATTGTCAGTCAACTACATGCGCTACAGCTTTAAAGCTGGTGGATTCGAATATGTCGGATCTTCTTACATGTGGAGCAGCCTCAATTGGCTCATCTGTCCATCCTGGTACGGGCGTAGGCTCGTCTTGATTGGCCATATTAGGAGAGTGACCGAAGACCTTAGATAAATATCTTGGTAACCTCAAATGCATCTGAAAATGAGGAGAAGTGGATAGTTTAAATAGCGCCGTTGATTTTACAAATAGGATTCGGATCCGGGATGGGACAAGACACCAACGGCATAGATCAGAAACTAGTCGGCATCGAATGTTTAGTCGCTAGCTAAGTCTAGACTAACCTCTTGATGAGTAACTACATGTAATAAAGAACACGAACACGTACCTAATCTGGCATAGAGATGGTGTTAGTTAATTACATCTGATCACGTGGAATCGTCTTACTATGATAATCGATGACATTTTGATATCTACAGTTGGCCGGTTAAATGGTCTAAGAGAGTCGCAGACCGGTGGCTCCTAATTGGACACGTAGAATTTCGCGAAGGTTGGTGTAGCTCCATAGCAGGTAGGTATACAATTTCCCTATATTAGCCCACGGTTCATATCACATTGGATTACCAACGAGATCATATATTTAGAAGATGTTGAATTAAGCAATATGAAGATTGCTTACATTGCATGCTTCTAGAAGTCATGAAATTCAGGAGTTTAGCACGCTATGAAATAGATATCACGCGTATGGAAGTTGATATAAGGGGTTTCAATCTATTGGCTCCATCCGTGGGGATTAATCCCCGGACATGAAATTGAAAATTGTAACCATATATCACAACAACGTCTCGTGTGCTAACCATGACCTCATGTTGAACCTATCTGCGGCCCTTGAGGTAGAGAGGTGTATTAATTAGCAAGCGTTAACATTCCTAGATCTACTGACCTCATCGTACCTTCATTTCCCACAAGAAACTACATCGTCTTAACATGAATAAGAGATGTGTAATAAATCTGGCGGTAACTTGACAACATCGAGAGGTGATAAAAGGCTGTGAATAGTCCCATTATGCAGTCAAGACATACTATTCCTATGAATGGATTTTATTGTCTTTCCCGCCCATATATTCCCTCGTAATGTCTGAAACTTCCCGATAAGGAGTCGGCCGACCCGTAAGGGGGAAAAAGGGACCGTATTCGTTTTAGATACTCAACAGATACCTCTTATTCTATAGTATATCCATTTGAGATCAATGACTTATATACGCTGAATTGCTGTCGTGTTAGATCATTCATTATTATTATTTCACCATTGAGCATGATATATCGCAAAAGGCACATTATATTGAACTATCAATAGAAAATGGCTTTCATGGCTACAGAAAGCATAGGCATTGATTTGGACATTATCACTTTACCCTTCTGCCAGGCTCGTTCATGTTGCCTCTTCCGGAACCTCATAGTCATAAAGACATCGTGAATTAGGTGGTACGTAGGACTCGTCAAACTCGGCCTAAAGATAATATTCCAGGGTTAGTATCGAGACATTGCTTATGCGCAAGGATCTTCTACTTACAGCACCAGCATTCGGAGACTTATACAACACAGGGATGCATCTAAGACCGTTGGTGAATACCGTCCCGGAGCAAGTTGCTTCACGGATAGCCGACCTAACACAGTCATGTTGTGCGTCACGGGGATTCCAGTCTGGGCTGAAATCGAATCTGAGGTTGATACCGGGCATTGTCACGACTCCAGCGGGCGTGGCAGCCCAGCTATCAAGCCCAGGTAACGCTGGAGCTCTACCGGTATTGCAGTTGAAGAAGTCGGGTTCCGGGACAGCACAGTTGCGCATCATTCTCGCCTTGAAGTTGTCACACCAGATGCGGGGGTCTTGGCCGTTCCCGGAAAGCTTGCTATAATGATTCAAGGAGTGTTAGTATTGAAAGCCTTTATGGAAAACATGAGACTATCGTAGCTTCTCACATATGGTAGCGGAGGCGATGGTATTTTTTGCCCCAGTTGTAGGTATCGGCCTCGCAATACTCTGTGCACTCGGAACTGACGACGGGGATATAGTTCATGACCCATTTGCACTCATCGAAATTGTCGTATTGCCAATGCTCGTTGAACTGGTAGGATTTGTTAGAATTTGCTGTAATCCAGGAAAGGGAGGAGTAGTGACATGTTAAAGGGGTAATTAGTACGAAATTGGACGGAATAGGGGCCAGCTGTTCAGCCAACTTACACGTTCATCGCCTGCTGTCACATTGTTGAATACGACAGTGCCATTCGGAAGATTTGTAGGCCAGACGCCATCGGAAAGATACGTAAGGTTTGAAATGCCAGCATCGGTATCCGCCGTAGGGTAGGCAGCTGCCTGCGAAATGAAGGACAGAAGGATAAGGATAAGGATAAGGGAGGACATCATGGCAAATATGATTCAAGTTGTCTTTACCTTTGGGCAGAGAGTACTAGTAGTTGAGGATACCTCTGGATAAAGGTAGTACCTAGTTCATGTTGAGAGAAAAGGGAGCTGGTAAGAGGTTCGAGTAAGCTAGCTAGAGTAAACAGGTACCTAAGGTACATATGTTTTCAACTTCTTTTCTGCCTTGGAATCGTAGGCGGTGGAAACGCATTAAGGTAGTAAAATTGCCTAGGAAACGGAAGACAAGGTACCTCACCTAGGTAGAAGTTGATAAAAATTCTCGTTAGGTTATATTTTACGCGATAATTCCTAGTGGAGGTATGGAGGTTGTCATCCGCGAAGAACTAGGCAACAAACAAACGGCAATTGCAGGCTAGCATACCTAACGTACATCTAACAATAGATAGCTTACAGTGTAACAGCTATATGATTAAAATCCCACGAGCACCTAAGGCATTTACATTGTAGTGTATGTAACTACATTGACGGAACTTGAACATGGAATACAACTACAAAAAGGGAATTCTACTACCCACGAGTTGGAGAATGCTGGCTAACAACTATCTCACCTTGCAGAATAGACTTGCCTTGTAATAAGATGTCGGATGTTATGATCTGTCATAATACACATTAGGCAATGAAGCTTTCTAGGCATGCAAACAATTAAAGCAACTTAATATCAGCACGAGCTTGAACTTGATTGAGCATCTTCATAGATAAAAAACCTTCATTTTCCGTCTGTAAATAGTAGTGAAAGCCAATACTAGCCGTGCATAAAAGACCGAGCGCTCAAGAACATTACCATAATCCATCCTAGCTAATATAGCCTCCGTAGGCTCCGCAGGTTCGTCGAGACCATTTTACGCATCAGCGGCAGCAACCAGCTTCCCCACAATCATGTACTTGCTGTTGAATCTCTCCTCCCAGCCCTGCAAGCTCTCCCACTCCTCAGGTCCAAGACCCTCGAGTTTATCTAGAGGTCCATCGAGATCCTTAGTTAGCATCTCCTCGTCGAAGCTATGGAAAGCAAGGCCGCGCGAAGCATCGCGACCGGCAAAGTTCTCGTAGGGGCCGCCGGGACCGTAGAAGTTACGACCGCTCGTGACGTCGAAGACGCGGCCGCGAACCGCTAGGTACACCGGCTTGCCGTCTTCTCCGTTGAAGTGTAGCAGGGTGCGTGGGGTGAAGGTCCGGAAGACGATGGCAGGCGGCTCGCGCGGAAACGATACTGGAGGGGAGGGTTTGTAGAGTAGGTACGTCGTGTATAGGGTGATGAGGAGGAGTATGACATTGAGAGGCGTGACGAGACCGGTGCTGCGATAGCTTTGTTAGCTTGGGTTCCGGTGATAGGGTTAGCTGTAGGAACGCACTAGATCTCAGAGGGGTCTTTAGCGGCCTCTTGGGCCACGCGATGGTTGACGAAGTCCATTGGTTTTTAAATTGACGAATACCAGCTACGCAATAAGAAGGCAATATCGTGGATACTCAAAGTATGGTGTACATATATGTATGGCCTCTGACGGAGTTATAAGAGTGATGTTGAAGGATAGACTTCTAGTTTAGTAGAGGTAAGCAAGAGTTAAATCGCGGGCAGTTCGGCAAAGGTGGGGACTGCATATCAATCCGAGTCCGGGTATTCCGCACATGGCTTGAGCTCGGCTTCCAGGTATCATCCGAAGCCTGCTTAAACTTTCGGATCATAGCGTTAGTCTAACCAAGCAATATTTAAACCATTTCACTATATTAATTCTATTCTCGATGTTTAATATCACGGCCCATGGTAATTAAAGACATCCGAACCCTTACTACTCACGATAATATTGGATAGATTCGTTGTGACAATGCATTTACATAATCGCTACAAGCTAGACGTAGGGCTGATCGGTACATGTAGATAGTGTACCTTTTTAAGTATCCTCATGTAGTGCAGGTAGAAAACAACAATGCTTTCTATGAGATGGATTATGACGCAGCTGTGCTACCTGGAATAGCGAATTACAATTAGTCTCATTGCGAATCAGTCTTGCTATCTGTTTCACAAGGGCGAAGTTGACCCCAACGTGATGCCATCAAGGACGTAACTTGGGGTATATGTACCTTACTACTGCCTTACAGTTATTACAAGCATTTTAGACATGTACATAAAGTTTTAGGTACCGTACTAATCAGTTCGTCCCGTCGGCAATCATGGCTGCATGGCACTTTGAATACAACCCTTGGAAGTTGCATACCTCATTTAGGTACCTTAGGAGGTACATGTAGGTACATACATACGTATATGCAAGCTAAAGTACATGTAGTACATACCTCCTAGGTATTCAAAGCCTTCCATCCAACATTGAAATGTCACCAGGCAAGAGAAACCAAACCAAACCAAACAAAACCAAATCAAACTAAACCTCAACAACATTCAAATTCGCAACAAAAAGAGAATGTAGTACTAACGCTGACGGTGGGTAAATCCCATCTATTATCACTCACCGACAATTGGATTTTGGTGTCAAAACCATAAGACCATAATACAAGGACCTTGGCTCATTAAAATGAAAGATTTCTCCTATTTTTACTTGATTCTCCACGCTTTGTGTTGCATCCCCGTCCAATTTTGTTGCGGCTCAGCCTCACTACCAATTGCCATCTGCCATCTGCCATCCGCCATCCATCCAGCATCTAAGCCAGCCAGCCAGTCCATCTTCCTGGCACCTCTTAGCTTTCTGTGCCGCAGAGGCTTAACCCCGAGCCTGCAAGCCTGCAAGCCTACAGCCTGGAGGCAATCAGTCCTAATCGGTTGGAAAACCACAGCTTGCAGACTTTATCAGGCGCGCGTGTGGGTTTTGTTGCCTTTTGTTGCCCTTTTTTTACATGCTGAAGGACCCTTCTCCCCTTTCTCTTGTCCCCCTGCATTATTTTGATTTATCATTTGTCATAGTCCAATCGATCCCATCCTAGCTATCGATATCATTTCCCCGACGTTTTCCTCGAATTTGCAGGAAGACACACTTGGACCATGATCTGAGAAGGGCACGAGGACAGAACCCGTACCATGTTACGACGGATTATCCGTCCCGCACGACGACTGCCACTCTGGCTGATACTTACTGTCGCTGGGCCTTTTATTTTCGAAGTTGTCGTACACCAATGGCAATATAGCGTGCCACGACCCGCGAGCGAGCTTGATGCACCGTTTTTCACCTCGTGCCAGGAGCCCGACGTCAGCGCGAAACGAGAAAATGCGGCCTTAGTAATGCTTGCGCGGAATAATGAACTGGAGAAGGCCAACAGGACAGTTACCTCGATAGAACAGCAATTCAACAGGTGGTTCAACTATCCCTACGTATTCTTAAACGATGAGAAATGGGATCCCAACTTCATAGAGGTTCTAAATAAAACGGCCCGAGGACTAGCCACCTTTGATGTTATACCGCAGGCGCAATGGACGTTTCCCGAAGGCGTAGATATAGATGCAGCGAAGCAAAATATTAAGGAGCAAGGAGAAAGGGGTATCCCGCATGCTGGGGAAGAAGGGTACCACCATATGTGTCGCTTTTATTCGGGGTAAGTTTCGTCCCGTGTGGAGAGGAAAGTTACGGACGTAGCGTATGGCGCATTTAGAATTACCATCCGAACTGACGAACCTTAAAGCAAATTTTATCAGCTCGATGTGCTAAAGAAGTACAAATGGTACTGGCGGCTCGAACCTGACGTCGATTTTACCTGCGCGATTACGTACGATCCCTTTGTACAGATGGCACGACATAAGAAGGTCTACGGGTTTACGATTGCGTTATGGGAAGTGGGAAAGTCATGCCCGGGTTTATACCGCTCGATCGCCGACTGGAAGGAGATGATGGGCATTCCCACGAGCAGCCTCTGGAAGGCTACGGTATCAGCTTCGTGGATGCCGTACCCATTCCGGCGATTCATGAGCTGGCTGCCGAATCGCGATGCGTATGGCGATGGGTGGAGTCTGTGCCATTACTGGAGCAACTTCGAGATTGCCGATATGGATTTCTTCCGAACAAAGGCGTACCAGGACCTCTTCGACTATTTAGATAAAAAGGGAGGATTTTACTTTGAGCGGGTAAGTGGTACAATAGAATTGAAGACGATCAAACTAATAGTGTCATAGTGGGGTGACGCGGCAGTGCACTCTCTTGCCATAGCAATGCTTGCAGACCCGCGAAAGGTACACCATTTCGAGGATTTCGGATATCGACATGCTCTCCTATACCAATGTCCGGCCAACGCGCCAGGTGGACAACTCCCAGAGTCACAGCTACTCGGGAGCGGAACGTGGGCGGCGGAGGAGGATAACGGCATCGGGTGCCGTTGCGAGTGTCCCGGGCCGTCGCCAAGGAACTATGGCTCGTACTGCCTGAATAAGCTAAAGCAGCCCACCACCATAAAACGGCCGTGGTTCGCGTCGTTTCTATAGTATAGAATACCGTGGCGGCCGTCGACGGTTGCTGCGATCAGCATTCTGGCTGTCTATATCTATTGTTACTACTTCCTCTCGAATTTCCACTGGGTCACTAGTCGCATTGGATATGTAACTGGGAAGAGCATAGCCTTGGCGCTTGCGGTGCTTTTGGCGTACGTGTACTTATATCAAACCATCGCATGGGAAAAGGGGACGGGAAGAACTGGATACCAAGGGGCAGTTGTTTTATAGACCTACCGAACTTGTAGGTAGTCGCATGTGCGCATCTGATGAATTCGAAACGAATAATTAAAGTCAATAACCTAAAGAAATGCATTGGTACCGACGACGGTTGATATAAAGTTAACATAACCCCGTTTAAAGAAGTATATAGTGAGTCAACTATTTACATGTGAAACATCTGTCAACAATGGCCACAGGAAAGTTTACTATATATACCTACGCCTCCAATGATGATATACCCGGTTAGCATATCCTAGTACTCTATTAGCTAGCAATCAACAGCCTACCTGCTTAACCGTACCTAGTCTAACAAACAACGCCTGCAATGCAACTTTGACGCCGACACGTGAGCATATATAAGATAGACATACACCCCCCCTTATTCTATTCTCATGATTCTTATAACATAGAGACATCCCTCTGTAGTACCCCTTCTATTAGATTTCGATAGATCTATCTTCTAATCCCCTATCGCGACCGTCCTGGTCTGATGCTCCACTCCTAGTCGTCATCTTGATACCTGGGGCCTTGGATATTGTTATTGTGGTAGTCTGGGAGTAGGACGTCGTCAACACCAGGACCAGCGACGTTCATATTACGAATCCATTCAGTCTCGACACGGAAGAATATCCACACCCATCGGCGGAAGACTTCGAGCAACTCGATCACGAAGATGGATCCCTCCCAGTCGGCCATCCGGCCTAGATGCGGGCTTAGCTTTAAACTCCACGTGCACCGCAGCATCAGGTCCATCGCGATGACGCTGTAGTATAACGCCGGTGGCCCGATATGCAGACGCCGCCGTAGGCCAAAGGCCGTCAGGTCCGGTGCGTTCCTCGCTTTAGCGTCGAATAGTGTCAAGTCCCAATCCTTAGCTACGTCCCAGTAGAAACTATACAGAGAATTGACGACACAGGCTACAATCCACGCCCGGTAGTAACCAATGGGCGGAGGTTGTCCACCCGTAGAGTTCCGCTGCAACGTGCTAAAGATAATCACGGGAAACGCAGTGGAATATTTGAGCGCGTTGGCTAGATGCTGGCCACCCCAGCCCGTAGACTCGGTGATACGCCCGCGCCGCACCCGGCCGTACTCAATGAGGCACTGGCGCAGACGGATAAGCGAAGGCACCGCCATGACAAGCGGCACTATGAAAGTGCCTCCGCAACCACGGTCCGGACGCGCAGTCGCGCTACCCTCGGACCGGAAGAACATACACAGCGCAACGTACAGGTCCGCGAACACCTTGGCGTAGCTAGTCAGCACATCGGCCAGCAGAATATCGCCAAACTTGCCATCCTTGGCCTCGGCGAGCCCGCCGACGCTAATACGGCGGAGCGTGGCGCGCAGGCGCGTGCGTCCGCCGTGCGATAGCGACTTGAAGAAGGGCGCGAAGACGAGGATGCCGATGAGCACGGCGAGGTACAGCAATGGGAGCCAGTCCCAGGCTAGCACCAGGTCCGGGTCGCGGTGCGTAAAGGCCCAGAAGACGAGCAGGGCGAAAGCGAAGACGGCGGAGAGCACGGTGGCGAGGCGGTAGGTGGATAGGTGGTGCGTCGGGTGGTGCGGCGAGGACCGGCCCGGGTACCGGATCAGCGAGGGCACGTCGATGCCGGATATGTATAGGTAGTGTAGGTTGATGCCCCAAGCCCAGACCGCTGTTTGGGCGAGTTAGTGTCGAATTGGTGGAGAGTACGACGGGGAATAATAGAGGGGAATACACACCTAGCACAATTATAAAGGCGACGCGGTACGGCAGGGGAAACGTCAAGCTGAAGGAGTCGAGCTCCGGCTCGACTGCTGGATCACCGTCCATGGCGCTGCCGACTCTGAGAACCTAGCATCGAGACCCTACTCCTTGACGAAAGTCCAGACGGACGCTAACGAGTGAGATCGGGGGGTCGCAGAATCCGAATTGGTGAGGTATAGAGCCGTGAATATATTTGTTCGTGGGGTGTAATTGGTGGACGGTGTTGTCAATTGTTAATACATAGATAAGGATCGATATTCGTACATGCCAGATAATTACATACCGGTTTTTTTTAATTGAAATTAGCATATTGGCGACGTCACCTTGGCGCGGTACTATGTAGGCTAACCTATAACGAAGTACCGTGGATCCCTGCCGCGCTAGCGTTGAAGCAGCCGAAACCCCTGGCCGGCTAGCCTGTAGTAGAGGTAAGAACGGTTATCCAATCGCCGAGGTTCAGATACTTGCAGGTGCATCGCATATCGACAGCTTCACCTGCTTCACAATTTAGACCTTCACAGCTTCAACAACTTCTGCAAACATACAAGACGACGTATTATACAACCCTTAATACCAACGATATAATTTAATTCAATACGCTTGAGGATCTTCAAATCTCTATTGATATGCCCTCACGACCAAACATATTATAAACACTTTACCACAATGGCAACCGACACGGCGCCACCGCCCTCCAGTTCTCCATCCTCCTCTCTCTCCTCATCAGAACCGCCGACATCATCACCATCCTCCCCCTACCCCTACGCCTTCGCCCCCGACATAATCCGCGCGCACCAAAAAGACGCCTACTTCCAAGGCCTTCTCACGAACCAAATCGCCGACCTGCACCGACACCTCCTCGGCGCCCGTTCCGCCCACGCCTGGGCCCCCGAGTCCCGCACCCTCGCCGACCTCCTCTACCTCTCCCTCACAACCCTCCTCGGCAACCGCACCCTAGGCGAGGAGTACTGCGGCCTAGTCCAAGTCGAATCCGAAACCGGCGCTCTCCCCGCGCTAAGCCGCCGCGCCCTCTACATCGCCGGCAGCATCCTCGCGCCCTACGGGCTATCCCGTCTGCTCCCCAAGCTCCGCGCCCGGATCCGCGCGCGCCTGCAGCAGAACCTAGGGCTCTCGTCGACAACGAGCCTCGACGAGATCAACGCTAGCCTGAAAACCCGGCAGACCTGGTCCTACAAGCTGCAGGCGTACCTCCTCACGCACCTCCCCTCGCTAACCTCCGAGTCCCACGTCCACGCCGTCAGCCTCGCGCTGTTCTACTTCGGCGGGTCGTACTACGAGCTAGCGAAGCGGGTCGCGGGCCTGCGGTACGTGTTCACGCGCAAAGTGGGCGAGTCGTCCGACCGCGCCGGGTACGAGCTTTTAGGCGTGCTGCTGGCCGTGCAGATGGCCGTGCAAGGATACCTGCATGTGCGGACTGCGTTTGCTTCTGCATCTCCCTCTTCCTCCCCTGCCAGTTCTGAGCGCGCCAGGCCCGATGGTATCCTCGCTGTATCGCTCGATAGCAATACCTACGCTTCTAATAACGAGCTCCTCCTCGCAACGGCGGCCGGCTCTTCTCAGGGGACGACTCGCATCGATGTCTTGGCTGCGACGCACACGCCAGCACCGCCGGGAGGCACCGGCAACCCCCGATACGACTTGTCTGACGAGAAGGGTATGCGCTGGATCAAGGGTACACAGCAGCGCAAATGCACGTTATGTCTCGAAGAGCTCAAAGATCCGTCCGCCACACCGTGCGGTCACGTCTTCTGCTGGGCTTGCATCGGCGACTGGGTCCGCGAGAAACCCGAGTGTCCGCTGTGCCGTCGCGAGGCGTTAGTCCAGCATATTCTACCACTACGGGCTGTTTGATATGACGTTTGCGTATGTCTAATATGAATAGGGGGCGAGGTTTTGTCATAGCCGGGAAGGAATAATACACCATAGCATCGCGGTATTTATCATAATGAAAAACAAAAGACACAACGACGTTCAAATATTGGAGACAATAGATATGCTCTACACGTGATTGGAAATTCTAATAGCCTCTCCATCCTCTTATCCTCCACATTACCTGCGTGCCCATACTCAAACACTCGAAAAGGACAACCAAGAAACGTACAGGTGGTGATGACAAACCGATAACCAATCCGAGCCGACCCGCTCTGCTATTCCTTACACGACCTCCTCTATAATGAGGCTTCAAGACCAGCTCAGAAGCAGCCAGGTTTCCATACGGAAAACCGACGGATCCCAGATTGTCCGTCCTCCCTCGTTTTCCCCTAAACCGCCATTCCGCACGTAGGTATCACATTAATTCCCCAGAAAACAACCCTATTAGAACGCCATTACTCTTTTCTTCTTGATCGATACATATTCTCAAGCTTCAACCGAGAACAAGACAATCTCTCCCTGTTCATTACGACGCATACGTAATGACCGCCAGAGCTCCTTCTCCTCCATTGACTTGCCCAAGCTGGTACCCGACTCCGACCGTTCGCGATGGAATCTCTTCAGAGCCTTGTTTACGCTGCAGCCTCGTTCGCTTTCTGGGCCCTTGTTACACAGGCTCAGGAACAGGTCGGATCTCGGTCGGTAAAGAATCATCTGACCCGACTCGCCGTCCTTCTCATCCCCTGATTTCGTTTTATATTCGATTAGCTTTGGGGCTTTTTCGGAACTCGACCGATGGTGATTTCTCGATTTCTTCTCGTTTTTATCTTTATCTGATGAATGCTTCCGCTTCTTAGACACCTTCGACTTTGAAGTTCCCGATATGAAAGCTCTAAGTCCCCCGCTAATTGTGTCTGTCCGACTAGATTTAGTCTTGTGGGACTTGTGTTTTGTCTTCCTAATAGGGGTCGTTGGTGATTTCTCGGCTCCGTCGCCTCCGGAGTAGTCTGGCGATGGAGGGAATTGGGATGGGCGCATCATACGGTTCAGACCACCGGTCAAGCCCGAGTGCAATACAGGCGGCGCATCAGTCATTACTTCGTCGCCATGCGCCGCTTCCAGCGCCAAAGGTCCAGGCGACGTCTCGATATGTAGTTGCTTGCGTTTCTTAGTCTTCTTTCCGTCGCTATCCTTCGTCTTCCTTCGCTGAAGCTTAGGTGCTGGTGTCTCGAACGCCTCAGCGGGGACGGAGCCAGTTCCGTAATGAACCATTGCACCGTCGTCGACCATATATCCTGTCGAGTCTACGTAATCTTCCGTGGTCTGCTCGAAGCGCACGAGCTGCCGGCCGCCACTAGGCGGTGCAGGGTTATCGTAAAATTGTAGGTTGACATTAGAAACAGTTGGTGTATCCAGAAAGTCAAAGACGTTCACATTGGGATCGTCAGCGGCGGCAGGGGGAGGAGTGGGCGCTTCCGGCGGCGGCATTGTTCCCATGTGTCCGTCTTCGCCATCGTGAACTTCATATTGCCGGTAGTCTTCGTACTCCTCCGTCACGTCTTCGACGTACGCGTTATGAGCCATAGCTTCGGTTCTATCGTAGGATTCGACGCCGTTGGATTTCTGTCTCTTGGGTTTGTATAGAGAGCCTTGGTATTTTTGTTCTTCTGACATGCAACTCTGGTCGCGATACACATTAGACTTGTCTGTTTCATTTAGAAGATAGGCTTGCGACCTACACTATGCGCGCGATATTCAGTTCCGGGAAAGTGTACCATACAATCAATGCAGGTGAAGGAAGCGCCGTAACAACGATTTCTGTGTGGGTCAAGTTTCTTTTTGGTTAAAACGTCACCGCAGGCCTGTGGGGAGAAGAGGTCGAGTTAGATGGATAAAAATACAATGCAAAGAGACAGTGGGTTTAAAAGATGCGATGAGGGATACGGAGAGCGCAATTGGTTTCAGGGGGCGTGTGTTTTATCTGGTTGGAGGGGCAGAGGGGTGGGCAAGATCAGGAGACGAGACAGAGAGCGGCGGTTCCAATATTATGGGGTAACTATAAACAGGGGGTAACGGTAAGTGGGTGTGAAGGATGGTGGATGGTCAATGCCCAGGTGATGTATTGGCTATGTATGGTGTATGTATGGTGATCGGAGGGATGGCGCGAAAGATCTGAAGGGCTAGAGGGCTAAAGGGGGGCAACGCAACGCGAAACGTCGTGTGTTGCTCGAAAGGGAACGCCAGAAAACACCAGAAGGGAGGGTTGAGAGCCGTGATGTCAGGCACACTGGGGGGCCCTTGGGGGGGTTAAAATGATAGAATTGGCAATATTACCTCACACGAAAAGGAAACCATGTTTCTGAGTGGTCTAGAAGCGATGTGCTGTCGGATATGTAAGATATGTAAGATGCTGATTGGCGCGCAGCTGCACGATTTCGTGCGTGTAGCTTGGCTGTGAGTGGTCGAGTGTTAAATTTGTTGATATTTTCTGTTTTGCCTCTTTTTTCTTGGGGACCTTGGGGCTGCAGATACAGAGATGCAGATGCAGAGATGGCAGTGCAGCGTCAGATAAGTGCAGATGGGTGAAGTCGGATAAGAAACCTGCGCTGATAGGACGAAAATGGAACCCGGCTGATCAGGATCTGGGAATTCCAACTCGGGAACGATATAGTAATGATGATAGACGGCGCGTTCCTAGCCCGTATGACAGGATTACTATGGACTGTGGTGTTTTTCCCTGCTCAAGGTGCCACAGTCTGTTGGAACGATACACTTTCAAGTATTTCGTCTTAATGCTGCTCACAAGTACGTCGTCGTAGACACCAAGTCGTACAATTGGACAATCAAGTAGGACTCTTCTCAGGCAGTGGTGATAAATGCCAGCGAAGATGACGGAACCGGACGTATTCAGATTCCTGAAAACCAGAGCTCTAATCGGGGGCCGAAGTTAGCTGGGCAGTCAATTATCGCCCCAAGTCAAAGCTCTCTTTATTATTAGAACAGCGAGCGATCTCGTCCGGGGTAACGATTGCAAGCTGATCTATTACAGGATCGCGGAAAAGGAATTGGAGGCGGAGTTGGCCAGGATCAGAATTGGAGTATACCAAGTTTAAAAGAGTAAACAAGTTCGGCTGGAAAGCTCAACAAGAATGATTATCTTGCGACCCGACAATGGGGGATCCGAGATTCTTGCGATAATTCTTTTTTTTAAGAATTCGGGTGTGCAAATGTGCAAATTTCATTGAAGTTTTTCGCGTTGGGCGCCGTTGCGTTATGCGCTGCGGGTCTTCTCAATTGGGGGTCAGTTGGTTACCGAGAGGGGCAGCTGTCAACAGGCGCTAGAGCTGCGACAGTGCCCAGGATGATCTTCAGCGTTGGAAGTAACGAGCATGCTGATTCGCTTATTCAACAGCCAAGCTTATAGCATACATGTAGCTAAGGTAAGGTACCTACATCCCGGGTAGATGCCTTACGTACATATATACATATATACATCCGTACCCAATATCATATACCTAAGGGCAGGGCATTAGGTAGTCCTAATTGTAGTCTTAAGTGTTTATTCTATAATATATTCATCTTATTGCCTTAAGTACTTCACATTAACAGAGTAGAGCCGACGCGCATAACGTTTGTCGTTTACGAGGGTTAATGCATGCAACGATACAAACAAGGTAGGTCGGTAAATCGACCCATACTTTAGCATTATCCTAATTGACAAGATGTTCCTAAGTTGGTAACTGGTGAGATTCGAGAAGAGCCGACTCTCTTACTGATACTACATACCTCCTAACTCAAGGTATGCACTATGTATAAAAGTACCTAAGGTAGAGACAGACCAGGAACGGAATGGCATCGAAACTTTTGACCAATGATGATCCGGCTTAGCGTTGTTTATATCAATCCAAAACCGTTGCGGAACGCTAAGATTGGGGGACCTGGCGCTTGTAAGTTGTGATCTATAATTACCACCTATTCAATCTCGTGACCATAGGTAATAAATACCTTTATGCACCAGTATTTAATCCAGACTTCAAAATGAATTCACATACGACTCATATTTTTCCAATAAAACTTAGTTGCCCTGCCTATATATGATCATGTTATATATATTGATAGCCAAGCACGGAAACGATCGCCCTCACTTAGAAAGATCGGTAATTACGTAAGATACTTACACGAGAGTGATCGTAAGACCAGAAGAAAGTGATGAGACCGCCAGCCAGAATGGACCGCCTCAAAAGTCTAAAATTCAATAGTAATTGAGGTCTAGGTAAGAAGTGGTTAGTATGTAACAGTGTACTTTGAAGCTAGCAAAAGCTTGCTAGGTTTAGCTAGCTACCTTAGCACTAAAGTTTGCCTACAACTACCTTGTAAAATCGATCCCCGGGCAAGTTCGACCGTGGCTCACCCGTTGTTTACGGGTGTTTGAGATTTTTCTAACTGGACGTTCTTTCGCTTCCAAGACTTTCAAAGACCCAATCGACCAACAAACCCCTGCCCGATATTCCCGTCATCAATTCCCAAATTCCCAAATTCCCAAATCCGCGAGTCAAGACCCTCCGCTCCACACGAACGAATGCAAGCCTCCCCTAGGTACTCCTTTTGTGCGTTTCATGTATTTTGGCTAGTACTTTACATAATAGTATAAGCACTTCTTTCATATCTCCCTTCCGTTCTCTCTCTCTTCTAGAACAAAAAGTCCGGGCTACTTTGGTTAGGCCATGTCTCCTTCAGGAGCATCATCGTCACATCTGAGCTATCTGGAGCAGGCCGTCTCGCTCCTTTGTACCGTGGCCGCTTACATGCGTTTGCCAGCTTTGGCCTCCACGGTATGCCTTCACGCTCATCCTCTTTCCAGTCTTCGGCATCCACCTCGTCTACTTCGAAGTTCTTCCGAGCATGTCGAAACACGCAAATCGCCATTGCCAGACAATGCCGGGCCGCAACCGAGCTAACAAATGTCACTCAGGGTGTTGCCGCCGTTCTAACCACCCTACTGTACTTCAAGCAAAAGTGAGCAGCCCGGCGATCTGTCGTATACTCCCCACCCCTCCAGTCTGAGCGTATCATCTGCTATAGAAAGCTAACCACCTTACTCACCCCCCCTTTACAGAGCGCTAATCTACCCGTCTCACATGCCCCCGAATGCTCGAACTAATGTACCTCGACCTTCGCAATTTGGTATCAAAGATTTCGAAGAATTAGTTATACCTACCAACGATGGCGAGAAACTATCGGCGTTCTATATACGCGGCCCGAAAGGTGGTCGTCATTCAAAGTGTACTATATTAATGTTCCACGGTAATGCTGGCAATATCGGGCATCGGCTACCCATAGCTCGCATGCTCATCAACTATATTGGTTGTAATGTCTTCATGCTCGAGTATCGGGGCTACGGTTTATCGACTGGGGAGCCGGATGAGAAAGGGATCGCAATCGATGCCCAGACCGCCTTGGATTATCTACGAAGTCGAGCCGAAACAAGCAGTCACAAGCTTGTTGTTTACGGACAAAGTTTAGGAGGAGCCGTAAGCATTAAGTTGGTATCGAAGAACCAACATGCGGGAGATATTGTTGGTTTGATATTGGAGAATACGTTTCTCTCCATGCGATCATTAATTCCATCCGTTATCCCTCCGGCGAAGTATTTGACTATGTTGTGTCACCAAGTCTGGCCAAGCGAGTCTATTTTGCCGTCTATTACAGAAGTTCCCATATTATTCTTGAGTGGCCTTCAAGATGAGATCGTCCCGTAAGTTAACCACATTCATTCCGTCACATTTCTTACAAGACAAAAACCATGTGATGATTTAAAACAACCATCCACAAAACCTGAGCTCCCTTTCGAGCGCGGATTAAAGCATTGTTCCTGATATAAAGCCCCTCCACGCGGCAGGCTTGGCATGTCTCAGTTGAAGAGCTCAGCTGATTTGTCGGCTAACATCACATGTCTTAGACCCTCCCACATGAGGAAACTATACGAATTAGCTACTACACCCACTAAGATATGGAAGCCGTTACCGGGTGGCGACCATAATTCTAGCGTATTGGAGGAGGGATACTTCGAGGCCATATCAGATTTCGTATCCAACAATGCTGGAGGTGAGAAATCATAATGTTAATTGGGACAGATGCTTCAATATTTCGGACGACCGGGCAAGATTGGGCGTTGGGTTTGTCAAGGCCAATCGTCCTTTTTAATCGTTTACCTTGAAAGATACCCCTACCTTCACGTCAGATTACGTGATGGGTCTTACCTATAGAATATGGTATATTGATATTCTTATGCGTAACAGACGATTGGTGTTTTCAAATGTTCGGATAGCTAAATGAAATGCAGCAATACGCTCTAATGACACAATATTTCATAAGACTTTTACGGTTCACGTTCCGGGGAGAGAGACCCAAATTCGTAGGATTCTGTCAACAACAAATCCTGCGGCTAAATGCTAACAGTCCCTTTGCGCGCTTATCGGATCCAACTGAAGTCGATTTATGCAAGTCTCTTGCGCCGCATACGTGTCACCTATCAGCAGGGCTTCTCTAAGTTAAAGAAGTTGCATTCATTTGCCATCGTCGATTGTCCCATGCTTCATCTTTGTACGTCTCGCCCTTAAAAGCTCTACATAGGTAGCCATATAAAGTAGAGATTACGAAACCTTCAGGCCTATTCGACGTCTAAGCGGCCTGGCTTGGCTAAGAACGTTAAAAGCCACTTGTTATCATCATCACCACCCGACCCTGAATTGAGTCGATGAAGTTGAGCGATGGAACAACCAGGTTCTACAGTCTTGGATAGGGGTAAAGACCCGATTCGATAATTCTTATTATATTGTGCTTATGGTCTCACAACTCAGGCCCAGTCGCTTTTACAATCAGAGAAATAGCCCAACCCAGTGACTCATTCATCAGCTCGATTGAAGGTAAACCGTGAGGCTAGTACTTGTCAGCTTAGCAAATCAATATCTTCGATTCCAATAATCAATCCCGCCCAACCTTTTTCATCCAACATAATCCTTTTTATCTTAGACATTGTTAGGCTTAACCTAGGCCATGTGATATGTTGTCTGTCCAGTCAGACCCCCAGAAGAATAGCTTTCTGAGTCAGTTTTAGTCGGACTAAAAGTCGGCTAAGGGGGTCATTCTAACATATTTCCCTGCAATCGAGGAGGTTAGGATTTCAAAGCATGTGCGGGTGAATTATGGGTTTGTATGGATAGATTGCAATTTTGACTCTTCTTGAGGCTCTGCGACTTGAACCTATAATAGTATGACTTCGACATACGAGTCTTACTACACACAACGTAGTTGAAGATATTGAACGATTAGACAATCCAGGACTCAAGGGACTATTATTAGCCTATTAATAGTTATACCTTTCAATAGAATACGTTCCAACGAAATGAAGGAAAACTGTTATTCATTTTAGTTGACTTGTGAGCGCGAGTATAACTACTTATTAACAAGTCTATATATCGGCGATAGTTAATTAATAAGAATACTACCTTAGAGCAGTTTCACATTCTAATTTAATCCTCTTGTCCAGCCCTACGGTGGTATCTTTTAGGTGAAAAGCAAATACCAAGATCCGGATTTGGTCGCACCCCGATTATTAGGTCTTGGTTCCTCTCCGCAAAATCCCGGATCCTGAAGAAACTATGTACCCAGGCAGCGTGTAAGCTACTTGCATTAGCACGGATAGGTTAGCAATAAGTTTCGAGGCTAAGTCGGAGCTGATCCGGTTATACGATTCATCTGGAGAAGCTATAGACTTAACTAACCCCGAAATTCACTCTTGAGTTTAATGTTACAATCGTTTCCCTGTCTCTCAAGTAGCTATTAGACCGTTTATGCGTAGAGATCCCTTGGTTGACCTCACCTTAGTGTATGCAACTCATATTAGCCAAGTATAGTTCGGACATGTTTAACGTATGTTCGCTGTTAATAAATCAAGTAGATAAGTATGGTCTTTCCATCGGTAGAATCAGTATCAAAAAGCCCAGCATTCCCGACGGCAATATGGAGACTTCAGCCGCATCAGTACGGCCTCTTTCCTGTCGCTGCTGAGAGAGGGGGCCCCCTGAATATTAGCTGGGAGATCCATGGCGAAGGGCCTATCAATCTTATTGTAAGTATCTTCCTTAACCTGCCTATTCCCCATGATAGTAGCCCTAACAAGATTAGCTCATCGGTGGCATTGGTCTGGCAAAGGCGGATTGGCAGCAGCAAACCTTGTACTTCGGTCACGAACGTGGAGACAGGTACTCCGTGCTCGTCTTTGATAATCGCGGTGCGGGCGAGTCAGACAAACCGGTGATGCGGTATAGTACGTCGGAGATGGCGCGTGATTTGCTTGAGGTCCTGGATCATCTCGGTTGGACAGCAGATCGTCAACTTCATATCTCGGGTGGTAGTAGTATGTATCTTCTAATCCCCCCTTTTCTTAGCCCCTCTTTTTCTTATAGAGGCCTTCGAGGCTGGCCCCTTTACTCAAGCCACATATGAATATCCTATCCTATCTATGCATAGTGGTCATTAATTCAAATAACTGCAGTGGGCGGCATGATCGCGCAGGAGGTTGCAGTCCTAGCACCAGAGCGCATTGCTAGTCTGAACCTGCATTGTACCGCGGCCAAGTTAGAGAACAATGGCACATTTATGGAGAGTATGGGCCGCCTTGGTGCTTTGTTGCCTAGAAGCCTCGACAGTGAGATCCGCTCCACGGCAAATGGCTGTTTCCCAGAGGAGTGGCTCATAGCCCCGGATCAGACAGAGCTGCCTAGCGAGAAAACACCAAAGTGCGAAGTACCTGTTGGCGGGTACGGGAAGTTCGACAGCAACTACGAGCGATTTGCAGCGCAAGAGATACATATGCGGCGGAACAAGAACGGGTTTCTATTGCAAGCGGTCGCTGGCGGATTCCACCGAAAGAGCCCTGAACAGCTGAGAGACCTGGCGGACCGGGTATCTAGGGAAAGGATCATGGTCTTGCATGGAACTGTAGATAGGATGATTCCGGTGGACTATGGTAGGAAGTTGATCGAGTATCTGAACCCTGGGAAGGCTTTGATCGTTGAAGGGCTGGGACACGCACCGATTCAACAAATGACAAAATGGTTTAACGAGTTGCTAGAAGAGAGGTGTGCCCTTGGCGAAAAGTTGAGTGGGAGATAAGCTGGATTCTGCCTTGGTAAAATAGGGGGAAACATATTAATGAGCACAACCTACAATGGGAATATTCTCAGCTCATCTTGAACGCTATGTGCTCTTAATACACAAATCCTATCACTTCTAGCGCGAAGCATAGTATAAACACTACAATGTTGGATACCAGGACAAAAGCTTCTACTAGTAGGGAGAGCATAAGTGAAGAGGCCTGACAATGATATGACAACAATTTCACGTGTACACCCACAACAATGCGTGATATAAAGGTAAGTATAGTCGTGGCAGTTGTCGAATGACAGGGTGCTAGACGCCAGGTGTTGTGTCGGCGTCTAGTCGGCTGCCAGGCCACATACCTGAGTCAGATAAAGGTTATATACCATAATAAAGATCATCTTTCAAGCCGGGTCAGACTGTTGGTGAAGTCGCCTGAGGAATGGTAGTCCTGATGTTCTAGTTAGCTCAGTGGGCTAATGCGGTCAAAACGAAGTCAATGACAAGCGGAAGGCCGAGTCACATCTAAGAGCACAGATAGATGACGGACTGCTATGAAGGAGAGGTCGGTTCGAATCCGGCACCTGGTAATATTTTTTGTTCCTTTTTTCTTTATTTATCTCTATTAGTCCCCCCTTATGTGTCATTCAGTATTAACCCCCCTATTATGGGCACGGACCATTAAAGCTGGCTTTTGCCATAAGGAGGTCTGCATCCGAGACTCGCCGTGCCAATCAAGAGTTGGATCGACAAGTTGTAAGTCATAGACCCAGAGCAGCTTCGCAAGCGTAGTCCGCAACTCTAGCCATGCCAAGTTTCTACCAATACATCCTCTAGGGCCTAATGACCATGGCTGACTACAATCCAGGCTGTTGCTTCCGTCAGATTCGAGCCATCTCTCCGGCTTAAATTCCCATGGGTCTTGGAAGTTTGCTGAGGCTAGACAGGCTGAAAGAGGACTTGTATACACGGTGATCTATGAAGAAGTCAGCAAGTTTCCTTATGGTACTCGATAGAAGCTAGTATAGTAGGTATAACGTACCCCTCCAGGAAGAGGACAGCCATCGACTATGTCTCCACCATCTGGTACAAGACGAGGGAGGCCCATTGGTGTTGGGGGATATAAACGCATTCCTTCTAGGATGACTGCACGAAGGTAGGGCATTGACACGGTAGAAAGATAGCCAATGTCTGAGTATTTCTTGAACGTTCCTCGGATCTCGTCTGCTAACTTCGCCAGGGCGTATGTGTTTTGCAGGAGGTAGTAGACTATGGCAGCCAGACTAGACGCAGTGGTGTCACTCCCAGCAACGACGAAGTCAGAGGCGTGAGCAGCAATTTGCCTATCTGATACGATTCTAGGATCTCTGTCCTCGAGAATCCGGGTTAAAAAGTCTTTGCGATCTGTTTTTCTTGTTATCCGCCTTATTGGAGTTAGTAAATGTAACAATACGTTAAGCGTTAGGTTTATTTTACGCATACCTTTTAACAAGCTCGTAACATAATCGTTCGTTGGTTCTAACACCCTCCACGGCTTTCTTGAACTTAGAACGCATGAGTACACGAAGAATTGCGCCGAGAGTGGGATAGCGGCTGAAAATATCTATAAACACTCCTTGCATCAAACCATCCAGGGTTGTAGATATCCAGGGGTGTCGTTCATCTGCGTTATCCTTTAGCTAGAGGCCAGTTGAAGAGTTCCAAGCAAAAGTTAAAAGACTCACCACTATCCAGCGCTCCAAATGTCTCTCCAAAGGCAAGGTCACCCGTAATATCAAAAGTCATCGATTCGAACAACGTCGATATATCAACCCCCTTTTCCGTAGAGCCTTTGATGCCAACTAGTCGGATAAGTTTATCAACAGAGGTAGCAACAAGCGATTCTTGCTCTACAATGGCGCGATCGGAAAATGCGCCAGCTAGACTATTTCGCATCTCCTTGTGGACTTCCGGTCTTCTCTCGCTTATAATCGAACTGATTCCGTTTCCAGCGAAGTTACCGCCGTCGTAGAAAGTTCCCTTTATGAATATTTGGCGACCGGGTTTCTGGCCATAGATATCTTTCCACGACTGAGCAGTGTTGAAAGACACCTCGTTTGGCGCGACGCGGACAACGTGGCCTATGTTATCAGCTCCAGTACATTCATAGGTAGGTACATATATGTATGGCCAACATACCATATTTATTATGCAGTTCAAGTAACTTGTAAGGCTGGCGACCTCCGAGGATCCACGAACAGTATGGAATCTGTAATATTCATAAGTATGGGATCTTTATATAATACATGGTGTTGAACCTACATCGCTAATAGCGGCGATCCAGGGACCTGGAATCTTAGAGAGCGGATGGAAATAAAGGTTGTATATTATCTGAAATGCCCAAAAACCAGCAATCTGCGGATATTAGTTTTGACTATAAAGCTCAAGGGCAGGTCTGTTATTACAATTAGAGCAAGCGGTGTCAGCCCGGCCCGCAAGAATTCGGCGAACATCGTTCGAACTTGTAGGAGTTCCATGGTCGAGAGGTGTAATGTCTGTGTTCCCTTTTCGAGGGCTGTTTATTTATATATGAGGTAGGTATATATAAACCAGGTAACTTATATTCTTGTCTCAGCCACGCGTTTTGTGGAAATTCGAGTCTCATATACGGACTTCTACATGTATATCAACAAGGCCCCCCATCACGGGTTTGATATGACGCTACATGTTGCCCAGGGTAGCCCTACTCGATTTCAGAGGGCATAACCCCCCCAAATTACACGTCAATGCTTCACACATATCGTTATACGGGTTCGAATGCTACGTTTTGATCGCTAAGTATCGTAAAATCGGCCAACTATGCGAACTAGCCCACTTGTAATGAATGTCAGATCCGGCCCAGCGAATCCTAATTAACTCGGCTTAGAAGGCTGGTTGAGGTGGGTTGTGAGAGTACCTACAGGGCTGGTTTAAGACGTCATACTGATGACTTTCTCGGTGAACTAGCAAACAAGACAAGTCGACCGACTATTAAACCCGTAGGAGAGCTCTAGGTGGCTGACCTAAGATTGAAGTCGTAAAAAGTCCGGCCCGAATGTGGCGCGCTTCATGCTAGGTATTCCAATTTCCACCACTTGAAACTAGTAATATCTTCATCGCCGCTTCAAGGATTTCCCTTGTAAGAAGCACATGAAAAAGAAAAGGCTATAGTTCTAGTGTGATATCGTGGTAGAGTAGCATTCTCGGGATGTTGCCCGGATTAGTAATGGACGACTCCGGATCTTGACCGCCAAGGAATGTCACATTAATCACGTTAGACCGCCTAGGTCAAGAGTATGTTAAAGAGGCGGAGAAGAGCATCATCTCGAAGTTTTTAAAGAAAGGAGTACGGATCCGTATAGCCTCGTCCATTCTTAACAAAATTTTGGATTTAACAGCATGAATTATTGGATGATCGGCCGTATAACAGGGGTCAACTATTGAACTACCGTGCACAACGCGGCTATCTTCAAAAGTAACTCTTGACCGCAATCAACTTCTCCACTAAAATAAACGAATAGAGTACCTATTCTAGGTACGGATCCGTAGGTATAGATGGGAATATATAGCAATCTCAACCGGCCAGCCCGAAGCTAATTGGTAAAAAGGGGGGGATAATAATAGGTCCGGATAGCCTCATATTATTTGAGCGAGAACTCACGTGATAGTGAGATCGGATTTATTTACAAGTTCTTGGGTGGAAGATGGAAGATGGAAGACGGTAGATGGAAGACGGTAGATGGTAGATGGTAACCTAAGCTATTCGACCGGGCGCATCAGGTCACAGGTGTATATTATTCGGTGTAAGAATTGGCCGTCGACATCCGTCAATGTCTCGCTCATTGGCTCGTCCTCATGCGCCTCCTGCACATAATTAACGTGATGATTGGGCTACGTCCCCGGATTCGCGTCATATGCGGACAATGGCGTCCTAAGAAGTAACACAACTTGCATTGAGCCGGCTTAATTTTCGTGCGGCCTCAGAGCCTTATCCGATCGCATTGGCCTAAAGAGAGGCCCAGAGGCATCGCGCATATAAGCACCCCTCCCAAACCCCAGCCGTCAGATTTTCCCTCCTTCTTGCTAAGCATTCCGGAGGGGGAGTTGAGAGATCACTCCTCAACCTTCGTAAAAGTGAGTCTTTGCTGTAATATTTCTTTCTAGCTTCGGTATGACTAACCGCGTTTTCTACAGCTAAGCCAAGCTTCGTCGATTGTTACAAGATCCATAGTGACTCCCGAGGGAGGGCACAGACTGTCCTCCCTCGTACTCAATTTCGGAACGATGCAGCAGTAGTCAGGCAAGTAAAGGCTCCGACGGCAATCCGTCAGAGGCCGGTCTCGAGGACGCTTTTGTTGGACTGGAAGCATCTCCTGACCTCTTCGGATTTCCCGGAGCTTTTAATGTTCTCGATTACTATACAGGGGACGATCCAGGGGGGATATTTGGGGAGTGTCTTCCAGATATACGTCCGGATATACGTCCGGGTGTATGTCAGGAGGTATGTCCAGATGTATATCCAAATGTATGTCCAGATATATGTCCGGATGTATATCCGGATGTATGTCTGGGAGGGAGTGGGGGTGAGAGTTGTGGAGAGTTGGAGGATGAGTGGTCTGGCGTGCCGATGCCTGGCCAGTTCCCGATATCGAACTGGTTGGCAGGGAGACTCAACGTCACTCATGGTGATGACGAGTGCAGCCTTTCACCCGGGCAGCCTTTGGAGGCCCAGTTCGCCGATATCAGCCAAAACGAACTGGACTTCGATCCAAATATGGGCTCGGATTTAGACCTGTCGTCACTGAACTTCATCGATCCCAGTGCTGGACAGCCTTCCTTATTAGAAGAGGGGCAGAGCGGACTATCTACGGGCACGCGTTCAGAAAAGGGCTCAGCAGAACATCTTACGGGACCGGATTTCGTGTGCGGCACATGTGACGTCTCCTTCCCTTCCCAGGGCAAGTTAAAGTATGTCTTCCATGATAAGAGATAGGAGTTCACGCTCACCATTTCACAGTACACATAATAGACGTCACGAGAAAAACCATCGCTGCACCCAATGCGAATGGTCTTTCTCGGAAGCACGAGACCTACGCCGCCACGTACAGTCGATACACCAGCAGGAGTGGGACCAATGTTCCCAGTGTGAGAGGAAGTTCAAACGACGGGGTGATAACTTGCGACGGCACATGACGCAGTATTGCAAGTATAGAAATAGAGACGTGGTTTAGGGGGTGAGTTGGCCAGTCGCACAGGCACGCCGGAGGATAAATACGATGGCAAGGGCATTTTTGTTATCGCTTTACATCAATCAGGACACGTTGCTCCGAGGTAACCGCAGAGCCTTGATCGATTTAATGATGTATTATATAGCATATATATGATATAATACATCATTACATCGGTCAAGGATGTGGTTCAGTCCAAACTCGGGCCAAATTCCGTCACTAGGTAGCTACATGAGTTTGTGAGGATGTTGACCTTGTCGGCCTCATCGTCGACAAGGTCAACATCCTCACTGGTAGTACTAGTGGCAGTCATTAATTTAAGTAAATCCCTTGCCATGCAAGCTTACTTACCTTAGGTATATTCTCCCGGATCCATGACTTCATCTTGTATAAATTGACGTATCCCTATCTCGACAATATCGACATTACATGAACTACTAAGAACAGGAGTCTGTACTGTAAATTTACCCAAACATCATGGCTAGATAGAATTCACTCATTCATTTCATGCCTTTTAATTTTCATCTATCTCAATTACTACTCACCAACTATGGGTATACCTTTCCAGCAAGCGTAAAAGTGGATGGATCCGACGTATCGACGGTGTATTCCCATATCTGGTCATCAGATATCCCGTAGAACGTCGCGTCCGTCGTCATCGCAATAGCAGAGAAGTTCGTCGACTCCCCGTCAGCAAAGTTAATCTGCGGAATCGCATTATAAGCTGCCCCATCCCATCGAGCTCCCTTTACGCCCCCGCCTGTAGATAAGGCGACGAAGAGCGCTTCGTTCCAGTTATCCATCGTAGTAGCAGCGAATTGCCGTGTCGTTAGAGGGTCAACGCCGTCTAATATCGTTCCATCTGGTATCGGTTAGCATAGTCGTGGAAACCCGACCTCACCATCTTGCTTCCAGTTCCAATCTCCTATGAACGTTGTCTTGCCCATTGAACTCGGCCTCCTTTGGGAAGCAAGCGTCAGTCCATGGACATAAGTGCCGTTGAGCGACGGCAGAAACTGCATTGGCCCCGATTACCGGCTCTGTGTTGTTGTCCCAATTGCTGGCGTTTGCGATCCTGATGAAGCCCTCTCGCCCCTGGTACGCGAGAACCCAGTTTCCCACGCAGCTATCCCTCGGACAGCGCTGCCAAGCCACCGCTAGCTGTGTGCTGTTCCATGTCCGAAGTATCGACGAGCTATACGTCCAGAAGTTGGGGTTTCCGATCGGATTGTTTAAATTCACCCAACTGATGGTAGGGTCTGGGTCGGTCGAAGCTTCTGAGAACCAGACATGCACCTCGTACAGGGGACCCCATCTATTATCAGCAGACGCGCAAGCCAGGGATGTCCCCGGGATTGGGTGAATAGGCCCCGTCGTCGATGATGACAGTAGCTGGCTGACGTTCTTCGTCGTCCACGTCTTATTCTCAGAGTCCCATTGCCGAGTAATGATAGCATTGTAAGGATCTTGGAAAAACACGTGCCTGTGAATATTGCCTTGGGAGTCTGTCCAGTTGGAAGCCGCAAGCTTTGATGTACTTAGGATATTGACATTTCCCGTCGTCCCTGGTTCTGGTCCCGGGTCTGGCGTTACACTCGAATCGCTGTGGCTGCTAGACAAGCCTCCAGCAACGCCTCCGGCGATGGCTCCGATTATAACTAGTATGACAACCGCCAGGACAATGTAAAAGGTGCGTGGTGATAGTCCACATATCCTTCGCTTCGCATTGCCGTCATTCTGTCCCTGGGCGACTGCTGCCTCCGTATCGACGCCCTTCGCTTCTGGCTTTGGGGTATCCCACGCGTTGAGTGTGGAGACGGGCTGCGGATATTCACCTTCTGGATGAGGTACCACTTCTTTATTTGAACCCTCCTGAGGATTTGAGGCCTCTACGCTTTGTACCTCGAGCGTGCTGTAAGATTCGGGGCCATGGTGGTGATCTACCGATGCCATCGAGACATAGCTACTTCAGATAGTAGCTAGATGTTAAATGAAGACAAGACTTCCAGCATCGCCGTAGGCGAGTTCCCCTCGCACTCCCAAGGGGGCGTAGATATTTAAACGATCGACGTTCAGTAGCGTACTTCTCTGTTCCATCCTTGGCTTCATTTCGTATCCTAAACGCTCTGACGTATAGTCAGATTTTGGATTCAGCTTAGCAACGCAGCCTACTCTTAATTGGTACAAGGAAGCATTCGAAGGACCGAAAACAATAAAAATATGGATAAAAGTCAGCCTTCACGTGTAACGAGTGTTGCAATAAGTGATCCACAACTTTTGGAGCTCGGTATATATCAGCCTATAATACTTATTAGCACGTAGTCAATACTAGGTAGGTCAAGCATCGATCGTATTAGTACTATTATTTGCTATTTAAGCCATTCAAAACGTATAAGCCTCGATAGACCCATATGTGAGTTAGCTCCGCCATCCTTCCTCGTTCCCATACAACATGGTATCCAAGCATCTTATGCTCGGTACTTTGAGATGTACCCCATCTTACACGTGCATGCCGATCCTCATAAGAGCATGAACGCACCACTACGCGGTGTTGCATAGGGCTGAAGATGGAACTTTTTTTCAGCTGTAAATTTGTCCTCGGTGTATGTCCTTCTCGAAGTTTTAACCGAAGCTGCTGGGCATCAAAAGTTTAAAGTTCATCACAAGGTTTCTATTTAGGTAGTTATCTAAGATTGGTACGATGTCCTATGGGGTTGGAAAGCTCTAGGATAATGAGGGAATAGCCATTATTCATATTCTTGCATGATAACATGTAGGTATGACAAGGTATCCGTACGGATTAGGTAATAGAAAGGAATAACGTAACGAAAGGAAAGGAAAGGAAAGGAAACACAAATACGAAATGAGGCTATCACGATGACTGTTGTTGTACTGATTGATTGATGTGGATGATGTATTGTGTGTGTGGGTGCTACCTAGAAAGAATTGCCTTTTGTGTGGGGAATAGTCACGTGTTGCCACGTGACTATCCTTACGTAATGGCATGACTAATTGACATGCCTACATAACATAAACATATAAGTGATAGTTATAGCTTCAAGTATCATTTCTACTTCTCGTAGCTTAGTTATATAAAATTATAAAATTATAAGGAACTTATTCAGCTTGATGCATAGATAGAATTTGTGTGACTGGCAAACAATAAAGAAAACTGGTTGTCCAAACTCTTTCGCGCTTTGGCTAGCTACATTCAACGACGAGATACCAAGCAAGATGAGCAGCCAATATCAATAGCACCTACATACGAAAATCGCTACCCGGGCGGAGCTTCATTAGTCAGACCACCGAGTCGTACTTTGGAAACATCTGGCCACAACATAGTTGATGAGTGCATGCGGCCCGGACCGGTTAAAAGTGGAACCTCTCCGGAATCTACCTGAGCTGAGATCCGGGAGCTGTCGGATATGTTGAGATGTAGTGTAACTAGTCGATAAAAAGCTAAACATTGAACCAAGTTCAAAGAAGGTGCCTGGATAGCTATAGAGCAAGCGTATAGAGGTAGACATGTTGCGTAATGTACGGTTTCCGGGAATAGAAAATCAAGAATTGTCTTGCAGAACCATTATAAATGTGCTCCTGTTACTGTATAGTTTAGCCATCAATGCTTTTAACTCCCCGCTAGCTGACCAAAAACTAATGTTCTTTTGAGGTGCGAACCCTTTGCATGTTGCTTCCAGTGTCGAGAAATGTATGTACGATGCCCATATTCCTACACCATTACCCCTATCACCTATCCGGTCGTCCGTTTACTTCCTTTTCCTTTCCGCGGCGTCCATCTTCTCTTCGAGTTGCTCGACGTACGTGTTCAGTCGTTGGCACGCAGCCTGTAGAGCCTGTTTTCCGGACACCACAAGTTAGTCGGGGTGTTGCTTCCGAAGGAGTCGAGGTCGAGAGGGAGGAGGGTGAGGAGGAGGAGGAATTCATGTCTAGGAAAAGAAATCGCTAAAGACGGTCCCCAACTCCAACGCTGGAAAGCAAAACGCAAGATTCGGAATAATCAAATGCAGTAACGCACATAGATGTCCTCCGTCAATAACTCGTTGGAGGCCTTATATTCTCGTCTATTGAACTTAAGGTTAGTATTTTGTTCTCGCCTATTCTTATAGACGATGCTCTTGGTTGAAGTCCCTGTGATATAGACGTCATGTATTCGCATGGAGCGTATTCACGGATCCTAGAGACTTGTGGAGCGTAGTCGCGAGATTATACTGACAGGACATAGCCGTAAATGCCAGCACCCGCGAGAGTCGAACCGAGGAGGAAACCAAAGAGCCTGCAGCAATCCATGTGCTATTAGTCTCTAAATAAACCCTTCTATTATCGTATATCTAACTCACCCTCCGCGAAAGGCACCCACGGGCTTGCGAACAGGTAAGGGAGTCGTTGCGTCGGCCATCGTTCGTGCTGTTGCGTGGAAACTGCGTGTAGCGCGCATTGGAGCGGCCACGGAGGCGCTTTGAAGTCGGCCGAGTAAAACCCTCGACGCCATGGCTTTCGAACAACGAAATTTAGATATTTCCGTGCGCGATGTTTAAATGGATTCCACTAAAGTCTGTGCTGCTTTTTTAAAGTTGGGTGGCCAAAAGGCTTCAAAGAAGACGTCAATTAATTGAGTTACATAAGAGTTCCCAAGGTGGGTCCTAAAGTTGCTCAGGCGGCGGATATTTCTCGGCAGCATCTTGACAGTTGGTCAATCTCGGGAACAGCTCACTAAACGAGTCCTCTTGGTTGGTTACTACATTTAGGTATGTACTACATTGCTACGTAAGGCCAGAAATAAGAAATATTACCTCACTTCGTACGGCACAAAATCAGTGAACAGCATCAAAATTATCATCAAGACCAAAACAAAACAATCATGAAACATATAAACGGAAAATTCATGACCCTTTATGCTGAACTACCTGAAGTCAACATTCGTATCCCAGTCCCAGTGACCCAGCGTACCGGCCGATTAAGATGTCCGGTTCATATAACTAGAAAGTGTACATTTGCTTTTTCTTGACTCATTCTCGATTCCCTAGTTTACAACTCGTCGTGCGTCGACTGCGCAGCCTCGCTGCTAGTAGACTTGGATTCAGTTGCGGCGGGAGCAACGGGGGTCTCTTCCTCCTGTCCTTCCGACACCTCGGCCTTGTACTTGCCGTTCTCCTTAACAAACTTGATCAGGTCCTCAACAGTTCGGCTGCCAGAGTAGCTGATCGGCTGGTCCTTGGCGCCAGCGGGGTACAGCTTGATGGTAGGGAAACCCTGGATCTCATCGGGCACGTCGTTGGCAGTAGCGTCAACCTTTGCGATGACGACCTTGTCCTTGAACTCGCTCTTGCTGTACAGAGAAGCAAGGTCCTCGTACTTAGGGGCGAGAGCCTTGCAGTGACCGCACCAGGGAGCGTAGAACTCGATCAAGACATCCTTGGAGTCGTCCAAGACAATCTCCTCGTACGTCTTGCCAACAACGACGGTGACCGCGCCTTCCTGCTTCTCAGGAATCGGCTCAGACTTAAGGCTGGGCTCAATCTTTCCAGCCGCGAAGTCGTCGACGAAAGCGCTGATAGTGTCGTAGGTAATCTCCTTCTCCTGGTCGAAGGGGAACTTCTGGTTCTTAACCGTCTCCTGGATGGCGAAGGACGGGAATTTGTCGGCCTTGAGGTTAAGGTTGTTGGCGTGAGCACCGAAAGACTGGGCATCGATGGTAGCAAAGTTGATCTTGCCACGGTACTTCTCAGCGACGGGCTTGAGAGCATCGCTAAGTTCCTTTCGCTCCTCGGCAGTCTCGGAGAAGATGTAGGCAAGAGGGATACCGGCAGACATGTAGCCGGAATAGGTGTCGGGGCCGACCTCACCAATCAGGGGTGTGGAGGCAACCTTAGCGAACTTCTCAATAGCCTCCTCGTCGAATTTCTCCGAGAAGGTAGCCTTGCCCTCATCGAACTGCTTGTATAGAACAACGGCCGGCGCCTTAACACCCTCGGCCTCAGCCAATGCAGCATCGTTAGTGGCACCGAAGAGGTAAGAGTCCCTGTACTTCTCAGCAACCTTGGTGTAAGTCTCGTTGGAGGCCTTGTCGGAGGCGTCGATGTAGGCAACCAAGACAACCTTGTCGGCGGTCTTGAAATCCTCGAGGGTTTCCGATGTCAGAAGCGAAACGGCGGGGAGGGACTGCTTGATCATGTATGAAGTGATTCTGGAAGTCAAGTCAGCAACTACATGTAGATGTAATTGGATCCGGATGGATTACTCACGCAGCAGCTTTCCTTTGGCCCGTGTAAGGAGTGATGCTCTCCAGACCACGGAAGATCTTGAGCGTTGGGTAACCCTCAACGCCATATGTTTGGCAGAGTTCACTCTCCTCTGTGCAGTCGACCTTAGCCAACTTGATCGACTTCTCCTTCAACGTAGTAGCGGCCTCTTCGTACTCAGGCGCGAGGGCCTTGCAGTGACCACACCAGGGAGCGAAGACTGCGTGGAGTATTAGCGACAGCTCTGATACCTCGTAGTTGGAAGCACGACTTACACTCTGCTAGAACGAGGTCATTACCCTTGACGAATTCCTCAAAGGTGTCCTTGCTTAGTTGTGCGACATCTGATGCGGCATCCGCAGCATGAACGCCTGTACTGGCTGCAAGCAGGCCAAAAAGAAAGTTCCGAGCCGTGTACATAGTGAAGCACCTGAATAGTAATCGACCAGGTTAGCTACCTATCTCAGATTGCGATTTCTAGGTGGAGGAGGTTGCAGAAATAAGAGCTGGGGAAGCCTGTAGAAATGCAGTGGGGGACAAGATGGAGAAAAAAATTAGTAGTTTAACATACCTATAATATTACCACTGGCTACGTAGAAGAGTAATGAACTGTCGGAGAAAAAAAGTGAAGTGAATGTAGAATGTAGATGAAGACGTTTTGTATTCTCCTACAATGGCATATGTGTCCCCTTCAGAACAGGGAATGTGAATTTGGAGAAGATTGACAAGTTGGATAAATGGCTGAATGGTTCCGAATATCTGGCCACAGTCTGTCCAACCCCAAGCTTAATCATCAGATAAGTTAAGTTCATAACCGTGCCCACTAAAATACCTGTGGCTTACGCAGCTCTAGCAGATGGCCTAGACAATTATTAGAAATGCAGGGACGTGGAAAGGCCCCACCTCTCGATAGAACTAAACAACTTTATCAAAGCGGTGTGGAGTTCAATTGATGGGTAAAGTTAATGACAAGTGTTCTCTTTTCTACCCCTCTCGCCACTAAGAATCTAGGAAAGTACCATGTATGCAGAGCGCACCGCCACCTATCCGATGGGATTTTTGGGGAACCCCTGCGTTGATGTGCAATGGACCCACCTAATTTTACGACGTACCTTGCTACTAGCCCCACTCAGATGCCTCAATCGCAAATAGATTAAGTCAGATCAACACCCAGATCAGTAAGTCCGGAAGGAAGGGCTCGAGGATTTAGACGAATATAATGACGGAAGTCACAATACCCGGTAGGCTCGGTTCATAAACCCGTCGATGTGACTTATGAATACTTGATGTATCAAACACTATTCCAACTGGCCAGTTGTCAACTTTCTAACGTTAGAACAATGGCTGCCGTTATCAGGTGGTTACTAGATTGTCGCACTAGGCTAGGTATTGATTCGTTACAAATCAAGGGGATTATCGAGTATGAGACCTTGTGATATGCATATCTACAACGGTAGCTTACTCAATTGATCACATCTGCCATCCCTGCATACGGAACGTTGATTAATGCACGCTGCCAGATTTATTGCATAGATCCATTTGCAGACCATTCCGCAGCGCGGCTGAATATGAGCCCCATCCCAGGACCCTGAACGTTGTAATAAATTTAGTCTTTGCGACGCTACCACTTCCCATAGCATCGTCAATGAGAAATTTCAAGCAGTCATGCTAACCATGGAATTTGCCTAAGGGTCTAACATTATTTGATTTCTCAAGACCAAAGTTAATATGTTGGTAGTTATAGCAACCTGAGTAGTTCATATTTATTGGTTTAGTTACATCTGAAAGAATATATTTAGCAGGTGGTTATATAAGAAGACGAAGTAGGATTATTAAATTACATAGTATCTCAAAATGCAAATTCCTAGGGAGGTATTTAACTCCCTATGAGATTTCTCTAAAGATTAAATGCTTCATACAATCATCCGTTTAGAAAATTGAAAAACAGACCGGATATCTTGAATGATTTAGAGATGGATAGCTACGCTTCTATTAGAACTATGTATAGAATGTCTAGCAATAATAGCTACTAAACGCCCAGTGGCAGCTATGCTATTACTCATCATTCGCATAGGATTAATACATGTAGGAAGGGCTTCTTTTGACTATCATCATAATAGAAAAGAGATAGTTCTAAAGGGAACCAGAAAATGTCGTGTTGATTTATAGACTCATATATCTTTCGATATCCAAGTATATCATGAGAGTTATGGCTACTTATAGGTAGCTGGCCAATAACGTTAGTCCTTCTCGCTTACATGAAGCTTAAAGGGGTATGTAGGTAGCGGCTTTAGATATATGGAAGGTAGGTATCTACGAGTTAGTAGATTAAGAAGTTACGATTGGTATTTGGTCAGGTGAGTGGTCAGATGAGAAGTGCTCTTACCTTTTCAGATTCCCCTATCACATCTAAGGCGTTTAGTGATTTGACCTTCCCTCGAATATTTTGCTCGCTTGAGGTTGTTCATCTTTTAGTACTACACGAAGTGTATAGGTACTCTCGCAATACCACAGACATTTTCCCACTTTGTCCGACTTCAACATCCTATCTCGTCTGGTGATTTTGTGAACCGACGAAGCCTCTAGACCCAAAAATTAGGCTCGATGTCGCTCTAGGTCCAGCCAACTAGGATCTCTTCTTAACCCCATGTCGAACCCAAATTACTTTATTAATTTCATCATCTAGTGCTCTTCCCTTCTACTGTGCCGGCCTCTCCATCTCAACAGCTTCTCCTGATGGATCATCATCGCTTGCCGCGGCATAGCTCGAGTCATGGCACTCTTCATAGCAGTTATTCTCATGGGCGATCTACTCACGGGCCATCCCCCGTCCGTCCATTGCACAAACCTCTCCGAAGCGTCAACGAGAATTCCGTCTTGCTACCTTCGCCAGGTGCATTAGAGAGCATGCTAAAAACTACGACAGAGACAGGAGATATCGGAATCTTCAGCATTAAACCCGTGCCTCCATTACCGCAACGAAGAGGTACGTTTTCTGAGATCAGTCAACAACACCCATCGCCCCGCCCTTCTGTTGAAGAGTTACAACGTCGGAATAATGGCAAAATTCCCCTATGTAGAGACACTGCCTCCGAAATAATCTCAATGCACGACTCGGAGAGTCATAAATCTACTACAAGTACGTTGACCCCGACATGTTCAGAGGACATTGGGCTGCGTTCATATTCAATGACCACCTGTGGATCCCGCCACCTTTCTCATCATAAGTCGACAACGACTTTGCAGAGTCAAGCCAGTGGGGGTCCGCTTCAACGTCCTCGATCGCCCTTCCCGTATCCAACTCGCTTGAAGAGACCTGGAGTTCGCCCGGCTTCTCCGGCCCTTACAGAAAGCGGGCGAGTTGACTATAGTCGTATGGTGGAAATTGATCGAGCCTCATATGTAAGTATCAAAATCCCTGTGTAGAATTATTAAATTCTTACTGAGATGCTTCAGAGAACTGCCCATGGCCCTTACAAACCCTTTTATCCCCCGACACCACGGAGACATCCTCCTTTAGGTCTCCGAGCAGACGCCAACTTATCTACCGTCTCGCTACCCTCACAAGGTCTGCCGCCTCTTAGCCGTCATAGACCACCTAGACCTTCTTCAATTCGGACCCATTCCACGGCCTCAATGGCATCTTATAATGCCCCGTGTCGCGAAAGGTTCGACAGTTCCTCGTCCAGGACATCGAGTCTCACCTCAATTGTGAATATGTACCACAGGACGCCACACACGCCTAGAATTGGACCGAGTGGACTTTCCACTACTGTACCACGTTACTACGACTATACCGAAGGGTTCGAGAGTAGACAACCGCGCGCTATAACTCCAGTTCAGCCTTTCGCTCCGGTCCCTACTCGCGTATCAAATTGTCACCGCCCACTAGTACTACAGGATTCCGATGAAAATCTAGAGGTTGTATTTGGAGAGCGGGATTCAGAATTTTTTGAGGCCGGTAGTGGCAGCCCTAGCAGGGTGGACGGGCTCGAAGCTTTGGAAGATACGAATGGGCGTCACGTTGAAAGCTATCAAGCCACGGTGGATCGAGTACCATCCCGTTGCCGCACCGGTTCTATCCGTTCCGAGAGTAGGTCCATCGCATTTGATGGCTTAGAGATGGATAGGAGGTTAGAAAGGGGAAACGACATTGACCTGTTACCGTCGCAAGCAGGTAGAGATTCTATGGATACGTTCAACCCGAGTCTTGATCTAGAGTCAAAAGATGCCCCAACATACAGATACGCGGACTACCGCTTGACAGCTACGCCGAAGACGAAGGCAAATTCTCCAGAGAGGCAGGTTCAGGTCCTAGGCGGTATAGCTCCTACAATTCGAAGCGAGCAAGGAGTTATATTAAGGGATGACACGCAAGGCGAGACGCTAAACGAAGATGAAGTGGGCGAAAGTGGTGTAGGGGACCTAGCTGAAGGACAAGCCAATCGAAGTCTGCAAGACCATTCCATCATAAAGCGTCCATGTTCTGAACCAACTCGAGAGCTCTCGAAGTCCATTAGGCACGAAACCGAATACGAAGCTCAAAATGGATTTGGCACGATAGCCCGTGCTTATTCAGATTGTAGTAGAAATGCGACTCGGAGTAGTGACCTTGGAATGACAGTTATAAGTGGCTCCGGCACCCGCGAATATAACACTTGTGATAGTGCCACATTTGCCGCTAATAGAGAAGACTGGGAAAATAAGCACGGCGGCGTTAGAGACAGTAATACTATCTCATCCTCAGCAACCCAAACAACAGTCGTACAGAGACAGCGGTTCCAACGTCATAAGAGGAACCAGGCAGTCCCTAGAATTAGCACCAGCAGCTTGCCCAGAGATGACAACGAAGGCTTTCCTTATATCTCGCCGTCTTGTTCTACTACACCTATCGTCTCACCGAAACCGATTTCACCTGCCCGCCAACTAAAGCTGAAGAACAGCATACCTCAACTAATGAAAGCCCTGCCGCCTTTGCCTGGAGATCCCGACTATATGCCGCCCCCAACACCAAGTATACAGAGCACGTCAAGTAGCGATACCGACTTTGTCGAGGTTCTCGCTCCGTTTAAATTTTCTAGGTCTCCTACACTCCATCAGTTCAAAGACGCCGCAGTCGTAGTACCGGAGTGTAACCTCAAAGATAATCGAGCCATACGATTGCATAAAAGTGCTCCGAAGTTGAGACTCAGAATTAAAACGTCTAATAGCTCGGAAGCTACAACCACCTCCGGAACAGGGTTCTATAATGAGGATATGGAGCGATATTGGCCTTCCGGAACTCCTAATACATATCTTGGGGGTCAAAACGCTGATCGCGGTATTCGAACGAGAAGCGGGAATAAGTTGAGACTCAGATCATCCAGAAGCACTGTTGCTAGTACTGCTCCGTCCGCTAGAGTTCGGCGGAATGTAGATGGAGAGGCACTAGATCATACAAATGGTATTACACGACAAAAGCCGAGGGACAGGGACTTGTTCACATTCTCAACCAACTTAAGTCCTACCCCTTCTTCAACAAACGGGAAGTCGCCGCAACCACGATGCATTGAGGACTCTTCTGCCAGGGGCACACCTGGCATTGACCCACCAAACGGAGCAGCACCTCAATTTGAACAACGGACATCGCTGGCGAATAGAGAAGCTCGGAATAAACCCCTATATGACTCACGATCTATGGAAACCCGTGCAAGCTCTAATGTCAGGCAGCCTCGGGGCTTAAGAAGACGCTTATCAGACCTTCATTGTTTGCTGGCACGACCCCCAGGGCCAGCTTCAACGATAACAGACACGACTATCGAGCAGGACGGGAAGGGAAATAAGACGGATCGAGGTGTTACGCCATCAAATATTAATATCGGCAGTCGCCAATCCGCTTCGAGAGATGAGCATTCACTTCGAGGAAACCACGGTCGGGCTGGATTTAGTCGAAGGGTACGGTCCAAAATCCTCAGATGGGTCAAAAACGCTAAAACGGCAGTGCGAGCATGTGCAAAAAAGAATCGGGATGTCTGAAAAGCGAAACAGGGTTGGAATATTACCTTAGGCACTTAGCTGTCGGTAACAGAAAGCCCTAAAACCACGGGTTCGACCTTCGTTGGATTACACTACCAATAGGTCTTAATCAGCCAGTTTTTGGAACAAATTTTGGACCCATCGCCGGTCAGGTCCGGACGGATGCTTTTCCATGTTTGCTTGCTGTAGTCGGATCGGTAATAATGGGGTAGGAAACTTGGTATAAACCGTCGTTGAGGATCCCCTTAAGCAGGGTAGATCGGGTTTGGTGAGACTTGAGCATGCCATGTACTTGCAGTAGCTAGCTACCTTTGTGTTCACTTTATGATAGTCTCGAATAACATGACGTACTTGATAGTCCAGATTTCCTAATGGACCCTGATCTTCCCAAAATTTTATTTTTTTGAGGCTGAAGTTATATGCCGAATTTAGCTCGGGTGAATAATCAACACGAGAACTAGGCGGAGAGATAGACTTTTCAGCATGATTAACTGTTGAGGATAAGGAGGTCTGAGAGGACACTGGGGATGGGAATTGGGCCGGTTAGATCCTATGCTGCTCCTACTTAGCTATCGGCTATCAAGGATGGAGTTTGGGAAAGTATATGCATACTTTTGTGTGCATTGTGACTATTTAAACTGTGACTAGATGCACTCAACAGTATTATAACTTTGTCTTGTCTTAGCTGGGGCTGAAGAGGGTCTAGGATAATGTGCGCTTATACTCTAATATGAAGGGCTTGTTCGCACTTCTTCCCCCCCTTTGATCTGTTCCTCCCATTTTCCCTCTTTTTCTACTTGCCTAACAGCTAAATACCTAATAGTATATTCTTAGTGAGGTTCTTAGATTAACTTGCTGATAACAGCACCCTAATCGGGGATCTATGCTGAGCATACTTCTTACATTCGTTTAGACTATTAAAGCAGTGGACAGTGTCATTTGAACAAACTATTGCTTAGCAACGGAATTCATCTGTAAGTTCCCTTAACACCCTTTACCCAAATAAGAACCAACCCTAATATAAAAGAGAAGAAAAAAAAACCCATCTTAACTCATTTGGGTATTTTAAAAGTGCAGATACGTACGGTCGGAATGCCATCATCTCCTACGGCTTCTTCTAGTCAGCAACGGCCTACGTTCTTGCATACCAACGGCAAGAAGACAACCATGATGGACCCTTACGGAGATAATCTTTCTAGCACTAGCGGTGCTAACACTATACTAAGCAAGAAAAGTATATCTATATTTGATTTCGATATTGATGCGGATAGCCGATCCTATTCCTCCATGCCCGCATCTGAATACCCAGCTGAATCATCACTTGCCCGCAGCGCCGCCCGGTATACCAACCTTTCTGCGCTGAACTCGTCTCGCCCTCCTAGCCCTTATTTCAAGTACCGTGAGAAGGGACTTAGCAACGAGAGCAGCTCTTCTACATTAAATACATTGGCAAATGACGCGATTCCTTATCCCGTGACGATAAAGCGGCTGTCGCAAGGAACGACATTCGTTGAACAACCAACCCCACCACCTCAGTACGAAGAAGTAGAAGATGTGAAGCCGAAGTTATCTCGTGTTAACCAAGAAAAGCGCTCTGCACCTGCCGTGACGGTTCAAAATCATCTGCATAGAACACTGCTTTCATCCAACTACCATGGTCAAAGCAGCGGCAGTAGTCAGCAGCAGGATAACCAAGGAAAGCCCAATCCACGACTGAACGGAAGCAGTGAACCGAGACTGGCGAACAATCAGTCAAACGGGCTTGCGAAGGGAACAGCGGGCGGAACGGCAAATGGGAAATCCAACGGACCGGCAAGCAGACCTACGAACGGTACTGCACGCAGAGCTACCAGTGGACAAAGGAACGAGAATAGACGTACGTCTGCGCCTAGCCAGAAGAGAAGCGAAAGGGCTCAGGGAAAGAGAGATAGGATCTGGCCTTGGAAGGTAAGTTCTAGTTCTCGTTCTTCAAGCCGCAAGACAAGTCCGAATTCTAACAAAGTACCTAAACGCATAGGAGGGAACATGCCACAAGATCGCCGCCGATACTTGGCAAAAGATAAAAACCCTTTTCAAGCTCGACACGACGTCTCTACCCGGCATGGGTAATGGGAATGCTAGACCAGAGGAAGTCGAGCTGAGCGTGTTGCCGAGCGAACCCCCTCGTTCTCAGCAAAGAGCACCCAACTCTGCGAATCCGACACCGCGACCCCGACCAGCCGCGAGTCACGACAGAAATGGGAATGGGAATGGGAATCAGAACCACTTGCAGCGATCACGGGCCCACTCTAGATCTCATGAGAAGAGACCTGCACCCAAGGATCCTTATGACAATGGCTTCCTGTCTGCGCCTAGAAGCACCCCGTGCCCTACCTCGAACAGAGGAACTTCATCCAACGCCAAGGCAAACGGCAAGGGATCCAGCAAGAAGACTCCCAGCAGCGCGAGCAAGTGGTTTTCCAGGCTATTATAAGCCCGCGGGATACGGGTGGGTGCCTTGCTCAAAGCACTATATACAACGGCAGCAAGGAGCACAGCCATCCGATTGAAAGCCGAGGATTTCATTAATACCTACACAGGCGAGGATAGGGAGAGAGATTGCAATACGTAATTCGCGATGGTAATTAATAATGGTAATTTTAATGTTTTCAAAATACGCCTCCGCCTATAATAAACAACCGTTCCTCCTCGCGCTTCGCCCACTGCATGATCTTATTAGCGCCCTGCGTCATGACGGTTCGCGAGGCGTTGGGCCCGGCTACGCAGTAGAACTCGAATATCGGCGTGATCCACGCTAGCGAGGTGGTGTCCTCTCCGACGCAGTGCAGCACTTTTACGTGTGTATGCTTGGCGTGGATGGTGGAGTGCAGGTTGTGGTAAAGGGACATGAGTCGCCGGTGGGAGATGAGGTTGGAAAATGTTGGGTGCAGAGAGGGCATGCAGAACTGGACGTTGGCTCGCGACTTGAATAGGAAGTGGCTGATGTGGGTTCCTGGTGCGATCTCGTTCATTTTTGGGCGTCCCTGTTGTGCTGCAGTTTTGATTATATCCAGATGTCCTTTTTTCTTTAGTTCGGCCACGACGTCGTCTCGCATATTTTGTAGGTCGAAAAAGCTCTCTTTATCCGGGCTTATTAATATAATTGCAATCTCCTCGCCAGCTGCGCTTAGGTTTCTCTCAGACTCCGGATCGACATCCAGAAAACTAACATACATGTAAAGATAACCGCGGTTGTTGAAAGCTGGCAAGCAGAGTGGGATCCAGTTTTCACCACCCCCGGCTTTGACACCGCCAGACTCAAATAACATATTGAAAATAAGTTGCAGGTCGCTTGGGTGAAGGGAGTGGCGACGTGGCCGAATGACACTGACCAGTCTTCCGCCTGCAACTATTAGACCGTAGAGGAGTTTTTCGGTCCTCGTCTTTAGAAAAGCATTATTGATAGCGTGTCGGTGCGATTTCCTCAGTCTTAAACATTCCAACGCTCCTAGTAGAGCAGATGGAGAGCCTCTGGTGAAGCTATCCGCCAAAGAGGAGAGTAACGACTCAGTACCCTGTAGAGGTTTCCGTAGATCGGTGGATGGCCGATTGGCGAAAATATTAGTGAGAGTTGGGAGTGTCAAAGTTGATAAGATTTGCATGTAGAGGGCATCAAGTTGAGCCCTCAACTGAGAGTCGCTCTCTCCAAGCTTGCTTATAGCGACGAGGTAAAGGGGACCTTCTGTCACGATAACGAACCGGGTATTTCTAGCAGAAAAGCCTAAAAGAGGGCTCTTAGCCCCCTGATAAAACGAGATGATGGTTTGTACAACGCCCATCGAAGAGTTGATCATTTCCAAGTCTCCATATCTACTATAAATCGGTTTGCCAGCCGATGATAAAATCATGAAGTGTTTGAGCTTAGACTTCCAAAGTTTCAGTCTGGCCTCGTCGCTCCAGGTCTCGCTGGGCTCGGGTATGTCATCGAATTCGCGGGCGAAATCGGCGAAAATCGTACCCTCATCAGCTCTGATCGTTTCAAAGGGCTGCACGGCTGCGGACTGTGAGTGTAAGAGCATCCACGCGGGACTCTTCTTGCTCATATCTCCGACGAGTAGACTCTCCAAGTCTCCCGGTGGTCGTAAAGTAAATGCAAGGCTCATGATACTCATAGACTCATCTATGTCGTTGCCCATGGAACTAAAGCCTACGCTTGCTGCGCCGGCACTTGTCGAACTAGACGTTTGCTCCGTGCCTTGGGAATTATTCTCCCCGGCTGTCGAGAAGGTTCCACGTGACCCATCTGGAAATGAAAGTGTTTGGATATTCATAGATGAAATTGCAGTAGTCGGTTTTGATGATAAGTTCGGCCTCTCCGGCACTGTCGTGGTTGATCCATTGCCTTGTGTTTGAGATGGCCTAGGAGGTAAAGGGGGAGGCCGTTCTCCGCCTAAGGCGGCAGCGTCCCCTGATGAGCCAGCATTCTCCGCGCTCATCGTACCTCCGTTTCCGTAAAGATTCGCTGTACCATCCTTTTTTCAGTTTATCCTCAACTATCCTTCGCCATTTTGTGATAGGTTCTTAGTAGGAGAAGAGGTTGAGAAATTAAGAGATAATTATAAAGTCTAAGAGGTATGTAGTAGCTTAGCTTACTCTAAAGTTACAATAACTACGGAATACAGGAGTTAAAGTGGTGGATCACCTTATCGTTATCTGTTAAACGTCATCCCTGGTTATCCTAATTCTAGTGGTGGTTTCGGAAAGAGAGATACATATCTTTAGCATAAAGCTGGGGAATATTAGCCAATGAGATAGCTCTAAAACCTGCCCTGTTTCGGGGTACCGCTTTTATGCAATCGGGAAGTACCCTGACAGGCTGAACGGGATGTAACTTGTACCGGTTTAGCGGGTGCCTGCAACGTAATTCGCAAAAAGATCCAATGCGCTTCAATTAATTCGACTTGTGCCTTGTTACTTGTACCTATCGTCTGTGGCCTTTCTTGAACCACAAACGAACCTCACAAACAGATGCGCCGCGGCAAAGATATGCGCCTCGACTTTTCTGGTCTTGAACGCGACCCTATGGTCCTACGATTAGTGCCTCCTTAGTATCAGCTACGTTAACTACTATGGCCCTCGAACCCGGTCCTCGTCGTTCCATCTCTCCGGATAGCTCTGGACAGAATACACCTATTGTAAGACAATGGAGGAATCAACTGGGCGCAGGTACTTAACACCAATGCCAATATTCCGCTTCAACTACTCATGCCTTGCTAACATAGTTAAACTGTAGAGGATACACCTATAAAAGATAAGCACTACCGAAAGTACGCGTCAGGTGTTGAGCGAGCCCTGTCGCTGTTTGATACAGCTTTAGAAGAATGGGCAGACTATATCTCCTTCTTAAGTAGGCTGCTTAAAGTAAGAGGCTTGCCCTATATATGCGTAACTATTATTATGAACCAATGCTAAGCTAACATGTTTCTTATAGGCCTTACAAGCACGTCAAGCTAGCATAACGTCCATCCCCTCCAAAACTCTAGTCGCAAAGCGCCTCTCGCAATGTCTAAACCCTTCGCTCCCTTCCGGTGTACATCAGAAAGCGCTCGAGGTCTATACCTACGTATTCTCAATTATAGGAAAAGATGGCCTGTCTAGGGACCTTCCTCTTTACCTTCCAGGCCTTGCGCCCACCTTATCGTTTGCGTCCTTAACGGTAAGGGCACCGTTCCTCGATCTCCTCGAAGCCCATGTTCTTCATGTGGATCCCAGGTCGCTACGGCCGGCAATGAAGAGTGTTATTCTAGCTCTTCTACCCGGATTAGAAGATGAAACGAGTGAAGATTTTGACCGAACGCTCAAGATATTAGAGAAATTCAAAGTGGTTATCCGACCTCCAAATTGCAGGGACCTTACGTCAACAGATTCGACTGGGGATGATTTCTTCTGGCAGTGTTTCTTTCTGGCTACAATCACAGGCCAGAGCCGGCGACCTGGTGCTCTTGCGTATCTCATTCGCAGACTACCAAGACTAGGGCACCCGGTCACTCAGGAGGTAAACCCAAATAAAGCTCAAGAGACCGAGGCCGACGTGCTGTCATCTGAACTTTCGAATCTTGTAACCTCCCCTGAACCGGGTTTACTCCTTAGATGCTTTGCAGCCGGGTTAGGAGACGAACAGCTCCTCATACAACGAGGCTTTCTGGACCTTCTGGTTACACATCTTCCCCTCCACTCGAAAGTGCTACAGAAGAGAGTCAAGAGTGACGACTTGGAGCTTCTGCTTCGAGCCGCTGCTTGTGTTGTCATCCGAAGGGATATGAGTCTCAACCGGCGACTTTGGGCTTGGTTTTTAGGACCCGAACCTTCAGGCCAAGAACAAGAGAATGGCCCGAAGTCACCCACTTCCCCGTCCGACCAGCATGGGTTTCTTGGTTCCAAAACGAGTTATTTCGAGGAGTACGGATTGCGTCCTCTAACTCGAGCATTATTATCAATGATCAATACCGCTTATAATAGAAATCCTACAGAAAGAGCCCAACCATACCGAATATGTCTATCACTCATGGATAGATGGGAGATAGGTGGTCTGGTAGTACCGGAAATCTTCCTCCCGGTAATGGTCAGTGTTAAGAATTTCGAAAATAGAGCTTCTAGCAAGGCCGAGTTCAATGAAGTGTTACGCAGTGCGAGCGTGTTCTTTGACGGTGTTGAGAGCGGTCTCATATTCGGCGAGATGATAGGGCTTATGGCTCAAGCCGTTGGTCAGGGTAATGCGACGGACGCGGAGCGTAATGAGAAATTGGCACTTGTCCAATTTATCATGGCACATTTTAATATCCGGGATGAGGAAATGATAACCGTCCACGCGCCTCTTGCTGCCCTGTCTATCTTAGCAATGCTTGAGGACGTAAAGGATCATAGAAGCGCATCTAAAACACCAAGTGGGAGCGACGCCTCGGCTGTTCAGTTCCAGGCTCTCGATATTGCTCGCAATTTGATCGAGCTTATTCCCCAGCGAGCGTTCCCAAACAGATCAGGAGAGCGAGGCTCGGTTGGATCCATAGAGGGGCCGGTAGTGGCGTCTATGTCAAACAGCGAGGTCCTTAAAAGGGTTAGGAACTTCTATGACGCCGATCAAGGGAATCTCGAGGCTACACCAGCGCCTTTTGCGCCGCGGACCGTAGGAGCTCTCCTTGTTCAAAAGGCGTGCAGCCTGACCTGCGATAGCCTAACGACCGCCAACCAGGAGGCCGCAATATCTATTAGAAGCCGACTCATGGGGCTTCTTCTATCTAAAATCCCCGAAGAGTATACTATAGATACCGCAAAGCTACTCTCTGCTATGCAAGCACGGTTATCGGCACCTAACATACCCTTCATCTCGTTCAAATCAATTCTTTTTCTCTCCACACAACTTTATACCAGTGAGCGAATACCGATAGCTCACCTATCAGATCTAGTTGAGCCGTTAGTTCGCCACGCGTGGGGTTTCTTATCTTTAACAGAGCCGAAGTATCATGTCGAAACTGTGAGATGTCTCTGGCAATTGCAGACAGCCCTCGCAACTTCGAACCGCGATATTGAAGCGGTGATTGCTGATTTAATGCTCAAGGATGATACGACAGGCACGTTTGCCACAAGACCGGCTGACCCAGGTCGAAGCTATACCATCCTATGGTCTCATACGTTACAAGATAACGCCTCTCATTCTGACCGAAGAGCTCCAAAGACCCCTATTAGTGAATTTAGACCGGCGACTCGACTGTCTGGAATGGATCACTACGATGTCATGCTCACTAGGCCCCTATTTTTAATGCTTGATTCTTTACTGGATGAACGAAGCCAATTATTTATGATGGTAAAGAATTGGCTGAACACCATGGTTGGTATTGATAAGTATGTTAAACTCTTACAGAATGAGTAACAAGAACTACGTGGCTAATGCAAATACCCAGGCTGTTCTCGATTTTCGTCACAAAAATATCGCAACTTAAGTTCCTTCGAACTTTCCCTCCGTCGGCTAATCCCGTTGCGTCGAGCCAATCTGTTAAATTCTCAGCGGAGGATGACCTTGACCTAGCACTCTATTATCTCCGTACCCTGTCCAACATATTCCGGTGGGCCCCCGACGCGTTCTGGGGAGTTCTTGCGACGAGGATAATTGAAGAACCTAATCAGAGTCTAATAGAAATAGGTGAGATAATTCGATATGAGAGTCTTTGAATCTTCACTAATAGCAACTAGCTGGTACGGAAAATAGCTTGTCCCTCCTGGAATTCTTCCTGCGGGTTTGCATGCGATGTATTGCCGGCAATATACTTCCGAGTGGCAATCACCTACAGCTTCGAATAACTCAGCTTCATCGTTGCGCATTGAATTTCCTTCACCAGATTTTATTAAATCCTTACTCAGATGGATTGTCTCGTCTAAAATTAGAAGACACCTTAATTGACCGTCTTACTCAGTCCCTTGGAGGACCCGATCCATATATTCAAGTACTTCTACTCGACGTCACCTTCGACGTGCTGAAACTTCGAGATGCATCGCCCGTAGAGACACCGTCTTCACCAATGGGAGAGAAGCGAGCTATGAACTACGCGTCCGGTAGCGTGCGGTTGTCTGCAGCATCCCTCGAGCATTTTCCCGAGGTAACCCCACCACCGCCTTCATTACTTAAATGTATACAGGCTGGTCTTGAGTCGCCCAGTAGTCGACCTGTCCTAGACAGCTGGGTAGGCTTCCTCACAGAGTGCTTGCCCTTCTATTCAGACTCTATCTTCCAAGTTCTGATTCCTTTAGTGGAAACGCTTTGCGGTCAGGTTGCCGGTACATTTGGCAACCTACAGGAGACTTTCAAGCAAAATGGGAAACCACCAGAGCGGATTAACGCTCCGGAATCGACTCTTATATCATTACTCAACGCGCTCGAACAAGTTCTCGCTAAGGCGCATGACCAATTGCTGGCAGCAGAAGCTAGGGTTCAAGCCATAAAGAGTCCTGATCAGCCTCAAGGATTCTTCGGGAACATGGTATCTGGTGTGTTCAACTCAGATGCTCCGCAGTCTCGAAGCGCGACAGCCAATGACAGGCTGACTGTTCTGCTTGCCTTCCAGGATGCTGTCCGGATGTGCTTCAGGATCTGGTCTTGGGGACAAGGAAGCGAAGCTACTAGCCTGGATATTGACTCGGCTTCCTCGTTCAAATACACATCGCTGCGCATGCGAAATCGGGCTAGACGCCTACTAGAACACGTATTCGCCGCCGAAGCTCTAGAATGCTTAGAGACGGTAGTTGACATTTGGCGGAATTCCTTGAGTGATCCTGACACAACAAAACACTCGGAAGTATTCAATTTACTCCCTGCTCTAGACGGATCTCGGCCAAGGCATACTATCCCCGCTATCTTCAACGCGATATATAGCCGATCAAACCCGACCGCGTTGGAGACATCTAGGAAGTCAACATTAACTATCGAACTACAAGATACAGATCTAGTGATCTTCTTAGTTGATTATGCTCGGTCTCTTGAAGATGACGCAATGGACGAAATCTGGCAAGATTGTATGATCTTTCTAAGGGATCTATTAGGCAATCCTTTCCCGCACAGGCAGACATTACCAAGTCTCTTGGAATTCGCAGCAATTCTAGGCGAGAAGGTGGACAACACAAACTTCGGGGAGCAGAGAAAGATGCGAAGGGAGCTCGGGGTGCGTATTCTATATTTGTTCCAAAGATGTCGAACTTACTGCTAACACGAAATTAGGATCTTTTTCTGCGACTGCTCACAGCTATTTTCACCACGAGACCAGCTTCCTTTACAGATGGCCAGTCACCCCTACAGTCGGAGAAGTCAAAGGTCGGCGAGAGTCGTCTTATATTGCCAGCCGAGAGGGCAGATGATGTGGTCGGCATCCTATCTCACATCGTGCCTAACTTACCCAAAATCCTCGTAGAATCCGATCGCGTTTTGACAGCAGCAGGTGCTATTTCTACAAACGTAATTGGCCCCTCTATCCGTTCAAAGGCCTTCCCCGACACTATTTCCAAGAGCACATTAACTCTACTTCAAGAGTTGACGAGGCTCCCAAATAATCAGAAAACTTGGAAGAAGGATATCGGTGACGCTTTTAACGATTCTAGATTCTTCAACTCGTCCCTTGTTCTAGTACGAAGCGACTGGCTACCACTATTGAAACTTTGGACGGTTGCAGATAAGGAACGGATGCCCGAAATTTTGGGACGAATAACGCCACCCACAACAGCCGGTATAGTCTTCGGAGTGGGTGCTACTTCGGCAAGATTAGAAGCGGACCGAAAGACACAGCTCAATCTGCGCCGCGTTGCAACTCTGATTCTTGCGTGTGGTACAGACACGTTTGTCACGGACCTCCCGCTTATCCTCGAGCGCCTCATCGAGCTCCTAGCGGCGACATCTACATCTTCGCCTTCCTCAACTACACGCTCCGAGATTTATATGGTGGTCCGTGCCCTTGTACTTCGGACTTCCGTTATCCATCTTGCGCCTATCTGGCCAACCATCAATGCTGAGTTGCACGCAGCCATATCCTCCGTGGCAGCACCAGACAACAGCGCCTCTTCAGACACTTTTAGCAACACGTCCATTCTACAGGCTTGCAAGCTATTAGATCTGCTCATCGCTGCAGCGCCGGACGACTTCCAGTTACACGAGTGGCTTTTCGTCACGGATACCATCGACTCCATCTACCGATCTCCTAGCTACCAGCCAGTAGCACTCGTAGATGAGCTGTCAGAAGAACTAGGCAATGTAGCATCTAATATTACTACTGCAGCCTTACAGACAGAATCGGCAGCCGCGACAACTATAAGCGGACCGCCTCAGCGCAGGCCGCTTCTAGGCCACCCGGGAGGTATCAGCGATGAATTAACGGTGGATAGGAAGGATGAGCTGGTGGCCAAGATATTGCGGCCGTTCTTCGCACAGCTGAGCATTTACGCGTTTGAGTCCACGTATGCCATGGGTACGTTGGACGTCGAGACGTGTGTGGACAGTCTGTTGAGAGACTTGTTTGATGAGCGGACGATTGTTAAGGCGTTGTAATTGTAGCTAACTGGAGGAGAGGGGAGTATAAGGGGCAGATCGAGGGTTATCCCGTGTATTGGACTTAGCCGTGTAATGTTTTGCCCTTGAGCGGATTAGAACGTTGCCTAGTGAGATAGGTGAATAAAATAGATGACAACTTATTAAGCATCATATTAGTGCTATGGATTTACGCCGCGATATACTTCGTACTGATTGTACTAGCTACGCTTGGGGGATGGTTGACTCCACCCCTTTACAGAACTCAGGTTCCGTACGTTGATTAATTCTCATAATGTGGAGTAATTCTGTAAGACTCCTTTTCTATGCTTTGCGAACTCTATGAACAACTTTTGTATTGTTTCTAGAATACTAAGCCAATCCTATCTTATTCACATCGTACGCTTTGCTTTGCTCCCAGTCGTATATACACGTACATCTCGTTCCCTCCCTATGCCGTAAACAAATTTTAATTTATACCCCTTACTTCTCCTTTTTCTCTCCCCCCTCCCCAAGGCGATAAACACCTAACCTAACGTACCGAGATATCAAACCCAACCCCCTTCCGAATACCCACCGCCACCGCCACCGCCACCGCCACCCCCTCCAACAGGAGGCCCCATCACCCTCTCAAGCGTGCTCTCAAAGTCCACACGCCGTATCACAGCGCCGTAGTGTATACAGTCGACCACGGCGGCCATCTCAGCACGCAGACGCTCCAGGCGCGCGGGGTCGCGGAGAAGGGCCGCGACGCCGCCGTACAGACGCGCTATCTCGAACCACGCCTGCACGGGGGCTAGCTCGGCGGATTCTTCTGGGTTGGGGTTCAGGGCGGCGGCTAGGCCGCGCAGGTTCTGGAGGGTTAGGTCGGCGCTGGAGGGGCTGGGGGTGGGCCAGGAGGTTATTGTGTTGGTGTGGCTGTGGGGGTGGGTGTGAGGATGGGGGGAGGAAGAGTGGGTGTGGGCGTGGGCGTGGGTGTCTGAGGGAAAAGTAGATAGGGAGGCAGGAGGTGCAGAGTGGGATTGGGAGGGGAGTGAGGCCTGTCGAGCCTTTTCCCCACTGATTTGCGCCCAGGCTTCGGGCGGTGCGCTGCGTAGTGCCATCGTGCTGACCATGAGCGAGTGTCCGTGCTCGCGTGCTTCTGGGTCGTAGTCGTTGTGGTCGTACATCGAGGGGTGGAAGTGATTCCAGCAGATGCGTTCGAGTCTATATTCGATGGTGTTAGCTTTACCTCTTGTTCCTCTTTATAACCCCCCCAAGACCCAGGGGCAGAGACCCCTTATATATATAATAAAAGCAACAACAAAAAAAGGAGAAAGGAATAATTCGTACTCTAGGATAAAGTTGATTGCCTGATCAGTCTCCATCTGTGTCAACAACCTCCTCCCCCTTACCCCGGCGGCATCTTCAAACCCACCACCCGCACCAGAAGCCGTCTGCTCGTTTGCGAACCCGCCGAGCGAAGACGACGATGATTGCGCCGATACCCGCTGGACTTGGAACATGGGCTTGTCCAGGGCCTCGGACGAGTTGATAAGACTGACCGTGTACTCCGGCAGAGACGTCGAAGACCCATACGTCAACGCCGGCGGCATCAGACTAGCTTGTGGAGCCGGGGCCGGGGCTGGGGCCGTCTTTCTAAGGAGACGGCGGCGGATAGTCTCGTTCTCGTTCCTGATCGCGAGACTTTCCCGCTCCGTCTGCTCTATCAAGTCGCGTAGCTTGGCGACGTCCATCTCGAGCTGATTAGTGTAGTTGACCTTTCTCTGGCGATGCTGTTTCTGCGCCTTGCGGACCTGTTGTCGGCGAGCTAGCGCCTTAGCCTGCGCGCTCTGGTGGTGGTCCTCCTGTTGATCGTCGCCGTTGTCCTCTTCCTCCTGATTCGAATCGGTCTTCCTGGGTCCTATGTAGAATAGCCAAGTATTAGTCTTGACTAGCACGACATACGACATGACCATATGTCTAAGATATATATATATATATGAAAACAAACATGCACAATCTAGTAAGCTTCTATCTGCGCTAGATGACCACTAGGGAGATACGCAAGCCGTCTGCTAAGGCTAGACGAAGGTAGCGTGAAGCCAAGATGTGCGTGCTACTTATTGTTCGTATAGGGGAATAGAGTAGAGAAACAAACGGGACATCTTCTTGGCTGCTTCGTCCCACCCCTATAACGTCCACGTCCCTTAAGGCCCGCAGTACTTTGCGTTGGCTTGATTTCTGTTACCAACCAATACTATGCTTGGCACACAGCGCCTCAGCCCTATGACAAATACTCCCAGCCCGTTTGAGCATATGTACGATATGACATATCATCACATACCTGTGCTTTGTTCCGGGTTACTCGAGACGAAGGTGATATGTCTCGCCGCCTGCTTGGTGCGTTTCCAATAATCGGTAAACGAGGGTCTCGATCTGCCACTTTTGGCACTGCGACTGTCTTCTGCCGCAACGCTACCTGTCTCCTCCCCTTCCAACGACGAGCCGGCCATATTTCCGGGGTTGGTACACACACACACACGCACAAGCACAAGCACGCAACAGCAGTATCTTACGTTACCCGGGACAGTGGTACGCACGGGACGAGTTAGACGGAATGGATTACGCCGTTATCGTTATGGTGGTGGTGCGGCTACAAACCGGACAAGTAGGTAAGCATAAGCAGACGTGGGGGGTTGTAAAGGCCAGTGATTTGGAATCTCCGTCTCCTCTTCTAAGCATCGAGCGAAAACCGTAGGCGCACGTGCATGGGTTAAAATACTAAAGGATACATACAAGCAAGGCATAAAAGGAATAGTGATTTATAACCTCAAACTTAATTGATTCCATTTTATTTTTGTGTTCGTAGAATCTCGAATTATTATGGAACTCGTGCCGAAATACGTACAAGACTTGCGGCGAGTACATGTAGACTTGGTATACAAGTCTCATTCTCTACTATAAAGCGGATAAGCAGGTTAGAGACCAAGATATCTAACTTCAGATGTCAAAAGCGTCATCGACTAGAAAGGTAAAACGCCCAGCATCCTAGAAACATATATCAAATCATTACGGTCAGAACTGACCGAGAGCGCCATCCCTAAATACAGGTATCATTCCCTTTTTGTCCAGCCCCTCCTTACCCAGTACCAACGCCGATTCAATGCATCTCGTAGAACCTACATCAAGTAGGTAACTACTCGTCCTCGCCGGCCTCTTCTTCCGTGGCGGTATTTTCATCCACTTCTTCGTTCTCATCATCACGTTCCTCCTCGTCACTATCCTCATCCTGCTCGTCTCGGTCGAGGCCGGGTATAGGTCGCCATTGGAGGTAATCTTGCTCCACCCATCGCTTACTTACTGGGAGTTGGTATGGGTCGAACGGGAAGAAGGATCCTAGCTGCTGCCAGCTCTCATCATTCATGTCGAAAGACAGGTCGCGTAGGGCGCCTCCGCTAGAGTACGCCCCGGCCGAGAACTGCGACAGACGAAGTCGCTTATTCGACTCGATAGTTGGGTACACATACATGAATCCAAACCGATGAGCTAGCTTTGCGAACTGCTCCACGATCGCTGGCGAGCAGACTTTGAGTGGATTTAGCTTCGAATGGATATTACGACGCATGATATCTTTGATCTCCGGCTCCCATTCGATCTCCTGGCCTAGATACGATGAAAGATCATCTGTATCGACTTCGTCGGGTACCGACTTGATGAGGTCCGGCCATCGGAAGCAGAAAACATACATCAACGCCTGCACTAGCGCGTAGAATGGCGCATATCGACGGACGTCAGGCCCACGGCATGATATCTCGTAGAGGGCTCGCATCTGATCTAAGTGGAAACCCAGAACTTCAAAGATCTTTACGACAATATGACCTGGTACGTGCGCTCCACGAGCGACGAAGCTCGCTAAATAGGCGGACGCCGCCTGCTGTAGGATCATTGGACGTTGAGATTCGAAAGCGATATTGATGCACGTGCCGCAGAATGCGTCCATAAGCCTCTCGGATTTCTGGCCAAAGTGGAAGATCAAGAACTGAGTATGTCTTGACTTGATTGTAGGTAAGATGATGTTCGAGAATTTAGATAATAGGTCCTCGAACGCCTCTAGAGCTTCATCTGAATCCGGATCAGCGAAGCTAGGCGTATAAAGCTCGAAGAGGGTATCCAGAACAGAATCCATCTTCTCTATGTTCTCCTTTGCTGTTTTCACGCGCGTATACTCGTCATCTTCGGATTCGTCGCTGTCTACCGACTCAGCATCGCTCTCGTCCTCATCTTCTTCGTCCTGATTTCTGTTCTCTCGAGAAGAACGGAGAGCCATCGCCACCATTGTGGTAAGCCTATCGTCCATATCGTCCAGGTCCATTTGCATTTCCACGTCGATTTTGACTAGGCGGCTGATGATTAAGTCCATGATCTCGGTCTTCAGGTCAGGGCAGTATGACCGTAGTCTCAACAGATTGTCGACATATACCAAATGCATCCGCTTTGACTCGTCATGGAAGGGGTACTTAGTAGCTGTGAGATGCTCTAGGACAGGCTTAGCGGCGGGGAATAATTGTATTAGGTATCGTAGCGCAATGTGAAGTCTTTCTTGTGCAGTCTCACGGTTGACGTTCGGGTAGGTAGGGACCGCCCAGTCGGAGGGTCGAGAGTCGGTAAATCTGTCAAGGATGGATGATAAGACTTGTGTTAAACGGGCGCCTTGCGCACTGACGAGAGCCGCGAGGAATTGGACATAGATTTTTGCAAATTGCTCGTCCCGCCCAAGCCATTGGCATTGTAATACGCCCTTAACAAGACCGTCGCATGATCTCCCTAGACGAGGAGAGAAGCTCGCAAGTGAGATTAAGTAGACTTTAAGTTCCTGACGTCGCTTTGCTGGTAAAGCAGGATCCGCGTCCTCGTCTTCGTCATCTTCATATGACGACTGTTTCCCGGATAGCGTCTCTTTCAATATGTCGTAGTCTTCGTCGTCTCCCTGATCATGGCGATCCAAGGCCTTTCTAACCTCCTGTTTTACTTCGTCTACTGATCGTATTCCAATCTCGTGAATCTCGATATTATTTAGATCGAACTCTACTTTCTGGCGTTTTCGGGGACTCTCAGGGGCTTCCATGCTATCACTGTCGAGGCCAGCGTCATCGCTAGTTCTCTTAGTAGTGAGTAATGATGAAGACGACTTCAATATGGGCTTAAGCGGAGTGGCCTTCGCCGCCGGCCGAGCAAGCTGCTGCGGGGTGGCGCTGGTCATAACGAGTGACATGGGAGGTTTGTTTACAGAATTTTAGATTGTTTTCAAGGCTGCTATCGAATGCCAAGTCCAAACCACCGTAGACTCTATTATGCAGTACTCCGGCATACTGGTCCTAGTGCTGTTTTATGGTGAAATCGCGAGGTTGGCGCGGGTCAGCAAGGCTGTGAAGAGAAATTTTAGAAGAAGCAAGATCACGTCTGCATCCACAGAAAAAAAATAAAACAGGGGTCTTCCGATGACAAGTAGGAGGGGCAACGATGACCCATTTAGTTCATTATGTAAGCGCTGTAATTGCCATGCTGCATGTGCTTACATACTAGGTACCTAGGTACCTAGGTAATGTACCTAAGCAGGTTTGTTAGACCAATCGACTTATACAAACCATCACAAACCTCACAAAGCATACCAATAAGCTACCTGAACATATCAATCAAGGATTTACGTTTATAAAGTTTTAGTTGTTTTACTAATGTCCAAAGCATTTTATCTTTATCATAATCATAAAATGACTTGTACAAATTTCCGTAGGAATACTTGCTAAAAATCAGGTTTGTGAGGTTTTATAGCTGTATGTCAACATAGTAACGACCTGTCGAATATACCCGAGAAGAAGATTATAAAGTAAATTCGTTTCTCAACATAATGAAATAATGCTATATAGGTAGCTTGTAATGCTTCGAGGATTGGTCTGTTCTCCAATGCTCGTGAAGCCAGAATAACTGCCGAATGTAAACTGACGCGGAATCTCAAGACTGATCATGAGAAGCGTTGAGAACCGAATAGGGGGGAAGAACGCCTCGGGGAATCTATCGAAGTGAAAAGTGCGAAACCAGACCCTTTTTTAACGCGCAGTCCCCCTTCCATCGCCATCCATTGCGAGTCCATATACACGGGGGTAAAAGATGGACACTCATCCCTGATCCGAAGAACCAATCTGGGGACGAATGCGCCGAAACCCTCAGAATCCTAGTAGTTATACACACTTGAAAGTAGTATAGACCGTCTCAAACTAGATATTAGAAATCAGGTCGAGGTTCTATAACCCGGTTATCTCGTCTGCGGACGCTTGGCGCGAAACTTAATAGGTCTCGCCGGCCGCGCCGTTGTGACTAGGCTGGGCGTAAATGTAGCCTTCGCCTGATTCGCCAATACCTCCCGTCCCGTCACCTCCCTGGAATCCCGAGGTTCCAGCAGCACCGGATCCGCTCGGCGCGCTGGCTCCGTAACCCTGGCTGTTCGGCCTGTTCTGCTGGTTTTCACCCCGGTTGGACTGGGACTGCTAGTCATTGGTTAGCACTACTCATAAGCAAGGCCAGGCACAGGCGGCGTGCACGCCTCGAAGCAAGGGACGCCGGCGGAAACAGTACCTCTCGGTATTTAGACAGGTAGATCTTTAATGCTTCCGCATAATTCTCGAAGCCCAGAGACGTCATGGCGAATAGGATGTCTTCGCCGTTAACGGTTTTCCTTTTCTCCTGGTGGCATTTCTCCGATGCTGTGCACGGTGTTAGCCTTCGGCTTGCATCAGGAGGAATAAACACTAGCGAGATGAAAAATAAGGTTGCGCGCTCACCTTCGCTGGTAATGAAGGAGATGAACTCGCTCACGCACTCCTGCATACACTCTTTTGCCTCTTTTGCGATCTTAGCATTCTCGGGCAGCGCGGTTTTCATGATCCGGGCAACTGGAGCGAAGTTTCGTATGTTAGCATCGTAAACATCATACCTGTCGGCTTTGGAAGCGCGAGGCGCTTCTGGCGACTTAGACGACGAATCGTGAGACATGGACGCCTTCTGCTGATGCGCGGCTGTCTCGAGCTAAGGGGGCCCATAAAGCACCAATTGACGGACGCGCCGCGGTCAGAGCTCCGCAGGAGCGATACTCTTCGAAGCTTGCAGGCCAGATCCCAAAAGCAGTCTCGGGTGCACCAAATCAGAGACAAGAGTCGGAGGAGGGTCTCAACTCACCATTGGCTATGGGCAACCACCTGTCCTGCTCTTTTACCTCGAACTCATAGGCAAGGCCAGAGCCGTGTGGGTCCTGAGGGTCGTTCATTTGTGCTTCATCGTCGGGTGACTGTACACCTGGCTCAACGTCCTTTGGAGGAGATTGGGGGGAATCCGACATATTTGGCTACCTGCAGCGGGTGGTAGCTTCTTGTAAAATTTTCTTGGACTGCCAGCTCGCACAGCTGGTTACAAGGTAGAGATGATGTGTCCCTGCCTCTGACACGTTGCAAGTGGTAGGGCTTGCAACTGAGCGCGGCTTAGCTGCAGACGAGTGCGTCAATCCTGCCCTGTCGCGCGGGTCCCAGAATTATGACCTAGAGCTATTTACTTGTCCCGCTGGCACGCCCTGTCGCGAACTTCAGGCTATGACGGAATCTGCAGCAACGGGCGATATGTAAGGGTATGTACGGGACGTGTATGGATGTGTATGCAGCAAGCCTGGGCTTGGTATAGTGTAGGTAGTATACTGTAGCGCGGTGTAGTGTAGTGTAGTGTGTAGTGTGTAGTGTGTAGTATGTAGTGAGTAAGTAGTGTGAGTAGTGTGGTTGGGTGGTGTTTGGTGTACGGTACAAAGTCACAAAAGACCGACGTGACTTTTGTGTGGACAGACTCGACGGAGATGTGGATGTGGGAGAATGGGACAGGATGCGATCTGAGGTACAAAAGTACCTAACCGGTCCGGGTTTGGAAAAGGGAAGCGGGGATTTGCTGCGGGTCCTTCTCCCTGAGAACTAAGACGCCGAGGGTTGCGTTACTTGGGAGACCCGCTGTTTCCTTCTAACTATTTCCTTCTAACTAATAGACTAACTACATGCTAACTATGCAAACGTACCTACCTCCTACAAATCTGTACCTGCTACCGGTGCCCTCTGTATAACACACTATCTTCCAGCTGTCGAAGCCAGTCTTAATTGCTATGTACTTCGCAGTGTCCTAACCTCCTAACTTCCTAGCGCGGGAGTGGCGGGGATGGCTACCTGGTTCTTCAAAGCAAGATCACCTTGCTGCATTGTGCAGGTTAGATGTATGTAGAATGGTACATAAAATTGATGTATGTATGGTGCCCGGTACGTGGGGTTGATGGATTCTCTCCCAAATATGAGGAATTAACGTTCGGAGTCGGCAGTGGACAAATGCGGCTGCCTTATGAACCTTACAAACAGTACGTGGTTTTTCATAGCTACAGTAGCTACAGTAGCTGACTAGCTCAGCAACGTTTTACTATTGTAGGTAGTCCGGCTAAGGTTGGTTTTTCGTAAGGGTGTGGTGGATATGTACAGTATGGGTTACACCAAAAATTAAACTGGTCAGAATCTCTTTCTATGGGCTATGGGCTATGGGCAAACGTTCAGGAAGACTTATTAGTTAAAATGTAAGGAACATACGACAAAGAGGCAAGACTTCGGTTTCGACGAAAACTGGGGGCCGTTTTCTGGAAAACTTCAGCTCGAGGTTGGATGCACAGAAGTGGATTTTTCTACGGGCTGGCCGCATAGCGCGTTATCAGCAACATGGTATGCACAAACGACATAGGTTCCCAATATTCCTTGGTATAATTACGTATGCTATTGTTAAGTATCTGGGCCAGATATAGATTCAAATAGAAAACCAGCGTCTGGCTCGGCATACTGATATCTTAGTACATGTATTGATTATATTTCATAAACACTTTAAGATATTCTTAGGATACGGGCCGCAAGTCAAAAATAAAACAGACTAACATAATATCTCGTATTTCTTTTACACGTATAAGTTAAAAGCAAATATAATGAGCACAGATGTGGATAATGAATTACCTATGTAGTATACTAACTACCTGGCAAGTAGGTCATGCACGTCCCATAGGAACGTTGAAGCTCGCATCTACGTGGGGAACGTGCAGGAAACCACTTAAGGAAGAACCGCGACGTAACTAATAGAGCATGGGAGAAGATTGGACGTTAATAATAGAAGTTAATTAAGAATTAATGAGTCAAGGACAGCTGTTTGACTTGTACACGAACGAAGAGATAATATTGGAAGAAAACAGGCCAACAAGTTGGCGCATCTATAGAAATTAGGAAAGAGTAACTAATGCTAGATGGCAATACTCCTATACTCCCATACACTTTTAGAAAGTACCCAAGGTAACTATATGTATAGACATGTATGGTATGTATCAAGCTTGCTTCAATTACAAATCGACAGATAAGTACCTACATGTAACTTACTTCTATACATTAATGTATGCCAATTACCTCTATCAAACATCGATACCTTAAGGCTTACCTACGTACATACTAATACCCGTAGACCTAACATTTCCTATACATATCTCTCAGGAACAATTTTCGTCCTCAAGGTTACTTGAAATCTGAAATATGCGCGCATAAATCCCGCCCTTAGCTGTCTTGATTTCTTCAGCTCAAGTCGCAAGTAGCTTTCGGGTCCTTAGACGCAACAATACTGTTGGACTGTAATATGCCACCATATCCGCCACACCGGCCCATTCCCCCCTACGGACCAAGCCGGCCGATGCATCTCATACATTAAGCGGTGAAGTCAACTTACCCCAAGTTGGCTGAGCGCATGATGTCCTGAGATATAGGCAGCCTTATTTTCATATTATCGGCATCTTAAACCTCTGTCAAACGTCCGTTGTCGCTCGCCCCATGCGGTCGTTGCGGTTGTTGTGATACCTACCTATCTAACGCACTCACCTTCGACGCGGGACGGAGTGGAGGGGTGATTCCATCGCTGATTCGACAATCCCCGAAATAAACAGCTGTCCGATGTATGTGCTTACCCGACAGGAACAGGAAGCGCGGCCTGGCTTATGGGCTCTTCGATCTTGGGGGCCGCGACATCTGTTTGGATAACTATTTCAGCATCTCTAGATGAAGAGGATGACGACTGGCTGTAAAAGATGACCTTAGGTAGGTTAGGGGTTCGCATTAATACCCTCTACCGGCCAATTGCAATACCTAGCACCGAGTTTCGGTTCTGATTGGAAGTAAAATCGCAATTCTAATTCAGGAGTTTCTTCCTGTCCCGGAATGTGGAGAAGAGAATGATAGGCCTTGAAAGCTTCCATGGCGATATCGCCGTCATCGCTTAATCCTGGTAGCCCATCAAATCGAGTCCTCCTTTCTTGGCCGGCCAGCCCTGCAAAGCTTGGGTGCTACATACCACACATACCACATACCACCGTACTTGCGTACTTGGTCGACCTCAAATCTGTACGCACGCTTGAGCACCTGGTACCTACCGACATGCACGTTGTATGCGGCCTAACTGTGTCCTACGAACCCACATATAATACGTACGATCCCATGGATGCCCAATCGTCGGATGCGAAAGTAGCCTTGTAGCCCTTGTAGCCCTTGTAGCCGTCTCATGCGGTACCTCTTAGCAGATGTAATGTTTAAATATCCCATCTAAACTAAGATTCGCTCTAGGATGCACTAAAATGAGAGGTACCGTTGTACTGGGAAAGCAACTCATTGGCGACAAATATAATGTGCATCTAATGCGCTGCTATATCAAAATCAAACAGCTCCGAAGCTCTCCCGTCCGGTTCGGAAAGGGACGTGGGATATTCCCCCCATCTTCCCCTCCGGATCAACACCCTGCTGACACTTGGGCAGAGGTGCAGCCGTGCCGAAGCTCAGAAGTACTCGTGTGTAGTTCCCTATTCAAGCCAGCTGAAGATTTACCTCTTCGATCGAGCGACCTACATACAGCAGCATTGCGCCGTACCTTTCGTCCTGCTAAAGCTGCCCGGGAATTCCGTATCACGTCCAAGGCAACCCAGCACTTGCAGACTACCATGTGTTGGGCCGAGCTTTTCAATTACATAGCATCGTAGTAGTCTTTATCGTCACTCCCCTCCACGAACTTATGTTTTCTTGTGTTATGCACGCCTTAGGTGGACGAGTCGCGGTTTGCGCAGTCTACGTCTACTACGTACCTATGTAGGAGGACTGTCACTCCTGTTTCAGGCAGGCAGATCATTGTCATCAGCGACACGTTGTCACTCGACCACCCGAGCGTCGCCGGCACTCTAAGGAAATCGTCATGTGGCATGTGGAGTTCCCAAGCGCATGCCAGGGACCCCGCCCTCGGAACATCTGCCGATAAACGAGGCAGATAATATCCATATGTGGTCCATCATCTCTTCAGGCCATATTCTTCGACTTTTAATACGGTACAGGTGTTGTATTGATGGCGGGCTATATCAGTGTGCCTCGTAGATGCAGAGTCAGCGTAAGCCGCCCTGTTTGATCAGATCATTTACGACCAGTCAAGACAGCCAACCCTTTCCGCGGCCTGCCCTCCAATCACTACCGCTTGCAAACGTTGATCATGACAGCCTTGACAGAAGCCTGTCGTTGGGCACTGAGACGCCCTTGACGCTAGGCTCCGCCGCCCGCACCTCCAATTGTACAACGCATCAACACCATCTTTTCGATATCGCCGTGCCTTTGCCGACGACATCAAGGCGAGGGCTATATGGCACCATCTCACCCATCTCAGCGTCGTGCAACAAGTCAGTCCGGCTCGATCTCGATCGAGTCTCTAATATAGTCATAGTGCCTAAAGACCAACGCACTCTATGAATCAGTCGTACTTAGATGCTGTCTGACTTGGTAATCATCCATTAGCCTACTCATTTCAAAGCGTCTATCGAGGGCCTCGAAAACACGTTTATCCGTATCGTAACCCTAGCATGGTTTCTATAGCCACTCCTCTGCATTGCAGCGCCGAGGCTGCGTCACGACTGTACAACCTGGATGTTGTTCTTCTTCTGTTCAGACGGTTATGTAAGTCTATGATAGTCGAAATGGGGTAGGGTCATCAAGCTGGATAAGCCGGAAATTCCAAGTTTGAGAAGGTGACGTACCTTCCACTTTTCTAGATCGTCCTGTTTGATCTTGTACTGCTTGACCAAGTCGTCGAGCACTTTCTTCAATCCCTCAGCATTGGTCTTCAGAGCAGGGATTACGTCCTGGACTGTCCGCTCCACCAGCACGCCGTTGATCATGCGGAAGCACTTGCGATCCCCCGGAAGCGGTTCCAAGGTATCAAGAACAAGCCTAGCGAGACAGAATAGTTGACGGATTAGCGGTGAGTTCAACAAGTGTGAAGCGGTGAGGTTTGTGAGATGATCTAGTTAAGACGCTAGAGAGAACAAACCCTGGTAGGGCTGAGGCCACGCGAGCGGATTGCCATGCCGTGCCATGCCAGGGAGCTCACGAATGTGGTTCCGTGATGTCAAGAATGAGAGGGTAGAAGAAGAGTCTCACGAACTTGTGTTCTTCGGCTTCTTGCTCAACATCACCAATCTTCTGAGCCAGTTGCTGCAGGGTATTCTTATAGTTTGAATATGTTGTTTGCAGCTCTGCAAGATTCAATCAGTCGAAGCTCTTGGTCTTCATGGTAAGTTGTTCTTCTTAGTGACACACCTTGCTGCTTCTTAGCCGATATCCCCTTAGACGCCATGATTACGATTTTATGCGGTTGGTACTTATAAGGAGATGGAGTTGATACGGGGAGTAGTGTACGGGAGTAATACACTACCTATCTTAAGATAAGATTAACTTTTATCTAGCAGCTTTTGAATTAATAATGATTGACGTTTGTTGTAGTGAGCAACTACAAATTAATTCATTGGAGGGGTCAGAAGGGCTGGAGGGGTTGATTGTGGAGCCTATAAAGTGGCCCATGCTTTGTCTAAATTTGTTCCTGTCGCAACCGATTTTTGGTTGGTTTGCGACTGAGAGTGGCACCATTTAGACCAGTCAGACAGTCAGATCATCTTCCTACAACCTCGTGTCGAAGTCTATTTTCTAAAACACTTAAATATGCATCCGCACTTACACACAAAGGATAACATTGGTATGCCTTTACGTCTTTTAGCCTACGAGCTCTTACGAAGAAAATAACTAATGGGCATATCTCGTAGCTTGCGAGGAGGTTATGACCGCCCTTGTAGAATGTCACGCTAGGGGGTTCCTCTGGAAGTCAATGGGCATGTGCAACGATGCCAAACATCAAGTTACCCTATGCCTCCGAGCCGAGCGACTAAAACGTACCGCAAAGAATCGAGAAGTTGCTAAGGCTAAGCGTGACAAGATTAAGTCGGCATGGGCTGATATCGACGAGAACTCGTAACGAATATATGGCGAAACCTACTAGTCCCCTGTATTATAGCGAGGACATGTCAAGGGTATTCTTGAGTTTGGCATGGCATGGCATGGCATGGCGTTATAAAAAGGGTTATAGCATTTTGGCTTGGTTTACGCCAGCAGGTTGGTCTTTTCGCAAGAGGATACTTGGATGGTGTTTACACTCTACTCTGATCACGGTTCCAAAACTTGTTTTTACAGAACATCCTTTCAATTTGACAGCTACATACTGGTTGACCTGAATCCGTTACGCCACAAATTATCACAGAAATTTCGACCCACACCGCAATCAACCTCTCCCTCACAAAGTCTTTCTGAAGGCATTACCGAAGGCCAATAGACCGAAGACCGAAATGAAGCTTAGAACAGTCGGGACCGGCTTTCCGCTACGGAGAGCTCGGGGAATAGAGGCTCCACCAAGGACAACGGAGGCGAGGAGAGCGAGTTCGATACCGAAAGGCTGACGCGATTGTAAACGATACCCTCCTAGGGCATCTTTGCGATATCAAGTTAGTTTAATACACATTATAAATCAGCCTCGTCTTGGCTTGGTAACTCTTGACGTACACAATATACCGACTGTCAAGCCAGCTATGACAGAGGGGACAGATCCCGTCTTGACGTAGCCTATCGTACCACCGCCTGCGGTCAAGGCGCCCAAGACAAATGCGATAGTCTCTAGAGCCTGTCACGGAACCCCGCGTTAGCTTCTGACGGATCATCCGATTTGTCGAACTTACCATTCTTTCTCGAAACTTGATGATCTAGAAGTTGCAGAGTATTTTAACCGCAAGATGGGAGGTTCTCTAGCTTTGCTTAATGTCAATGGCGTTGCTAGAATTCAAATTCGTAAAGTTAGACAAAGGTGAAGGCTGTAGGTATCATAGATGACGAGCTCGGAAGGCCGGACCCCCGGGGCCGCAGCACCGAGGAGATGCGACCTGGCGAAGATTCGAGATTCAAGATTCAATTGGATACAAGGTAATTGTACCTAGGTACTGTGGCGGAAGCTCTATCGTACTAGCCACATTTACCCCATGGTACCTGACTTAACATATCCACAGTAGACCCATTTTATTGGTTGCTTGATCGTTGATGTGAACCATGAACTTTTTGAAGCTTTCGTGTCCCTTACACGCAATCCCGGACCCGTTATTTCGACGACTAAACAGTAACTCAACAAGCACCCTTCAAATCTAATTCACATTCACACCTCTACCAACAGCAGTACCAGACTCGATATAACCACCATGGCGCCCAAAAAGTCCGCTGCTGCTACCACTCCTGCGCCCGCGCCTGCGCCCGCGCCAACCACACCAGCAGCACCTACGACAGCTCCCAGCATCGCCGTAGCCAAGACTAGCGCTAGCGGTTCTCAAGCGATCGACCAGGTAGCATGGAATATAGTCGAGCACTACCAGAAGACGACGCCTCAACGCACCAAGCTACTTGACGTCTTCATGGCATTTTTGGTCGTCGTCGGTGGTCTACAATTTGCGTACTGTGTCTTGGCGGGCAATTACGTATGTACCTTACTTCAATGTGCTCCTGGAGGATCGTCTGGGTGTATAAGCTTGCTAACCAGTGTGCTTGATGCTTATAGCCATTCAACGCTTTCCTCTCGGGTTTCTCGGCAACAGTTGGCCAATTCGTCCTTACCGGTACGTTTTCTGGAACGAATTGGACAGGGGAGGCTAATTGGGGTGCTAACGATGGGAATAGCATCTCTACGTATACAGACTACAGAAGCAAACAAGTCCGAGTTCCCTTCCATATCGCCAGAAAGGTACGCATCCTACTTAGCTCTATTATCAGATCGATGAGGCTAATATGTTTGTATAGGGCATTTGCAGATTACGTCTTCGGCAGCCTAATCCTACATTTCTTCTGCGTCAACTTCATAAACTAAGCAGGGTAGCTCGTAGGAGGTATATCGAGGCCAGTACGAAACTTCAATGGCTGCTGGATTCAAGTTATAAGGCGGAAAATCTCTATATTAAAAGAAACATTACGGTCACGACCATGTATAGCAAGCAAATGAATAAATCGTGCTTCTTTGAGTTTCTTACTGTATTATATCTCCATTTAAATCGTGACACTACGTCTAGTCGACATCATCATCCCCGCTGCTAGCTTTCGGCTCCTCGGCCTTTGGCGGCGCTCTCGGGGGAGCACTAACGGCTTTAGGAGGCGGCGGCGGTGGTGTCTTGCTTGTAGAAATGTTTCGATCCAGCTCCCTGCTCTTCTTCTCTTCTTCCGCAAAGTAGTCGTCCATCAACCTCTTCGGAGCATTGGTGTGCCTCTCTTTTTTCTTACTGCGCGGCGGCGCACCACCTGCTGGTGGAGGGGTACTGCTAACTAGTTGCGCGGGGACAAGGAAATCTGGCGATGCTGCCGGGACGAACGCATTAGCTGTATCGCTTGGCGGAGCTAATGTCGTGAATTGGTCTGCGCCGGCACCAACATTGGCGCTTGCACCACCGCTGTTATCGCCATCGAACATAGTCTCGCCCGGCGCATTGACAGGCTCACTCAACGGCGCAGGAAGACGATGCAGCGCGCCGTATCCTAGAACACAACCCAGGGCGCCCTCACCACCCCACTCGCGGCTCGGCACGATCTCGACCTCGCGCGTGACATTGTACTCGTTATTATACACCCACAGCCGCAGCGGGCGGCCCACATAGTCGTCTACCAGCTCGCCCAGCCCGCCCTCTCCGTGCAGCACACCGTCTGGAGTACCTAATATGTAATCGCTATACGGCAGCAAGCCGGCGTGGTCGGCGGGCGAGTTCGAAGCTACGTCTAGCACGTGCCAGACGTTCGAAGCGACGTCGAGCGGCGTCCATTGCAGCGAGAGGCCGAGCGATCGCGTGTCGGCTGGGACGGGGACGTGTAGGACTCGCGTGCGCTGGCCCTTGGCGCTCCAGAGCCCGAGGGCGACGCTGCTGCCGGCGCAGTTGCGGATTTCTTGGGCGAAGAGTCGGGGGTCGGGGTTATCCTGTTTGCGACTCGTTGTTAGTTTTCTGGTCTGTCTTCTTCTTCTTCTTGCTACTGGGGTGGACTCGTGGGCTTTAGGGGGGTGGGGGGTCGTACAATTACACGGCCGTTGATCCCAACGATAAAGTCAAACCAAGGCTCGATGCCTAGCTCGAGGTTCGTGTTGCGCAGCACTTGGAAGCCGTATCCGTGGCCGTCTTTCCTCTGCGGCCGCGCGTCGCCGTCGAGGCGCGAGAGGTAACGGTTTAAGGCGTTGAACATGGTATATGCGTCGCTATGGGCTCATGTGTAAAGTGGCAGTGTAGTTTAAGTTAAAGAAGTCTATTATTTGGTTATGTAATGTCCTATTAGGTTAAGATATTGGTATGCGCCTGCTTGGTTTACATGAAAGTCGCAGCCTATCAAGAAAGTTGTCATTTCCTAGATCGCTATTAGCCTTACGCCGGCTATGCGCTAAATGCTAGTAGTGGTCAAAGCTTCTGTTATAGCTGAAGTGGGGCCTATGGATCCGTACTGTATCTACGATTACTGTTAGCCTCCTTCACTTCACCCTAACTTCAACTTATTGAAGAGTCTACAAATACACCAATTTTGTTTATTCAGTATCTTATATAATTCTAGTCTGGTGTTTTCCACAGATATATACGCTAAGAACTCATAAACAGCGGATTTAGTTCCTCATCTTCGATTTTTTTAAGGCTGATACTAATCAGGCAGCTCATGCATGCTGATCCAGCACTTTCAAGATGAAACAAGTGAACAAGCTCCCCCTGACTAACGACTGCCACCACTGGACTCGTCTGGGCGAAGTGCCTTGGGACTTACAAAAGTGAGTTATTGAAGTAGAGTACTTGCTTGCTATTTATATAGATGGTTTACTTACGCGGTCGAAAACTATAGGTACTGGCAGCAAAGATACACTATTTTTCCTTACTACGATGAAGGTATCTACATGACTCAAGATGCCTGGTTTGGCGTGACCCCCGAACCAGTTGCGAAGTAAGTTTCATATCTCGATTCCCATCCGGATCCTATTCCGTATTATCCCAGTCTCGATACGATCTGACACTATTCTTATTCTAGCCAAATCGCGCTAGAGATGGGTTCTATTATTAGCGAGTCAAAGACGACAATCATAGATGCATTTGCTGGCGTAGGAGCAAATTCTATTGCCCTTGCCTTGGCCACAGCTGAAGACGGCTCAACGCCCCGCTGGGACAAGGTGATCGCTATTGAGCTAGATGCAGCCACTCTTGCCTGTGCGCAACATAACGCCTCCTTATATGGTGTGGCTGACCATATCATCTGGGTCCTGGGTGATAGCTTTAAGTATCTAGACGCTTTGGTGAACTCGCCAGACAAGCTAGAAGATGACCTACGAGTAGACGTGGCATCCACGGCTGTGTTCGCATCACCGCCCTGGGGTGGGCCAGGATACAGGACCGATGAAATATTCGATCTGAATACCATGGAGCCCTATAACTTGGCCCAATTACATGGCGCCTACAGAACTATGGACCATGCCCTTTACCTACCACGCACGAGCGATCTAAGACAAATCGCCAAGCTGGCCCCCGATGGGACTAAGATCGAGGTTGTGCAGTATTGTGTTGAGGGTGCAAGTAAGGCAATGGTGACCTACATACCCGCTGCCAAAGACGAAGATACTCACATGGAAACATAACCTTCCAATTTGGCTAACGACCCCTCTCTCACTGGTTTTATAAATAAGTCGAGTTGTTCAGTTCAGTCAGCAACCAGGCCCGTACGTAATGAGGTAGGTTCCGCAAATTATTTTTTTAGTTGATGCTTTATACGATACGAGTTGTACTACTCCACGGAGTCTGGCCTCCTCCCATTGGCCCTATTGGCTCCATTGTGCTGCGGCGACTAGCCACACTATACTGGCTCATACTATACTGGCTTGCCCTAAATTGGCTCTGCCTATATTGACTCTCCCTGTTTTGAACATCCAAATGTTGGTTCTCCGCGGGTTGACTCTCCGTGAGCTGGCTCTGTCTATACTGGCTCTCTGCATATTGGCTTCCCATGAACTGGCTTATCCTCTGCTCCTCCGTCATCGCGCTTGTACTTCTGCTGCCTAGTCTCTTTTCTATCCCGTCCCGTAAGAATGTGACGGGATGTGCAACACACAACCCAACAACAGCTTCCGCAACAAGAAAGCTGTCTAAGCCCGCAAATAGGGCTTGGTTCTTCGCAGTGTAACTCTCCAGTCCGTTGGCTAGTACTATTGCCTGGTAGAGTGCTCTTGCGAAGAGGCACATGGCGGAAACCAGCAGCATCGCAAGGAAGAATTTGAATCTGTGTGCCATGGGGACGAAACCATGAACCGGATGGAACGTCGTGTATCCAAATTGGATATTTGCTACGGCGGCTCGAAATAGGACGATACCGAAAAGCATTATATAAATGATTAAGGAAATGGCTTGTATCACCATACCAGTGGCGATAATGGGGCTGCCGACGCGGGCGTTATGACCAAGGCCCGTGTCGGAGGAAAGGTCCGAGAAGGAGACGACGAGTCCGATGAATTGGAAAAGAAACCCAAACCCCTCGATCCAGGTTAGGAGGGCATAGCGCGAGACGTTGATTGGCGAGTGCTCCGTGCCTAAGATTTTAATTGCTTCGGGTACGGTAAAGTAGATGCTTTAAATAAGTCAGCATATTGTTCAACAGCCGAGAATATCCAGTAAGAAGAGAGGGATTCTACTGACGCTGCTGATATGAAGGCCGGCGGTATTATCATAAACGTTGTCGACGCCGCGTATAAAGACACGTTCCATGGATCAGCCGAACTTCCGATTCGCATAGCATAGCCGATACTCTCGAGAAGACAGCCTATAGAGATTGGAATACTAAATTCTAACCATCTATTCCTCTCGGCTAGGTAGAATGAGTAGACCAGGCAGGCAACGAAGGATCCAAGGTGAATGACGAAGAAGATGACTCCCGCTGCTGCACTTGGCGGGTAGCCATATGGGGACGCGGCGACTGGACATGTGTCAAACGTGCACGAAGCTATAGATATCATGGTGAGGAGGAGAGGTGATCTCGAATATCTATCGGCATCTCAACCCATAGAAACGACATTCGACGAGAAAGACGGAGGGCAGGGCGATGGAGCGGAAGGATAATTAATAATAAGTAAAAGATGACCCAGTTGCGGCTAGAAATACACAGCTTCGTCGAGAAAACTCCTTACAATCTACTTGGGTATAGGATGAAGTCGGCGCAGTCGGAGTGGTTTCAATATTGCGTAGCTCCTCGACCTCGAAAGACTACCTAACTACCTCTAGGTATATAATTACCTACTTACCTAGCTGCGAGGAGCTGGGTTTTGAGGCGACCTTTCTACCCGAAACATGCCGGTTAAAGCTAGAGCTAGATCCTACTATGTCTCGACATTCAAACTTGATACCTTCCCACTAAGTCCGGTACCACCCGGCGGCATCCATCATCTTGACCAGCAGCGTGGTCGAGCCGGCCGAGGATCTCTCTTATGGGGGAGAGGTGTCAGGGGTCAAGGGGTCAAGGGGTGGCAGTGCTAATTATAAGTCTAAAGTTAGGTGTGTGGAGTTACTGGAGCGTAACAGATCTAAGGCTGACAAGCCACTCGGGGTTGTTACCGAATAACACCAATGATGGCTGCCTAGCTGGGCTTAGGGTTACATTGATGTATTTCACCTTGTAACTCTGGGTTAATATTGGCCATCTTTAACGACGTGCATCGGCCCCAACGTTGCCTACCTAATTCTTGAGCTTACAGTCTCCTGATCGAGCAAAAGGACTGACAACGACTATTCGGGGATTTCCTATTCTTCATATACCTACGTAAGATGCGAGATTTTAATAGTTGTTGATCTGGGTTCATGTATAGCCTCCCAATTCTATATATGTTGTTAATTGACCCACCAAATCTATCGCATACAGTTTCTACACAAGACCAACTGCCTATCACGGTCATATGCTGATTCCTTTTCTACAGATTTTATGCTCAAACAGATTAAGGAACGGTCTATGACAGAATAGGAATAATTATCAATTAAGCTACTGCGCCGTAGAGATCACCTTGGCAAGGCCAATGAATAAAATGGCCTTATCCAACTCTCTGCAACCAGCATTGAGATCTGCAGCGCTGCAGATATGCACCTCGGTAGTATACTACAAAGGCTGAGACCTCTCAGGTCACAACTTAGTATCATGTACTCGCGTCTGACAACTTCTTTTCATTTCTCGTCGTCTATCGCGTCAAAACGTCGGGGGCTGAATGGGGCGGAGTTCATAGAGCTGTAGAATGCAGCATATATTACTCATATCTAGGCGTGGTCATAAGAGCAAAATAGAATTACCTCAAAAGTCATCTAACATACAGGAGGTCGACTTGATTTAACCCGCGTCGAAACTCCCGTGGTCGCTTACGCGTCTAACGGCGAGGACGGCAGGCTTATATAAATGCGACCGCGGCAATCCGCCCATCTGTAGGTAGCTAACATATCTACTCTAAACGAGACTGAGATCATCACTTGCTAGACACAAGCGCCACTGTTGGGAGAGCACGTGGTAGTCTTGTTCCGAGCAGAAGTAGTCCCCCCTGCTATGAGGCGTCCAACCCCTGAGACACACATGGCCAAGACCAGGTCTCGATTACTTAGTAAGTCGGGTTTTCTTCGCCTCAGCGACACTTATTAAAGACGCAACCACCCACCTCCATGACTGTTAATACTGCAGCTCTAAGTGGAATCATTAGCGCACTTCTATCCTACTCTCATTCCGATTCGGTCAATATGCCCCGAGCCTACTGCAATGTCACTTTGGGGCTAATGTCGTAGTCGTTCTCTATGCATAACACCGTCATTTGGAATCTGGCCCTCTTGGTATCTGGCAGGATGCTGACGTGAGGACGCATCGCGATCTACTACCCCGGAGACTTGCGAGGTGTGAGATGGGTCGAGGAATTGCTTGACGCCGCTTGGAGACATGTTATATGCACGATATGGCTTGATGAGCAGATCATGCTCTCCTTGATGGGGTGGTATGTAATTTGAGCTCGGGGGCAGAAACAGTGTTCACTAGATTGAAGGGCGCGCTTGGAAGTGCTGTGGTGGTATGATGAGGGATCTGGACCGTCGGCCATTGTCACTTCGCAGAAAGACGCCGGATAGGTATTAGAGATGGAAGAGAGGTAAATTGGGCTGCTTACTCGAACCAAGAAGTGCCCAGCAGAAAATCTGGTTAAATACCTACCTAGGTATGTATGAGAGGGTTAGCTTATGATGACTAGGGTAACATCAAGTTGTGGCTGCATGGCTACATTGAGTACACAGCTAAATATTACAGATATGAAAATACATCTGTAGCTAATATATAAACTTATAAAACGCCTTATCTTTATCAATCGTGGAAGTTCCCGTGTGACATAGGATTAGGGTCATATATTCATCTAATGGCTCAGAAGCCCAACTATGGCAGTACCATCTGTCCACCGCTATCATTAGGCAAGTTGTCTCTTTTCTCATCCTCAAACTACATAGATGATGAGAACCAGTGTTATTTTTGATAGTAGGCAAGATTCTGGATACTTCACGTTCAAGATTCCTGTCACTAGGTACCTTCTGGAGGATATAAAGAACTATATATTTGACTTCAATAGTTCCCTTCTTATCTGTTAAAACTATGCTACCTAAGATGGGCATGTTTTATCATATATCAAACGCAAGTCAACGTTTTAATACTTCTATCTTAGTACCACCACTACCTTTTGAGCTTCTATCTCCAGATACATGCATCCTAAGTACACTATGTCGATCTCTTTAACACCATCAATCCCTCTTCGTAAAATAGGCTGGATATAATCAGCACAATGTCAACGATCGGACTATTGTAAAGGTTTCATGACAAGGAGACTTTTAAAAAAAATCTTATCCATAGATACATACAAAATTATTTACTAAAGCTGGGCTTGATCCTGATTGAAATTTCCGTGAATGGTACGAGGTTCAGTCCGAACGTCTACGCTAATATGAGCGGAGCACTTTCATGATAATTGAGGTTTCAATAAAGCTATTATACCTTCAAGACCTAATTCCCAATATCCGCAACTTGGTCTACGATGACATCCCTGTTGCCCTGCTCCCAATAAACCTCGACGACCTGCTTGCTGACTCGCCAGGGGTTTTCTCCTTTTTGCTCCAGCTCTGGAATCCGAATGACATCGAGGTCAAATTGGGCCTGATTATGGATATTTCCGTTAGCTGATCCTAATTTGAAATGCCGAGGATATTGCGTAGAAGGAAGTAGACTCACGCCGTCATGCATTATAGGCCCGCCTCTCGCTGCCTGGCGAACCATATGGGCGGTTACGTTAGCGAAAACCCGGCACTTATCAGGCCTAGTAGCACCATTGAAGGGCTGCGGTAGTTCTATGATGAGACCCCTATGATGATTGAATGAGCTTCTATCCGATATATTTATAGAGAAAGGAAATATACGATTGTAAGAGAAACTTACGTAACTATATGCTGGCACTTGTCGAAGCTGGCCGCCGCCGAAGTAATAGTTTTGGCCCACTCCTCCTTAGTCGTCTCGAACGGTTGACCGCCAAACATGGAAGTGTAGTCGAGGGCGACTTGGGGAGCGTATACGTCTTTAATAAGGCCGTCCATCGACTTTCGGTCACAGTTGAAAGTCTTTTAAGAAATGATATTTAATGACTTTGGCCACTTGGATTTTATTTAAAGCCCCTGGATGCCAAGTTTACTTACGAGTCGTGTCACTGTGTCGTGGATATTGGCCCGGTCGAGGAGGTACGTCTGGATGTCGTAGGGGGCGGCCATTATTGCTGCTATTGTTAGGGGATGTCTTAAGGCTTGTGGTTTATATACTTAGTTCAGTCTAAACGATGAGTCTCAGATAATGGGTTGACTGGTGTCTTGCAAGCGAACAGAGCTTGGATTTATATTTTGATAACTGGACTCTGATTTGCACCCTAAGTAATATGAAATCCTACCCCATGATGATCGGCCCATTGCATATCCCTTAGCCATCCCGATACACTCTAGCCCATCTACTGCCACTGTCATGGCGTTTTCGTCGGCATAACTGTTTGACCGTGTTGTCAATATACTCCTTGATTCACGGGAATAGTAGCTTTGAGACCCCCTTAACCCCAGACCAGATCGTCTTACGCCGCTTAAACTTATCTCAGGTGACCTCAGACCCGATATTTTCGAGGCGGGCTTTGCCTGCTTGCTTTGCCACAGGCGCTACGCAACGCGTGGTTCGTGTGTTTATACCTATGGGTTACAGGCAAAACATTCGAAAATATCTGGTTTAAAGCTGTACTGTATTGCAGGGGTCTTTAACGTTTTCGTTGGTAATGAAAAAATCAAACATTACATCCATAATAATTTAATATACCATAATAATGTATAAAATAGTTTTAATTTTAATAACTCGGAATTAATAATATATTTAATTTATTTTTTTATTTTTTTTATATATTTGTATGATATTGTTTTTTTATATATTAAGTTTTAACGTTTAAAAATTTTTAACGTTTTAATTATTTATTTAATATTAAACTTTATATAAAATATTTAAATATAATAATTTAATATTTTATAATTATGTATAAAATCTTTTTTTTTTAATAATTTTAAGTTAATAATATTATTGTTTAAACTTTTTAACCTTTTTTATATATTTATACGGTTTTATATATTAAGTTTTAATATTTATTACGGTTATTGTTATAACCGGTATTATAGTTAACGTATTATAACTGTTATAATATAGCTGTTATAATTATTTTTAATATTTTAAAAAACTTAAAACGCGTGGATTTAATTAATAAACTTAATAATAAAATTAATACGATTATATAATTAATTAAATTTATTATAAAAATGCGTTAATATTATTATTTTTAATAATATTGTTAATATTATTTTTTTTAAAATATTAAGCGTATATTTTTGGTATATAAGGTTTTAAAGCTGCTTTAAATCACAAATTCGATATTGTTTTAAGGGGTTATTCCAGGTTTTAATTGGTTGAAAAGTGGTGTGGCTAAGGGAGGTACAACCTTACAAACGATATTGAATTTATGGTCTGAGTTTACTAAGATAAGCTTAAACCTGATTAAAGCCCGTATACTGTGAACTAAATAATCGGGTCCGGTATAACTCTAGATCGATTCAATTACGGGAATAAGTCATGACCATTGGATCCTCGTTAATAGGGCCCTTTTAGTGATAAGGGTAATATATGATAACATAACTCTGTTAGAGTATAAGGAACTATGAACCTAGTTCATACTAAACCCTTGGTATAGCTAGAACTTTTGTCGGAATTACTGAAGCTAATTGAATGTGGAAGAGACAAAATTTCTTTTTTCATACAAACAACCAAGTTGTCTCAAATTATGTTATGGGTTAATGCTGCTAATCTCGATGCTAACAAGTCTATTTATTAGTAAATAAACGAGGTGTTGGTTGTTATAATATTATAATATTATTAGTAAAGGGGGTGTGAATTGCTTACGTCTACTAAATCGCTGGCTCTGCCATTACAACTAACGGAATTCATCCAGTTAGTATCTAATATATATGCTTCCTTACAACGACTAGCACAACTCATATGTAAGATCTTGCGTCGTAGTGAATGCCCCAAGATTCACTGCTTTAGCAACAGAAACCGCCATACCACTTTTAACACGGAGCACTGGTTAGAATCCGCATTGCCCGTTGACGAGTATAAGCGTACTTGGGTACATTACGAATAAAGGATAAAGGTCCTTGCATAGGTATGTGGCGTGCAGAGCTATCCAAAGACTAGGTAATATACATTATATTGATTTTCCAACATCCTGCAAACCTAACCTTAAAATGCACACATGATGATGTTCCAGCCGTTCCATGTGACGCCTTTGTGGGTGTGAGGCTTGCTCTAGCCGCAAGCCATATTTAGATAACTGTATTATGGAGTGTATACGAAAGAGAATAGGACTGGGAACAGGGCTAAACCAGTGTTTAAGTTCTTCCCGTGAGTGATACTTATATTGCCCATATGCTAGTTGTATCTAACAACCAGCCTTATACCAACTATACAGCTTAAACAGCCCGACCAAGTTATAGAGTTTATGACAACCTAGATATCTAGGTACCTAGGTAGGTAGGTACACGTGTAGAGTAATTTCCTCCGTTGCCTGGATCGGCGTAACCGGTCAACATGTCGTGTCAAGTACCATTGGCTCATGAGAAATGGAGTAAAAAGGCGCATCTAAAATCGGGAATATACATATCTGGCTTGCCCTTGACATTAGTACTAAACACAAATGTAAGGTATCTAGATACCTATAGACGAAAGTCCATAAGTAGAAGCTCCACCCACCAATTCTAGCATCGTCTAGCTCACTACTTTGACGCCTTTTCGTATTTTAAGCTTTGGCCTTGGAATTCATTTACTCATATGTTACTACATTGACGGATCACTGATTTAAGAAACTGACCCAAGCACACAACTACCTAGCTACCTACTCAGCACGGAGATGACCGAAAGACCCGTCGAGTCAGGCAGTGTTGCCGCCCTTATCGGACAGCTCGGTGGCCTCAGCTCGAAACTCGGGCTGGCTAATGACCAATCCACCAGAGCTGAAGCTCTACGATTAAGCAGAAAACTCACCATGAGTCTAGAGCGGCCTGAAGATGTTGCCGCCGAATTTGTCTTTTCCGTAATTCATTCAACTTTAGTTTTGCTTCCCAACGCCGTAACACTCATGCTAATAAGCTAAAATAAGTCTTTTATTCCAATTGCTGCTAGAATCGTTGTCGATATGAACCTTTTGGATTATATTGTGAAGCACGATAAACCAATCACGTCTGAAGAGCTCGCTTCGCTCTCTGGTGGAGAAGCGCTACTTATCAGTACGATCTATTCAACACCATGGGCTGCTATTGCTAACGATTCTAGCTCGACTGCTCCGGGCTTTGGCCTCAGTGAATCTTTTGAACGAAGTTAGCGCAGAAACATGGCAAGCTACTACAGTCACCAAGGCCATGGCCAGTGAAGGGACCTCTGCTGGGATCCGACTGATGTGAGTTTTTTTCGTTCGTTACGCATTCCACTTCGGGGCACTCCTTGCTGAGATTTACAAGTGGGGAGATGGTAATGGGGGCCGCCAGCAAGGCGCCGAAATACCTTAAAGAAGCTGGTTATAGTTGTCCGACGGATCCGAATGACGGATTCATGCAATATGCCTTTCAAACGAAATTGACAACCTTCCAATTTTTCAACTCAATCCCTCGAGTTCAGAAGGACTTTAATAATTTCATGGGAAACGCATTGGGGGCGAGAAAGATATGGCTCGACTGGTACCCAATTCAAGAGTTGATCGATGGTGCGGTACCAGATTCGGCCTTACTTGTAGATGTTGGCGGTGGTAAGGGCCATGATCTTCTCGCCTTCCACGAGAGATATCCCCATAAGGGTCGATTGGTACTTCAGGACTTTGTGATCGACACGATTGGAGACATTGATCCTGCGATTGACCCAATGTACTACGACTTCTTCACTGAACAGCCTGTTAAAGGTATGCTTACTTTCACTTCCCATTCTTCCCCCATACCCCATCTTGTTGCCGCCCGCTTATGTTTTACTAGGTGCAAGGGCGTACTACTACCATCACATATTACATGACTGGTCTGATTATAAATGCTTGGAAATATTGAAGCATGTAAGAGACGCCATGAAGCCTGGGTATTCGAAACTGCTCCTACACGAAATGATCATACCAGAAACTGGAGCCTCCCCATTATACGCTATGCTTGACATGACGATGATGTGTTTCAACGCAGGCATGGAACGCACCGAGCGACAATGGCGCGCATTGTTGGAGACAGCCGGCTTCGAAGTTGTCAAAGTCTGGCCATCCCCGGAAGTGGATGGCAACGGTATGGTAGAGGCAATCGTCAAAGAATGAAACTTATGCCTACCTAGGTACCTAAAGATTAAGTTGAGTATGTGAAATAGGCAGATTACCAATGACAGCCCTTCCGTAAAGATTAGATACCCAACAGAACAAGTGTATGCCTACTGAATTTATAAAATTTCACACCGCCCGTCTGGCAACATTCTCACCATATCTCGTACAGCCTCAAATAACGGCCTTAAATAACGATACGAGATTAACATCACTTTAAGAATTTGGCCTTTGTAATAAGTCGACGTCAAATAAATTAAACACCCGGTTTACAGCCCAAGAATCAAGTTTTTTGCACACCTTAGGTATGCATTGCAATATCAAAGTTTGTTGGATAAAACGCGGATTTATCTTCATGTTGAGCAGTATTATTTATCCAACAAAAGGTTACCATAGAGAGGTCTGGCTGGTACTGATATCAAAATGGTGTGAATAATCCAAGGCGACCGAGGAACTAAGGCCCATTGTACTGAGGGCTTCTTTTCCTGGACGCCATGACCGCTATCATGGTCTAGCAATGGATCATAAGCCTGGTTTACCTAGTTCCCACTCATCTTTGTGGAGAGTAGGCGTATGGTCTTGCATCTTGGTGTCCTTCCGTGGATTCTGGATATGGACAATAGACTCAAGCATCAAAACGTAGTTTTTTCCTTCTTGCCAGAAGCGTGGGGTTGGTCCCGACCGAATTTCAACGCGGTAATAAGAATTGCAGAAAGTACCAGAAACCCAGCAAGCCTTGTTCGAAGTGCCTCAGCATCATAAAGCTGCACAAGGAGGGTTTCGGCGACTTAATCAGTGCAATGCAACGCCAATGTCTTAGCATTGACACTCGTGATCGGGTTGAAGGTGCACGACAGAGACAAGATAGGTAGTAAGGTGGCATATTAAAAGCCACGATTCCAAAATGGCACGTTGATCAGTTGAAAATTACCTATGGTTGTGTCACGAGGTGGAACTAAACAGTAATTATGGTAACAACTTCGTTGTTCCGCGAGGAACTCTAACCTAGCTACGAGGATCTATGTCTATACAGACTGAATATGTCCTTTGTTCTAGATGTCTCATCTAGAATCCCGACAGGTTGGCTGAGACATGGACGAAATATGCAATTTGGCTCCGTTATAATAACGACGTGACTTGTAATCCAACCAATAATACGTTCTATTACACCAACTGTGTAACCTAATTGCATACGTTGGCTGGTGTTTTGCATTCCTTCAAATATCTTAGCTACCGGCACTATCTAGTTTTCGACATTGTGCCTACTATGTAACAATTCCGAGTAGTGAGGGTACTTCGTCTCGGAGGGCAAACCGGGGCACCAGCCTCGGTTTCGTTTACCGGCCAGCCATTGGCGCTATTGCTTCTTTCATATTACTTTTTATCGGGGTCGCCATCGGGGCTTTAGGGGCTAGCCCTTTCAGATGTGCCACTTCACGTCAAGACATAACGCAAGCTCTCGATCCCCGGATCATCAATTGGACCTTCACGTATAACCGAACATTCGGGGCGGATCCAAACGAAAATAAATTGACAGATACGGCAGGGGAATCTATCTATTGTACCGCGTATGTGTCTCGCGTCTACGTACCTAATCTACCAACCTACCTGTATCTAGGTAGTAGCTTAAGATGTACTCAACTCCTAAGAACTCCATTATAGTCGGGCAGAGCTCTGTGCAACCACCTAGCGATACACAGATTTACACCCCCTATTCTCGGGGGTGCGACTGGTTGGAGTGGCGTCCACTTCTGCCGAGATTACAGTGAAATAGTGGCATAAGCCGAGAAGTATAGAGTGAACAATCTAAAAGGTTTCCGTGAGACAACTAAGTTACACAACAGTGGTGTATAGAGGGTTGGCTAGATGTGGTGGTAGGTATTGCGGTGAATCCTTCGACTATCCGATGATAAGAGCAAGATTGGCACACGAATTGGCATGACGCTGGCCTTCGTAGGCTTCGGGGTTCTTGTTAGCAATCCCATTGCTGGTGTAATCCTAGGAGAGAGCAACAATTGCGTTGGCTTGATTTCTTGGTGCGGCGCATTGCTAATCGCTTCAAGTGTAATCTTGATAGCAAGCCGAATAGCTAAATCAGGTCGGGGCGGCGCCAGCCAAAGTAATATAACTATACGCACTTGTGCGTATACATGCATTAAATGGAAACTGGTCCTGTCCAACCTTGCCCATTGAATTTAACGTCTAGCCATTGGAACCTACCTAGTGACAGGAAGTTGCATCTCAAGATGCTGTGAGTAATGTCGTTTTCACGTATTGTTATCAGACTTGGACCGGAAAATGCACTGAAAAATGGACCACCCTCCCGCTTCCTTGATGACGTTTTCTTTTATCTCTAGTCTATACGCTATCCACAGTTATATAGCAGGTGTAATAAACAGCATTGTAATAAAAAGCATCAGAATACGAATATGCTAAAACATGTGTAAGAACTACCAGCATGAGACAAACGATAGAAGACGTGTTTAAGTAGATGATTACAGGCTGTGTTATGATTCCAAGAGTTTAACCAAGGTCATCTTTATGGACGTACTATGCGTGTTGCGTCTTAACTGGTACTGAATAAGTTGAGGAGGAAAATAGGGGCCTTGGTAATTTGGACTAGAATATCCCCCTTTTATGTACCCGCAAAATCTTGCCATCCTACTAAAAGTTCAACTACATTCAGATACATACCCAGGCTACTGGGATATCCAGATCTATCTAGTCTTATATACCTAGGTTCATACCTCTTGATGTTCCAACAGAATTTATTTCCACTTCCTGTTCGCGTCCTCACTTGCATACATCAACGACGAAGACTCCGCAAAATTAGACATAGCCAATCGATATAAGGCAGAACAGAACAGAACAGAAACTTCAAGTTGTAATAACGAAGGCAAAAGAAAATGACCTATTAAAAATAATAATAAAAAGAGAAAAAGTGCAAAAAAGCTCAAACCCAGAATTCGAACCACTGCCGATTGACCTGAACAGTTGGTCTGCCTGCCGCCCCGACAGTGGCTCGAACCCAGGTCCTACGAAAAACTCCTCGAGGAATTATTTCTGACCCTACTTCAACAGCTGCCTGGTCACGACCAATTTGACCAACACAGTCATTGATCAGGGGTGAAAGAGTGCGTTGCTAACGCGTTACTTATGTCTGTCGGCGCTGCCTGGCAACCGGGTAGCGGGGTTGTCCAACGACTTGCTTGCAGTTAACCTTGACATGCAGCCAGTACACTTTGAAAATGTTTTTAGTCAAGGCGTCATATGGGACGTATCACTTATTGCTTAATAAATTCCATAATGCGAGTGTAGGCTAGGATAAACAGGCACGACAAGAAATCCTACCTTATCTAGGTACCAACAAGGACAACGCGAAGGAAACGAGATACTAGGCGCGGTATAAATATTATCTATTACTGATATTAATAGGATCTAACGGCGGTTTCTCTTCACTGTCAACTCCACGCTTTCCCTTCTCTTTCCCTTCCAGCTCCTAGTCCAGCCCCTTTACTCTGAACCAAACCAAGCATATCCGTGTTCTTCCGTCGAAAACCACAAGACGCTTCCTAGCCATTCTCGATGAAAATAAACACTAAACACTAGGGTTTGAGCACAAGTAAGCATAGCAGTAGGCATGCTTATAGTGCAAAAGCGTACAGCTTTTTCAGACGCCCGGGCGAGTAAAGTCATCGCCTGGCGGCCAATTTCCAAGCTTACCTGGGTCGCCTCCGATACGAACATAGGTACCGACAGCCGGTATGTTATCTTGCAAGACATACATCTGGTACCAACCCGCGGGAGCGATGTGAACTCTCGGGGGTGCGACGACGGTACACTTAGTGCCGGAGCACGAAACATCCGGAAACAGGGTTCGCGCTCCCATCGAATTGCCATGAGTGCTAGATACCGCGCCGAGCAGCGAGACTTTGATCTCTCCCTCGGGTTCCTCGCCCAGCTCGAAGCTGACTTCGTCGTTGTAATCCCAATCTTTGTTCGTGATGGTGAATGACGGGCGTGGTTTATTGCTGTAGAGGTATGGTGGCGTGAAGACTTCAACGCGGATCTCCTGGGGGTGTTTGCCGTCCTGGGGGTCGGAGCCCGTAATTAGGACGCGGCCGTCGAGGAGAGTGATAGCTTCGCTGTGATAGAGACGTGCGACAGTTGTGTTGGCCATGACGGACATACGGGAGCCAATAGGCTTAAACGGGTCATAGAGGATGGCGTTGTAGTTGGGGTCATCCGCAAGACCGAAACCGGCAACGCCTTCGTGGGCGCCGTTGGCAATGAGATAGGTTCCATCTGGCAAGGGTGCCATGCAACTCATGACACGCTTGGAAGGCATACGCTCAAGAGCCCACTCGGGGTTGGGCGCTTCGGGATACATAGATACGCAGTTGTCGAGAGCAGAATGGCCATCAGTCGAACCGCCGCATAAGAGGATACCAAGAGGATCCGTATAAGGGGCAAACTGGGGCAATAGAACAGCAGCTCCCTCAAGAGGATAGGTACGGCCCCCAAGGTCATCGTTGACAGCGCCAGGCATGTTTGGTAAAGTCTGTATCGTGTCAAAGGTAACTTCGTCTAGGATTCTGGCTTCGTTCCAGTACGCAACGAAAATGCCACCACCGGGAAGGACTGCCAAAAACGGATATAGATTGTTCGGATCTGTACGTTCAAGCCAGTCCATGTAAAGATAGGGGCCAACTTTAGGAAGAATCTCAAGAGAAGGTTCGGGCTTGTCGTTTGAACCAATCTCACCACCCACGACTAAAATGGACCCGTTTGCCATAAGCATAGCGCTCGGGTACCATCGTCCTCTCTGAAGCTTTAGAGTATTAACATCTTCTTCCCAGTCGTTTGTACCCTTTACGCCGTCCGATCCATCAGGCGCGTATAGACGGATACCGTATGTCGAATCGAGGGACCAGCCACCGACGGTAAGCTGTCGTCCTGCCTTATCGGGCAGAATGACTCCCGCAGAGCAGAAGATATCAGTCTTAACGTGCATGGTCCTCCAGGCAGCATCGAAATCGTCGAGTCGGCTAAGGTCTAGTTCATAGGCCCCCGTGCTATTTGCTGCGCCAGTTCCCCATTTCTCCAAGAAGGTAACCTTGCCGGTGATCGATTGCATGGTCATTAGAGGGGTAATAACACCGCCGACTAGGTTGGAGTAGGAACCCGCATCATTTCCTTCGGGGTAATTAAACACGTAAAGGGGCGTTTTACCAGTCCAATAGTACATTGAAAGCCGAGCACCACCTCCGCATATTGCAGAAGCATTTCCGGCACATGCGATATTGCATTCGCTCTCAGGCCTTATAGTGGCACCGGAAGCAGCAACATCCATTGGGTCACCACAGTAACATTCTTCCCCATACTCCATACCGCCGGCGGCATAGCCGAAAGAAGCGCATTTCCCTAGACATTGCTCAGTGGTCATGGGGGTAGGGAACCTTAAGGACCAAAAAAGGGTCCGCTGATTATTAACATTATCCTCATAACAGCCTTGATACGTCCAAGTACCGTTCACTTCTTTTAGCGGAGCGGGTTCTTTGAACGTCTGCGGTGTACCCTTCGAGTAGATAGACAAGTATCCGGCACCTCCGCACATGACTTGACTATTACCTTTGCAGGGTGTCGAGCATTTCGAAGTGTCTTTGCCTCGGACGCCACCATTGTAGATAGCATTGCTACAGAAGCACTGCGTATAGTACTCGGTTCCCGCTACCGTATAGTTGTCATTAGCACAGAGTTGCACACATTTCTGTGGCGTCAACTCAGGGTCGTCGGGAGCTTGGAAAGTTGGCATGATACGACCATTGGGCCCGTCTTGCCAGCAGCCCTGGTCGGTCCAGCCATCAGGAAATCCTGTAGGTTCTGGTGTCCCAGGATCTCTACCAGTCGGACTCGAACCACTAGTAGTTGTCGAGACCGAAGTTCCGTTTTTTATATATACAGATAGGCGATTGCCACTGCCGCAATATGTCCATTGGTCCCCAGCACAAAGCATACTGCAGTCGCTTTCAGGAGCTTCAACAGAACCTGTTTCAAATTTGTTGCCACAGTAGCATTCGCGGGCATACTCAACACCAAAGTACGTCGTCCCCTTGTCGTTGCAGAAAGCCTGGCAGCTATCTAATGTCATAGTATCATTGGCGTAGGTATACAGGCTCAGTGCACGGATGTTGGTGGCTTCAGTCTGGCAGCCATACCAAATGTAATCACCTATGACGGAGGGCTGCGAAGGCGCCGTAGGACTTGAGCTTGCGGATGAAGCGCTTCTTGTGCTAGTAACAATTGGCTCAGTAGTGACATCTCTCGGGGCAATTGAATGAGCAACGATGGACAAGCTCGTCGCTTTTAAGAGAGTGCCAGAGAGCGTTTTAGGGATAGGCCTGGAGCTGGTCCTGGTGGGTCTGCTATACGAGGTACTCTTGAAGTTATATACATTCAAGCGGTCAGGTCCCCCGCATACCTCGGAATTATTTGCCTATGGTACGTGAAGTCAGTAATAACACTCGGTAAATGCGATTTGTACTCTACAGTGCCACTCTTGAAAGCTTATTGTTTATGGGTGATTAAGAACATATAGCCTGCTTATGTGGTAAGGGGGCGGGGGCATAGAAATATGTCTGGAGGTTCATACCTTACAAGCCGTATCACAGCCATCGGATAATACGGCGCCATTTGCAATAGTATTGCTGCAATCTGTTACTGGTAAGTTGACACCACCCCAGTTAAAGAAGTCAAACGGTAGCTTACAGCATTCGTCGCCATTCTTGGTACCGGCAAAGGTGTAACCAGCTGCACGACATACAGATGTACAGCTCTTTGCGTTGACCGGTGTGGTAGAGATTGGTGCCTTGTACGTTAAGCACCGGCCGTCAATTCCCTCGCTTGTGGAACGTGTTAACTACAACTTGGATCAAATCGAGGCTGGGGCCTGGTAGGACCATGCCTATACCAATGACGGAAGATAGAGACTCACGAGTAGCAGCCAATATATATCCAGTCTGGAATGTCGATATTTGGCCTGGGACCTGCGCTATACGGGTTGAAGAATAAGGTAAACCAGTTTGAACCTCCACATGCTTCTATGTTATCGTCCGAGCAACCTGTTGGGCATTTTCTCGAATCTTTAACTCCTACGGCTTCATTGGCTAGTTCATTCCCGCAGTCTAGCAATAGTTAATACGAATAGGATCACGCCCAGGTAGGGAGTAAACTCACAGCATTCGTTATGATATTTAGCTCCAGCGTAAGAAAACCCCCTACTATCGCAGAACTCGACACAGCTCTCCGGGGTCGATGTATCCGAAGTAGTTGCAGCCACATTGATCGTCCGGCCAGCGTCACTTAGAGTCAGTTAGCATCGACGCTCATAGCCTTAGGTACAAGTTACTTACACATAACAACCCTTGTAATGCCATTTTCCGTTGAGCTGATTAACTCCTAGGACTGTTTGCTGTGCTATAGAAAAAGATGCTGATGTTAGGGATATAGTACAGAAAAGTGACGAGAAGGCCTGAGTAGCCCGCATGATGGAAAACTTCCTAAGAAGCCCAAAACCCTATCCACAAACTTCGGGGGTATAAGTCTAAAGCCGTGGAGTTGGGAATTGCATAGGACGCCCGAGGAATTGTCCACAGCGAACTGTAAGGATATATATAGTCTTACCACAACACAAGATGCTATTATACTTTCCCCATGATAATAGAATCAGCTAGACCTCATTGTAACCCACTCCGGGATGTAGCATAGTTAGGGTCCGAATCAAGTGGATGGCAAGACCAATAGGAGCATTCACCCTATCGCTGATATTAATGTCTAATTTCCACACTGGCGTAAGTCGGTTGAAGGGCTGCGCAAAAGAGAGCCTAGACTCTACCAGAAATGCAGAAGGATTCTTGTACAGGTACGTAGTATCTTACGATGAACTCAGTCGTTGGGGAGGTTCTGATTATCCCTTTCCGTTCCCTCTTGTATCGTAACAAATCCGATGGTGACAATTCCCGATCCAGAAAGTGATATCGTCAAGGACTATCGGGCAATTTGGTAGGTCGATTGAGAATATGCTTAGCTAGATCATAAGTCTGTCGAACTCTTAGAGAGAAGCCGATAGGGGGGTGATGATTGATACGAGTTACAGGGGTAAGAATTGAAGAGTGTGGGACAGCGCATGGCAACAAGGGTAAGAAGATATGGTTACCTTAGAAGCGCGGTATAGGGCTCACGTCAAGCTGCGTGCCAATATGCCGGTTTCTAATGACGCACATAAGCGACCAAGAAGAGAAATGAAATACTACCTAATTGTTAAAAGTAAAGAGTCGCGGAATCCTATTAAGACAATAGGTATTAGACATTCAACGCCGTCTGGGTCGTACATACCCATCCCATACTTGCCATTTAGAGAATGGCATGCACATATTGTATGCACTTGCAGGGGATTAAGCAGTGACGTATCATGAAAATAAAGACTTCGGGATGCTGTATCGAGTGTAAGTTGAGAAGTAACTGCCAATCCGGCGCTTACCTTGTCTCCAATGATGTGACTTTTGACCGTTGCATCACCTAGCCAGGCGGCGGTGCGAACAGTGCATCTTTTCTATAGGCTGCATTATCCTCACCAAACTATTTAAGCCACTTAATATACCCCGTGTGAAGATGGTTATGATCTTATATTGGTTAACCGTAGACTCTTTTGCTTCGCTAAATACTTCTTTCTAAAGTTCTTAGCGAGCCAACCTATCGTAGCTAGGTCGTTAGAGGCATTGCATCCCTAGAGGTTATTAATGATTTTGAAATTTAGACAACAGAACTAATATCTAGAAAATAAGCACCACGTCGGAGGCTGAGGAATAGGTACCTAAGTATTCAAGTAGATATGGACGGCAAGTAATCTCTCTTCAATGCAGGGCTTCCAGTGCCAACGGTGTATACGAGGTTGGCTGCAGGTATGTTGATTGTGAATGGCTTTCTTATCTTGAACCAATAGCGGAAGCCCACAAGTTCTCGTTCTTGGTTGACACTGTCAGCTTGCGGCTGCAGTAAGTTGTAACGGTATGATATTTTCCATAGGGTTGCTTTTTGCTACTAAATTTGACTTTAGCTGCCCGATGCATCCACCGCCTCCGAAAACTGATAGGCAACTTTCAGCGCCCAGTGCAGTTTTAAGAGGCTCATTTCTGCGAGTTGGAGAACATTAGGGAATCCCCGGGCGAATTTTCATGAAGCTCTCGTTGTTAGAGACCTCATTGATAGAGACCGGTAGCATCGTTTTATAATTAGGCTAGTTACGTCGAATTAGCCCACATCAAGTAACACGAACTTCTCTATCTTTTACTATCAACTTCTAACTAACACTTACAATCCTTACTCTGGTTCATTCATCGCCGCCCTAAGCTTTGGGGATGCGAGACTTCTAGATGATAAGTGATAGAGAAGCAGTCTTGTTGAATAGGGCCGAAAGCTCTTTAACTTTTCAGCAGGCTATCAACTCTAAAATCGGGATATATCATATATCAACAACTTACCTAGCTCTATTTGCATAGCCCAACGCATTATACCAGTCATAATAAGATGGCATTTAGAGTAATGTCGATAACTAAAGTGAGGTGCCCTCTACTTATCTATTAGGTAAGCGTGATGATCGCGGGTAATCGATATTCTGAGACATCAATAACTCGTAATGCCTGATGGACCTAAATTCAGAAGGGAAGTTTTTCGGATTGGAGTGGATTGGAGAATGTCATTCTAATTGAGGCGTGCTACATGTATGTATTACCTAATCCCTGGTCGTACACTACCTAATGAGGTACCTATGTATAGTTCCCGCGTCTTTATTGGCCGGTGGCCGCGAGCACTAAAACTCACCTCGGCTAGACGGTAGGTAATAGTGGATACCGCATAGATAGCGTGTCGCAACATGAACCTTACGAACTTTAGTTTGTACACTAGGGTCTAGCAAAGCCTCGACCCTTACGAAATCTCCACTAACTCCGAAATCAGCCATCCTTTCTCGACTTTGACTCATAGCCTTGCATACTATACATAATGATCTCATAATCCTACACAAGGATTGTGTTTTAACATACTGATTGTTGCCTCACGCATATTTCGATCTCGGTGGATATAAGCTAAGCTATCCGCCACAAATGGCTTTATGAAGCGTTGAAAGTGGTATCCGAGTTTTATCACTGATTAGCTCACGAATTTCACGAAATCATTCTCTATTTTTCTTTTTGCAAACGTCTTTCTTTAATTCACATCTTGCCACGCAGCACTGCATAAGCGCTGCTTACAAACGTTTGTATCAACGAGTCGTTGATTTTCGCATCTTTCGAAGCCGCTGTATTTCAAAAAGCGCATTACGAGACGGTCTGGTCATAACCCCCCCGGTTGTTAGACTACCTAGGTACCTAAGGTACCTAAGCTTGAATACACGTATTTGAAGTTGGCAACTATGGACGCAGCAATCATGGAGGGTTCGCAACCTTCTGAACTGCCGTCAAATCCAACATCGAGGAATCGTGGCCATCGCCCTCGCGGAGGGAGAACGTCCGGTAGTCGTGGGGGCCGTGGGAGCCGTGGAGGCCGCGGCAATCGAGGTCAGCGTAGTTTGCAAGTTGTTGAGGGGAACGAGACGTCACCAGCAAATCCCGAAACTTCCGTCGCTTCTCCGGCCACTGCACCCTCAAATGCCATCAGTCGAGGTGATAGAGGTCGGAGAGCCTCTAGGGGTCAAAGGAGAGGACGCGGTGAAAATGCCCAGAGAGCGACAATGAGCAGACCCCGAAACTTTGGCGGTCACCTGACAACCAGCACCGGGGAGTCCGATGCTACGAGTTCGACGTCCTTAAATGCTAATGTTATGGAGTTTATTCCCGGTCAACCATTAGCTGACCGAAGTAATAGTACCGCCATAAAACCTCAGGCGAAGAGCAGTGGCGGCAGAAAAGCTTCAAAATCCAATGCCTCTGATCTTACTACGCGTATTTCTGAGGATATCGATAACGGGCAATACGAATGTGTGATTTGCACGAATGAGGTTCTGCGGAACTCGAAGGTCTGGTCATGCTCTATATGTTGGACCGTAACGCATATGACCTGTGTTAAGAAATGGTTCTCCAACCGGACAATTAATTCGGACCAAATCAACTGGAGGTGCCCGGGATGCAATTCCCCTTTGACCGATGAGCCTACTACTTATCACTGTTGGTGTGGCAAGGAGATCAACCCTCGATCGGTTCCCGGGGTCGGTCCCCATAGTTGCGGTCAAACATGCTCAAAGCCTAGAGCGACTTGTCCTCACCCATGTCCCCTCGAATGCCATGCTGGCCCCTGTCCACCTTGCCAGCTCATGGGGCCGACTCAATCCTGTTTCTGCGGTAAACTTACGTCTACAAAGCGCTGTGGCGAGACAGATTATGTTAATGGATGGAGTTGTCACGGAGTCTGCGGGGATCTACTTCCCTGCGGAGAGCATGAATGCCAAAGGGAATGTCATTCCGGCCTCTGTGGTAGTTGTGATATTCCTGTCTTCTCTCTCTGTTATTGTGGCCGAGAGTCCAAAAACATTCCTTGCGACCAGCGTGGTGACAGACGAGAATCTTATAATCGCGGCCAAATCAAGACCGGAGATGACGTGGAGAGCGAGGATTTACCTGATCATTGGTACTGGGGTGCTTTTGATTGTAATTCTGTCTGTGACAGATTCTTTGATTGCCAAAGGCATCGCTGTAAACGGAGCTGTCATCCTCAAGATGAGATGGACGAGCATTGTCCGTTCTCTCCTGATTCGATCACCTACTGTCCGTGCGGGAAAACACCACTAGTCGATATTCTAGACCAGCCAAGGGAGAGTTGCGAAGATCCGATTCCTAATTGCGGGAAAACGTGCAACAAACCATTGTCGTGCGGGCATTCTTGCCAAGACACTTGCCATACTGGACCTTGTGCGCCATGTATGCAGGCAATGGAAATTAACTGCAGATGTGGTCGGACGAAGACGACCTCGATCTGCCACCAAGGAACAATTGCGACTCCCGAGTGCATGAGGATTTGCAGGGTTCAGCTCAATTGTGGGAGACATGAGCATGGCGAACATTGCTGCTCCGGAGAAAAGAAGGCGATGGAACGAGCAGCCGCCAGGCGGAAGAACAGGAACGCTGGTCCAACAAATAACGAGGTGGAAGCGGAACACATCTGCACTCGCCCCTGTGGACGGGCTTTAAAATGTGGAAGACACCAATGTCAACAAATGTGCCACAAGGGACCTTGTCCTTCCTGTCCCGAGGCTATTTTCGAGGAAATCAGCTGCAACTGTGGCCGAACGATTCTCCAACCACCGCAGCCTTGTGGTACACAAGTGCCAGAATGTCGCTTCGACTGTACCAGGCCTCGTCCATGCGGTCACCCCCAGGTATCTCATAATTGCCACCCCGACAGAGAGCCGTGCCCGAAATGCCCGTTCTTGGTTGAGAAACGATGCGTCTGCGGTAAGAAAGCGCTGAAGAACCAGCCTTGCTGGTTTGAAGAACCACTTTGCGGCTTGCCCTGCGGGAAGAAGCTCAAGTGCGGCGCTCACACGTGCGAGAAGACCTGCCACCGCCTAGGTGAATGTGAAGATGCTGATATCTCGGGGTCGCGATGTAAACAGCCCTGCGGCAAGAAACGGAGTTGTGGGCATTTGGATACTGAACAGTGCCATGCCCCATACCCATGCAAGGAGGACAAACCCTGTCAAGCGAGAACATTTATCACTTGCGATTGCCAACGTAGAAAGCAGGAAGTTAGGTGTCTGGCAACAAAGCGCAATTCATCGCCCCAGCGGGATACAATTAAGTGCGATGAAGAATGTCTTCGATTACAGCGAAATGCTCTCTTGGCAAACGCCCTAAATATCGATCCTCTAACTCACACGGATGATCATGTGCCATACTCTAACACGACTATAAAGCTTTACAAGGACGATCCGCAGTTCGCACAGACTTACGAACGAGAACTTCGCGTCTTCGCAGTAGACTCGACGCAAAAGTTCATCCGGTTTAAACCAATGAAGTCTTCCCAGAGAGCGTTTCTTCATTCCCTTGCTGAAGACTTCGGATTTGACAGCGAAAGTGTCGATCCGGAACCTCATCGACATGTATGTCTCTTCAAGACACCGCGATTCGTATCTGCGCCGATGAAGACGCTTTCACAATGCATAAAGAATAAGTCCCTAGCACAAGCCTTCCCTACAAAAGCACCAGCAGCAGCTAGTGAAGATATCTCGACGAGACAACCTTTTAACGCTCTACTCTTGTCGGCACCGCAATTTGGGTTGACTATCGAAGAGCTTGATTCAGCACTTCAACGGGAGTATGCTGCTTATCCAGATATAAAGTTCGAGACAAGTTTCCTACCTTCCAACGAGGTTGTTATCAAGGGCTCTGGTCCGCCAAGTCCACAAAATCTAGAATCTTCGCTTTCATCTCTCAAACCTAGTTTATTAGCCAAGGTTACCAGCTCGGGATTTGCCAGCGACGTTTCTCTCTGTCATGTCGATGAGCATTTGAATGTACTACGGAACGAAAAAGATACCCAGGGCAAAGGGAATGAGGGTTGGAGCTCGGTTATGCGCCGCTCTGCCCGCCCAAAGCCAGCTACCACTCCGGCAGCTTCCGCTATGCCGCGTAGGGGTGGGTTCATCGCTCTGAGGAAAGAACCAAGGAAAAAGGTCGAGGAACAATCTGTCGAAGAGGACTGGGAGGCAGCGGCTGAAAAGCTAGACGAAGAATGAAAGCGTTATGAAATGCTACTTAAATGAGTAACCTAGTTCATTGCCTATAGTCATAATTTAAACATAGCAAATTGAGACCATGAAAAAACGTCCCGGTGATGATATCACAATTAGTATTAAAATTGATGTGATTCAACGATATTGTAATTTTCGAAGGCTGCGTAAAAGTTTCAAGGCCATATAAACTTCAGTTTCTAGGTTAATTTCTATCCTTTAGGTTAAGAGGTAGTAAATCTAGAGCAAAGGGGTTGTTCAACAATGTTAGAAAGTAACACTCAATATAAAAAAGGGGTCAAATTCAGGGGCAATAAGCCTTATAGCTTATAGCTTACATAATCGTGACTGCAAAGTATGGCTTACTAACTAGAGGCCCCACCTTTGATAGAGAATTAGACAAAAGATACGGATTAATCGTCATAGGATGCAGGGACCTTCAAAGCTCCCATTTCCTCAACTAAAAACTAACAACTAAAAATCGTCAAGATGAACAACTTCGGCGTGATAGAGCTTGCAAGTACCAAAACCACCAATGCTCCAGGCTGGGCCTATGTGCCCGACACAGCCCCTCACTTAGCAGCAGCATCGCTCCAAACAGGGAACAGAAAAAGAGCTGCTCGCAACCAAGTGACAAACACCAGTGCCTTATACGCCGATGCCGACGCCCGCCAGGAAGCAAAACTGCGCCGGGAGATCGAGGCCCTCGACCGCGATAATTACCACCGCGACGTGAGCATACCCATCGTAGCGAAGAGCAATAATAGCAAGGCAGGCGTGAAGAAACACACCCCCAACGTCCGCAAGATCCTACAGTCCCAGAAGACGTTCGCAAACCACCTCGACGACTTCGAAGCCCTCCTCGCACAGGAGAAATCCAATCCAAGCGCTGCTGCTTCCGCTGCCGCCACTGCTGCTGCCACGGCGGCTGCTTCGAATGCAGGGAGTTCGAAAAAGAGTGCCGCAGCAGCAGAAAAACACCAGCATAAAAACAGCAAAAAGTCTTCCAAGTCAAACATATCCCGCTCAGCATCAATTTCCAAAGCCGCACCAGCCGTAAAACAAGAAGACGACATCGAGATGTCCGACGCGCCCCAAACCGCCGCCCCAACAAATCCATCCTCCTCCTCCACCTCCACCTCCACCTCCTCCTCCCTCCTAACGCCATACTCGCGCCCCGGACACGGACACGGACACCCCCCCTCTCACCCCCAAGACAACGACCCCCTGCTCGCCTCCCGCGTGCCCGCGCTACCCACCGAAGCCGAGCTGCGAGCTCTCGTATCCGCGCCGCCGCTAAGCTACGCCGAGGCGCGCGGGCGCTGGACGGCATCCGACGACGGGAGGAAGTATCCGGCGCGCGTGTTCTGCGAGGTGTGCGGGTATTGGGGACGCGTGCGGTGCATGCGGTGCGGGGTGCGCGTGTGCGCGCTGGAGTGTCTGGAGACGCATCGCGAGGAGTGCGTTTCGCGGTATGGGTTGTGATTTGGGTACGTACGTACACGTGCAAGCAACGTTTACCTACCTACCTAGGTACCTACCTACCTACCGATTTAGTGTAGTTTAATTCGAACGGGGACCTCTAGTTGTAGGTACAGAGATTGATTGGGGTGGGATGGCTTCAGTGGGAAGAAGTTTGGGCTGTTGGGGAATTTACAATAGGTAGTGGTATTTGTGCTTTATGGGCTAGCGAAAGACTCTAGGCGTCCGGTTATAAAAGGGGGTTGGTTCTCTATTACTCTGTTATATATATGAGAGGACAAGGCGCAGAACGATCATGTTAGAAAGATACCCAGTCACAGTACAATACAAGCAAAATCATTATTTAAATGAATTTCGTTGGTTGAAAGATATATACAGCGTTTATTTATTTCCGTCAGCCCTCCAGTTCAGCTGAAGGTTATGTATGTGCGTATATATTTTGTACAGGTCTACCTAACCAACGCGGCAGCGATGTCCACGATGGCGCCGCATAGACGAAAAAAGGGATATGCGCGCCAAACCTGCCAAACGCCCTGAGTCCCGATGTCCGCCAGGGTATCCGAGACCCCATACACGTACGCCTCACGCCAGATCTCTACAAAAGAAAAGCATAGCTCTTTTTAGTCCTCCTCCGTGCCCTTCATAATGCGAGTGATTCCCGAGACTTTTTGTACATTGCGGACTGATTGGCTGTCCACTCCTTTACAACGGCGAGTCGAGCGTGAAGTCCACGTTGCCGCTTGATGCACCGCCCGCACACGTGCCCTTCATGCTACCTGTTGGGCAGACGGCCCTGGCTGCGCGAATGCATTGCTCCCATCGGCCCTTGGAGATGTTGATCGTAGCACCCGATGTCGCCGCGCTCAGCTTGAACTCGGCGCTACCGGATCGACCAGTCGTGGTCTTGGGCGCGCCACCACACTTCTGGATAGACCCTGCGATGCCTCCACAGATAGCAAGTTCTGCTACGTTTTGATCGTGGAACACGATGTTTCTGTATTGGCAATTAGTCAGAGTCCTTATATGCTGCACGCATAGTTGGAAAGATATAACTAGTCTATAAAAACTTACTTATTTCGGTCAATGCACTCCACGCCCGACACCGCCGCCGGATTCACCGACGTCGAGGCTCTCATGTGAAGGACTTCGAGGTGCTCGCCATCGATCGAGTAGTGCGGCCAGACGGGGCTTGCCGAAGAGAGACTCGCGCCGGCGACGAGCAGGACAAGGGACTGAAGAAGAGTCGTAGAAAGCATCTTGGCTGGTGATAGAAGGTAATTCGAGTCTAGCTCAGAAAGAAAGAAAAGAACGAGATTGAAGATGAAAATGAAGAAGAAAAAAGAGTGAATTGAGCAGTCGAAGGAACGTATGAAGAAAACAGACGTCAAGCCTGGAATGTTGAAAAAGAGAAGAAGAAGAAAACGAGGCGGTGACCTGCACTTTTCCAGCCGCAGAAGAAAATTCAGATAGATCGACGACGGTTTGAAGTAAGGCTTAAACCAGAAACGAAGTTTACGAAAAGAGCGTGCGCAGAGAAATGGCCAGGCTCAAAATTTAAAAGAGAGACATGACATGACACGGGAACGAACAAGGCACAGGCAGACAGGGGGACCACAAACCACGGGCACCATGACTATTTCCGGATCCCCAGCCCAGCAGCCCAGGCGCAATCCTAGTCGGGGCCAGAGCGGAGAACCCTGACCCCGGCGGCTTGGTTCCCAAGTGGTGCGCTCGTCGATCAATCTGTGACGAGCCTCCCTTTGGGACGAGGGCGTCCGGGGTGGAGGCGGCGGCACGCAAGGGTGGAATGCTCGGCCGCGGACTAGACGATACCGATTCTAACAGCTTGGCCGTTTTCAAACTAGAAGTGGTTGTTCGTGCCTTAGGTACCTAGGTAGCAAAGCGCATAATCTTACACGTTAGTTCTTAATAACTACCTAGCGATATTGTATAGTTAGTTAGGTAGATATATTTAACACGCGTGTATGGTAGGCCCGGGCAGCTCTCTCTCTCTCAATATCGGAATGTGGGAATCCCGTCCGATCATTTTATTCAAGTTCGTCCGATGAAAGGGATTTACCATCAATCTACCTCGTTAGGAAGGCCGGGGAGATCTGTCTTGATTCTTAGAGACCGGAGAGATGTAAGCGTTGAAGACATCGGTGGGATCGAGCCAACATGAAACGGTGGCGTCGGGGTTGATACAGGGGTAACTGGCAAATGGTGACATCGTCTCAACCCAGATCGGGCCACCATCCAGCCAGCCATCCAAGCAACCCAAGTTTGTTTCAATGTTTCTGAAACTTGTAATTCCCGATAGCTCCTCCAACTCTTCCCCCTCCTAGAACTCCAGAGATTCGGAGCCATTCATCACCACGTTACCATGGATTGACTCAAGTTAAGCATTTCTGTGCCGTGAGATCCTATGGTAGGTAGCTATTAAAAACAACGTTAGATGAGGCAGACCGGGAAGGATTAAAAAGGTCCAAGGCTGAATTACGTACATCTCCTTATTAAGAACTTAATAACCAACCAATGACGAAGATTCTCTTTTGAAGGAAACGTTCAACATGTGACGCAAGGTAAAAGTGCCTCTAATTGAATTCGGTGTGCACCTTGGTTACACTCCTTTTCGTCCACCACAAACACCACAGATTCCGGAGTCCCCGGCATTCAAATACAAGCTGTCCCGGCAAGAAGAGCTCTTGCATTTCCACGAATTCGGTACCTTGCTAGAATCTAAAACGTGAGAACAGACATCACATATAGTAGCTCCTAGACCACTATCGAACGAGCACATAGGACAAGTGTCCCCAGCTGAACTAGGGATACTACTGATGGAGATAGTAGCGCTGCTTGCCCCTTCTGACGGTGAACTCTTGATAGTCTTACTCGACTTCTTCTCGCTAACACGTCGTTTCGTTGATCCCGCTGCTTGAGGTATGGTTCTTATCGGTGCTACCACTTCGAGCTTCTCTGGCTTCACTTTAATAGTGGATTGGAAAAGCTCCTTAAGTTCGTTCTGTACATCTTCGTCTCTGGCGTCTTCGTCCTCGCATACTTTGACCAAGTTATGGCCCTTAGTATCAATAAGCCGTCGACCGTTGATATCTACGGCAGCTTCGCCCTCACTATCGCTAGCCGTCTCCGATTCGCTGCCTTCTTCTTTCTTGACATCGCTATCTTGTTCATCTTTCGTTTCTTCGGCCTTCTTCTGCTGGTCGAACCGTGCCAGGGCTGCTGCCGCTCTGAGTTCTCGGCCTCGTTTGCTTCCTGCTACACGGGGCTTGCTTTGAGTCTTCTTTCCCTTCTCTAGTTCGGCTTTGATAACTTCATCTTCGCCGAGAGCGACCCCGTTCGCACCAAACTTCTTCAAAATTCGGCGCTCTTTTCGTTCTTGATAAGATAACTGCTTCTTTTGTTTTCGCTTTCTGCCCCTTGAACGATAGGTTCCGCCGCACAGATGCTCTGGTAGGTCTTTGTCTGACAATACCGTATTCTTCTCAAACTCTCCGGTTTCTAGTAGCGTGCCTCTTCCCCATAATCCCTCACCAGTGTATTTACGCGACCACAGGACTCTCATTTGATCTGCATAGCTATTTCTGACAGCCCAAAATGCCTTGGAGTGATTCATCTGCTTGCAATGAGCCAGCCTTGTCGAGGGCACTGTTAGCATTAAGCGTAGATAAGCTTTTAGACAAATACATACTCGTGCATCATCACCATCTGGACGTAGTTGAAGGGTAGCCATTGTTTGGTAGAAAGTGATTTCAACACTAGCTGTATAACTTCTCCTGCATTGAAGTTACGGCCAACAAACTCCCTGTTTGGTTCGTACTCTTCCAGGGATACGACTGAGATATGATGTTCTTTCATGATTGGTACTACTAGCGATTAGCAAATGAAATCGGCTTCAACTTGATATTGTGTTTATAATCAAGACCAGTTTAAGTTAATACTTACAACATTGTGCTGCGATCCGTTCTAAGAACTGCTGCGCGATCTCTTTGTCGGGGCCTTCCAAGGGTTTGATGAAGACGATATGATCATTTGGCTGCGATTTTCTTACATTAATTCGTTCGAATCCAAGAGGCATCGTGATATACGAGAAAGCCGTTCAAATAATAGGTGGGATTTAATAGTAGAGAGGTATTTAATGATTCTTTGACGCGTACTGCAAGTGAGATGGTATGAGGAACGTTGTTTGTTGTTTACGATCAATGAGAAGGTTTCAACTTTCTACGGCTCTTCCAAGCCAATAAACAGATTAAAGTAAATTAGTTTTATGAAGAACCTCCGACGACGAGAACAGAGAAGTAACATTAAATCAAGTAACCTCAATGGTTCACTTTTGCCTTGTAATGGGAAGCGATGTGGCGGTTATTAGGCGGTCATTAGGTTTAGGCGGTTATAGGGGACATCTTATCGGCGTTACAGGCAGAACACCCCGTAAGCCCCACTATCATCGCCTGCGGCCCTCCCGAGCCCCGATTCAAACTACTAGGTACTTTTATCAAGGTCAATTACTTGAAGCAACTCACTACCTGATTAGATGAGTTCAAGTTCGATTCCTATTGACGCTATCGGTTCCTCGCTTGTAGCCTAAATATACCTAATGATTATACCTATGTACCAGTATCAAAGCATGTTGCTCATTTGTTCTTTTATGTACCGACATGTACGAAGTACGAAGTATGTACGATATCGTCCCTTTCTTTTCCTTCAAGGTAAAAAAAAAAGAACATTATCTTCTTCGACCAGCACCACCAGCCCCCGAATCACCTTTATCAGCTAGTGACACAACCTCGCCAATTCCAGCAGCTTCTTGTTCATCTTCGAGGGCGGTAATCTCCTCGCGGCAGTCCCACCACTTTTCTTCGCTGAGCTCAAATGCCTTGGTCTTAATCTCCTTGACTGTAAGAGTTTCGGGTTGAATGCCCTTCCATCTCAGGCTCGTCATAAGGACTTCTTGCCACTCGTTCGAAGTCCGGACGAAGAAATCCCTTCTAGACTCAAAAGGCTATATGAGGTTAGTTATTTGCTACGAAAAGGGGTGTTATGGAGAAACATACCCGTGGATGTGGTAATCCATCATCAACTGTAGTTGCAACCGTGTCGGCTTCTGACACGTCGTCCCCTATTGAAGATCCCGCAGTAGATGCTGTGTCGGCCATCGACACCTCATCTATCTGCTTCTTCTTGCGTTTACTTGGTGATGCAAGTGCTTCCGGTTCTTCGTCAGGCATTTCAATATCGCCCTCCTCATCTTCATCTTCTTCATCATCGTCCTCCTCGTCTTCATCGTCTTCATCCTCCTCGTCGGAGCCCTATAATACTCGTGTTAGACCAAAGAGACCAAATTGAAGTTACTAATAATAAGAAAATATAAATTCTTACGACCCAAGTATCGTCTTCTCTCTTGAAAACTTGCTTGCAGCCATCCATCTTGCCGAGATCGATAGCGTACAAATCGTCAAACGTAAACTCCCGGTCTTTCGCCTCATAGGTACCACCATAGATGTACAGCACATCATCCTGCACTGCTAGTTGGGCATTAAATCGTGGGTGTGGAAGATCCATGGATACCGGCATCTCTCGTGTTGGTTTTTCTGGTTCTTCTGGCTCCTGTCCAGCTTTTAGATCGATATCCATATCGTCTGCGTCTTCTACAGACGATCCAGCCTGTAGAGCAGCAAGCTGCTTTAATAGTTCCTCCTCATTTGCTTGAGCCCTGCCACGCCTTCCAACTCTCTGCTCCGATGCAGGGGCTTTCTTTTGGACCCTTGATTTGCGTAGTGTCAACGGAAAGAATCTGTTTCGTTCTACGTTCCATGCGTAAAGCTGGTTAAAGAACTCGCTGTCCATACCCTCTTCGCTCTGCTCAACATCGTGAACACCACCAAAAAGAATACCACGTCCCTTGTGGTAAGTCATAGTTGCTCCGGCCCGTGCCGGAGCAGGCGTATTTGCTGGCTTCTTCCGCTTCTCCCACCTTACGGTTGGCGGCGTATTCGGTGGAGAATCTGTAGGGGGTTGGGTTATTCGCAAGAAGAAGCAATCTTCGTGTACTAAAGGTTTAAGAATGTTTCTTTGCCCTTGCGATGCGCCCTTGGCCGACTTATTTGCCGATACGGTTGTCTTTACTCTGGAGTAGCCTCCAAATAATACGGCGCCTTGTTCGTGAGGGAGAAAAGTAAAGGACGACCTAGCGTCTGGTTTTAGCTGCGCTGGTGGAAGCGTAGGGTTATGCCAGATGAAATTCTTTATCAAACATTAGTACCAATCTTGCTACATGAGTTACGAAAATAAATTACTAACCTGGGTATCATAGAGCCAAAGATCACTTAAATACTTTGTCTGATTAGAAGTATCTTGAAAGCCTGACTTGACGTTAGCACATTTATTCAAACCCGTTAATAAACTCACGATATCTCTTACGTACCGCCGAAGAGGATAATGTAATTCTTATAGTAAGTCATACGGTGCCCACTCCTTGCTGGAGGGGTCTTGCCCTTGGTTTCTATGCGTGCCCATTCCCGAGTGCTAGGCTCCAGTCGCCAGAAATCATTGTAGTGATAAAATGTACCTTGCTTGGGGCTATATGTTGTGCAATGTTAGTATAGGATCTTATAAGCAACAACAACGCTTGTGTAAGACACGGCAGAGGTATTATACGACGGACCTGCTAAACTCGCCACCAAATAAGAAAACCGAGTCTTTTTGGTTTCCTCCTCTACACCAGGCATGTCCAGATCGTGGAAGGGGCGCATTCGGTGAAGTCACGCAATGCCATTCATCTCTATCTGTATAATAGATATTGAGATCATTGAAGAAACTTGCGAGGGCTCCATTCCAAGTTTCTCCGCCAAATAATAACAGCTGGTTGCTATGTGAAGGGGAAGCTAAGAAGGTCGAGGACGATCGGGGCTTAGGAGGAGATTCGGAGACGGTCTCTGTGACCTTCACAAACTCCTCTTGAGCCTTCTTATATTCAGCAAGAACTGCATCTAGATCGACATCTTCGGCATCACTCCCTTCGACTTTTGAAGCCTTGACCTTTTCTTTCTTCTGAGCTTTCTTTTCCTGCTTCTGCTTCTTTTCGGCAAGCTTTGCCTTCTTAGAGTCCGACTTGGACTTCTTGTCTTTTGCCATGGCGAGATTTATTTATACACGTAATGTAAGCATCGAAGTAGGTATTCTTCGTGTGCTTCATTAATTTACCTGGTAGGCACCTAGACTTGGAATCAGGGAAAGATGCAAAAGAGGTAGACTAATTTGAACTTTCACTTAAACTCACAGTTGGTGACAGCTGCGCTAGTAATAGAGTCTGTTGGGAAGGAGGCCTTTTGCCACCTGTCAGCCCCTCCCCCGCACTAACAAAAGATGATGCTTAATTCAATGTAACGCCAAATCAATTTTTAACAAGCTTTGCTCCGCGACATAGCCAACACATGCTTTGAGGTAGCTCGCCCTTTTTTTTACTTCAAATGTTGTAGCTAAGGCCGAAAATCTGTTCATAGCATCGCGAACCGTTTTAATTAGTAAGTCATTGCAAAACCTTGATGGAGTCACAGTGATTTATAAATACCTACTTCTGTGCACATAATTTTCCATTTCCTTCCTTGCACAATAACAGAAGTCTTCTACCGGAATGCCAGCAATAAGAACCGTGATAATGCGCAACACGATCCACAGTCTATTAAGAAAGTATTGCTGCTTTTCGCTTTCATTTTCCCGTCTTTTCCGAAAGAATGATACGATTCAACCTCAAAAAGACGTGTCATACTTAATGAACCTCCCTGTCGAGATAATCTATCTCGTCTTCGAACATCTTCTGAATGTCGATGCGGTATGCTTTGCTTTAACCTGCAAAGCTACGTTTTCTATATTACATAGAAATGTAATGCAACTCGACTCACAAGCGAAAGAGATACTTCTAATAAGACTAGAGAAAGAGGTTCTAGGGCTAATATATTGCCCTTTTTTAAACAAACTATTGCCCTTCGACAACAACGGCCAAATACCCTTTGATCCAAGCATCGAACATGGCCGATTCTTATATTTATGGCCAATGACTCGTGGGAACAACTGGGGAATAATAACTTATGAACGAATCCGGCTTGTTCGAAACTACCGACTGTTTGGCCCTGGACATGGCGTTCCCCTGTCGTTTCTATCTTACAAGGGAGAGGGACGTATAAGGTCGATACGATTCATGCAACGGCAGTGCGAAACGTATACCGAGCGTTCGCGGATAGCCAAGTGGGTTGGTGAAGAGCTTTTTTTATCATGTACAGAAACGATTTATTTAAATCAACTAGAGAAAGTACCGGTTACCATTACGGCCTTATGGGACTTTATTGCCAGGGCAGGTACTAATATATGCCGTCATTGCATCATTAATTCCTGTAACGAATCATTATACCACAATCCCGTAAATGCGGACATTCTTCAGATTCATACAAAACTATCCGAGAATTCTGCTTACAAGAGTACGGGATCTTGCGATTTTTGCGAGACTGACTGGGACGTTTCAATTTCGTGGAACGATTCTATGAGCGGCTTGGTTATTGCGTATATAACATACCAGGATCTGGGTACTTGCTCGTTCCCTCCTGATACGACATGGCAGATGATGGCTAGCTCCGCTGTGGACTTTTATCTACTCAAAAGTGAAGGACGAAAAGGACGAAAGGGGCTTTGTGGTGACATAAAGCGTCGGTGGATAGAGGCAATTTGAGACTTATTTGCACACACATTTTGTGAGGATTCTAGATGAGACATTTACAACAAAGTATGGGTTCAGTATCTATAGCCACGGGCTTCCGTAGTTAGGTTAGAGTTCCTCGCAAAGCAACGAAGTTGTTTCCATGCTGTTTGGTTCCACCTCGTGACACGGCGCCCATCGTGGCCTTAACAAACGGGTTTCGACCTCTTTTTGCTAACCAACTAACCTATAGTCTCAACAACCCTAGCACGGCGATAAGACAGCCTTGTATACCGAAAAGGGGCCGTTTCGTAAGGTGCCGTAGTTAGCAAAGTTTAATTTCTACTCCGGCAGAGCGGCGGGGCCAAGGCACGCATCTTATCCCATTCATACTACATAAACTAATTTGGTGCATCACACCTATAACTATTCCTGAATTACTATAATAGCAGTCGAACATGGGCGCTGTAACTCGTGTATAGCTCAGCGATGCCTACTCTAGAATCGATATTGTTAAAATAATAGGTAGCTACATCTTCAATGACAAACTTATTCACCCTGGTTACTACTTTCTGCGTGGATGCCTCCAGGGGTATCTTGGGCGGACACGAAACTACCTTATGTACGTTAGGATGTACTCAGTCGTATTGAACCTTCTGTAAATTTCCCTAGCAAAGGAAATACACTGAGTTCCGGGTCTCTGTTTCCACATTAATGCTTAGCGATTGCCTTAGTTAGGAATAACTTACATCACTTACATCTAGTATTAGCTGTATTTAAGTTGAGGAAAGAAAGAAAGAGCAAATTTATGTCATTAAGGTTATAGTGTGTAACGGAATGAACGAGCCCAAGGAGAGTATCAGGCAAGTGGTCTCCAAAATCGCTAATACACTTACTCCTAGGTTAGTTAGACAAAAGGGAAGGTACAACGTGAAATAGCTTGCCTTGAATCTTGATTGATCGATAGTTGAAACTTGCTCATTATTATCTATGTAGCTAATGACTAGTATACACTTAACTCTTGAATAGGTATGCAGTTTCCTTTGAGATGTGATAACATATCGCCTTGAAGATATATCGGGGGCAGTAATATTCGTCCAACTTGATATGATTGGGCTAGGATGGGATTTCCTTTGGCTTTTCGGGTCTAAGGGATGGAGCGAACGTGAAATTGAGAGAAGGTGGGAGCAGGATATCTTGGAATCGAAGTTCATTAGTTTGTTTGACATCGAGGGGTAGTTTCCAGAATATGATGACATGATGGGCCGTTACCCTCTACGATATGCTACATTGAAGTAGTCGTAGTTTCCATCTATATATCTCAATGATGGAGAAGGAACACCAGAGGCATAGAACGTGAAGCACATTCGTCTCTTATATCCTCTTAGGTCCTCTTCTTCTCCTCTCTCTCTTTTCCTTTTCTTTTTTTCCCCCATCAAATCGAAGATACTAGCAACCTCACTTTCTGACTACCTGCAACGTTCTAGCCATGGTTAGCTATATCCAAGTCATCGTTCTCGTCTGGACTATCATCTCTGGGCTCTTAATTATTCTTGTCCATACTTCGTTGGGCAAATGGTTTACTCATAAGAGCAAGCCAATTTTGGAAGCTCTGGGGCTTGAAATTCCAAAGTCCCCACTGCCCTCTGATCACCAGGAGACCCTGGACGCCCTGGGAAGATATCATTATACCAATAATGAAAATCAACAGGTGATAATCCGGCTCCTCGGTGAGTTGAAGAGTGAGTTAGTGGAACATCACAGAGGGACCCACGATCGTCAGAGTGGTGTTGTTGCGGCTGTTGCCGCCATCGTGTCTGTCATACACGATGCTTCTGCTGATGGCCGCGAGCATGCCCGCGATTTGGCGCGACAAAACCACGATTTCTTTCGTGAGTTGAACCGTCAACGCAGCCGATATCTATATGCTATTGTAGATCTCGGAGTGGGCAGAATCCTGAGGGAACTTCCACAGTTATTGTCTCGCGGTGAAAAATCCGATTCCCAAGATCGTCGTAGACGTAGGAACTCGGCGTGATTGAGACACGAAGTCTCTTAGCCTCTTGGTACGAGGTGGGCACCGGGTCTGAACAAAACGGCCGGTGTCTCTCCAGCGCTGGGATTGCATCTTGACGCGATGCTGGAGCTTACCACCTTCGGGTGAACTAAGACAATCCCAAATCCTAGGTTTCTGAAGTATCTTCAAGGTAAGCAATTCCTAGCCTCGAACACATAACGACAAACATGGGAAGCATCTCACTGACATTCATCAAGTTACCCGACCTTAGTCCTCGATGCTCATCCTCGTGCTTCTCCCGTATACTCCTCGGACGTCTCATGTATACTACATGAAGCTGGTGGATTTGTCGGGATTCTGGATGGGACATCTGGAACAAAGAACACTGTCAGTATGTATAGCCATAGGACCCCGTAGCTAGCTTAGAGTTCCTCGCGGAACAATGAAGTTGTTTCCCTACTTCTTGCCCCACCTCGTGACAGACCTGGCCTGACATAGTCTCGTACGTGACACATCTTGACGGAGTGACCGTGACTGCCGTTGATGACGATGTATAAAAGGCCACTCTTTCCTGATATATCATCCTTTTGAAAGTGATAATTGTGTACGTATGGTAGTTATTTCAGACCTGGTCATCCTTATATTTTAGATATGGTTGCCCCGAGGGTGATTATACTACAAAGGATAGCCAATTAGCTGGAGGATTGATTCTTGACTGGCGGCGCACCGCCGACACTATGTCCACCCCTTATCGCTATTGCCGACACCCTGCTGAAATATCCCCCCTTAGTAAACGAGTGCGTAGTTCATGATAATTGAGTATGTCCTTATATTAGCATGGACTTGTTTTCTGCTTGCATGCGTATTCTACCTGAGGTTAGGCTGAGTCGAGTCTGAGTAATAAAAGTACTAGCCAAAAGTCTTGCACATGTCCAAATCTCTAGCACCGTGTTTTATACATCTCTTAACTTACTAATACTGTATAGGCCATACGCTAAGCTAAAGGTCGGATAATGGCTCGTCCACTAAATTCAGGTAGCTTACCACTATATTTATAACAATATCAGCCACCATAGCTTAAATAAGACCGTGTAATTCTTTTTCTATTCGTACATGGCTTTACCAAACTCAAATGTACAAGACCTTTGGCCCAGGCTTTCAAACCCGATTTGTCGTATTTTAAAAAGCGTGATAAAAACCTATCTCATAGAGGTAGAACCTTTCATACAACTGCCTACCTACCTTACATGCTACCTACTGCATACTACCTTGTTCTAACACACTTTCACCGAGCGAAGACTTCTCGGAACCTCCACCTTCTTGTACATAATGACTTTCAAATTTCAATTAGGCAGTTGAATTTGTTTTCACCCACTTTTTAAAAACCCTCTCGTCTTTCATTTCTCTCACCTAACCTAGTCGCCGAGATAGCCCGATAGGCGCTACTTTAATAATGGCATTTGCACCCACTTAGCACTTAGTGACAAGCGGTGACTCTTGTCCGTCGCATCTATAAAGGAAAAAAACGCCGCCGACCTCAGAAATAGCTCCACTTCACCACATCCGCCCGTGATAGTATCGATATGTTCTAGCAGTAACTCAGCCTGGGTTTCGTCGCTCCTATCTGCTTCTATCATACGTGACTGTCTTATTTCTAGCAATCAGCTTTCCTTCGTGGTTCTAAGGCTGACCCGGGATTCCAGCTAAGCGTTTAATATCGCGCCTCTCTACTCTTTGGATCTCCACGCTGGAAATATGGCAAGCACGGAAGTAGAGACAATGGCGGCGAAACCCTCGCAGACTCCTATCCAAGGAAGGTCGGCTGTACTAGGAGCCGTACAAGACATTGTTTATGGATCTGTGAGTTTATTTCCAATCCATGCGTATCCAGTTTCCAGAGCGCTCTAACAAATATCAGACCGCTGGCATTGTAGGCAAATACATCGAATATCCTTTCGACACAGTCAAGGTTAGGTTGCAGTCTCAACCGGACCATCTCCCTCTTCGTTATACTGGTCCGCTCGATTGCTTTCGGCAGTCTATCAAAGCCGATGGCTTTCTAGGGCTATATCGTGGAATAAGTGCGCCGCTTTTCGGAGCCGCGGCTGAGACGAGCAGCCTCTTCTTCTTCGAGCGCATAGGGCGCGAAGTGGTATACGCGTCGGGATACTTTTCGCGCGATCGGGTACTTCCGCTTTCGGCACTATGGTTTACTGGCGCTTTTTCGGGAGCATTTACCTCTTTCGTCCTTACACCGATTGAACTTGTAAAATGCAAGATTCAAGTGCCCACAACCACTGGTACAGATGGGGCAGCGCCGAGGCCCCCCCGTATCATGTCGGTCATCCGAGACGTATATAAGCACGAGGGCATAAAGGGCTTCTGGCATGGCCAAATGGGTACATTTCTCCGAGAATCTGGCGGCTGCGCAGCCTGGTTTGGTTCCAAAGAGACCACAACAAAAATGTTCCATCTCCTCAATGAGCGATCTGCTACGTCGCAAACGGAGAAGGATATCTTGGCAACAGAGGCATTGCCGTTATGGCAACAAGCTGTTGCTGGCGCCTCTGCCGGTATGTCCTATAATTTCTTGTTCTTTCCCGCCGACACCGTCAAGTCTCGTATGCAGACCGCACCAGTTGGCCGGTCTACCCGGCCTAGGACATTTTGGCAAGAGGGGAAGGCATTGTGGAATCAACACGGACTGCGCGGACTCTATCGTGGATGCGGTATTACAGTTCTGCGATCAGCACCCAGCTCAGCGTTCATCTTTATCGTTTTTGATGGCCTAAAACGGTATCTGCCGATGTGAACGATGCTTCGAATGATATTTTGGCGATATATCGATATATACCGACGTATGATGGAGAAGGTATAGACAGAGCGAACGTTAGGAGCACTGGCGTTTAGGCGTCATTATTCATAGTTGGTTGTCATAGATCTATTGAGCGGTGCCTTGTATATCACATACGATAGTGAGTAAGGATGTTTCTACGTGAGCATGAGTCTAGTTACAAGATCCAAAACACGTCTCATACAGATTGGCCTAAAGCAAATAAAGCGTGCCCAGTCTTCACTTATATCCTCTTCGCCAATGTGGCCTCCGAGATATCCCAATTGTTCAAATATCCAACGCCCGCTGTTAGGTACGTCGCAAAACCTAACCATACCATGTATGGCAGTTGACACCAGCCCGCTGTGCTGTCAACTGAGAAGTACAGATATGTCAGGTAGCCGTTTAGCCCGACTAGTGATACAATGTCGGCTAACGCAAGAACTGGTTTTCGTAGCCCGAAGAAGAGAGGCATCCACAACAAGTTCAAGCCGAGTTGCGCGGAATATAGTGCGCGCACCTCGTCTGTCGAGGCGAAGGGAGAGGGATATCTTGTCACGACGCGGTGAGCTGCGTAGCCCATCAACCCGTAGAGTACTGTCCAGACAGGACCGAAAACCTGTGGCGGAGGTCGTAACGGCGGCTGCTTCATGGCAGCATATGTGGCCTGGGTTTGTTTTGCTGTATGTGGTCCTGTTAGCGGCGCATGTCCGGGTAACCTGATACTTGGAAGTAGAAAGCACGTACGTCGAGAGCTGAAGCCTACAGTAGTACCCAGTGCAATAGGTAGCAGTATCGAGGCCGCCGGGTTCGCGAATACATCGTACGGTATTGCGTTGAGACGAGGAATATACGCCGTCATCTTGAGGAAAGTACCAGGTTCGTATACTATACTGGAATATCGTAGGTATTAAGAGACTACTCGTTCCTTATGTGGTCTATTTTCAACTTGGTGTGTCTAATTAAGATTCTAAGGTAGGTATGTGCACGTAAGGTTCGCTCGTCGTATTAATAGGATGCTTAATCTTTAAAGTAGCAATGACGTAGGGTATTTTTATTAAAGTGGCTTCATCCTTAAGTCTAAAGCTAATGCAAAGCTTCTAACCGCCGATTTGTCCTTGAAATATTTGAATTGGTATCGACGCTAAAGTTTCTAATACGGCAACAGCCATGGGAGTGAGCTAGTTTCTCAGGTTGTTGCATACGCTGTTTGGTCCCCGGGATATATCGGCGGAAGTCGCAAACTAAACTGGGAGGTAAATATGATTATATGCAAGATATATGCAGGATATATGCAGGTATCCAGTACGCAGAGCTAATGACAGCAGGAACAAAACACCGGCAAATATCAATTTACAACCGCCGTATCAGTGCCATATGCCGTAATTTGGGGTTATCGCACATACTCCTAGTTCGCAGTTACAAGTATCATTGGTCACACGACTCGCCCCACTATTCGTTGCAATTCGACGGCCCTTCTGTCCCCCTTTAGTTGCAACTTTATTCGACACGTGCAGCGCGCCACAACGGCTGACTAATACCTGTCTGACGCGCTTTCTTCCATTGTCGACATTCTCTGCCGCATGCCATCGGGGATTAGCCACATCCGCCCGTTGTTAGTTTGGTTGGTCCGCCGGATAGTTTTTGGTTGGTCCCGTCGATCGTCCAAACCTCCAACAACTTCTCTTCCCTCTACAAACAATCAGCGGACATCCAGCTTGGGACATCGCGCCCTCAGGAATCCTCCGCCATCGTCATTTATAGTTCGTCTATCCTTTCTTCTCACCACTTCCTTCTTATCAAATGGCCTTTTATTATAGCACTCCCATTGTTATCCCCCCGTTTTCCTCACGATCTCTTCCCCCTTTAGAAACCTGTACACCTTGACCGAAGCTCATCTTCCTCTTACCATCATTCCGCTTTCCATGTCCACCCTCCAAAAGCCGTGAACAAACTTTTTATGTCTTCCTTGCTCCCCTATTTTCGGTTTGCTTGTTGCAGAGCTCATGCTCCCGCCCATGCTAAGCTTCTCAATTTGGCTTGCCGATAAACATTATTTCTCGTCATCTTGCTAGACCAATACCTTTTACTCTTCTCATTGCTCACCCCAAACATTATCAAGATGGTTTCTCTAACGGCAATCGCCTCGTCAAACAATAGGGAACAGGTTCAACTCCAAATACAAGTAATCGGTATCACCTAACATCCGACAATTATCGCATATAGAAAATCAGCGTATACGCCATCACCGTCGCATTGTTAAAGGACATCAAGAACCCCTTTAATATAACGCGAAACCGAGAATCCCCAAACCGAGAATCCCCAAACCGAGAAGTGTCAATGCCAATTGTGTCACAGCGAGCAGACAAGATGGACTCGTACTCGTATCGCGACGCTTCCGGTCGTTCTCCCCCCGATCGCGGTTGGAGCGGCCGTGATGATCGTGTCAAAGATGAGTCTCGCGACAGCTTCTACCGTGGTCGTTCACCTGGTGCGTTTACGATCACTTGCTGATTTTTTCTTATTCATGCTACATCATATGCTAGTTGAATCATACTATGTCTTCGTTCCACATACTATTTCAAATGGCATTTTGTTCAACTTATATAGCTTCAAATTGGGACTAACTATAATAGGCCATGACCGCCCACGACGTAATCGATCGCGCTCCCCTCCACCAGTTGACCGCTACGAGCCTAGAGGACGTGGCCGAGAGGACCACACTGGGGCCCGTGACCGAGATGACAGACGACGCATTAATTCACCTCCGGCGAACATTGACCGTTATGTTCCCGGCCCAGGAGGCCCTCAGCCTCCTCAACCAACTGTGAATCCGTTGACAGATCCTGTCAGATTGCCTTTCCAAGTTGGATTCTCTTACTTCGGCGAATGGTGGCGAGCCAATGAAAAGATCAAAGAGGAGAAGGAGCGCGCCCGAACTGGTCGGAGACGCGACCCTGAACGACCTCGTAGAGACACGCAAGAAGATCGTGATAAAGAGAAGGCCAGAATCCAAGCTGCTTATGATGCGTACAAGGAGGAGCTCCAAGCTAAGATGGCTAGAGCTTTCGTCGCCGAACACAAGAAGGAGCAATGGTTTCGCGAGCGTTACGTCCCCGAAGTCCGAGATCCCTTACGCAAGCAGATAAACGAATTTCGTCGTGGTGCGTACAGTCAATGGGAGCAGGACTTAGAGTCCGGCACATTTGACGAGTTTTCTCTGGAGGGAATACCCAAGAGTGAAAGCAACGGGGCCGGTGGAGTTGTGGAAAAGGAAGAGGGTGAGGCCACGGCCGCAAACGAAGTTCTAGGAGTCGGCGATCTAGTTCCCGCAAGCGGCAGCGATCTCCGGGACGAAAGCTTATATCAGCCTACTCTCTTAATCAAGACGATTGCTCCTCACGTTAGCCGCCAAAATCTAGAAACTTTCTGCAAAGAGCATCTTGGAGAGGAGGAGGGTGGATTCAAGTGGCTATCCCTCAGCGATCCCAATCCCAGCAAAAGATACCATCGCATGGGCTGGGTAATGCTACATCCTTCATCCGAGACGGCAGCACCTGTTGAGCGTGCGGATCCGAAAGACGAAGAGGAAGACGAGATGAAGGTTGAAACACCCGTAGCTACCACTACAGCCGACAAGGCCCTTGAGGCTATTAACGGTAAAACCGTCAAGGACGAAGTTCGTGGTGACTTTGTGTGTCATGTGGGTGTTCACAACCCCCCAAGCAATCCTCGCAAGAAGGCGTTGTGGGATCTCTTCTCTGCTCCTGAAAGAATCGAGAAAGATCTCGGCCTTGCTCAGCGACTCGTCAATAAGTTCGAGGAGGATTTCGGTTCAGATTTCAATGCTACACTTAGGATTGAAGAAAGAGTAGAAACCTTACGCAGCGCTGGAAGTTTACAGCCGGCTATATCATCGCCGACAGCAAAGAGGGTTAAGAAGGATCGTAATCTTGACTTTGATGAGGCAATGGATGATGGTGAAGAAGGTGAAATGGGCGAATCTGACGAAGAGGGTGCCATAGATGATGAAGTCGACGACGAAGACATTCTGGTAAAGAAGAAGCAGCTCGATCTTATGATTGAGTATCTTCGCCGAGTCTTCAACTTCTGCTTCTTCTGTGTTTTTGAGAGCGACTCTATTCACGAATTGACCCGAAAGTGTCCCGGTGGCCATCTTCGTCGACCCCGAAGCACACTCTCTTCCGCTGCTAAGAATGTTGCGCGGGCTAGTGCCAGTGGAGAAGCATTTCCTTCTAAGAAACCTAAGGAATCGAAGGAGGAGGAGGAAGAAGGCGAGGCGCCTGAGCCTGATCGCAAATTCCGTAACGCATCTTCTAAATCTGAGCAGCAGCTTGAACGTGCGTATAAGTGGGTTAAGACGTTTGAAGACAAGATTATGCAAATCCTCGAGCCTGAGTCAGTAGACATTCGTAAACTCGGCGGTAAACCTACCGAGGATGCCCTCAATGACGAACTCTCCAAATTTGTCAAGCAAGAAGATGAGCACAAATGGAGATGTAAGGTTCCTGAGTGCACGAAGCTCTTCAAAGAGGATCACTTTTGGAAGAAGCACGTTGAGAAGCGCCACGCTGATTGGCTAGAGATTATGAAGCAAGAGGTAATTCAAATTCAACACCGTTTCGATGATAAGAGAGCTGCCACTGACTATGAATTTAGTTTGACCTTATCAACGCATATGTTCTTGATCCTGCTCACATTGCGCCTTCGAGAACTGATGCCAATAGCAATGGCCATTTCCCGCCCTCGAATGGTCAAACTCAACAGGGTACTCCCCGCGGATTTAATCTCCAGAATTTCGCCATGAACAATATGGTTCCACAGTTCCCTGGCTTCCCCAGCATTCCTGGGATGCCTCCGCTCTTCACGGGTGGTCACAATGTCCAAGCCCCCGGATGGGCTGCAGGAGGCGAGGAACGTGGTGCTGGCCCTATCCGTCGTGGCGGTGCTAATTCCGGACGTTTTCAAAACCGCACCGGCCCGTATGACAGGCGTCAACAGCAGGGACGTTGGGGTCAGGATGGACAGGGTGCAGGCCGCGGTAGGGGTGGGGCCGGTCGCTGGGGCGATGGTGCCGCAGGCGGAGCAGCCGTCGGTCCTCGTGAAGCCGTTCAAGGCCGTAGCCTCAAGAGCTACGAAGATCTCGACCACGTCGCAGGTGGAGGCGGTGGTGAATTGAACTACTAAACTCTAAACTCCCCAACAATTACCTGGGTCGAGTACGAGGTTGATAACCTCACGCCCACCATGCTTTACTAATTTGTAGGAAACCAGGTTTGCCTCTAAAAAAGTCAAGCTCACTTGCTACTTGTTGTACCATCAGATGACATTCGATGGGCATCGGATCGTTTTCCTTTCTCTTATGACAAAATACTGACAATACACCCACTACCCTATTGTCCCCATCGACAAGGCAATTTAGCCTAATCCCTTTTCATCAAGGCTTCAGTTCGGAATTGTAATGCCTTACAGTCTATTCAGGGTTCTCCATGCCTCTGAAGGTGAAAAGACGATCTCCTAATTTTCCATCTACGTTGACGGTCACATGACATTCCTGGAAGGGAGAAACGTACTCTGGCATATTACGGCATTTTCTTGTTGAGACAACCCGATAGCCTATCTAGATAGCTAGATATTCGCTTTTAGATTATTCATGTAATGAATTGTACAGTACACGCGCATTATTGCAAACTTGTTGAATTCTCTAGCTGCGATTTTTTATATTTGTGCTGTGTTTGGTTTGAACTGAGCCTACTACCTACTTACTACTGCTAACCTACACTTGGGAAGATGAGTGGGAGAGTTTAGTAAGGCTCGTGCTCATACATGCTGCTGCCACATTACGATGATGGTGTAAGCTTGGTGTGTCGTGCATTTAGATATATTCATCTCTAAGTTATTTTGATATCTCGATTTAAGCAATTCTCTCTTTGAGACGCTTTATTCATAAACGTGAATGCCTTTACAACCTGCATTCCTATATAGATACCATATGCAGCCAAGCTACAGTTACGTACCTTGGCTATATATTCCTGTCAGCACGTGGATCATCGGTAATCCCGCATACGGAGTACATCACAGGATCGAAGCTGCTACGACTTTTTCCTCCGGTCTATATACCAAGGGGGATAAAGAAAGGAAAGGGGGTCATCGGATTCCTAAAGGTCAGTTGGTAAGTGTGTAGAGGTAGATATACTGCACATTCTTAGGTTCTTGAAGCAGGCGTATAGATATACATGGCTATTTGTCGGCGAGATAACTTACTTACCCTACAGGTTCTTCCTTTGGCCGGCGGACCTATTTTCTACCGAATTTAATACCGTAGGCACGCATGGTAGCGGTTAGAAGAGAGGGGAGGGTAGACGAGTAACTACCTACCTATTTACTCACCTACCTACCTACATATACCGATCCGTATGTCGAGCTCATGGACTCATGGATGGGTCGAAGGAGCAAACTATATTCTTGGTATTGGTATGACATGCAGAACGTCGAAGTAGCGGTCAGTCGGTAGTAGGAAGAAGTACGTATGTTAGGTATGTCGCACGCATGGCAAATCCTCCGGCGATATATCTATATTATTCTCCGTTATGGTTGTCGGCGAGCAGAGGAGCGAGTGAGTGAATTGGTGTTCCGGACACGTGCGGTGAGATAGATAGTATGTATGTATGTGTATGCATCTCAAATCGCCGAGGTACATACTATAACACTCCAAGCATGCAGTGCCTTAACTACCTCATAAGGTATCAAGACTTGCGATGGAGCGCGATACGTCACATAGGTATATCCTAAACGTAGTGTAACACGCGGGAGGCGGTGTCTGCCCATGTGTATCCAATATATACAAGAAAAGCGCGGAGATATTATACCAAATGAGGCTTTCCCTTAATAAAAAGGGGGGGATGGTTGGCCGGGTATGGCCGAGACATTACTATATACGCTTACTATCCCCCCGCTCCCCCCATCCGTGCGATACTACTTCGCAGGACCTCCTCCATTGGTAGCAATGCCGGAGTCCGACGTCGCACGGCGACACAGAGGGAAAATGGTTGCCCAAAATCGAAGCCCAGGGCTTATAAATATATTCGGTCGCCGACCCGGCTTTCCCGGGCTGAGCATTATCGCCCGACTACCTACTTCACATGCCCACCACGTTTCGTGATATCCCGCCTTTGGTTCGGCCGTTTTGTGAGCATCGCTGATCTCTTTCGGTATGTATTATCATGATCCCTTGTTCAGTAAGACGAATATTCAACGCGCATACGCCGCTCTTCTCTAAATCCGGGCTTTATTGAGTAGGTACACTGGTTGTAGTACGACTAACCCCCTTGCCCTTCTCCTAGATGAACTATACTAGCCTCGATAGATTAACTCGTTTGCCTTTCGGGGATAAGTAAACTAGACCGGCTACCTTGCTATTACCGATGAGTAGGAGCGTAGTAGACGAAACTACAACGCGAAGCAATCACTATTATCCATGCGTGCAACGAAGATTCCTACCCTATCGGATAGTCTATTCCGAGATGGGAAGATCCGTTCCCAGGGGAATATGACCCTCACAGAAGAACACGGCTCTTGAACGGTTGGATTACCCTATGATCGCGGCGACGCCTGCTCCTCCGGCAAACATAGCAGCCACAGTAACAAAGCTTGAGATCGAGAGAAGCGATATGCCGGAAATCCCATGACCGGACGTGCAGCCGCCTGCCATCCTCGACCCGACTGCGAGGAGCACACCACCAAGAATTGCTCTAATGGGCTCGATAGTGGTGTCAGGTGTCACATGTGTCGTTGGTGATGCCAGAGAAACGGCTAGTGCCCCTATGATCATACCTGTAGTGAGCGCGATAGCGCTGTGTGACTTCGGTCTGTCTCTTTGCCCTACTGCCCACCAAAAATAGTCGCCGACTTCCTCGAAGGAGCTTGAGGTTCCTAGAAGAGACTTTCGTGTCACGATGGAAACCGTTTGAGCGCCCGCAATCAAGATACCACCTGTGACTGGACCCACCAATCCGCCGGATTCAGGGGAAGCAAGGTAGACTATCGTTGCAACGGCACTCGCAAACAAGGTCTCGACCGCAACGAGTGCGCTCAGGTGGCTTGTACCTGTCCACTTGTCTAAAGTTAAACGGTGGTAACTTTTACCATCCGATGACTCTGTACTTGACTTCGCCCGGTTGCGAAGAGCCGGCCGCAGGAAGCCCGACCAGATTATGCCACCAAGTATCCCTCCGCCGAGCGTATAGAGGCCAGAACGGATACCAGCCCCTACTTGCGCAAAGACGGTCCCTGGGCAGGAACCAGAGACGGACAAGCCAGCACCCAGAATCAACCCCCCTATTATGTTTCCATCGAGAGCGCCAAATATGCCGAGTGTCGAATAGTCTCGCGGATTCAAGCGGAGACAACCCAGCCGCTGTAGCGTGTTGACAAGGAGACTATTTTAGCGGTTAGTTATTTCTTATACCACGCCCTTGAAAAAAATAACCATGATTTTTTATCACGGGGAAATATAGTCTTACGTGCTGGTACCGGAAGCTGTTAGGAATGTGACGACCATGTGCCAGTTCTGGAAGGTCATTTGCTCGACGATGACATCCGGTAGGTGAATTGCCGCTGCCGTTAGAGCAGCACCGAAGGCGACGCCAGATACGAAAGGTTTGGACATGTTCTCAGATACCAGCGTGTAGCGTTTTTGATGCAGAATAAATTGCTACAATAGGAACAGTTGGAAAGGGTGGGCGAGGAATCTCCAGTGGCGAAATCGAACTTGAAAAGCTCGATAGTGTGTTATTATATTCGAGTTATATTGTATAGTTGAGTCGGCGACTCTAGTCCATTCGAAGCTTTGTTTCCATCAAAGACCCTTCTCCGTTTAATCTAGACATCCTAGAAAAGGACCCGCAACGGATGTAGAGATAGGTACCCAAACACATGGTGACCTAGTAGCCTAGGGAACTTTCCCTTATTTGCCATATCCATGTCCTCCCGCTGCACAAGTCCCATATCGATTTCAACGGTCGGCGACGCTAGTGTAGCAGCATCTATACCATATCGACATATAGTTCCATGTTATATTGGTGCCCATATTGGCCTCCTATTTTCCTCTGTGCGTTCTGACTGGATAATCGCTTCCCTGGATGTTATCAGTCGGTAGTCCCATGCTCCCTTTCAGACTTGAGGATGGCACGTTATGCGCAAGGGGGTGAGCGGATGGTTGCACGCGGGGACTTCTACACGACTTCTAAATCCTCCTCGAATTATTTAATCTATGTTTCGAGAACGTTATTGTGAAACGCTAAGATTTTAGCACGAGGACCCGGAATTTGGTTCAAGGCTGATGAGTATATACGTATTGGTGTATATACCGTAGTAGACGGCGACCACTAAGAGTTAAGGGTATCGGGGATCTCGCATGGATCTTATCCGTGCGCCTCGCCGAAGTGAGTGGGGATATCGGCTTTGAATTATGGGCCTTTAACCTTGGTCCTTGGACCGAATTACGGATCCCAGGTTCCCAGGTCGTGGACTCGTTAATTACTCTTCCTCGCCTAATTTATCTATAACATATGACATATGTCTACCGTCTTCGCGAATATGTTCGCAGCTTTGTGTGAGAGTTGAATGAGCTTTCGCCAAGCTTGGTTTGCTAACTCTTAGATCATCGACCGTCGGTATTATGCAACCTTTAGAGTCAAACTAACGGACCCAAAGACTCGGAACCGTGGTTGATATTATAGGATACACGTGCTCGCCTCGGTCGCATTAAGATAGCAAAGCCCGACTATATATGTAGAGTACCTTGTTACGGACGCCACGTCTCGCCTATTTCTGGAAATAGAACGTTGAGAAGACTTGGCAACGAAATAGAACAATGCCACGGTATTGGGTGTTCACGATCACTGCCATAGCTAGGCCTGAAGAAATGAATGTCAGCCACAGGGTCAGAGGGTTCAATCAAGGAGCCATGGCCGTTTTCGGACCTCGAGCCGAATGCGAATTCCAAGTTCTAGGATATGTGTGTCTTTGTTTTGTTTACAGGAACGAAGTCCAATCCCATTGAGAAGAAGGCAAGTTTCATATGAACCTACCTAAGGTACCTAAGGTAATGTACCTTGGAGTTCTCCTTTCCTTCCAGCTTCGGATATCTTGATATACCTAGCAGGTGCACTCCCTTGGCCTAGAAGTAACCTTGGAAGGTAGACTCCAATAGAAAGCACTTGCTAAGTATATATGTAGGTACCTACCTCTTTCTAAAATAACCTTATTTTACCCCACCAGAATTACGTACCTAGCTCAGATCAGACACGCGCATGTATACATAGAATTGGGGGTGTTCATTTATACCTAGGTAGGTAGCCTGGCAGTACCGAGGTTTTATAGCACCCCGCGGGGAAAGATTAGCCCAACATCGTAAATGACGTTCTAGAGCTGACAAATTAGAGCCGTAGAATACAGCAGCTCTTAACCCGTTTAGATACATCGTTACCTCTTAACGTAACTCTATAGACCTCCTTACATATGTACCTATGTGTTATAGCTTACCTACACATTATATATAATAGTATTAGTGACCTCAAATACTTATAGAGAGCACAACTTTCAATGTCGCTCCTTACATCGATGTAACGTACCTAGATTTATTTGATTTATAGTATCTATAATAGCACCTAGCCACCATCGTGATCGCATAGCCAACCATTAACAAAATCCCGCCGCCCAAGATGCCGCAAGCTCTCATCATCCAAAAAGTCGACGGCAAGCCCGGCCAAGTCTACTACCCGTAATCCCCCCCTCCACCCTATCCCCCTCCCGCAACACCAAACTAACACCCCCTCCCAGCCTCCAAATCGTCCAAGTCCCCAAGCCCAAACCCGGCCCCAACGAGGTCCTAGTCCGGATCCACACCGCGGCCCTCAACCACCGCGACCTCTTCATCCGGCAACACCTCTACCCCGGCATATCCTTCACCAACCCGCTACTAGCAGACGGTTTCGGCACCGTAGTCGAATCCGGCCCCGGCCCGCAATCCTCCCCCCTCCTCGGCAAAAAAGTCGTACTAACCCCGTCCCGCGGCTGGTCCAGTTCCCCCGCCGGCCCCGAAGACCCGAGCAAATTCAGCGTCATAGGCGGCACGACGCTGTACACAGCCGGCACGGGCCAGGACTTCGTCCTCGTGCCCGCGGATGAAGTCGAGCTCGCCCCGCCGCACTTATCCCCCGCCGAAGCCGCCGCGTTCCCGCTCGTCGGGCTGACGGCGTGGCGCGCGCTCGTGACGAAGGGTTTCGGCGGGGACATTTCCGACGTCGCGGGCCGGAATGTCCTAGTCACGGGCATCGGGGGCGGCGTAGCGCTCTGCACGCTACAGTTCGCCACCGCGCTCGGCTGCAACGTCTACGTGACATCCGGCGACGCCTCGAAGCTAGAACGAGCGCGCGCGCTGGGCGCTAAGGGCGGCATATCGTACAAGGAAGCCGGGTGGGAGAAGCAGCTGGCAGCGCAACTCCCCGCGTCGCGGCCGTACCTGGATCTAGTCGTCGACGGTGCCGGAGGGGACATTGTGGCCAAGACGGTGCGACTGCTAAAGGCGGGGGGTGTGATATCGATCTACGGGATGACGGTCGGGCCTAAGATGGACTGGCTGATGCAGGCCGTGATGAAGAACGTCGATCTCCGGGGCACGACGATGGGGTCGCGCGCCGAGTTCCGGGACATGGTGGAATTCGTGCGGAAACACCAGATACGACCTGTTGTGAGCCGTGTAGTCAAAGGACTCGACAACTTAAAGGCTCTCGATGACCTGTTCGAGGACATAAGACATGGGAAGCAATTTGGTAAACTCGTCATAGAAATCTCCTCGCCCGATGAAGAGGCGGGTTCTAAACTATAAATCAAAGCCCAGGTTATGGAGTCAACGCGTCGCAATAATTAACGATATTCTCTGCTAAGAGAATCGTACAGGATCACATCCAGTGATTCGAGTAGCTAGACCATAGTAGCTAGGTTTTAGAGGTGCGAATTACATGCCTATTTTTGTAATCATTGTTTTAATTTGTGCTACCCCCTGTTTTCAGTCTCCGCCCGCCCGCTCCGCATGCCAGCAGACGGGGGCTATTTCGCCAGGGTGGCTCATAATAGTAATACAGTGACATGACATTCTCCAGGCCTGTGGTTATCGGAGACCACAACGTACACTTTCCGTCGCAGAACTTTCGAGACAGAGCCAATCCCGGCTTCTGTAGGACCCTCGAGCCACGAAGTTCTGTCCTTGTTCCTAGACTCTCATCTCCTTTGCTCCTAGTATCTAGGCTCTATCCCTATTAGACACAGGGTCGAAAAGATCCCTCTCGCCAAACGCCGGCCGCCTTTCCTGTCATCACTGACGTACCGAAACCAAACCATGCTAGTACGTAAATAGGGTCCAGAGAAGAAAATAGTAGATTATTGGTCCTATCATGCCTCGTCGTCTGATCGACCTTGGCCCTGCCCGCCACCGCCCTTTAGGTTCGGAGAGAGACTGATTGCGATCTTCCTTGGTGCGTTTCCCGCATCCCTGGCACCCGAGATACTCCTCTTCTTGCGAAGAACTCCGGATACGCCTGACGCGCTGGAACTGGCGGTCGAGCTATTTCGACGTTTGTGTTGGACCATCTTACTCAGGTCATCTTCCTCGTCTTCTTCGCGTCGGCGTTTCTCGGACAAGCGTTCTAGTGGAGGCGCTACATCTCCAGAATTATCATCTGTTTTCTTAGGCCCATCATCTTGTCTGTCCTCGTCAGCCGAGAGCGCCCCGGCATCCAAGTTCTCATCGCCCTCCTCGTCGGAGGCGTAATCAACCAGGGGTTTCGCGTGTGATTCTCCATTTGTGCATGTCGTTCGATTTCCTGGTTTCGCCTGCAAGTCTTCTTCATCGTCAGACGTGTTCCAATACTCTTCCTCGGCCTGGTCCATAGCAATGTGTTCCATTAACGCTCCGGTCTTAGGATTAATTATATTCGCCCGTCTTCTCGGTTCGTCGTCCACTTCTATGAAGTAGTCCATATTAGCACTGAATCCCCCAGTCTGGTCATATCGCGTAATCAAGGTCCTGAAGAGATCCAAGTAGGTAAGCCTCTGAACCTTGTCTCGGTAGTTCTCAACAATATGCTTGACTAAGTCCTTGACATTTTCTTTCCTGATGAATTCGAAGAATTCCAAGCATGCGGAACTAAGCAAATTGTCTCTTGGCATAGTTTCAATGAGGACGTCGAGAACTGGACCGATAACCTTCTTCTCTGACACATGTTTTACGTAGAATTCGTCTTGTAGGCCAATTAGCTGTCGAAGGAACCGGATAGCAACTAAAAGAGGGTTAGCATCCACAAAACAAATACCTGGTATCCAAGAAACTCACTAAGTTTTAGGAATTTCTCCGGGCAACTGAGAAGTTGGCTGATGCGGGAAACGATGTCGTTATTCAAGACGAAGAATTTGCTGCGGTGTTGATGTTGACGGATGAAGAAACAGAGAATCTCGATAAGATATGTGAAGATAGAGGCCTGCTGAACTGAAAACTCCATGTTTGTTCGACCCTCCAGGTTTATTAGGGGTTGGAATAGTCTCGAAGCCGACCTCTCGTAGAAGGTGTTAAGAAAGTTATCCTGCTGCGGATCTGCGCTTGGCGGTATTCTGGATGCGGTTCGAACTCCATACTCTCCATTGGCCTTCGTAAACGCCTCCTGTTGTACTGGCGGGCCTTGGTCAAGCAGTACCTTTAGAGCATCGGATATCTGCGACTTAACCCCTAAATCAACTTCGACCAGGAGCAAGTCGATAAGCGAGTCCGTCAAAGGTGGCTGTTTCTCTTGAAGCTGCCGGTAGATCATAGCTCTTATCATCTGCGGGTCGTGATCGATCATAGACACCAGGATATCCGTCGCACCAACTCGCACTGCTACATCGCCGTGTCGCAGGCCAAAGTTAATGACTTGAAGAAGACCATTAGCGAGGAAGTTGTTGTACAGAGTCTGGCGAGCTGGCGGCTGTAAATTTTTAGCAATGGCGCAACATTGCTGTATGAATAGTACTGCCTCCTTCTTACGCCTGGGATCGGTTTGAGGGGACTTGAATATATTGAATAGCTCGGCGAGGAAGGCCGCATTTGACTGGAGATGTTGTACGATATCGACCTGATTGAAGAAGATAAGTGAGTTCAATACTGAGAAAGTGTTATCGTCCAGAATACGAGCTAGGACGACATCCTTTAAATACTGAAGCCGATACGTTTGGTGTATCTTCTTTAGTATCTGGATGTCCTCGATTTGCACAACCTCCTTGAAGCGGCCCTCTCCTTCCAACCATTGCCGATGATTGGCCTTGTGGCTTGGGAAATCCGGGTCATATTCCAACGCGCCGACAACGCCGATTACACTTTCGTCCGATACGGCGTGCTCTATAATGCTGGTATCGTTGAGGAGAATAATAATCTTCATAATATTGCAAAGGCGATGTAAATCGTTGAGGCTTTCGAGGTCCTCCGCGTCGGAAACCAGGGGGATCAGCTTGCCGATATAATCTTCCGCTAGGACATACTTGGTGAGAGCATCGCGACCATTTACCGTTCCACTAAGTCCACGCATTTGCGATTCTATTTCGGCGAGGTTTGCCATCGAAGCCGGAGGGAGAGAAATCGGGTTTAGGCCGTCCATGGCGAGATCATCAGACAGGCTGTCGTCTACGTGAGACCGGATTAGCGGTCTATCAGTGCATAGAGGCGAATCAATATATATATATTTACCTGGCGCGTTCGCAGACTGGTATTGCTGCTGGATACTATTAATGAACTTCCTACAACATGTTTAGTCACTATTTTTCCCCATGGATATATCAGAAGCAAGTGCGTGCGGTTAGCCATACCATATCATGGCGCAACCTTCAGCTTCCTGAAAACTGAGAGCCATATCGACGCCATTGGTAGGTTCGGTCCAGACAATCAAGGTTTCTAAAGAGATAACTGTCAATAATCATGCACCTCGTAGCAAGTTTTTATGTTGAGCCATTGGCGTACCCTGCTGTTTGTGGAAGCCATCTTCCTTACAAATTCTCGTCTCAAGCAATACGCGATCCGGTTGGTCTTCAGACTCGACAATTACTCGTGGATCTCTTTGGTGGCCATCTTCGGACTAGAGGCAATGACAATCTCCACGTTAGCAACGATAGAATACAGAAGGCAGGGAAGGGAACCAATGCGATGGAACAGTAAGGTTCGCGCCAAGCGCGTCGCGAGTTGAGAGATGCCTACAATGTTGAGAGCAGCGGTGCAAAAGCCTGTGCCCCGATCGAACCAGTCATTATTGCGCAACTCGTAGACCTTTACTCGTTTCTTATCCGTCGACGGATGAGGCACAGGCTGTGCCGCCATCGTCAACGGTACGTCAGATTCGACGTCGACGGCCAGACGATTATACTGCAGAAGATCTGGTGCAAGATCTAAATGTTGTTGAAGGGATAATTCGGTGTCGGCCTGGCTGAGGAGGGTAAGCGCTGCCACTTTTTCCTCAAGATAGGCGCGCTAATTGACGGGCGCGCACGCGACAAATCTATGTTCGGAGGGGGGTGGCAAGGTGAAGACGGGACTATCAAATTAAAAAAAAAAGGGACGCGCGGGCCGAGAATGAAAGCAAGGCGTAACAGGCGATTGATTACAAGCAAAGATGGGGCTTTGTGGCTCGTGGTGGGTTGGATGGGTGGATGGGTGGATGGTAGACAGCGGATGATGAATATGGTTTGAGACGATATGAGGCGACGTGAGATGTGAATGTCGAGAAAGCGTCGGGCTACCTAGTGTAGACAAGGCAGCCAGGTTAGCTGGTTAGGATTATCCTCCCCGTGCGACAGGGTCTAGATTGGTTTCGCCTAGGGTGGGGAGGACCTCTTTTGCTTTGGGGGGGACGTGCCCAGATTGGACTGTGACGTATTTTTTTTAGTCGAGGCGCAAGAGACAAGACGGGATTGCGACAACAGGAGTTGTGGAAATGATAATCAGATTATAATAATCAAGTCAAAATAATAATCAGACAAAAATGTAGAAAGGCAGAATATTATCAACAATCCCAAGTTCCAAAGTATACATGTCTACATGTCTGTTACATGAAGGTATCAGGAATACGACCTGCGGTAACGGTAATGCTGCTGTTGTTTTTAAAGTCGGGATTTTTTGGAGCTTTCGGACTGCTGCTTCTTGAATACATGGTATGTGGTCCGTGCGCGATGGAACAGCAGGGGGCATACTGGGAAATTGGGTACCCAAATACCTAAATATCTTGGCAGAGGGGCGCTTAGCGAGCTATATCTACCTGACTTATACTGCAGGTATCCGTTATAGGTACATACTAGGCAAGTATTGTACCTATTGATAGAATATAGCGTGGATTAGGTAAGATATGATGACTTAAATGCGCCACACATATCGAAACAGGTGTATACTCTTACCTCTTCACATCTTCATAGGTGCTTTCAACTAACTCTTTAAATCCCGAAACCCTCCATATTTTTGTCGCCCAGCGTGGCTAATTTGATCGACGGTGATTTTCATATTCATAATATCATTCAACACATAATACTAGCTCTACCCATTTATTATTCTATCTTAATGACGCTTTGCCCAAGACACACGCAATACTCAAGTTTCTAAATTTAGAACTAGGTATTCAAAGAAGTCCAATCCATGGATTTTATTCAATATAGATGTAGTACCTCACCTTGTCAAATTCAACTAAATTATAATACAACAAACTAACAACTAACCATATCATAACCCCTCCGTTTATATTAGAATAAAAACCTGTTGTCTGGACCTCTGGGTTTTAGCGGGTAATTATCTTGGGCAGAATGCTTGGGCCAATTCTGTCGTATATCCCAGTTCCGGTTATTGTTTGGTCGATTCAAGCGACAGGTTCGAAGTTGATGCGTCACCATATCAATTAATGTCAAAAACTCTCGCCACGAATTTTGTTGGAATTTCATCCGCTCCCTTCCCTCCATCATTAAGACGCGTAATACGGTCAGAAATCTGTTATATGCCTCGTCTGGGCCCCTCAGGCTTGCTTTCATAGAATTTGCGAATTGAACTCTTTGGTTTTGCCTTGCTTGGGTTGATAACTGAGTATTGCGGCGCATTTCGTTCAAGTGATCTCTGGTCTCGGCCCGCATCAACCCCTCCCGCCAATGAACATAACGATTAATAAAGTCGATTGACCATCTGAATACCTCTCTAAGAGCCGCTGAGAGACTGGCCCAGTTCGCAAGATAAACTAGACATCAACATTAGAACTAAGTCGAAATATGGAGGTGGTTATGAATTTACGTACCCAATCGCCGGCCCTCCCTAACACCCAGGCGGTAAACATCAAAAAACAATGCCCTGTGTACAGGTGCAAACCACTTCGACTCAGCTAGTAGACAGTCGTCCTGCAATGACGAAGTGTGAACTATCTCGTTAGCGTGGTCTCCGGCATCTCTAAAAGCCCTCTGGTCTGCTCTCATCCAGTGGTCTGGGTCGTCACGCAGATAATGGTTCAAGTATCGGTAACGAACTTCAGCCCATTTGTCAGCCCATCCCAAGACACGGCTCAGCGTCTGTGCTTTAGTCTCGTCATCTCTCAGAATTCGCCCTCGAAAGTGCTCGTAGAACATATGCGCTATCCAGTCTTCGAGATTGTTTGGGTTTTCCCAGACCACCCTCGCCAGCTCAATAACAGCGTCCCATTCGGCTATAAGAGCAGCCGCGTTGTCATTTCCTTGTAGCTTGATTTCTGATATCCCAGCGTTTGATAGTACGAAGTCCTGCCCAAGGTTTTGCTTACTTGTAAGGGCATTTCGAATAAGAGGCAAAACGTCCTGATCTTCGCTTATACCCTTTAGGTACAAGAGCAGGTTATAGCGATTCGCAGGTTGCGGTGGGCCTCTTTTCCCTACTCCTGCAGATGATTTCCAACGTGAACCGTCTGCTAGCAAATATTTTGAACTAGGCCGCGGGCCATAGTTGACTACATGCCTAACATTATATTAGCCCGTCTCTAATTATAATAGTGAAAGATTAACCTACGTTGTCTTACTGAGTGGAGGCGGCCGTTCCATCTTGCTAGTGTTCCCTCGAGATCTCTATAATGCTACAAGGCGAACTTAAATGTCAACGTAGGGTCTTGAGAAGTTCCTAAATACTAACAAAAGGAGCATGTTCTAAAAATGGAGGGACTCGAGACTCGGAGCTACTTTGAGTATTCTATATGCACAAAGGGGCACTATCAAATTGTCCGCAATGATAGCGAGGCGTCGCATTTGGTTAGTCTTATTGTCTAAACATCCGCATTTGACGTTGTACAACATTCTTTTATAAGGAAATGCTGCTGATCTTCCCCGAAACTAGAATTTCGGGAGTTGAAGGAAATGGCATAAGTAATTGCGGTAGTTGCGGTTATAAAGCATATTGCGGGATACGTGGTATTATAGACTTAGCTTTGCTTTAAGTGGTGGCATAGAGTCAACTATCTCTGCTGGAATTTAGTATAATGTTATAATAAACTGAATTGGCAAGTACTTTCACGTTCTTTAGGGAATGCTGGTCGAATGAGGCTTTTAACATGTGCCATGCCTTGTTACACAATATTAATCCCAGATCCTTCTTTAAGACTTGAGCCGTTGTCTACCTAGTTGGTTAAATTAGGCAGGTAGGTAGCTTAAGTATGCGCCATCTCTATTTAGATATGAGACAAATTCAACTTTGCTTAATATATCAATATAGTTTACCAAGAATCTACCTAACCTAGATTGCCTTCTTAAAAACCACCTAAGCACATAGAGATAAGTATTTCTATAATACGTGTAATGTGTGTAGGTGGGGTTAGAGTACGGATACCTAAACTTAGGTAATCTGATCTGATGGGCTAGACAGCACGGTACATAAGGTTACCTAGGTACCACCTAATGCTTGTAGTACTTCATCTAAGGTACCTGCTTACACCCCACTCCCATTCAACGCCTTAGCTTCTTAATATTCAACTTTTAAAGTCATAACTTCAGCTTCACTTGGCTCTTGAGAATTGGTGCTTGTAGGCTTCAATCCCATTATCGTCAGCTATAGCCTTGCTATTCAACCATAATCGGTAGTAATACTGGTTGGGGGCTGATGAGTTCGCTAATATGCTTGCCAATGTGTCAATGAAACATTGGAGGTATTTTGCGAACCCATGAGTCTGGATTTATATCGTCATGCTTAAAGCGACTGCATGAGGTAAGTGGAGTTGTGAATTATATAGCACAGGAAAACCAATGGATGTCTACCTCTTTTGCACGCTTGCAGTATAGTTCCCCCGAGGCGCTGGCCGAAATACGAACTCTAGGGTCGTCTATGCATATCTACTGCACCTAAGGTATCTTTCACCGCACATGGAAATCTTGTCGATGCGACCTCACATGATAAGCAAATAGGCTCTGTATCGTTGGAGTGGCGATAAGTATTTATTTTGCTCTTTAAACTCCTTTTCATCCTTGGTTCTAGCTTTGGCTGTGCTCACATAAAGTAGCTTCGATCTCTTCAAGGTTCTAGGACAAGCTCTTATCTCTCATATTATTTCTCATATTATAGGAAGTTCATAGGGGATTTTCCCCATCGCCGTCGTAGCTTCCGGCGTTCCGCTCCCTATCATTTACACTCTTTCCATCCGACTTTCGTTACTAGACTCATTCTTTTCAACTATGTTTTATGTATGACCAGACGATCTTAGGCTTTATTCTTCTTATGATTCCCAACACTCGCTACGGAATCATCATATTATCTATAGTGTTTTCCCACTGCTACTCTGGTCCGCCCACCTACCCTAGATGACGGCCGTCGTCAAGTCGTGAAGGCGATAACAGATGCTAATGTTGACATAACCCGATCTATGTTTGCGAATCCGGGGACCACATATACATCACCCCAATCCGACAATCCTGAGACAATCCGGATTAGCCATGTCGCTATTTTCAAGATTGAAGCGACGCCGGGTACAAGCTAAAGAGAAAAATTCGAAGAATGATGGGAAAGTGACAGAGAAGGCGAAAGAGGAATCTGTCAAGGTGCCTTACAAGCATGTAGTTACGCATGCTGCTAGCGATATGTTATTAGTAGCACCCGCAAGCGCGAGAGAAGAAGACAAAGCCAGGGTAATCGAGCTGAACAAGCGAAACATCGCTCTGGCAAGATCGGAATGTAAGGCGGCCGGCATGCCACGGGTTCGAGACTCGCTATCCATCTATAAAACCCCTGTCTTTCCTCTACCTAAAAACTACAAACCCTACAGCGTAGACGACAGGCCTAAGTTCACGTACTACCCCCCGCAGCTACCTGGCTCACAAAAAGGTCCCAACAACTCGAATCGCCCGGAAAGCTTAAGAAGCGGGAGAAGCAGCAAGGGAAAAGCACCGGAATACATACGATCCCCTTTATCTATACCACCGGTTCCGAGATTATCTTATGGACAGTCCAGCATTACACCGAGTAAAGGTAAAATTCCTATGCTACGGTATACGTACATTCTCTCTAATCGTTAAACAGGTGCGCCTCTTGAGGAAACATCGGCAATATCAAACACCCCCAATGATGAACCAAGGATAAACAACAAGGCCATCAACCGCCTTTCGCACGCTTCTAGCTATCAGCCAAGCCTTTCTCAGAAAAGCCTCTCGTTTAGCGAGAAGTCATATCAAACGCCTTTCACTATATCTCAAACAACCGTCGGGGCACCTGTGAAGAGTGATCGGTACTATCCGCCCCCGACCAAAAGTGCCTATTTTTCAGCATCTCATACAGCGAACCAGGGGATCGAGAATAAACTAAATAAAATGGAAAATAAAAATATATCTGGTACAGAGACGGCCATCCCGCCAGTCCCCGTTGTTACCGAGAGAGCCAATAAGAGCACTCCCTCGGTGAGTATCTTGAACGAATCCTCCTTTGGTCCATCCACCACATCTATCGGTCCCGCTATTGCACCACCTCGAGCGCCTTGCATCGTGGCCCCTCCACCCGCGCCGTGTTCTGCAGAAGAAATTACCAGCTTAGAACAGAATACTAGCAAGACAGAAACCACTAGCGGCCCCGGTGCGAAAACGCCACAGAACCTTTCGGTAGAAAAAGGCAAAGCTCCTGCAGATACGACGGCAAAAGATGTTAAGGAACAAGATGCAATAGTACCTTCGACTTCGTCCCCGCAAAAGAAAGCACGTAGGCTGTCTAAACCTAGGCCATCGAGTAGCGGCAACGGTAAGTCCAGGTTGTCGATCGATGCATCAGAGGGTAGCAAGTCGAATTCAACTGCCCCCGGTACCACTGCTTCTGAACTCGATCGAGCGAGCCATGTGGCTGAACCGAAGACCAGCGAGAAAAGTAAGGAGTCGTCCGAAATCACACTGAAAATGGGAAAATTGCACAAGAAGCCGAAAGACAAACGTGAACGGAGAAAGTGGTGGATTTTTGGAAGACGATCTACTACTGCGGTACACTAGACGAAGGCTACTGGTATCCATGACGGGTTTACACACAGCAGCAATGCATCTGCAAATTGATTTTATCATGGCATATTTTATCTGTTTTCTAGCGGCATGGGATGGTCTCCCAAAGCGTATACCTGTACATTCTGCAGTTATAGATCTACAATAATTACGAAGCATTACGAGGAGTTCGATGAGGGTTAATCAAGAGCGGATGGTTATTTCTGGAGTATGGATCGACACGGGTTATTAGATGAACCCGTATAATAGCTATTACGGCTTCTAGCCTCGAGGTTGTAAATTACCTACTTATACATCGATTCATCCGGGACATGATATTCGTGGACGCTATTCTCAGTTGTTTATCTCGCAGCATTGGTATGAAGAAGAAAGCTCTCTACCGCCTAGAGCAACTCGTAACGATAACCCCCTCCATCGAAAATGGGGAGGTCGGTACGTTCCGAACGTGTCCCGCATGGCATCTGCACGCTAGGATGCATGCTGGCATGATGGGTGGTTTGATATGCACTGCCATAGGCCGAATGTAACCTTGCCCCCATGCGGGATCTAGAATCTGACCCCGTTCTAATCTTAGTTTGGCAGGTTTCTCCTAGGTTGTGCGTCCGGAGAGCTATCGTGGCGCGTGTAAGTCGAGACATGAGCTGACGCTAGAGAATAAGCAAATGTGCCTTCAGATTTAGAGAATGTTACTTACCTATTCCTTGGGTATTGATGAACGACTATAAGCCGTATAGTTTGTAACAAGATCGCGATAGGTACGGCGTATCGCTTGTGTACTACACAGACTACCTACCTAGGTGTTTAGTATACATAGTACCATGCTGAAGTATCTAGTTATTAAGATTCTAATACTACAGCGGCGATAGATTGAGCCCCAAGGTAGGCTAGCTAGAGGGAGACAAGACCTCCAGAACGGCTCTCGGATATCCATCGACGTTAACCAATAACGCCGCGACCAAAACAAACACAAGTCGACTCTCGTAACCCGTAACGCAGGTGACTATCGCCTCTGCGAGAACTGCAAACCTATCATATATCAGATCCTCGAGCCAGTAATGCGGTTGCTTGCTTGCTTGCTACCGTAAGCAGATTAATCCTACGCGAACCCCCTCCCCAACAACAACAACAACAACAGAAGTACCAATCGCAGTCAATAACGAACGCCAACGTCAGGCCGCACATCGGCGCTAAAATGGGGATTTCGTGGAGGTGGCTTATGGCGAGCGAATCGAAACGAGATCACGCTGCGGAAAATAGGGGGGGGTGAGTGAATGGGTGGATGTTCGCTCGTCAGGTTGTAGGTGTCTAGCGTCAAGGGAAAGGAAATAAGCCTTCGCTTAAGGGTGATCGATGGATGTTTCTCGTGTTCTAGGACCGGGGTCGTTCGGCCGATCAGAGGTATATATATAGGTAGGTATTTCGTAGTGTCGCGCTGTGTTTACTTGTCGACTGTATTCCTCGTGGGGGTCCGGTATAACTGACGGATGATGAGCTAAGGTTGCTGCATATGCGCGTAAGCATACTGGTGATATGTAGCATATACAAACGTGGACCACCAAGTAAAATACCTAGGTACCTATGTAAGGGGTCTTCTCCGTAGCCCCTTATTGGGCTTATGATGTCTACCTGTAAACTGTTTACCCCTTAGATCACGATGCCCATTTTCTAAGCATCTTACCTAGTTGAGGAAACGTGATAACAGTTTACTGCTGCCAGCCGTCGGTTTACTGCACATTGAGCCAGATATCAAATAGTCGGGAGGCTGCATGCGGTTGATTGCATACGCCTTCCTAGGCTGAATATTGCTATTCCCTGTCCTGAGACTAGGTAGATATGAGACTTCCTCGGTAGTGACAGTGGACGAGGCTCGTCTTGGTGTTTGGTGGGCATATATCGACCGTGATACTCGTATGTAGTTCTATCCTCTATGTGCCTAGAAGTATTTATTTTTATATCACAATCCCCCGTACTTGTGACGCTCTCTGTTATATCATCCCTAAGTACTTCCCCTTTTCAACCAGGCGCAGTAATATTATCCGTCGAATTCGAATTAATAATCCACGTCAAAAATGAATTCAACCCATCGGCAATACGGTCCTCGCCCTCGTCGTTGGGATATATGCCGTCCCTTAGGAGGGTATTCGGGAACGGGTATATATCGTTAACGTAGATCGGCGACTCGGTCTTGTTCTGCTCGACTGCCCAGTCCGGGATCATGTCGTTGAGCCTCTTCACTGGGTTCATATTTGCCGGTAGCGGAACCACGGTGTTGACCTATTTCGAGATTATCTTAGCATTGCGTCTCAAACTTGCTGGCTGTTGATTTAGATGGAAGACGGAGGAGCCTACGATAACCTGTACGTGTTCGTTGTACTGCCGCATCGATTGCACCATATTTGTGTACGCCTCTACGACATCCTCCAACCATCGGGCCCGAGCAATATCGTCTGTACCGAGCATAAACGTGACAATATCAGGCTTAGTGTTGTTGAGCCACCCGTCGATATGATCGTACGCTATATCGATCGCGAGATAACCCGTATGACCTTCATGATGCTGTTTACCAAACTCCTCGTCTTCCGTATCGCAACTCCGAGTATTGTTCATCGAGCCGACGAACTCGATCTTGTCCGTCGAGTTATTTGCTTTTAAGTCATTCCATAGCTTCGCCCTCCAACAAGTGATCTCGGTTATGCTGTCTCCCAACGGCATTTTTCGCTTGTAAGTTAGGGGTATATTTGGTAAAAAAAAGATATCGCAAGTTAGACCTCACTAGTCTTTAACTTCGACTGGGAAAACGCCGTGCCTATTAGGCAAGATGCTGACAATACCCCCCTGCATTTCATAGCTGCGATGCCTCTTCGAAGATGAGCATCTATCGAAGGTAGTTTGATATAGGATACCAAATACTAAATTACAAGATGATCAGCTCTTTAACTACGTGTTTATCTTCATGTCGACTTCTATCCTCGGCTTAAGAGATAGTTAAGGGTAGCTATTTACGCCTGAGACTGGCGGTCTCACTACTACATCAAACCTCCGTAAGTCTCCGAGCATCTAAACTGGTAGTGATATTCAACCATCATATTATCTGGAATAAAGATCTGGCTACTGGTGATTTACGTGCGGGGTAGGCAGGCATTCAGATGAAGACATCTAGGGGTGATCGCCTCGACGATATTTTATATAGCCTGAAAGAGATAACATGGCCACTGGGATGTACCACAATATAACTTCTCCACGATAACACATACCTCAAGTATTCCCCTTTTCTCATCAATAGTTTCGTTGGGCAACTGGGCATCCTGCATTACATTTGTAGATATGCTTCAGGTATGCTTCATTGCGTTGGGTACCTAGGTTATATATTGGGGCGTATCGACTTTACAGGCTCATATTGACTTCATAGCTCTGGTATGCGAATCTGAGATGTTGACTGGGTATATAGGATATATATATATATATATAACAACGCTACTAAAGGTCGCTCTCATTAAATACTCGCACGCCGGGGCGCCATCGTCCTGCGCAATGCCTTCTTTGCCTCAGTTTCTTCAACTAATGGAAGCACGCCATCCTCCTTCAGGCGGTCAAGATATTGCCTACCAAATTTATACCCTAGATCATAGATTTCGTCAAACCTCCCGAACTCTAAAGTCCCATATTCATCGATCGGCGGGCGCATGTAGAAACATCCCGGTATCGTCTTGGCGCGCTCTAGAGCGTCTACACTCGATACGTAGGCTAATCGAGCTTGAATCTCCGCTAGCGTAGGAGGGTTTGGGATGTTTGAAAAAGGATTCCATCGGTTGAAGAACGCCCAGAACCCCGAGAGCGTATCTCCGTAGCATTGAGGCGTATCGTCATCTATAGCGCCTACATCGATAGCAAAAATAACGGAGGCGCCAAGGGACTTCATATGAGACACTGTGAGGTTGTCGATGTAACCACCGTCCAATAACATGCTGCCTTCGTCACATAAAGGTGGGAGCAGACCAGCCAACGACATAGATGCTCGCACATATCGCCAAGCATATCCACTAGTGTGGAATTCCTGCCTGCTCTTGCTGATGTTTACAGTATTGCAGTAATACTCTAACCAGAAGTCTTCGATCTGGTGCTTCCCAAAAGTTTTGAAAATGCCACGATTGAACTCATGTCCGGTTGTGTACGACGCAGACGGATATGTTAGATCAAACGCAAAACGCCAGATGCTTGCCATCCTCCCAGCGAACTTTTTAGCTAGACCAAACATGGGCACTACATCAGCATGGCGTGCATAAAGGGCCCCAATAAAGGAGCCGATCGATGTGCCACCAACGATATCAATAGGAATGCCGGCCTCTTCCATTGCCTTGATGATACCAACGTGAGCAATACCACGGGCACCACCCCCTCCAAGTACAAGACCAATAGACTTGCCGCAGAGTCTTCTAGCAAGTCTTTGGAAGTCACCTTTATAAGGGGCGTCGGGCGAGTAATAAGGCCTTTGTCGTATCTTCTGAACTGTATACTTCTGTATCTCAGCCTGCAGAATTTGTACTCGCTCTTTTAAGGTCGGCCCAGCCTTCCTAGAGGGCGGATGTGCGGCAACAGCGTTTGACTCGAAGACCATCTGTAGATGGTGATGTCCTCCATTAATCCAGACACGGTTTCTTAGCCAGCCTCTCGTCAGGCCAGGGGGCGAATAGCGCTCGGTGTGGAGGAGAACTAGTGTTTTGTGGGCGGTTGACTTCATGCCAAGCATAAATCGTTCGTATTCGCCAATCTCAGGGGATCCTTCGGCCAGACCTACGAGCAGAATGCAGTCTGCTTGTGTGATACAGGTCTGGGTCCAAGGTGCTGTCACACTCGTATCTAGTCGTTCTAGTTAGAATCGCGTATAATTTGAAGCTCAAATCAAACTGAGAATTTGTATGTTATGGTCAGGAAAAAATTAGAGATTAAAGCCTTCATAGACGGCGCTCTGGATGTGATTTGCTCATCATACCAAGGAAAAAAGGAAATGGACAAGGAACAAATTAGACTTACCGGCAACGTAAACAACTAATCCGTACTTCTCTTCAAGGTCGGCAAGATAATGAGCTAGCTTCAGCTTTCCCATTTTATTGAATGCATGTTTACCAAGATGGCTGAGAATTGCAGCTTGGTTCAGCGAAGTTGCACCGTTTGGTGTGCCGACTTGTGCCAGAGCATTCATTAAGCGGTTTCCAAATTCAACAACTGGAATACCCGACCTAACTGGAAGAATAGCAACTGTCCTTATGTTCAACGTAGACGAACTCTTATTGATGGATGTGCCAGAAGTCCCATCCTTCCCTGAGGGATTTGATGGATCATCGACCAATAACCGCATCCGAGAGGCGATGATCTTCGAAATTTTGATTGTGATATTAGGGTGCTCTTGGGCAAGGCTGTTGAATAAGGTGCGAGGAAATTTGACAAGTTCCGTCGCACGAATAGCGTGTAGAGTTCCAGAACGAGTAGATTCAGTCATGACCTCTAGTTCACCAACACTATCACCTTGGCCGAATTCCGCGCGAACGTTCATCCCACCATCCTTTCGGTCTTCTACCAATCGCAACCTTCCGTTGAGAACAATATAAATAGCCTCGCTTTCCTCATCTTTACGGAATAGGACTTGCCCGGCATTGACTTGGACCCATTCAAGGGCGAAATCAATATGCAATATGAGTCGCGGGAGTAAATTCGTGAGTCTCTTTGCCATTGTCAGGAGCACAATTGGATATCTCTCTACAATCTTCTCCAATGTTGCCCGCGGGATGAAACCGACATATACATCCGTTTTTGCAACTACGTCGATGAAGGATCTGAATGAAGAAACAGTACCTATGTAGCCTGCAAGACCGCCGGGTTTCACGAGTCCTACTCGGCGGCGTTCCGGTTTCGCACCCCGTTTCGCGTCAGACGTGCTTTTGTTGTCAGGCTTCTTGGTTGGAGCAAAAGATGACGGGCGTCGGGCGGCTTCTTCGGACTCCGCCTTATGCATCGCCGTCGTTGATGTTCTACTGGATGAACTCAGGATATTGCTTCCCGAGTCTTCTGCAGGGACACAAATATCGAGGAATCCGTCAATGACGTAGTAAAGTCCCGGACTTCGCTCCCCTTGCTCAACTAATACAGAGCCCTGTCCAAAGAAAACAATTTCCACTTCGTGCTTCATATCAGCCGCAAGAAGCTGGGCATTCGGTGTGCCAGTCGACGAAACACCGCCAGAAGTCATTGATTCAGCATCCCAATCAGTCGAGCCATCAAAAGGATCCATGAACCCAAACGCGTTGCTGCTGAACACAGCTTTCTGCCTTCTCTGATCATACGAGACAAGCCTCGGGGACCCTTCCGTAGACTCCGGACCTCTAGATGAGGAGCCACTGCTGCTCATGCCTAAGGCTTTGAAAACACACTCTAGTATAGACACCCTGAATAGGTTGTCCTCATCAACAGACTCGCGAGGATCAATCGACAAACGAGCTCGTTTCTGGGTAGCGAATGGGTTGAAAGTGCGCCGAGCGAGAGGACTTGCATCTCCACTCTGAAAAGTATTTGAGTGCTGGAAAGATTCTGCTATGGGTATCTCCAAGGTACCACTTGATCCTGTCCCCCCACTGCGGGCTAAGTGGACGTTAGCCAGCAGGTCTCCAGGGCTAGGAGTATGAATCGAGAGGCGTTCTTGGGGCGGTGCAATCGTAGATGTCACCACAGACCGAGGTCTAGCACGACTCATTGCTTGCATGGCTGCTTCCTTACGTAGGCCCGTCGAAGACCTACGTCGACGGCTCGTAGTAGATCCATTATGCAAAGCAATTCCTTTGCCACTTTCCTCTTCACCAGCTCTTTCCCTCTCCTGCTTAAACTTTTCCTTAAGGCGTTCTAAAGCATCACCCCGAAGGATATTTGGCAGCTGGCAAGTGGCGTAGCGAATCATATTCTTTTCTGTGTGAAGAACCTCGTTGGTTAACCCGAGATAGTTGTATGCAGTAGCGAGAGTGACGCGCTGGAATCTAGACAAGATGACGTGAACGATATGAGCAGTCGCTTTAGGATAAACCCGAATCAGCCGACGAAATGCACTCGCAGGTATGATCGCGATAGTCGTGTCGACTGTCGCCCTTCCAATGATATCGGGATGGACAGAGGTGGCTGTCCTTTTCATAGTAGGACGAGTGTGGCTCACTTGCGGTTCATCTAAAGAAATAGGGGGGATATTTGGTAGCCTAGGTCGAGTAGGAGAAGATGGCGTCGTGACTTGAGACTCGTCGACCGGGATTAAACCGCCATGAACTGGGTCAAGATCTGAGGTTTTAGTTAAAAACCCCGTTATATCATGCTCGTGCGTAAAACTACCGCTAACTAAACGTCCACGATGGGAGTGGCTGTTGGCACTACTGGGCTCCAGATTCTCCTCAGACGGCAACTTGAGCTTTACATCTTCTGTAAATAAAGACATTATCGAGAAGAGGGACGACATAGGGTTGCCATTCCGCACCTCGGTCAGTAGCTGATATCGTTGCTGACCAGGGATGGATTGCTCATCTTCCGAGAAAGAAGACTGCATGGGGCTCTCATCGAGTCCAGTGGATCCGGATGACTGGTTGGGGTTGGAAGACTTGACGAAGATCTCAACCAGCCCGTCTACAACAAGACAGAACCCTTTCTCCTCTTCTAGGTTCAGCGTCTCGCCAGCAATCAGTTTCCTGGTCTGCATACTCCTGGTCAACTCGTGAAACACAGGGCGTTCGAGATAACCAAAGATTTTGATGGCGCTAAGAAACTCGTCGAGATAGTTGGTTAAGCCAGGTTTAGCACCTTCCTCGTGGCTCTCCGGGAAAATATCCAGATCGGGTTCTTTACGTTGTGGTTCTGGAGGGAGACGAGAATACATATTCAAGTATCTATATCTCACAACCCAAGTTACCGCAGCGAACATGAGTAACACTATCAACGCCCTATTTCCGAATATTAGTATATTAAAGCTACGAAGAACAAGTGGAACCATTACAGGGTTGTGGCATTCATCGTTACTGTCCAGCTCGTGGAGAACAAGGTGAACAGTAACGTCGGCACAGATATTGTTGTGAGCTTAAGGCTCCAGTATAAAATTGTCGAGAGAATGTGGAGTATGTAAAGAACGAGTCTGGCGATGAGCCCAAGCCACGAAGAAGAGCCCTGGGCATCCGCAACATCGTTTACTCTCGTAATAGCCGAAGCAATAGCGGTTGAAGAGCTATTCGCAATAGTCGATACGGCCTGCGAGAGAGCCATTTCAACGGTGGTGGCGCTGGACGGATCCATGGTTATGTATATGTGCAAGGACTTGTGAGACCTCTGAAAAATAAAATCAATATTTCTACTCAATGACTAGAGTATCATGATGTGAGTATCATCCTTTTGCACGGTGGAAAAGCGAGGGTTGAGCTCTGTCTGCCGAGTGGCTGGAGCTGGAAAAGGGTTTCCGGCGAATTTGCGGCTTTGGAGACATTTGGGCTTAAGTAAATGGTTGAAAAGTAAGAGTAGAAAAAGTAGAATTATTAGAGGAAAGAAAGCTCCGAAAACATGTGCATTTGGTGGAACTTCTGGTCGATTGGAAAAAAGGTGTTCAGGTGGGTCTCCTGTCACTAGTGTGAATACGGCCTACTGTTTCTTCCGCCCTCCGTGGCTAGCAGGCAAAGTACCAATTAGGTTAGGAGGATAGGTACCTATACCTAAAGGCTGGAACTTGGAAGGCATTGATTTTGGCTAGAAGATTTGGCAGGTGTAGCCAATTGTCTGCCTTTACCGGGTACGAACCTTCGCACCGTTAACCCCGCCAAAAGCATTTGGGTGCCACACCCCACGCTCAGGTCATAAAGATTTCCATCATTGACAAATTTGTGACTCCCTACACAGGACGAAAATAATAATTGATACACCAGCATAGTTCGCCACGTCGAAGCGCGCAATCCTCACAACAACCCAAAAAAGACCGATTGTCAAGAAACTGTCGGCGAAGGAGCATCATACTGGATTTACGAACCGCAGAGAAATTTTAAACCCCGCCTGCGCGCGTGCGATCTTGGGCCCATCAGACATTTTTAAGATCAAGTACTACTATTTTCGCCCAAGATGTCGTTGACAAACTGTCGCTTTTACGAGGAGAAGTATCCGGAGATTGATAGCTTCGTCATGGTCAATGTGAAGCAGGTTCGTAGGCCACCATCATACAACACCGATTTTGTCTAACTCGGTTTAGATCGCCGATATGGGTGCTTATGTTAAACTCCTCGAATATGACAACATCGATGGCATGATTCTACTATCTGAACTTTCGAGACGTCGTATTCGAAGTATTCAGAAGCTTATTCGGGTTGGTCGCAACGAAGTCGTGGTCGTCCTCCGAGTCGATAAAGAGAAGGGTATGTGTGGCGGCTAGAATATATACAATGGCGTACGGACAAACTTACTGATGGGTGTTAGGATATATCGATCTTTCGAAGCGCCGAGTCTCTCCCGAGGATATCGTTAAATGCGAGGAACGATACAACAAGAGCAAGATGGTCCATTCCATCATGCGCCATGTGGCCGAGAAGACTCAAACCCCCATCGAAACCCTATACGAGAGCATAGCTTGGCCATTGAACAAGAGATACGGCCACTCCATCGATGCATTCAAGCTCTCCATAACGTGAGTATACAGCACCTAGCGTTATGACTTCCTTGCGGCTAACCCGAAATTTTAGGAACCCCGATGTATGGAGCGATATCACATTCCCTAGCGAGCCGGTAGCGGAGGAACTGAAGTCGTACATTGGAAAGCGCTTGACGCCTCAACCCACGAAGGTTCGTGCCGACATCGAGGTCACCTGCTTCGAATACGACGGAATCGATGCTGTTAAGGCTGCCTTAAGAACGGCGGAGGCGCGGAATACCGAAGAGAACCAGGTGAAAGTGAGACTGGTCTCCCCGCCGCTCTACGTTTTAACAAACACGTGCCTGGACAAGAACGTTGGTATAAGCCGACTGGAGCAAGCCATCGTAGATATCCGTAGCAGCATCACCAGCGCAGGTGGTCAACTCGTGGTCAAGATGGAGCCTAAGGCGGTGACGGACTCGGATGATGCCGAACTGCAGGCATTGATGGAGAAGCGCGAACGTGAGAACGCGGAGGTCAGTGGAGACGAGAGTGTTAGCGAGAGCGATGACAACATCCCCGAGACTGTCTAAGCTATCGTTTGACTTTGGTTCATTTCAATTAGTTCCACCGCAAGGGGTGTACGGCTAGGTAAAGGGTACCAACCTAGAGGTCTTTGACATTCACGGGTCATAAAAAGTACCTAGCATGCGAATTGAGCATTTTGTTTTTCGAAATGAAGTAAATAATCAAGTTGCTGCCCCTGTCTCCGTACCTTGAAACGACTTAAGCTGCTTTGTAAGAGTTATGCTTCCTAACTGCCTAATACTGCTTATCCCATTTTAATTATTGGTAAGTTGCCCGTTAAGTTGATGCCGGAAGGTAGGATGATCCAAGAGGCTTGGTGATTGTTACATTTATTTGCTTATGCGGTGCTGGTAAAATGATATGCTGTGTAGAAGGATATCTCTCTACTTCGTACTCGGGGTATCTATTAGTTGGGGTCGTTTGTGGGGTGTGGATTCAATTATGGAAAATCGAAGCTTATTGTTGTAGTGAAGACAAAGTATAAAACGTCTTACTCTTTAGCACTTCACCTAGTGACACTGAGATCTCACTTCAGGTTGAGGTCTACATCGATTAACGCCTAATGGCGTTCCGGCCGATATGGAATCGAATCAAACGTGATCACCAACGTGCTGGCAGGTTCGGCTATCGTCTATTCGCTTTCGCAACATGGATTCCTGTGGTTTCTATGTTCAACCACTATATTGGGGAACTGGCTTGGATCAGCGGGCCGTCGATGTATCCGTTTTTTAATGCGGAAAAGGATCAGACGACTCGGAATGATGTGGTGATCAAGTACAAGTTGAATGCGCAGTACGGGCTGCGGCGAGGCATGATAGTCATTTTCTGGTATGATTTTACAATGACAAGTCTAAGTCCCTGCGATGCTAACACCAGCTCCAGGAACCCTTATGATCCAGAGGTTGAGGCTGTTAAGAGGATTGTCGGACTTGAAGGCGATGTCATAAGGACGCGAAGTCCGTATCCCACCCCTACGGTCCGCGTGCCAATGGGGCATGTCTGGGTCGAGGGTGACGGAGGCGAGCGCTTGAGCAGGGACAGCAACGATTATGGACCAATTTCGACGAATCTCATAACTGGCAAGGTCACCCATGTTGTGTGGCCTCTACATAGATTCGGTAGAGTGCAGTGGTGGGAATATGCAGGGAATATTAGGAATTAAACAACGAAACGACTACTATTTACCTCTACTCATTGACAGATGTAACGAAGCTTTTATCAACAAAGGTACCTCCAACTATGTGTGATGTCAACTAATTGCTAGTATGCAGATAACCATAAAATGCTATAACCTGACCTCCCGGTCTACCGGTACCTTAGCCTTTAGGTACAGATTATTCCAGATAAGAGATAAGGTAAAGCCGGATAAGGTCCACAGGCGCCCACCAACTCGGGCGCGAGGCCCCCTACCCGTGATAAACCGCGCGTAAACCGATATGGCCGATTAGGTACGATTTAGTGCTATTGGTACATCGAAAATTTCCCACCATCTACTCTTATTCGGATTCAACGTTCAGCAGGTGGTCGCTTTCGAGCGCGATCGCCTCTCGCACAACACTAAGTCTCGAAAGATTTTTATAGATAAGCGACGTCTATGAGCGAATAAGTCGCGGGTGTTACAGTAGCGTTGCTGGTCTGGCCGAACGACCCATTTCTTTTAGATAGTTACCGGTCCCAATGATGGACTTTCGGAGCACAAATCTTTGGAGTAAATTATCACTTCTACGACGCAGTCGCGCGGGCATAAGATGACCTTCGACAATGGGGAATTGGAAGGGCGCCCACCCTATATCCACGTGAGTGCTTCCATCGTATGAAATACATGAGCGCAGGACTGCTCATACTAATTCTTTTATGTTCGCAGACCATGCTCGCGGGAGGGTTTGGTGGAACTACTGGTGATATGTTGATGCACTCGCTCGATACCGTCAAAACTCGACAACAAGGTGATCCACATATGCCACCTAAATATACCTCTTTAGGATCATCTTATTATACAATATGGCGTCAGGAGGGAATTCGACGTGGGTTGTATGGAGGATGGCTCCCAGCCATGATGGGCTCTTTCCCCGGCACAGTTCTCTTCTTTGGTACCTACGAATGGAGCAAGCGGCATATGCTAGACTATGGAATCCAGTCTCATATCTCCTATTTGGTAGCTGGTATGCATTACAGTTGCCCTTGGCGAAGCTTGTTCTGGCCCATACTAACAAATTCTCAGGTTTTCTCGGCGACTTCGCCGCATCAATAGTCTACGTACCCTCCGAGGTGTTGAAGACTCGCCTTCAGCTTCAGGGCCGGTATAACAACCCTTATTTCAAGTCCGGATACAACTACCGCGGTACTTTTGACGCTGCCAGAACCATTGTCAGGACAGAGGGAATTTCGGAATTGTTCTCTGGATATAAGGCAACTCTATATCGAGACCTTCCATTTTCTGCTTTGCAGTTCATGTTCTACGAACAGTTTCAAAGTTGGGCCCGTGAATACAAGAAGAGCCGAGAGATTGGAATACGGTTGGAATTACTAACCGGAGCTGCCGGTGGTGGATTAGCTGGAGTGCTCACCTGTCCCCTCGACGTAGTGAAGACCCGGCTACAAACCCAGATCGACCCCGTCCCAGTTGTAAGCAAACCGAAAGGGCGCTCGGTTACAGAGACTATGTCGGGGCTTAAAGAGTCGGCTTCAAAGCAGACACAATCCCCACCTCAACCCAAGCAGCAAAAGCGCCCCATATCCACATCATCACCTTCAACACATACACCGCGGCCTGGTGCTATTCCATTAGACGAAGATTCGATAATGAAGGGGCTCAAGCTAATTTATAAAACAGAAGGTGTCGGCGGATGGTTTAGAGGAGTTGGCCCGCGGTTTGTCTGGACTAGTGTACAAAGCGGTTGCATGTTGTTCTTGTATCAAACCATATTACGGAAATTAGAGGTATGGCTTCCGGTAGAGAGATCAGACATGTCTGCTTAACTTGACCTTTATGAAGAGGGGGGGGGTGTTGGATCCTGTGTCGGTGGAGGGTTTAAGGGTATTGTAACAACCCCCCCAAAACAAGTGCACGGCGTTCAAGGAAGACGGGGACAAGAGGAAAAGAATAGATGGACGGATAGAAATCTCAATTTTATTTGATCTTAAAATATTTGAATTAGTGTTTGAACATTACGTACCTAAGGGAGTTATGAGATGGGAGTGCTTGTGATGTATCTATATAATTGCATATGCATATATACAGAATTTATTATCATCCACCATGTGAAAAGTGCAGGTAATATTCTGCTAGGCGGGGTTTGCTAACCTTTGTTGCAGTTGACCCACGTCAATCATAGCACTTAGGTACCTTATCAAATCATGGCACCATCAAATGATTCCGCAAGCCCGCAAACCCGCAAACCCGCGAACCCGCGAAACCTCTTTTTATACAATTTCGATTACACTCTGTACTTATGAACCTCTAGCTTCAGAATGCTATGGGTTAACATCTAAACCATTTTCTCGACATGGCAGCACACGCTTCGCAAATATGCCACCCCCGTTGCCTATCCCGTCGAAGGCTGCGATCCACGCCCTCCGAGGGATTGCCCTGGGTACCTCATGCGCAATCGGCGTTATAGTCGAAGACCGAAGACGGCGAATCAGTACTTTGAAGACCGCCGTATCAAATAAGGAGAAGCTGAAGTCGGTTAAAAGATATCATGGCATGGCAGTTCCATCTCTGGTACAATTCGACGAAGCAACTTTCACAGATGGGGATCAATTCCAATGGCATCAAGTGGAAGATGGTATAGCCAGGACACACAATGACCCTCGGCCCAGATCCCGTCCTCGACAACATTCCCCCGAAGATGTTTCTTCAGAAGCAAAGCCTCCAGCATGTCTGAAATCGAGAGGGGTCTTAGAATCTTCGTCAATAACCACTACCCAAGCCGAAACGTCGCCTTCCCAAACCGCACAATATGGCATAGTCCATCCCTCAGATAGCACTCGGCGGCTATCAGGATTTCCGGAAATGGGATTCGATACTCATAAGACTTGGGGAATGTATCAACCTACGAGTCCTGCGCCGATTCTTAAGCCTCGTCTAAATAAGCGCGCCCAAGCAGTCGCAAACATAACTAGCATTCTGGCTAGTAAGGATGAAGAAAGATTAGATCGAGCTCTTAAGAAATTCTCTGATGCATCCCTCTCGTGTTATTCTCAGCGCTTGGACGAGGAATGGTTTGCCCTTTCTATTCGACTTTCTGAAGATTGTCATGCAAAAGGCCGCTTAGAAGATGCTGCTAAGCTCCTCATTTCACTAACCAGTGCCGGCCCCCTCGAGGAGTCCCAATACTACGCCCATCAGCCCATACTTCTTATAAATCATTACCTACGCCAGGTAGATGAGAACGGGCACCTTCCCAAGGAAGCCATATCTACGGCGACTCGCATCTTCCTAGCAGCATTTAAAGAAAAGCCCAAAGTGCATTTTGAGGAACTAGAGGATTTTGGAAAGCAACTGATGGCCCAAAATCTCATGTTGGGTGAATTTCGCTTTGTCCATAACATTTACTGGAGAGTAATCAGCGTTGTAAAAAACGCAGCCGAATTTACAGGGTGGGCTATAGAAAAGCTTCACGAACACCGTGATCACAAGAGTGTACTCAAATACTTCTTACTAAATTACTCAAAGACAAGCCCTAATAACAGATCCTACCACACAACGGTCGATTGTGTCGTCTCCTCTGTCGAGGCTCTAGAGGGCTTGAAAGCTGAGCACGTAATCGACGCTATCTATCGGATGGATTGCCCAGATGAAGGTATAATACGAACCCGTTGGATCCTAAAATTGCTACATGCACATTGGAATCGGAACCAAGATTTTCCAACATTGAAGGCGCTCTTTGACGGGATGTTGTCTCTAGAGCTGCTAGACAAAGTCACACATCCGCAACGAGTTTACCGTACAATGGTCGAGTTGTCGATCAAGGCTGAAGAGTACGATTTGGCAAGGTCATACTACGAAGAGCTTCTTAGGAAGTATCCCGAGATGGCCTCAGACGTCGCCTTGAGAGGTCATATAGCTTTGCCAATGGCCAAAGCTGGAGACTGGGAGGGCGTGTTTAATACCTTCGTCGAGATGCAGACTCTAAAACGTGGAAAAGAAAACGAATATGACAACGCTTTCGTCCCAGTCTTAAAAATATTTGCGGAGAGCCATCCAGCTGCCGATGTCCGCGAATTTGTATCGAAGTATACCAGCGTTCTAGGGGTACGCATGCATCGGTATCTTGTCACGATGGTAGCAAACAAATACGGCCAATGCCATGACATGACAGGCTTCGTGTCATGGTTACAATACTGTAGCAAAGCTGGATATGCCATGGATTCAAGTTTCTGCAATTCACTCCTCCACAACTGCCGGACCAAATGGGCTATGCCCTACCACGAACTACGAGCCCTCTGCTCCGAATTCAAAAAGATCGATGCGTCCCTCGTCGACGATACGACGCAACGCATCTTAAGCCAGGCAGCGCTAAGGGCCGGCAAAACCGCCAGGGATGGCGGAGTCAACCGAGCACTATGCCCATCTCATATTGCAGTGGATAAGTTGGCGTACTCTGGGAGGACGGCCAATAGGCGGGATGTCTACGAAGCAATGAATCAAGAAATAAGTAATAACAAGCCGGCGACGGCGATTTCGATCTACCAGCGTGCCATAAAATTCGGGATGCCCCCTTGTCCGCACTGCCTTCGCCTAGCTATATTAGCGACGCTGAAGAACAGCAATAATGCCTCTGCTTCTGCGATGAGATTGATCCATATTGCACACAGACGCGGTGATGATGTGAGCTCAGCAGTATCAGTATTCATCAAATTCCAGCTCGATAACCTTCAGGCGGGGGCAGCGGACGTTCTGCTTCACATGCGGAATCTGATTACTCAATTTGAAGCAATGCACATCGTTATCGGACCAGATGTGCTCACCCACATGGCCATGTTCTGCGTCAAGCTAGGCCACTACGAAAAGGCGGTTTCGTTATGTAGCCTGGCAATGGACAAGAGCGGGACTGGGAACCTCTGCTTCTCAAGGCAGTGCTTCAAGGCACTGCTCATGTCCTACCCGAAGCTGCTGGATTTGAAAGGGATAAAGCAATTGATTGAGGATTTACTCAAAAGCGAGTATGCTGCAGACAGATCTGTATATCTGTATCTAAAAGCGACTACGAGGCTGGTCAAGAAAATGGACCCCGATCGCACTATCGATGCTATAGTAGATATTCTAGAGTATGCTAAGGAGGAGGTGGCGAGACGGCGGGGAGAGACCAGGGCGGAAGGTCAGCATATCGCCAGGGAGACTCTTAAAATCATGAACGAAGCATTAGCAGACATGCAGGCGTCGGAAAGCGGTAAAGGCCAAGTAAGCAACAGTGGCAGTAAGCCTTACGAAATGGCTGCGGCCCTTTAGAGCAGCTGCCGCGTGGTGTTGCGTATTATTTGTATACATCTCGGTATGCTTCCCTGAGTAACTATTGCTTATATAGGGCGTCTTCGAAACATACCTACGTAATATATATATTACCTATTTGCCATGTCAGCCACTTAACTCACCATTCCTCAAGTTGAAAGACTATGTATATTATCAAGGTATGTGGTATACGCAACCTGAATCCTACTGACCGGAGTTATATATGTATATTACAAGAGCTAGTTTCCAATATTTCTCCATGAGTTGATGAAGAACGGAGAACGGAGTATTTTGGTTATATAATCTGACCAACTCTCTGCAATAAAGTAAAGAGTACATAATGCCCGGTGTTGCTCTACCCGTGAAAGTACTCATGTATTAAACCAATATCTTCCTATTGGACAATTGACCGTGGGGACAGGGTGGGTCATTGACATAACTAACACCGCCCAGCGGCAGAGCGGGTTCCAACAATTTGGCTTTCGGGCTTGGCAAGCATGTGCCAACCAGGAACAAAAAAAAACAAACAAAAAAAAGAGATCCTCGAATCTGAGGAATCGCGTGGTGAACCGATAAGGGGCAGAAAATGAATATCACTAGTAGATGGGACGATTCGTCGAACCATCATGATCTGAGAGAGTCGATTTATAGGTAGGTTTTATTTTATTCACCACCATTTTACAATTCTACAACTCGACCCTTTTCGCTTTAGCTCCAACGACCCCTAATTATTACATATTATTCTAGAGTGACTAACTACTAATAACTAGTATTTAAATAAATATTCAAGTCCCATCCCGTCTCTCTTTCTATTACAGATCATTTCTTAGAACTTTATATTTATTTATTTATTTATTGCGATACCCACCCATTAAGACAAGACCGTCTCACCGACAAGATAATCCTTTGCCATTGACCTCCATTATACACTTTTAATAACAAAGCCCGACTCCGACTAAACACTCCCCCCCGCCGTTCCCTATGAGCGAAACTACAGTTGTCGTAGAAACGCTCGCCGAGCGACGAGCTAGACACCACGAGGCCGAGGTTGTTGTAGTCGGTGCCGGCGTCTTCGGATGTGCCGTTGCATATGCTCTAGCTGAGCAGGGCAGGAGTGTTATCCTCCTCGAGAGATGGCTGAAAGAGCCTAACAGAATCGTCGGCGAATTGATGCAGCCGGGCGGTGTAAACTCCCTTCGGAAACTGGGGTTAGGTCACACCATCGACGACATCGACGGCCAGCCATGCCACGGCTTCAACGTATTCTTCTACGGCAAGGACGTCCGCATGCCCTACCCCCAGATACAAGGCCTACTTGGTCAGGGCGGAGACGAGAAGACAAATGGGAACGGGAACGCAAAGGTTAAGAGCGACGAGCCGCCACGGCCCCAGGGACGAAGCTTTCACCACGGCCGCTTCATCTCACAGTTACGCAAGGCCTGTCTCAGCCACCCCAACATCAGCGTGTTCGAGACGGAAGCCATAGGCACCGTCAAGGGCGACCACAACCCAGAAATCCTAGGCGTCGAGACGCGAACCGTCAATGCCACCACCGGCGAGAAAGAGCCCGACTGCTTCTTCGGACAATTAACTATCATCGCCGACGGCTACGCCTCCCGCTTCCGCAAGCAGTACATCAACGAAACCCCGATAGTCCGCAGCAAGTTCTACGCCCTCGAACTAATCGACTGCCAACTCCCCAGCCCCGGCTTCGGCCACGTCATCATCGGCGCCCCCAGCCCAGTCCTCATCTACCAGATCGGCACGCACGAGACCCGCATCCTAGTCGACGTCCCCGAGAAACTCCCCGAGGCCTCCCCGGCCAACGGCGGTGTCCGCGGATACATGTCCAAGGTCGTGCTGCCGGCCCTCCCCGCCTCCGTCCAGCCCTCCTTCAAAGCCGCGCTCGACCGCGACTCCAAGATCCCGCAGAGCATGCCCAACAGCTGGCTGCCGCCCACCAAGCAGTCCTCGACCCCGGGCCTCGTCATCCTCGGCGACGCGATGAACATGCGCCACCCGCTGACCGGCGGCGGCATGACGGTCGCCCTCAACGACGTCGTCCTGCTGCGCGACCTGCTCGCCGACATCCCGGACCTGTCCGACACCGCGGCCGTCGCGCGCGCCATGGATACCTTCCACTGGCGCCGCAAGAAGCTAACCGCCATCATCAACGTCCTGGCCATGGCCCTGTACAGCTTATTCTCCGCGCGCAACAGCGAGCTGGCGAAGCTGCAGCGCGGGTGCTTCGCCTACTTTGAACGCGGGGTCACGCGCGACCCGATGGGCATGCTGGGCGGGCTGATCCCGGATCCGCTGGTGCTCGCGTATCACTTCTTCTCCGTCGCGTTCGTGGCGATTTGGCTGGATTGGAAAGCGACGGGGCTCTGGAAGGTGCCGCTGCTGTTGTGGAATGCGTTTTGGATCCTGTGGACGGCTAGTCGGGTTTTCTTGCCGGTCATGTATCGGGAGGCGTTTGTGTAGATGGGTGGGTGTTGATAATACATACGTACCTAGGTACCTAAGTCAGGTGTGATGCGATGTGATGTGATGTGATGTGATGATGGTTCGAAGAGGCAGTTTGGTCTCGGTATACCCTGAAGAAGAAGAAGAAGTAGGAACGTGGACTTGGACTTGGACTGGGACTTTGAGGTCCGTTATCGAGTGATTATGAGAAAGGGGGTGTTGTTTGCCTTAGAGGATGATACATACAATACATACATGCTTGGGCTTGATATCAGTCGCCCGGCGAAGAAGAGACACGAGAGGAAAATGAAGATTAGATCTACGGCTTAACGGATATATATATCAGTATTTAATTCTAATGATTCAAATGAGATTGATAAGATTGTTTAATGGCTTGATTGTAAGATGCGTTTGGATGTCTTAAAGTTGGTATGCTTCTACTTACGATCTGCTGCCTCATCCTAATACTAAGTGTATACACGTATAAGCATATGAAGGCTTTTATGTTTCTGCTTAGGTCTTCGACGGACATTCAAAGGCAAAGGTTGTAGTTATCACGTTGAGGCTCACATCACAGCTCATACTTAAAGCAAGTAGGATAAGTCAAGGCGGAACTTTTCCCCATTCATTCCACCGGATATCTATGCATTGCTGAAATCAAACGCCATGCAGTATAATATGACTGCGCCGATTTTATATAACCAGCATGGGCTAACTCATAGCCTGCCACTATTCCATCATTTTGTACACCGAGCCCTTCCTATACATCTCCCCCCTTAGCATTCTACGTCAGCCGTCGCCGGTACACGCCCATCATCCAGCTGGCCCTTAGCACAGCGAGGCCAATAGCCATCTTAATGCTATCCTGTATAACATTAAGCTTGCTCCCGCCGACCTCGTGCCAGTCGATCGGGACCTCGGCGACCTTGATGCCGGGGCTACTGCCAATAACAGCGCCGTCGCTACCGAGCACCGGGACGGCAGGCGCCGACTCGGCTAGCATAAGCATCTCGATGTCGAAGATCCAGCCCTCGGCGTGCATGTACGGCACGATGTGAGGTAGAGCGGCGCGCGAGAACAGCTTGAAGCCGCACTGGGTATCCCGGATGCGCGAGGTGGCCGGCGGTGTCAGAATGGTTAGTACGAGGTGGAACGAGCGCATGAGGAAGTTGCGCAGCGCGGATCTCTTGACGACTGCCTCGCTGCCGACTAAGTGGCCACGGCTTCCAATCGCGGCGCCCCGGTGGCTGCCGTCGACGACCTCTTCGCACCCTTCGACTAGCTTCCCCAGGTCGCTGAACTTAGACGCGCCATCCGCGTCCGCGAACAGCGCGTACTCGCCCCTTACGTGTCGCAGCCCATGTGTCACGCCGCCGCCCTTGCCGCGGCGGCGCTCGAGCGTCACCACGCGCAGGATATCGTGTAGTTCGTGCTTGCGCGCGAAGTCGAGCGCTACTTCGGCCGTGCGGTCCTTGCTGCCGTCGTTCACAATGATGATCTCGTATCCGGCTAGATCCTCGCGCGGCGCGTTCTTAACGTGTCTGTGAGTCGGGACAGGGACTTGTTTGGGGAGGGCGTTGGGCTGAGGGCGAGGGTCGCGGCCGAATGTGGCGTCGAGGTATTCGACTGCTTCTTCTAGAGTCGGTAGGATGCGGTCTTCTTCATTGTAGGCGGGGAAAACGACGCTCATGCGGACTTCAGCGGGTTCGATGGATCCAGTGTCTGCGATGTCGATTAGGGTGGGATCGTCATTTTTGGCCCTGGCCTCGCTTGCGTGCCGGTCGGCTAGCCATCGGTCATGCCAGCATGGAAGCTGTCGTCTTTCGGTTCCAGTAGGTGTGGTGGTGATATAAGTCTTTTCGGAAGGGAGAACGGTTCGGGGTTTGGGTGCGATGACATGGAGTACGGCATAGAGCTACTGCTAAGTTAGCTTACTACTAAGACATTATATTATGGTGGATAGGCGAGATTCATACGCCGTAGAATGCAACAATGACCAATGCTGCAAATGCCGCAAATAACGTATGCGGGGGCGTCTCTTTCAAGGTCAAGGCGAACGAGTTGAGCAGGTCCATGGCTGCGATCCCCAAGCGCGACAGGAAGTTGAGCGCGTGAAGGTGTTCACATTGGAGGTGCTTTTCCTGCTAGAGTTTTCCAGCGGGAGAAAGGATTGTGGTAAGATTGGATGAACAATTAAGTGACGTATTGTTTGCATCAGCTAGTCGTCACTTAATTGTATTCTGAATTTAGTTGCTCATCCGTAAACTACATGTAGAAGTCGCATATCGATAATTACTACGGAATACGTAACACCTACCTAAAACTTTTAGAGGATCAAGCAGCAGGTGCTAGACGACGCGGCAGAAGAAGCCACGTCTCTAGGGCTAACCAATTAGAGCTCTCGAATGCCTCAGCTCTAGCAGCTCGTCAGGGGATCTGCCGCTAATAAGCTCAGTTAGCTTAAAGATTGACGTCACATCTTCATCTCTTCTTTTACATCTCTTTCAGCCTTAATCAAAGCTTACCATTTGCCCATCAATTGACTTTACTTTACCTCTCAAACTTCCATTACAATTACAATTACAACTACAAAATAGTTCTCCAATAAAATATATAGTTCGATATTCATATAGAGTATAGAAACTCTCGTTGAGCGGAAACAGTAAGCCAAGACTCCAGTAGTCTATGCCTTGGATTCCCGGCGGTCGTGGGTTTATCTCGATCAACCAAGCAGACGGTAGCCCTTTAGCGGGAACGGTGCGCTTTGTTAAAACTAGGACACTATTCTTCGTCGCGTACTCCATGCTAGAATTTTCAACTCGAGCTTCTAGGTGATAGAATCCGTCCCGGAACCCAACTCTGAGTAGGCTCCGTTGTAGCGAGTCTCGAAGTATGACAAGTTCAATTTCTGGAAGTTTAAATGGGAGGACATTAGCAAGCTCGATGAAGGTCTTGACACTACCTTGGCCATTAGCATCCGCACCCTTAGGGAAGTCATTGGATACCTCGAAGAAGATTACTTCTCCGTCGCAAAGTACAAAGTTCGCATCTACCTCGGGCTCTTCGCAGTATTTCTCGATTACAAATTCTACGCCGTGCCTTTCGGTGTTTATGGCTTGTATACCGGCCTCAATCTGTCTAAGACTCTCTGCTCTGAACACGCCCTCTGAGAGAAATCCATTGCAAGGCTTTATGATTAATGGAAACTCTAGGCTCTGCTCTTGTACAAGTCTGGCAGCTTGCTCAAAATTGGAGGCTTGATATGCTTGATGCCCCTCAGAGACACTTGTTTTGAACTTATCGGTGGCAATCTCGTATGCTGATGGGGGATACGTAGGTAATGACAACCGCAAGGCAGCTTCGGCAACAACAACTTTGTAATGGTCACGGAACGTAACCGATCCATCGATTTGGCCTTCGTACGAACGTACTGCGTCTGCAATTCGGGTTATAAATTCGCTGTCAACATGGAGCGGTGTCTCAAATGGAATAGACGCCTTTCGCCAGTGAATATAGCGTGGGTCGTTTATCCAATGGGTAGGTCTGTCGAGTACAACCATATCAATCCCAAAAGCTGCGGCTGCTGCGTATATGCTTGTTCCAGTTCCTCCATGGTCAGGACTAGAAATACCTCCGTCGACAATAGCCAATGTTTGACGTTTAGGTACTTGAGTTGACAGCCATGGGAATGACAACCGGTACCGCAGCTCGAGATCCAGAGAAGCTATCAGCGACTCAGGCGTGTCGGTGCATTTCAAAAGCAAGCCTCCCACAGATGCTACAAAGGCATTCGGAAGCCGTTCTAAATTCTCAAGGCTGATAGACTCTCCGTCGAAGAACTGGTGCGGCTTTGAGAAGCTCACAGCGCTTCGCACCAACGGGCAGTCTAGTAGTCGCAATGGGATGATATCAGATCGTACAATATATCCACGAGATAGTGGTACGATTAACCTAACGACACTTCCGGATTCATCAGTAGAAGCTGAGAGGCATTCGAGCACAAATCGGAACGCTGCTGCAGATCCAAAATCCTGCGGGTTAATCCGGCGGTAACCGCCGGCGGATAGCTCGATCGAGAGGTGAGTGTCTTCTACATTCCTACCTAGGCATGAAAACACAGGAGACTTAGAGGCCTGTTTAAAGAATATGTCGATGGACTGCCAAGGTGTGAAACCTGCCGCGCCGTCTGTGATGGCGGTACTATGTGCCTGCCAGTTGTATTGGAATCTAACTATATCGATACATCTCGTAAGAGTGAAATACTTCATAGTGAAAGGCCACACCCGCTTACGTTGGCGGTTATCCTCATCCAGAATAACGATAGTACCTGACATCCTGTCTACCATGACCAAGGAGATTTAGTTCAAGAAGCTCGGATATAGTGTGCTCGTCTTAGCGGTTCCCTAAGAGGATGCTTATATGAAAAATAGTTTAGAGTAGATACAGTAGTAAATATAATGAATTTGGAATTAGAGATACGATTATTCTTATTTAAACTTGAACCTACCAATGTCTAGTAACTATATCGACATTGTAGGATTACTTAGGATTCGATGGCACGGCGGGGTATCTCTATACACACTTCGTGTAAGCCGACATGGGACTCGGGATTCGGTGCTCAGGACTGGCGGTTTATACTTGAATACGGTGACTCCGCCGCTCTAGATTATGTTCTAAGGTGGCTACCTACCCCTGAACCGGGTAATAGTAACTCTTGCCCAATCATATAAGCTTAACCTTGGCGATAGAAGTGTGCTGAGAAGCACGAAGTCCCAGACCGCAATTACGTTATATTCCAAAGCCTTGGAATCTCGTTCACTTAAGTCGTCTACCTACCATACCGGCAAAGTATGGTTTTGAGATATCATATTTTGGGGGTGGAATGATTCTTGTATAAGTTATCCTTGCCTATATAGGAATGGTTTCTCCGATTGGGCCAATATATTATTGTAATATTAAAAAAATGAAAGTGTGGGTAATAAGGTTTGACAACGGACCAATTGTCAACAGCACTAGTGGACTGGCCACCCACTAGAGCCGTTAGCTCAATCAAAACACTCCCGCATTAGCGGGGATGTTGTGGTGGGGCTAGGAGCCTGGGGTTCGAGTCCCAGGCCTCCTAGCTTTTTTGATTTTTAAGCTTTTTTGAGGTCATGTGACTTAAGGCCCACTTATTTTAGCCAATTAAAGCTTTAGATTCTAAGGAATCATTCTTTTACAAGGAATGATCAACTCTCCTATATTTTATTAGTACTGCCACAAATTTTCCAGCCAATCAGATCCTTAGAATCGCCCCGCAGTTGGCGACCTTTTCCTTTGCCATTCTATCGCATAAGGTCTAAAACACATGCAAATAGGATAAAAAGGTCATGCAAAACGAGCTCCATCCAACGATACCAATTATTAAGATTTTTATACAATATTACAGTAGGTCAATTGATTTTACAAAAAATCCATCGGACGTGCGCTGAGGTGTGGCTAGCCAATCAGAGGCCAGACCTATATGTGGCGTAAAAGGCACTCTTGAAGCTAGGCACTCCCCCGTAAGCGCTTGCGCGAACGGGTAACGCAGCTAGTTATTTTTAAAAGAATGATTATTTCGTAAACTATCGTATTAGCCATAACAAAGGTTAGAATGAGAAATATGATTCCTAGAACCCATACACTGCCGCTACGGTAGCTTCTAATAGGCAGCATATCAGACGTGGTAGTAGGCTATTCGAATGCCTTATATATTAGGAAACAACCTAGGACGGCTTTTCGTATGTACCTCATAACCTGTAGTTTAGAATTGTACTAAGTCAACCTTCTTGCTGGGAGATATTAGACATCTAGTTACAAAAGGGGTAAATTTCCACGGCTAGTGAATTCGGCTAGGTGTCATATCTATCACGCTGCATTTAAGCTTAAAATAGTCATCTCATAAGAATCATCTTCTTCCACCTCCTTTTATAGCAGGAGGACGGCTTGAGATGAGAGTTCTATTCCAGTGACTTACTAAGGTTAGGTACACATTCACACCCGTGATAGTTCAAAAAGGGGGTGGGATTTTAGAACAGCGTGTAACTTATAGAACTACTATGAATTTCTAGATATTAGATGTTAGATGGTCTCGGCATATGTTCTGGAGCTAACCAACCCTTCTAATGATGAAGTTAGTTTCTTGGGGACGTCCCATTGTGAGGCTGTCTGCTCATCAAGCCATCTGATTGGCAGATATCCTCAAATGACGAAACAATTAGCAATTATGAACATGCAATTTAAGTCACCAACCAGCGATAGCATAATTAAAGAAGCCTTTCCCTAGGTATTGGAAGTTCATCCGTCCTTTACTTTGTATATGTATTTACAGTCTTGGTCGAAAAAGAAAACAATGGTGGCTTTCTTGACCGATGCTCTACCGGAGCAAAATCCACGAAGCCACGACGATACGCATTAAGAAAAGGGCCCGCACACGGAACAGACAATCGTTGCTCCTTAGTGCTAGGTATCCAGAAGATTGGATGCCGTTAGGCGAGGTCCTGCAGACAGTCAAATGTGATGCGTCGGAAGACCACAGGAGGCCACACGTCGAGGCGCCCGACTTGGTTAGCAATTAGGGGCGAGCTTGAGGTCACCTCGCCTGGCGGTCGAAAATTACGCCAGCAAGTAGCCGAGCTATCATTCCTTGCCAGTGAGATATAGGGGGGTTACCGTATATTCGAAAAGGGATGAGACATTAAGATCGATGGACATGATTCTTAATCCAATAATGGCTTACAAGGGTCCATTTCTATTCTATATATTAAGTCTATCCGTCTGCATATATTAAGCACGCAGCTTCGAAACACGCCTTGATTTGACATGACAGTCCGTACGGCCTTACACAACCTTTCACTCGGATATGACAAAGCCGTTTTCGTGTGTCCCACCGGGGCTTTTTTCTATGTGAGACTGCAACAACATGACATGACGACAGGGCGGGAGGGGAATTATTTGCGTTGGCGTTGATGGCGTCGTCATAGCTGCGGACTAGGATCTCCTGTTGATCTAGGGTTGGCTCAGAATGCAGAACAGCCAAATAAGCTGCCGCCAGACCAAATCGGGGTAAGCCACAGTCCCTGTCATTCAATGTTCACATCATTCACATCTTGATCCTAGGGATGACATCATATCCCAACTCGACCCCTGATCCTTCTTCCTCATCCCCATCGAATTAACCACATTCCCGTTTGTTCGATGATGGCATTCGACACGTACGTATGTATGTGCCCGTGGAGTCTTGCTTCGGTTACTGCCGTGCGACTGTTTCACGATCCCTTCGCTGACTAGTGTGCACATATATATTTAGGGGTACAGGCTAGGTAACCCACATAGATATCTTCTCTATATTACAGTTGAATACCCAATACCCAGTAAAAGATATCATCCTCTTAAAACACATAAGACGAAGTGCTCATTCCCCTTCTCTTTACCTGAGTTAAGAACAAACAATCCTGCTATTTAAATACCACGTACAATATGGTAAAACTCGCCCCAGTCAACCCCCGCAACTACATGCCCTCGCGGGCACACCCAGAACACCGCTCCCGGCGCAAGGAACTCGAAAAAGAGCACCCGTTCACGTGGAAAGAGCCGCTGGTGCTCGGCATGATCGGCATCGGACTAGCCTGGAACATCGAGAAGCAAGTCCAGAAGCGCGAAGAGCGGAAGGAGCGCGAGGAACCGCAAGGCCGAGATAACAATGATCATCATCGTCGAAGAAGAAGAAGGGATCAAGACGGCCGTGACGGTTCATATGATCCTTCGAATCAGGACGGCGAGAGCATGAGGAGTAAGAGCAGCAGAGACAGCGAGGATAGGCGGAGAAGCCAGCATAGGAGCGGCGGCAGCGATCATAGCGTAGGGAAGGACACGGTGGACCTCGAGCGCAGTAGAAGAAGCAATCGTGACCGCGTGCAATCGGTTGATATGAGACGGCACGAGGACCCGAGGTATATCAACGATGACCGGTATTACGAGCAATCTCGGTACGATAGGGGGTACAATGACGACGACCGGAAAGGATGGGATCGAGAGTACCGCGGCAGAAGAAGTCGTCGCGACTCCTGGTAATAATTAACGTTGTTATTCTACGTATACGACATGTCCTCATCGGCGCTTCTACGAAATACGTTATACTTCTCTCCTATATCAGCATAGTTTTGCGAGGTCCGTCAAAGCAAAAGGGATAGCATACGGTCAACACTATTATTGAAAAAAAAAAAAAGGGAAAAGGAAAAGAGTCAAGAAACGCAAGACTCGAGCCCAGCAATATTGCGCATCGCAACAAGAATAATACATTCACACGCAAACCTACCAACAGTCAACCCAGCAAAAGAGAAACTCCTCATCAAGGCCCAGCCCCAGGTCTCAGCGTCCAAGCTACTGCGCCTCCCATGCTCCCACCTAATCCACATCCTCTATAGATTCTATATGCTTGGTGGGCTAGGAACATCTATGTCCGCGGGGAGAGTAAATGGGTATTGGACAATGCTATCATATACCTTAGGTATCTACGTACATAAGAATTCATGAGACTATGAGCAATGGAATAGCATACGCATATCTAGACTTAGTTTATTTAGTATTCTATCTACCACGTCTCTAAAAATGTAGTTCTACTTAACTCTGCTTCGTTCGCTATTTGCCCCTAAGCAAGTGTCTTCTCAGCCACCTCAACTAGGATCTCGAAATGCTTCCTAACGTGATGCTCCTCTACCAAAGGAGTAGCTGGATTATGCCGGATGGCAAACACGCCGCCGACCACAGTGCTCGACAGGAAGATCCGGCCCTCCTCCACCACGGCGTCGTACATCTTCTTAGTGAGCTCGTTCTGCTCCTCCAACGTCGACTCCTTCTTCACTAGCTTGAACACCGTTAGCGCGAATCGCGGGCCCGTCACAATCTCGAAGAGGTCCGACCGCGTCTTTACGAGCTCTCCGAACGTCTCGGCAAGCTTGATGTGCTTCCGGATGTGTGCACGTAGACCCTCGATGCCATATGTGCGTATCACGAACCAGACCTTGAGAGATCGGAACCGCCGCCCGAACGGGATCTGCCAGTCGCGGTAATCAGTTACGAGCCCCGAGTCTGTGTGCTGGTTTCGTAAGATCGGTAGTGAAACGCTCAGGGCGTCTATCAGATGCTTGCGGTCGCGCACCCACACGGTGCTGCAATCAAAGTTTACTAGCAGCCACTTATGCAAATTTGTGTTGTAGCTGTGAAAGCGCTCGAAGGGCTTCGTAAGATATTGGTACTCGGGGCAGATTAACGAGGCTCCTGCGTACGCCGCGTCTACGTGCACCCAAATCTCTCCAGGGCCTGCAGGCGCTAGCTCTTCTAAAACAGATGCGATACCCTCCATGTCGTCAATACCACACGTATCGGTGGTTCCGAGGGTGGCAGTCAGGTAAAAGGGCTCGAGGCCCTTAGCACGTAGTTCTAAGACGACCCGGCGCAGCTCGGCGCCTGTCATCCGGTAACCATCGGCAGCGTGTACGGGGACGGCGCGGAACCTGACACCAGCGATCTGGGCGCCCTTCTTAGTGGCACTGTGGGTGGCGGCGCTACCAAGGGCCACGAGCTTGCTGCGGCGGATAGCAATGGCATCCTCACGTTCTTCCTCATCGGTGATATGCGCCGTAGCCTCATGCAGGTACTTATCACGAGCAGCCACTAAAACAGTAGCGATAGCCTCGGAAGCGGTGCCATGGATGACGCCGCCACCGTTAGTAGGTCCAGTAGAGAGGTAGCAAGATGGCAAGCCAAAAGCCTTGGCTAGCCAATCAAGCACGATAGTCTCAAGCTCAGTGACGGCGGGCGAGCAGATCCAGTTGAAGGCAGCACCGGTGAATGCGGCAGAGTACATCTCGCCAAGCATGGCCGGGAAGCTGCTGGAAGAAGGGAACCATGCCAGGAAGTTGGGTGATTGCCTAATAATTTTCCCTTTCTCATTAATCTTAGAGTTCTCTTTAGACGAAGACTAAAAAATGGATAAGTAAAGGATGCGAACCAATGTGTTATGCCGGGGAGGATCTTGGACTCGAGATCTTTCTGGATATCAGCCCAAGCCTCTCCATTCTGAGGGGCCTCTTCGGGCAGTAGTTTTCTCAGATAACCAGGCTCAACGTTTGAGACGACACGGCGCTCCTCGATGGTGTCGTAGTATTTAACGACTAGAATGATTTAGTCGTCGTAAGTTAAGACTTTAGAAGGTGAGGAGACTCACTGTCGTCAATAGACGATATAGCCGCCTCCCGAAATTGCTTAGAGTCCATTTTGCCTGCGGTGAAGTTGCCCGTATTCAAGTCAGATACGGCAGAAATAAATCCTCGGTCTCAATGGAATAATGTATAAAATATAAATTTGAGTTCTGAGGATTACAACAATTTTATAGTATAGGCAAGTTACAATGGTAGGTATGGTACATAAGGTACCTAAGGTATCTCTTTCCTATGCATAATCGATTTACCTAGCAACTTTGCTCCACCTCCCCCCTAAAACGCAACCCCGGCCCGAATTAAAAAAACGGGCGATTTCTTCCAAGTCTTACGTTACGACTTTATATCGGAGGGCGCAGCAATGACATAAAATGTCAACTTCACCATAAATAGTACAATTATAGGTAGTCTTCCTATTAGAGAAGATATAGAAGAGAAAATAATGAAGAAAGGAACATACATCTACCTACAGATAGACTTACAATCCAGACCTATTCACATTGGAGATCGCTAAGTTTAGTACTGACGAAGCTACCCCTTCCCCCTTTTTGCTTTAGCTAGCGGTTTCGTTCTCCCATAAGTAGGTAGACTTATATCACAAAGCGTGGCGCAGATTACGAAGCCAGTAGGTACCAGAGTGATGTAGAGGCATGTGTAAACCCATACCATCCCATTTGGACTATCGAATTTTGGCGCATGTTTCCTTTGGAACTAAATACCTCTCATATCATCAATATGCGAGTGAGTCTAGTGTTAGCAGGTATAACTTCTAAGCCGTCGTACTAAGTTCCGGCACTTAGTCCCCTATCTATCACAAAGCGATGTCATATATGCCCAGGTAAACATTTACCTCCTAGCTAGGCAGACCCCCTACGACCTAAACTTCTCCTGCCACTCCCTATAATGATCCAGCATATCCCTCGTAACCAACTTCGGCGTCTTCTGTATCGCCGTAAGCAGCACCCCCATAGCCGAGATCCCCTCGTCCTCATCCGCATCCCAGAACGCCTTGTCGCAGATCCGTGCGACCTCCGCCCCTGAGTACCCCTCGCTCTGGCGTGCCAGCTCCGGTAGGTCAACAGTCCCATCTTCCGGGAAACCTAACTCCCTGGCTTTGGCGGCGAAAATGGCCTCGCGTGCCTTAGCGTCTGGTAGCGGCACATAGATCAGCTCGTCGAAGCGGCCCGGCCGCCGTAATGCCGAGTCCAGAAGCTCCGGCTTGTTCGTTGCTGCTAGCACGAACACCTCACCGATGCGCTCGAACCCATCCATTTCTGTAAGTAGCGTGGTGAGCGCTTGCACGCCTCCGCCCGTACTACCGCCCGACCGCGATCCTGCGATCGAGTCGAACTCGTCGAAGAATATAATACTGGGGCTGGCCTCGCGTGCTCGCTTGAACAGGTTGCGGATCGATCGCTCGGTCTCGCCAACGTACATGTTTAGAAGCTCGCCTCCCTTCACGGCGAAAAAGTTGAAGTCGGATTCTGTCGCCATGGCTTGGGCCGTCATGGTCTTGGAGCAACCGGGCGGGCCGTAGAGAAGGACACCCTTTGGTGGCTTCGACATCCTCGCACGAGGACCCTAGTTTTCGTTATTAGCTATTTTTAATTATATTAGATAGGAAGCTTAAGACGTACCGTAGGACGCCGGAGCACTCTCTGCAAGGCAACTTTGACTTCCTCGTAGCCACCAATATCACTCCAGCGCACAGTAGGCGGCTTGAGGTTTATATCGTGCATAGCGGTAGGTCGCACTTCATGCAGCCCCTTTGTCACATCATCCCATATCAAGGGTTCCGTCTTGGAAGGACTTCCTACTCGCTTCCTCCATGCTTTTGTAGCACGGTAGAGAACCTTCCGTAGATCCGCGCCGGTGTACGCATGCGTCCGGTCACCAAGGTCTGATACGTATTGGTCAAACACATCCGGGTCGAAGGTTGGCTTGTGATAACGGATGATCTCTTTGCGTCCTTGTGCATCCGGGACGGGAAGAGCAATATGTTCCTCGAACCGGCCAGGTCGTTGAAGGGCGTGAGGAATGTCGTTTAAGAAGTCAAGGCAGGTAGCAATGACTAAGACATGCGGTCTCCTATTTTGTTGGCGCGCCCTATTCGATAATGCATCAAGCCCTTCGCCAATTGTCTCAACCATCACCTGGCGATTCGACTGTTCCTTGCCTATTAACTTTGTTATATCATCTAATAAGAGGATGGTAGGACTGCGCTGCTCCAGGGCAGTTTTAAAACAGGTCTGGATAGTTGACGACTTGTCACTATAACTTAGTCGAACAACTCTGCCCCAGTTCGTTGTAGCGATATGATCAAGTAACATCGACTTCCCCGTCCCATGACTTCCATAAATAACGATCCCACAGGAGTAAGTTGGTGTAGTATATCCTTCAAACTCGACATCAAAGTCGTTGAAGAATTCGTTAAGCTCTTCTATCTGGCGCTTCATTCCTGGAAGCGGGCCAACTTCTAATTTACCCCTAGTCTGGACAGCGTCTTCGTTGGAAAACTCGACGACCGTAGATCCGGGAGCGTACTTGGCAACACCATCAGTTCTGCCATTTACAGATGCAACCACAAACGAACGTCTTGATCCGTTTAAGACGATATCATCAAATGACATGCTTGGTAAGATGAATTCAGCTACCTCTGTTGATGTTGTTAGATTAATGATACATGAATAGGGGTCGCAAAGCAAATTATATCAAGAAGAACAGAGGTTAGATCTAACAACAGAAAACATTATGATTTTGCCGTATACGCGTATATACGAATCCATAAACACTACCCTCGTACTAGTTTAGGAGTGTTCATTACCAACAACGAACCAGTTCATAGTTTATAATCGTTAAGTGTAAAAAACGAAATTTCAATAACTCACCTAATCGACTCTCAAGATGATATTGCCATCTCGTCTGTTCCGAAGCAGGTAACGGGACAGGATCCGGGGTTATTTCTCTCATGATAACCACCCCAGCGTCAGGAACCGGCCCATTGCCAGGAGTAACTTTAGCTAACTGGCCCAGTTCTAGACTGGCCAGTTTCTGGAATACTCGACTGACAGAGACAATGTTGTTGGCAACATTCTTATCTGGAGCAGGCCACGCAACGGCCTCCCACCGAGTAGGCCCATCCGTTTCGACGTTGCAGAGATGTGCGGTAGTGAAGCCCCCTTGGGCAAAGGTGGTGGGATGGATGAAGATTTTAGCTGCGTTTTTATACGTGGGATTCTTCTGGTTGGCTACGTCTTGCGGCTGTAGCCGAACTTTGAAGTCGTCTTTCCCCATCGCTGGTGGGCTTTAATGTGTAAAGCCAAGTTTAAGTGATGTATGTATAAGAAGTTTTAAATGACTTTGAAATCTTAGTCAATAACCAACCAGGCGGGTCGTTCTTAGTAGGCTTATGGGTATGACTGATGACACTAATTATAATAGTCGTAATCATTGTCAGTTATAAATTCCCAGGTGTATTCTCTTTATTTTCTTCAGAAGAATTCATTTATAAAATAGAATCATGAAGTAAGGTGCAGATGAATGAGAAGATATCGCAGTTACGTCTCTTGTGGGATAGACCAGTTAAAAACACAGTGTGGGCCACTACGGTAGTACCAACGACCCAATCAAACCTATTTGTACTACTCTATAGGCTATTTTCATAGCGCTATACCAGAAATAATACAGTATGGATTGCGACTTCCTTTCCAAATTCTATGTAAGCCCTACGAAGAAAAGAAGGTCGATTAGTTCAGCTCCAACTTTTCCAATTCCCTCTCCAGCTTCGACTTACTCGAATCTGCACTACACTGCAATGCGCTGGGCGTCACAACTCGCCGCCTCATGCTCCTACGACAGCTCCACCGACCATCTTCACGATCGGTAGCCGCAGCAGCATGGCGATTATCCCATACGGCGTTGCTGCACGGTAGCACCAGTCGACCACACCCCTCCCCCTCCTCAACATCCCCCCAGACCAACAGCAACAGCAACAGCAACAGCAACAACCAAGATGACGCACCACAACCCAGACGCCCCTCCCTCTTCGAGCAGCTCTTCCCCGACGAAGCCAAAGCCCTCGGCAGAAACACCACTCCCAAACCCTCCTGGGCCTCGCATCTCCTAGACGATCCCCCGCAACCCTCCCCCGACACCGAGCTCAACGACAACGACAGCGACAGCGATAGGAAATCCAGCGACGTGCCCCTGCGCGCGAAAAGCATGCTCATCCTCTCCGCGGCTAGCAAGCACCTCACCGAGAGCGACTTCCTACGCCTCGGGCCCCAGGGCGCCCACGTCGAGGGCTGGGTCGGCGGCATCTCGCGCGTCATCCAGGCCCGGGACCCGGACACACTGCAGCCGCTCGGGCATTACTTCGTGCTGTTCGACCGGGAGGCGGCTGCGGCCGCGTACTGCGACGAGGTAGAGCGGTTGTGGCAGCTGGGCAAGGCGCATGTACCAGGGGCGCATCACAGGAAGGGGTATTCGCCCTCGGTGCCTCCGCCCCCGGGCTTGCCGTCCGCAGATGGCAGTAGTCGTGACGTAGCGGCCGATCTGAGAGCGTTTACCCTGGTGCCGCCGAGCCAGCGGTACTACCTCGACGTGTCGAGCGGGTTCAGCCGCGTGCGGATCGAGGAGCTGGATATAGGCGGTGTCGCGTTCGTCGACCGGCTAGCCGACCGCGCCGGATCTAAGCACATGGTTCTTGTTTCCGTGGACGGGGGACGCATATCGCTTGATTGGCTGCGGCAGGCCATCGAGGAGGACGGCAAGGATCGGAATCTGCCGTGGCGGGTGACGGATCTCGAGAATGGTATCCTGCCCTTTGGGAAAAGCATCCTCAAGCAGGAGGACAAGGACCCTAATGACTTTGAGCAGGTTCTTCGGGACCAGGCTGCACGAGTAGCGGGGGGTGAAGATGGGGTTAATGGTGAAGGGAATGTGGAAGGGGAAGGGGAAGGGGTTGAGGCTAAGGAGTCGAGCATAGCAGACGATAGGGGGTATCGTCGGTATCCCCGCTTCATCATTCCGTTCGTGGATAATGCCGAGGCGCACCGCTTCGTGAGGTATTGGCACCGGCGGCAATTCAAGATACGTATGGATCTTGGGGGGGATAAACCGGCAACGTGGGACGAGACTAGGATACTCAATACATCAGTATTGTGGTGATGATTATATATATTCCACTTAAGCCAGCCGGCAACCATGTTTCACGCCCCTATTTTACGTCCTTGAAAGTGCTTCGGCCTTCATTAGTGACTTGTCATTCTACGCGATATTGAATAGAAGAACGTATGACCTAATACAGGCATCAAGGCTCTTCGTAGCATACGTACTTGATCAGAGAGAAGAACCAACGATGACTGGAAAATGTATTAGACCCATATCAACCAAACTCCGCCAATATAGTATCGCCCTCACTTAAGCCCCCCCAGGCCTCATTCATCCTATGTAGTTGTGTGTTGTGTGTCATGTGTGGCTCTGAATGTCTATCGTGAAGCAGGCTAGCCTTTGCCCTTGCTCTCTTCTTTATTTCTGGCTAGCTCCTCCTCCTCTGCCTACCCCCGTCCCCCCAGGTAATACAACATTCGTGCTTCTTTCGGTCCTCGGGGGTGTCTCCATAAATCATATGCCTCGGTCTACAGTAAACTTTCGCTTGATAACATGAAATGTGTGCTAGGCCACCTCTCCCAGCTTGACTACCCAGCTTGGTGGCTAGCCCTTACTCTCTCTACCATCGCCATATTATCTCTCGCTTCGAACGACTTCTCGCCAGCCCTTAACAGCATTTGCCTAGGCCGCTGCTCTGTCCCGAGGACACGTTGACGCCCTGGCCACCGGCCGCGGCGGCCTGCTGCGCGGGGCTGATGTCGGTGAGACGCTTCTTAATGTCGCCGGCGAGGCTGTAGAAGGCCTTGTCGATGTTGATATTGCTTTTGGCAGATACCTCGAGAAAGGGGATGCCGAGTTCCTTGGCAAGCGCCTCGCCTTGTTCCGTCGACACCACGCGCTTCTCTTCCCAGTCGCACTTGTTGCCGATGAGGATCTTGTTAACGCCTTCCGTGGCGTGCTGCTCTACGTTCGCGAACCATGTTCGGATGTCTGTATCACGGGTCAGCATGGAGCCTCAAAAATGCTTGTGTATTATAAGCAAGCCGTTATCGATAGTTCCCACGGCTCACTAGAGCTCCTCTTAACACTTCCCTATTCGTTTCGTATGGGGGTGTAGGATATATATATAGCTAGTGTAATGATTGGGAGTTCTTACTCTCGAAAGATCGCTGGTCTGTGACATCGTAAACCAAGAGGATGCCCATCGCGCCGCGATAATAAGCCGTCGTGATAGTTCGGAATCGCTCCTGGCCAGCAGTGTCCCAGATCTGCAGCTTCACGCGCTTACCATCGAGCTCGATCGTGCGGATCTTAAAGTCGATGCCGATAGTCGTGATGAAGGACGGTGTGAATGAGTCTTCGCTGAACCGCAGCAGACAGCACGATTTGCCTACTCCCGAATCGCCGATTAGGAGTAGTTTAATCTATATATTGAGACCGTCGTTAGTATACTTAGGAATGCCTATGGGCTGACAGCTAGTGTAAGACGGAGGGGAAGCCATGGCTTGAAGAGACCTCGATAACCAAGCTACCGGGTGGTATATCATCTCTCCAGCCGTAGCGTGCGGTTCGAAGGGGAGAGGTTGTGAACGTACTAAGAAGTCGTAGTTTCGGTTACCCGACATTTTGTAGAGGTCGCTCGTCGTGGACGGCAGAGAAAGCTACGGCGGGTATTTGATCGATCGTATTCTTTGTCGAAGAATAGTTTGACGTAAACGCGATTCCTCGAGTTTCTTGATATTATTCCGGTTAGATATCAAACGAGACGACGTGTCGTCAGAGGTTGGCAGTAATACTAATAGTGGCTTTTGGTAGCAGTAGCAGTAGCAGTAGCGGTAGCGGTAGCGGTAGCGGTAGGCTGGTAGCGTTTAATGGAGTTAATGGGAATGATAATGATAATGATAATGATAGTTAGTGGTACATGTATGTACTCTTGGCACAGGAGTAGAAAAAGCTATCTAACTCGGTTTGTACTAGCATACAGGAGTACGGTGCATAAGGCTTATGGTTTCGGAAAGATAGAGCCTTCAATTGAATATTGAAGGTTTAGGATCGATAAAACAACATTGAGTTCGAAAAAGGATGGTTTACCTACCAAGTACATACATGTACCTACCTTAGGTCAGCCTTAGGTATGTATGCATTTACTCGGATGGCAACTACCTACGTGTACCTAATCAACGAACCTAAGCAACGGTGTGCATTTTTACAACCTAACAACTTAATCGAGTCGTTGGCCCAAACGAGGCAGCCTCAAACATTTCCCAGGTCGGGCAGGTGATTTACAGGTACCTACCTATACATTAGGTACCTGTAGACACCTAAGTCGCATTAACCAAAGCAGAGCTATCACGCCCTAAGCGGTTGGTTTTTAGCGTGTGAATATGTACCTATAACCCCTGAGTACTTACTGTAGGTACTTCCATAAGGAGCTCAATGATAGGAAATACGTGGCTGCCTTTTGCCGGCGTACCTGGCTTATGTCAGAATGGTGGTGGGCACGAATTAGGTACCAGGGGAGCGGTCCAGATTTACTATGCACATATGCATCTATTCAACGTAGAGCTGCTTCTAGAAAAGGGGCTTATCGACATGTCTCATATTTACATGGTACTTCTTTTTCAACCGAATCCCATAATAATATTGAACATCTTAGCTGTTTATTTGATACAACTATAGGCAATTGTTATACTAATCCGGAGTGTATAAAACATAATGCCCCTAGTCCGTCATATGCATTTGCTAAAATGTTCTAATAGCGACTTTGGGTTCGTGCAATTATCTCAACCACTTAGAATATGCCCAACGTATTCTATCCAAAGCTCGCAGCTGTGATTGGATGCCCTTGAGATTAGCAAGGTCGTCTAGGTCTTCCAAGAAGTCTTTCTCAATGTCGGCTGGGAGGAGGCTATGTGCAAGTTGTCGAAGGACGTGGACCTCACATACGAGGAGACCGTGGTCCTTGTAGGATATGAGGTTGTTAGGCGAGGGCGTGGCTTCGGATAATATGCGATCAATATTGCGTATAACTCGGATGCATTTGCCGGCTCTCCGGTGTTCTCGGAAGCCTTTTCTGCCTCCGAACACACCACGGAGGTATTGCATCACTCCGACGGACACGAGAATACCAGGTGTTAGACCTACGAAGCCAAAGACAAGTTCCTGGCTTTTCAGAAGGGCATCAATCCCGCTCATGGCGACTTCGATGTCAACCTTTGTCTTTTGAACCTGAATGAGCAACGTTCGGACCAAGTCACCTCGCACGGTACCCTTAAAGGGGCTGCGTAGGTCTTTTTCATACGCGCGAAGAATCGGTGTCACATCTCCCTCCCGGACCTTGGCTCTGATTTCCGCAACCTGTGACTCTGATATTGACGGAGCGCCGGTTGCGACATGCGGCTTATCGAGAGCAAAGTCGACGACCATACGCTCTAAGCTTTCCCTGTCCGCCTTCAGGCTATCCCGACTCATGATAGCAATCTCGCTATTGTCGTCGTGGCGGATAGTACCAACAACCTTTCGAATAGGGTCGATAACCCAGTTGAACCAGAAGTCACGAACAGTCACGCCAAAGTCACTAACCCACTGCAGAATCTCCTGCTTTCTATTGACCAAGATGCGGAGAATCGTGGACGAAGAGAGGAGAAGCGCAGTGGCAGGAAGCCAGTACCTCACGAGTCTTGACGGTCGTCCATTTTCTCTTAGTAGTTTTTCCGCTTCTTCAAGGTGTTGCGGTAATTGAGTTGTTAGCAAGTCCTGAAGTCTTTTAGCCACTACAGCCGGGCGATGTGTTTCGTCTTCATCGGCCAGGATTGACAACTCAGGATCCTCTTCAACGCCAGCAAAGACTCTATCTTCAAAATCGGCAATTCTGACATCCAATGTTAGGACGTCCTTGAGGACCATGTCCATTAGAGCGACGCTTCGCTCCACGACACCTTTCCATTCTTGGTTGGCTGAGAGGATCATATCATTCTTACCATCATCACTTCCGTTGCCGGCGAAGGCGAGACCTTCGTCGATTAAAACACCCAGGCCACTCGCGGTCATCTCTCTAAGCCTTTTCAGCTTAGCTTGCTTCTTGCGAGCTTCAGATCGACAAAGAGCAAGGGGAGACAATATCTTCCTCTGCACGTTGGCGAGCGACCTTTCGTGTATGGTCTCCCGCACAATATTGTAGAATCGGCTCCATCGTTGGGCTGCTCCGGCCTGGATCGACTCTACATTAGATTCACTTACCAAACCAGCGACTGATGTGCCACCGCTAGTGTACTGTTGAGATCTAGTCTTGCTGTCCTTGTAGATTTCCCTAGTCCAAGCCCAGACTCGTATAGGGGAAGTTTGCACCAGGTATATACTGCTGTTCGTTGGAGACGACAGCACATCGTCCCAGTACCAGATGTGGTCACTCAGGGGAATGATCTGATCTAACAGCGTATCCAAAATAATACCGTATGTTTGCACGGTGGCCTTGCTAACCAATCTCCACTCGAGCTCAGCCTCGTACAGGTTCGCCGATATCTCCTCAGTATGGTCCGATAGTAAATCCGACTGAGATAGGAGAGACTGGATATACCGTGCGGGGGGGGCACTTTGCGATCCCGAGGCCGCCGATAGGGCTTTGATGATCCTCAGCAGCTCTTTCGCACGAGGACTATCCAAGTCTATCGAAGCTTGGGTGGCGTCATAGCCCGTCAAGTGGCTAAAAGGGATGCGGTCTAGCTGCGCGTCCAACCGCCGTACTTGACTGAACAAGGTCTGAGCCACATTATCATCGCTGGTAAAGATGTTCTTTGTAAAACTTACTCAGCCACTAGGGACATTTTTCTTTTTTTTTTTTTCTGTTGGAATTTAAACCACACGTGCAAATCTTCTGTAAAAAGGAGAGATTATATGGGTCGATGCTCGGATGTACGGCCGGACATAATCGACTTGTCTAATTCTTCATATGTATCATGACGGGGTCTGTTGAACCCTTGTAAACTGTGGTCTATCTAGGCAATCGAAAGGAAGCTCTCCGCGATGATGACCGGGAAGTTGCCGGGACCTTGGATGTGAGACTTGAGTTAGGCTGACGGACTAATTAGGAAATCCAAATATGTACAACCTTCCTTCAACCTTACCGTATAGATCTTGGGAAACGGCTACAATGAAACGATTTGAGGTTGCGGTGTGCCGGATGCAGATTTGTTTCCCACAAGTCGAACGTTGGTCAGTCGATATTTACTGCTGAGTTGTGCTTGTTTGATGAGGTCATAATACTATGTAGCGTAGAATAAACCCCAATTCAAAATTCAAGCTTCTCAAGCTTTAACAGCAGTGGCTGCTCTAAACCAAATAGGGTAAGGTACATGGGTAAGCACAGAGCAACAACCCTCTTTTTGGCAGTTACCTGGCAATTGGGTTAGGGTAAGAGCAAAAAGTGAGCAGATCGGATAGGGACGGCTCCGAGTCAGGTGATTTGGCTGGGCTGCCGGAGGCTCGCCGTGGATTATCCGATAAAGTTATCTGATCAACTAACCTAAGTTAGGTACTTAGGTACATGTACCTAAACTAAAAGGGTCCCTGAGTTTTTGGAGTATTAGTGCAGATTTTCAGTGATACTAAGCCACTAAACAGCTCGGAATACGAATACGATAGCCGCATTCACTCCAAATAGGTACCTACACTTGTGTTTCCCCTGATGCAGCTTTCTCCACATTTTGATGCGTGAGCCGGGACGGGAAGAGGAAATTCCAAGTGGTCTCATGGTGGCAGCATTCGAATGATTGGTCGTACGTCCGGTAATTAACCAGGATCCCCTAAATTTCGAAATCTCCAATCTCTCCTTATCGCCTCCTACCGCCTTTATTTTCTAAAGCTACAACAAATAGCAGCCTTCTTCTCGCCTTTTTTTTCTCTCCCCTTCACATTTCCCAGCGTCGGCACAGCTCCTCAGCATTCCTAACTTAGCATTCGGGTCTTTCTTTCACTCATAGGAAGGTTTGTTCTCATCGCTGTTGGTTTACCTAGATTCCCCTTTCGCCACCATGGCCACGATGTAAGTCCCGCTTACCCCTTAACTTCGAGGCGCGTCTTTTAATTGAATTGGATAACTAACGCGCTTTGCAGAAATGCCACTGTCGCTGGCGTCTTCAGCCATCCCGATACGTATCTAAACGTATTCGAGGAAGTCACAAAATATAATGTCCACCTCAACGTGGTAGAACGCGCTTGGGCGGTTAGTTTGCCCCTAAACTTCAGACCGTCCAGGTACGAACAAGTGACTGACTCAGTAACCTAGGCCTGGTATCTATGGATGCAGAACGACACATTAGCGACGGGTATCATGAGTTTCCTCATGCACGAGATCATCTACTTCGGCCGGTGTATACCTTACATGCTCCTCGACCGTATCCCTTTCTTCAACCGCTACAAGATTCAAAACCAGAAGATCCCGACGTGGAAAGAGCAGTGGGAATGCGCCGCGCTGGTTCTTCTCAGTCATGTTACCGTCGAATTACCTCAAATCTGGCTTTTCCATCCTATCGCTACCTACTTCGGCATGGACTACGGTGTTCCCTTCCCTAAGCTCTCGACGATGGCCCTGCAAATCGCCGTCTTCTTCGTTGTTGAAGACGCATGGCATTACTGGTTCCACCGAGCGCTGCACTACGGTCCCCTATACAGGATGATTCACAAGCTTCACCACACTTACTCTGCCCCCTTCGGTCTGGCTGCTGAATACGCCTCGCCGATCGAGACCATGCTTCTCGCTCTAGGAACAGTCGGAAGTCCCATTGTCTGGGTTTCTCTAACCGGAGAGCTTCACCTGTTCACCATGTACATGTGGATTGTCGGTCGTCTATTCCAAGCCATTGACTCCCACAGCGGATACGACTTCCCCTGGAGCTTAAGGCACTTCTTTCCCTTCTGGGCCGGTGCCTTCCACCACGACGTCCACCACGAGAAGTTCATCGGAAACTACTCCTCCAGCTTCACATGGTGGGACTGGATGCTCGACACCGAGTCCGGTCCCGAGGCCGCCAGGCGCCGCCGCGAGAGGAAGCTCAAGTCTATCAAGGCCAAGAAGGCCGAGTAAAGGGGCTCCATAGCCTCGCAACATTAGGATATGCACTGGGACGGTGGGCAGGTCAGCTAGTGGCATTCCGCCGATTCCCGATGCTTGCTCCTGGCCATCAAGATTGATTGTTGGCCATTGGGAGGAGAGATTGCCCGATTTCGCAAGACGCGGCACCTAAGGGAACGATACTTTACGATTTTCGTCCATCGTTAATTCTATAGACATGGGGCTGGCCGACTTAATACAACTTTGTAATTGTGACGAAGAGAAGAGACAACTACTATCATAGATTAATAATAACCTCAACATCCTTCATTGGAACTTTTAAACAGACTTATCAAGACATTCTAGCCCTCGGGTGATAGCAGTGAAGTTGTGCTCGTGCCCATTCGTAAATTTCTTCGCTTCTGATATGACTGCTTATAGTAAGCCGCCTAGTTGTATTATATACTATATCTAACCCGTTGACCTGGATCAGCCAACCTGAAGTTAGTCATGGTCATACAGATAAAAGGTCCCAAGGATGTCTATTTTCCGTTATGGCCTGATATCTCGGAGCTTCATGATCTCTATTTTGTTCTTTATTTCTTAGGAGTACAACAATCACCCGCGTTGGTGACAGCACGGTCAGCCACCCGTTTTAGCTCGCAGCTATCAGTCTCCTCAATAATCTCACCAAAGTCACTAGCGAGGCTGTCGCAAATCGCAGCTAGCTCGACGTCCTTGGCGGATAGGCCCTTCGGATTGTGCGTTGTCCACCGGATATACGTCGTATTATAGACCTGTGCGATAACAACAATCACATGAGTCAGCCGTTGTATTCCAATGGGTCAGCAGACGGACAGCTCATGCGTTCCATCTGGTAATAAGAAAGATAATGTATGAGACTGTTATGGCCAAGCTCTCCACCTTGCCTAAAGACGACAGCGGCGATTCGTAATCGAAGCTGACGAGCTCTGGTTTAGAGTTTACGTTGGTTCTAACACGGGCGGGCACGTGTGCAGGGCGCATTCTCTTTATGATAAACGAAGGGACGAATGAAAGGGGTACAGTGGGGGGCACCTTACGTTGGACCATTCCGGGTGATGGTTTTTGAGCTTGCACTGCAGTGATACTGCAGTCATAAAGTCCTAACAGAATCAACACGATTAGTCGAGTCTACACTATCATTCGCAGCTGGGGCTTGTTTAGATGGTTTGACCATGCGGTCGTGAAGATCATATAGGCTTTTGAATGTCAGGTCAGATCTTCCCGGGGTCGACTAACCCGAGGACCGGGTGGCACCATTTCATCCAGCACTCGGCTATATAAAAGCCAGTCGAGGGCCGAGACTGGCGAATAAGGACCCGTGTGGAGTCAGCAGGAGACTTTATTGCTCTCTCGTGACTAGCCATACGTTGCGTGGTTGGCCACGGCGCTTCTTTTCCCGTGTTCAGTATTGAAAATTGTATACTGATGAGGTGCAACTCCCGCCGGGAACCCTGAAGTTACGGTATCCCGATGTTTACGCCCCCCGAGGTCGATCGATCATGCTAGCAGCACCCAAAGGTAAACCTATCTGGGGAATAATTCGGGGAACCATGTTACCCAGCTAGTCAGCCATTCAGGCTCAGCCCACCGGCAATTGTCGATGTTCCCCAGACTCTCCTACACGGGTGCAGGTAAGGGATATGATGCAAGAGCGGCTCTGTTCCAATGAGGGGAACCCTCGGGAACGATTGCGGCCGAATAAAGCAAATGCCGTGACCAGAGGTAGACGAGAAGGGAAACCAATGGTACGACGAAGGAGACGCGGGAAACGGGTATGGTATGGTATGGTATGGTATGGCTGACTCACCCACGTCTTCGCAAACGTCTTGAACTTGAAGCTCCTCTCCAGACCCTCGCCGCTAGCGATCAGTACCCACCGACCGCCATGCCCTGCTGATGCCAGCAAAGTCTCTAGCGTCCGCGTTAGAGCCGGCTCGTCGACGCCAGCCGAGAACTGGGGAGCAGCTTGGGAATTCGCGGGGCTTGCCATGACTGCTGCTGAAGTCGTGAAAGTTCGGCGACCCTGACCCTGATCCTGACCCTGATCCTGATACAGGAGTGAGCACCGGCGAGAGGTTGCAACCGCCTGTGCGCCTCGGCGTGTCGCCCCGACGGGTTTGCTCGCAACTTGTGGTGCCTTAGCGGCAGTCTTCGCGTAGTAAAGCAAAGGGCGCGTGTACCGGTTATACATTAGGCGCGGCACAGACTATTATTAGTAGATGGCAGAATATGAGGTGGTTTTATGGTGGTGTAACGTGTAGAGTCTCGTCATATATACCACCTATAAAAGCTCTAGGGTGCACACGGAAGCAGATCGCGAGCTACCCTGGTATACTTTTGGCTAAGTTTTGAAAAATGAATATGAATGGTTTAACCTAGGTTAGCAAGTTGCTACAAAATATTTCCAACGTTTATTTTCTGACGTTTATCTGTTGTACATAGTAAGTCGGATAATAAGTCGTCCTAAGTCATTTTCAGGTGGCCTAAGCTTTGCGATTACCTACATATACCTAATTCATGTACCTATTAGACGTACCTTCCCAGCTACCTATATTACAGGTAGCTCATATTAAGCTACACATATGTAGGTAGGTAAGTAACAGCCGTTACTAGAATTTGTTACACATAAAATCTTAGACATATCAATTTATTATCTTCCACCAAACTTGCAGTAGTAGGTATACAACGTGACCCCTTTTCAGTCCCGAGACATTCGGCGATTAAAACTACAAAGTTGCCGAAAATCGGGTATATTTATTATAAGGGCACGGTCGCTGTATCATACCCCATTAGGGCTAATGCTCTCCTTTTCTAAATCTGTGTCCGTGTCCCGACCCCCGTATCGTATCGTCGATTGCTGTGCTGTCAGCAGACGGCGGTGACAAGTTTTCATCTGACCATTAGTACCAAATTACGTACGGATTACAGCAGTTTTTAACGGAGACAGGGTCTCTCCACTTGTTAATTTCCGGCGCGTCGCGGACCGGACCACCTGGGTTTCCCACGTGGAAATCTCCTTTCTCATCCCGCTGTAAGCCTGATATTACCGACGAGAAAATGGGAAGCCAACTACACCGCCGCTGGGGCTAGATCTGCTTACTCCCTGTCGTAATATTGCCCTGTAACCAACAGCGTCCAAATTAAATGAATGGGTTGGGTGACTTTCCTACATGTTTATTATCGGACGCGATGATATCCTGTTTCGCTTTTCGCTCCTGTGTTGCTAATGCCCTTAAGACTCAGCATGAGGATTACCATCTTTAACCCGCAGGTTCCTACAGTCTACCTAGACATGTAAAACCCGGGCATTGAGATTCCAAATCGCACTCGCGTTCGTCAAACTCCGAGAATTATGCACCCCGGTGCAGGAGATCCGGAGTTTTATGTAAATAACCAGGGTGTATTCCTGGCACGCGATTCCCTAATAAGCAGTTTTCTTACACTTGGAGCTAGTATATTGGCTTAAATTGGAAACTCATTTATGCTTCCCAGTCCTTAAGCCATGGGTGAACGGCGCAGGCATTTGTACTCAAGCCTCGTGATCGACCGAACTCTGGTTAGTTCTACAAAGACGCTCTGTTACGCCCGAGGTTAGCTGCCCAGCTTGTTAGCTACGTAGTTTGTTGATATAACTAAGTTATAGTCTTACTAAACAGGTTTTGATGGACTTGGGCTAGCTGTGTTAAAGAAGCAATCCTCGTTTACTCACAGACTCAATGTCTTTTATTGGCGGTTGTCTTAGTCGCTAACGGGCACACTATCGCCCAAGTTCCTCCATGATGTTACCTACAAGCCTTTTTTTGGCACGGTCAGCACCTTCTAGGTTATCCTTTGCTGACCATCAATATTCTCAGCCTGCTTGGGAGGTAGCGCATGGAGGAATTTCATATAAGTAATCATTATGTATGGAATCTTAAATAATGGCTGCCCAACGAAGTGGAAACAGTCCATTAACTCCATCTGAGTTCAAGTTCAAACGGTTCAAGGAATATTTAAGACAAAGGCCGTTACGTAAACCTACCTAGGTAACCCGTTGATAAATCCTTACAATACTTTTAATCTTATCCCGCCGTAGGCCATAGGAGTTAATAAAATCGAAAACTTCTAGCTAAGCAGACGGCAGTTGGAGTTATTTTTGCAAGCGTTAACTCGCTAGAAAATACCTGACATCTTACCGCGCAATATTATAAAAAAAAGTGTTGGGTTTAGTATAGACCTCGAAACCAGTTCTATAACATCTTGGGTTTCCTTGATCATGGTGTTTAGCTTTTAGGTATACTTATAATAGGGCCGGTTTATGTACTTCGTACTTAATAGTTGCGGTTACTTCTAGTCCTGTAAAAGGCACTATTATGTTGAGGAGGGAGAGTCGTACAACCTATTACAATAAATGGTAATGAAACTTATATAGTACATAGTAGATTATCCTATAGCGATCGATATCGAGCTATAGCCTCAGCACGGGCGTAGGTAGATCACACAAATAAGTACAAATAAGTACGTATAATATGCAATGTCAGCACCGACGCGTTCACGCCACTTTGAGACCCCTTCGTTCCGCATTCCTAATTAGGTTCTATTGCAGACCAACAAATCGGCGCTGCTGGCCTAGGTCTAAGATAACTTGTTCAAGGTCTATTAGTCATTGGTGCAACTGGCTCACGGATGCACCATGTATATGAGCGAGTAACTATAATCATACCTTTATCTCCGACAGGGTTACGCTCTTTATGTAATAAGACAGCAGGACAAGCTGAAAGATGCAAGCTAATATGTACCATTTACTACTCAACGACAAGGATCAGTTCGAGTAACTCTATCGGGATTTCCGGGAATAATAGGGTCTAAGATCTTCGGGTCGACTGTTTTTATAGAGTATAAATTTTGAGCTAAAATTTATCAATGAGACCTCAGCGACCTAGTCGGCAAATTACAGGTACTGTTGGTTTATCTCCAGTATTCCGGCCCGAGAACATACGTTTCTACTTCGTACATTAAAATGTAACATATCGTTGTTATCCGTATAAAACGTGAAGGTTACTAATCTTACGTCGGCCGGAATGGCCGGTTTTGATCTTTTTAATGATGCTGGCATGACGTGAGTGGTAAGTGCTGAAACCGACCTACAGCCTCTAGTTTATCTTATCTCCTAAAATGTGAACCAGACATAAGTACCTCATAATCCACTTATATCAACGAATGAAACACTGAAAAAGACTCGATGCATACTCTTTAGGAATAGTGTAAAAAATTCAGCTAATCAGATCTGGATGGAGTGTTTACATGGTACTTTTCACTTTAGGAGATAAGCCGCCTGTAGTGTATAGGACGGACTGCCATATAATATGATAGGATAATATTAACAGGAATAAGGTAACATAAGGATCCTAGCCATTAAGTTGCATCTCCAACTTCGAAGCTATGAGCGGTGTTGCGGCGCCGAGGTATGAGTGCAGTTCAACAAAGCGATTTCAGGCATCAATACTGCCGGCTGCTTACATGTTGCTAACCTTCTAGTCGAAGACGCAGTAAACTTCAAGATTATACCCCAAAAGGATCATACGGCGGATGCAAACCAGAAGGCTTTGCCATAGGCGAAGGAAGCATTGCAGATACCAACACGCGAGAAAGGGGTTCATAAGATATTGTCTTCAACTAAAGGCATAGGGATAATAATCGGTTCATGGGTCGGGATAGTCTCGTAAATCCTTCTCGATTCTCCTTCTCATTTAGTTGTCATGAACAACCGACCTATGGATTGTCAAAAGTCGAGCGATTATCAGTCCATTGCATTATGTTGATAACACAAGTAAAACAGGCAATAATGGATGCCGTAATTCGATACGACATTCTCGGGATCAAGCGGAGCGTAGATCGACCAGGATTACTAAAGCAACTAAAGCAACTATACAAGACGTAGAAGCGGCTTTTTACTTTACCTTGGGGGTAACTTGGGGCTCGTCTAAGTTGTTGAAACCCTTCTGTTTCTGTTGGCGCAAACAGAGTAAGCGGTAAACGACGCGTAATTAAAATCAGATGTGAACCTAACACGGACGGGAGAAGGCTTGTTGCCGATGACCACCGCGGAACGCCAAGACTACCAGGGAGGTGTGGAATATATTGGCCGGCGTATCAATCTCGATTTTCCCAGGACGGTTGGATTGGACAATGTTATATTGAAACCAAAAAGATACCTACGTTAAATGTTGAATATTTACTAGGTACCTAGGTATGTGAATAAGTATAAAAGTCTTATTCCCATTTACATATCAAGGTAGACAGACAGTCATATCCTTCATCTGCATCTGTATTCGGATACCTTAATATGAGGCTCTAAACTTTACGTTGGACCTATCGGCAGATTCGAATTACATACATACATGAGAGTACAGTAAGATTGTACCATTAGTTATGCGATTACCTAAATGTAGCATGACACACGTGACAGTATTACTAATATAAACGGTAAGCATTGATAGGCATCTAAATTCCAATTATTCTTCAAGCCTTAACCGGCTTCCAAACTTCGGACCTACTCCATTTGATGTTGCTGTTTCGATACGGTATAGTTAACCAGATCTCGCTCGTCACAGAAAGTTCCTTTTAATACTTAGACCAACGAGGTTCCATCGTGTCATCATCCAATCAACTTAGTATCGCATAGAACCATGTGCATGCATACATACATATGTACATCGTACATCGTACATCTTGATACTACATGTGGTATGTAGGTCGATAACTGGGTTGCCGAAGACCAAAAAAGCAGGGAAGTACCTAGGTATGTTAGTAATGAAACCGTGCCCTCGGAGGACGACCTCTTTTAGCCTGTTGTATTACGTAAGTCCGCGGTTGGAACCCGCGCATTGATTCGAGTTGAATGTTATTAATGAAATGCTGGTGAAACTTTTTTACGACATGCGTTCTAGCGGCCGTCATTTATCCAAGGTTCTTTTTGTCATACTGTGACACCTTACGTAATGTAATAAATAGTACGAACACGCAAAAGGATTGAAGATGCGAAGCTTTATTTTCTTCATCAGACCTGCAGGCGGGAACAAGGTGTGGTTCTCTAAAAACCATACCATACTATCGCCCCCGGGGCGTGTGTCTAATAATTGGAGAACCATATAGCCGAAGGAGTTCTAAAACCCGATGCTGAGCCTACAAAGAGGTATGCAATGGAAGTCAAGAAAGAGAAGGCGTGAAAAAAGTCCGATCTTTATTACTAGTCTCTTCGTCACCCAGCCCAACCACATACTATATAATACCTTACTTATTAATGTTATTATACCTGAGTATCGTAAGATGTGTAGAATGTCCCTATATACCAGCACACGACTTAATAAGTGCTTACATCTCGTATGAGCAACATGAGGACCTTCTTAAGTACTTTCAAACACGCGTTAATAAAAGCTATTGCGGATGTATACACATTCGTACTAAGCAAAGTACCTATGTAATGTACGGGCGTAAATGTGGGTTGGGAGGAGTTGCCTAGAAGGGAAGGGGGCAGTCATAAGATGTAGTGCTGTACGACG